ATCCGAAAGTGCCATTTCCGACGCGGCGGCCGGAATATGGGGTGTTTTGTGGTGGTTTGTTGGGTCGCCCCCTTCCCTCATATTTTGACGGGGGTTGTTTTTTTTTTTTTGTTTTGGTTTTTTGTTGGTTTTTTTTTTTTTTTTTTTTTTTTTTTTTTTTTTTTTTTTTTTTGTGCATGCCGGTCTTGAGCAAGGGGTTAGGGGCTAGGGGTTACGAGCATACTTTTATAGATTGCCGATTTCTTTGTGTTTTCTAGAATGGGGTTTGCATCAAACGTATTAGAATCATCAGCATATCATCCACGGAAGATAGGTCGTTAGGAGAATTGAGAGTCAATACAGAACGGAAGCTTGAAACATGTTAACGGAGCTCTTTTGACCAGAGAGAGGGGCTTACAGGATCTTAATTCCTGCCAGCCCCAGCAATTGACAGCAGTACCTAGTTAGTAGCAACAGAGCTCGCAACAGCATTTGGTAAATTACATCTACACCTGAGTGGCAATGATTCACCAGCTATTATGCAAACATACCTAAAGTCAGAAAGGTGTTATTCAGGATATGTATTGTACGCAGATAACAGGTATACGCGGCGTTCAAAGATAGGAGAACAAGCCGAGATATCGACGAAGCAGCGTGTCCTAGACCCCGTTGATGTCACAGACGCCGAACTCCAGAAGGGCCTGACGCTATCTGATGGCCTCGTGGTCCTCACACGGTCCATCCTGTCTCTCCCATTCGAGGAGCAGGGCAATCAACAAAACCTGCGAGTCGCTGTTAACCTGCCTACCTAGGCAGTGAGGAGCAGAACGGCGGGGCAAAAGTAACCCCGAATCGGATACCAAGGCTTACCCCGCCCTCGGAATCTCGATAACCAACAGCGCCCTCTAAGTGGGACACCGAGACTTCACCGAACGAGGTCCGGCAGGCCAGGCCTTCGTAGTCGGACGTCAGCCTATCCTCTAATCCCCTAGCCTTGGGAACCTAGTCAATTGGGGAGAGCAGGAAGTGCAGGAAGACCCACGGGCTCCACCCCCATCACGGCGGTGGTGATCGGCAACCACCCAACCAGAAGCAAGGTCGCGAAACGCTCCAGCATGCAAGTACCGAGGGGCAAGTGGCCAGACAGGTGCACCACGTTGGACCCCGCCCCTCCACGCGAGGAAGGGGGAACGGGTGAGGGGTTTGGGGAGGGGACGTGTTACTGCCACGAATCGGAGTGCCAAAACAGCAGCTCGTATGGTTGCAAGATGCGCCTCGTCATACATCATCCAGCGTCTTTTGGCTGAAGGATCTACCCCTTTGGGGAACACTTCCGCTCGAACGGGCTGCAGCTATCCGGGGCCAGTTCCTGCGAGCCATCGAGCCATTCGCCGGAGGAGGGGAACCTTGCGCCCCTCTCGGTCGACACCCTTGAATGAATATTTGGGGGTGCGGATCTGCATGACGGCCGAGAGCTGTGTCTAAGTGGATCGTGGTGTTGCAGGGAAGGCACAGCGCCAATTCCTCATGGCTTGTGCCGCTTCTCGCGTGGTAGAGCCGGAGAATTACTAGTGTAGGTGTGTAAGATGTTGGGAGAACGAAGCAAGGACATAAATACGTCGTGCCCCTCCCAAGAGAGGCTCGTGTTTCCCCCCTGAGCTTATTCACTTCTTGTCTTCGTCATCGTTGCGTACAAGCCAACTCATCCCGCCCATACAATCCAAAGAGGCTTTAGACAAGCCCAGCACAGTTTTCCGAAACCAAACCACACAACTACTACATCTCCCTCTTCACTCTCTTCAAAATGGTACTACTTTCTCGTTCTGCCCCCTTACTGACCCGCTCCCTCGGTGCCACCGCCGCCGCCGCCGCCACACGCGCCCGCTGTTCCTCGCGAGCGTTGCACGGCTTGTCGGCCGCCCGGGCAACATCGTTGGCATCGTCGCGCTTTGGTGTCGCGGCGGCGTCGCAGCAGCCGGCACTTCTGCACCGAGGGGGCACGATGCTGGTGGGAAAAACCTCGACTAGAATGCTGACAACCGGGCGTGAAAAGGTCAAAGTCCTGTTGGTCCTCTACGACGGCAAACAACATGCCATAGATGTGAGTTACGAAACCCATCTTCCCTTTTTGTCTTGTTCATGCACCGTTATCCCATGTGGTCGTTCCCCTTTCTGCGTCCTCCCACATACGAGGCCTCTGGCCCAATTTCTGTGTCGTCTGGCAAGCCGCATTGAGAAGCAGCTCCCAGCTGAAAAAGGGGGGAGACGGCACGCATGTCAATGCGGGGTAAAAGGGGGGGGGGGGACGGGAAAAAGGGAGCTGGGCAATCTCAAGTCTCACTGCATCATGTTGGCTGTTCAAGCGGCAGTTGACGTCTGGTGCGAGGTCGCTCCTGCCTTGTCGGAGCCTCCTCGGGATTGTGGAGTTCTCCCAATACTTCCAGATTTTATTTATCGATGCAACAGAGTGGAGAACCGGAGCTGACCCACCATCGCCAATGACTAGGTTCCCGAACTCCTGGGCACTACCGAGAACGAGCTCGGCATCCGCAAGTGGCTTGAGGATCAGGGCCACACCCTGGTGACCACCTCCGACAAGGATGGTGAGAACTGCGAGTTCGACAAGGAGCTCGTTGATGCCGAAATCATCATCACCACCCCGTATGTTTGCGTCCCAGGAGCAATGAAGCCCGACACCCCACTTTGCCGCATCTTGACAGCCCGGCTAACATCCCTTTCCCTTTGGCCAGCTTCCATCCCGGCTACCTGACCGCCGAGCGCCTCGCCAAGGCCAAGAAGCTTAAGCTTGCCATCACTGCCGGTATCGGTTCCGACCACATCGACCTCAATGCCGCCAACAAGACCAACGGCGGCATCACCGTTGCCGAGGTGACGGGCTCCAACGTCGTCTCGGTCGCTGAGCACGTCATCATGACCATCCTGGTGCTGGTCCGCAACTTCGTCCCGGCGCACGAGATGATCCAGCGTGGAGACTGGAACGTCGCCGAGGCGGCCAAGAACGAGTTCGACCTCGAGGGCAAGGTCGTCGGCACCGTTGCCGTCGGCCGCATCGGCGAGCGCGTCCTGCGCCGCCTCAAGGCCTTCGACTGCAAGGAGCTCCTCTACTACGACTACCAGCCCCTGTCGGCCGAGAAGGAGAAGGAGATTGGCTGCCGCCGCGTCCTCGACCTCGAGGAGATGCTCGCCCAGTGCGACGTCGTCACCATCAACTGCCCCCTGCACGAGAAGACCCGGGGTCTGTTCAACAAGGAGCTGATCTCCAAGATGAAGCCTGGTGAGTCCAAAGACCCGTTCCTCCTCAGTCCTATTCCCATCCCCCAACACACACACGAGGAGGAGGATCCAAGAAGTCAAACCGCTAACCCGAATTCTCCCAGGCTCGTGGCTCGTCAACACCGCCCGCGGCGCCATCGTCGTCAAGGAGGACGTCGCCGAGGCCCTCAAGACCGGCCACCTCCGCGGCTACGGCGGCGACGTGTGGTTCCCCCAGCCGGCCCCCAAGGACCACGTGCTCCGGTACGCCAAGAACCCCTTCGGCGGCGGAAACGCCATGGTGCCCCACATGTCGGGCACGTCGCTCGACGCCCAGAAGCGCTACGCCGACGGCACCAAGAGCATCCTCCAGAGCTACCTGTCGGGCAAGCTCGACTACAGGCCCGAGGACCTGATCGTCCACCAGGGCGACTACGCCACCCGGGCGTACGGCGAGCGGAACAAGAAATAGATGTTTTGACGCGAGGAAACTGGGGCGCGCGTGTGTGGAGGAGGATGGTGACACGGAAGGAAATGATGAGGCCTGCCTCACTTGGCTGACAGGTTCTGTTGGCAAGGTGGATGGAAGAGACTGGACTGGCCTGGCCTATCTCGCGGATCGTCTTTCTCTCCTTCCCCTCTCTTGGGCTCTTATGGCCTTCCCAGCCTGGACAGGCGGAACCGCGACATGGTCGTGTCTAGGTTGTTTGAGACACAGTGGATGATGTCTAGCAGCAAATTGGCTGCGTATCCAATGTACATGAATTTGACGAAACATGCCGAAACAGCAGTGACCCGACTTTGATGATGATTAGTCTCGTGTGCAAACTTGAATGTATGTGCCTTGCTTCGCGTCGTTGACATTGGCCAACGAGAGCCCCTATGGAAGGAAATGTAGGTGGCACAAGGGCTTATGTTCCCGGGTCATTCACCCGCTATCGGAACGGAGGGCGGGCGGCTGGTCCAGTCGGCTCACGATCCCGAGGCCCTTGTCGGCACCTGTCATGGAATAAAGATCAAGATCTCCTGTATGCCATACGTTAGATACAGGCGTCATTACAAAAAAAGACTTAAAACGTTATGATATACAAATACACCAACCGCGTGTTTCCAACCGCATACTGATGATCAACGCGTGTAATCGCCGCCCCCCCAAAAAACAGCCACCGCCCCCCCCAAAAAAAAGGATATAAAAAAAGAACATCACCCACATCACCTCCGCCAGCGCCTCCAAAACTTCCACCACGGCCCGTCTCCCCCGCCGCCGCCGTCATCCGCGGCCATCCGGCGAGACTCGCGCTTGTTCGCGGCGCGGTCGCGGCCGGCGATGCGCCAGAAGTAGACGGGCACGCCGGCGATGACGAAGGCGACGACGGTGAGGGTCTGCAGGGGCTGGGCGAAGACGGCGCGGCTGAGGAGGAAGAGGCTGACGCAGCAGAAGACGATAGGGGTGGCGATCCAGGCGCGGTAGGGCCGCTCGAGCGAAGGCTCGCGGACGCGGAGCACGATGAGGCCCAGGACGGTCAGGAAGTAGAAGGTGTAGCCGGCGACGCCGTAGAAGGTCAGGAGCGTGGCGAACTCGCCGACGGCGACGTAGGCCGCCGTCAGGGCGCAGTTGAGCGCCAGCGCGTACACGGGCGTGAAGAAGAGGCCGTGGTCCTCGTCGCCCACGAGCCGCGCCAGCCGCCTGGCGAACCACGAGCGCGTCCGCACCGTTGAGAGAGAGGAGGCCCCGTCGGCCGCGGTGGCGCCGACGCCGATGCGGCCGAAGATGGACGGGATGTACCCTTCCTTGCCGGCGACGTAGACTAGCCGGCTGCTGGTAAAGGTGGTGCTGTTCAGGGCGCCGAAGCAAGAGGCGCTGACGATGAGGGCCAGGACGAGGGACCCGATCGGGCCGAAGACCTTGGCGCCGAACACGACTGCGACCGTATTGGTCGAGTTGATGGCGTCCAGGGGGAGGACGAGGAAGTAGGCTACGTTGGCAAGTACGTAGCTGATGATTACGAGCGGCATGGCTGTGTGGATGACCCGCGGGAGATCGCGACTCGGATTGCGGAACTCTCCAACCACGTAATTTGTCTGAACGCTAGTGTTAGCCGATCTACGCGAGGTAAGAAAAGGGAAAGGACGAGACTCACATTATCCCATCCATCATAGGCCCAGAGACCAGCATATAACGCCACAGCCCAAGCCGAAGCATCCATCTTCGTCCCTTCGAACCATTCGTGCGTCTTCCAGTCGAGGTTCGCCGTCCCCGAGAAAGAATGGCCGGTGATGGCGACGACGATGCCCGTAACCGTAACTCCAAATAATGCGACGAACTTTAGGAACATGAGCATGTCATTCGTGCGCGTGCCCAGTCGCGTCGACACGCAGTTCAAGAAGGTGACGAGGAAAAGCCCCGCCAAGGCCACCGACTTGCCGACCCAGGGGTTGATCGTCTCGGCCTCGGCACCGATGGCCGCCCTCACCAGGTATTCCCCCATGATGATGGCGATGATGGCGGCACTGCCAGGCTTAAGGACGAGTACGGCCACCCATGTAAACAAGAATCCGGACAGCTCTCCAAATATCTTGGAGAGGTAGACCTGCGCCCCTCCATTGAGAGGAATGGCGCCCCCAAGTTCGGCGTAGCTCGACGCCCCCGTCCAGGCCAATATCCCTGCAATCACCCATATGATAATGGCGGCCCCCGGTGATCCCACATTAGAATTAACTTGGCTCGGCGACGAGAAGATGCCGGACCCGATTATCAAGCCGACTATTAGCGACAGGCCGTTGAGGTATGTTAGGGTCTTGTATTTCTCCAGCGACCCCCCGCCGAGGCCGCTGTTGGGATTCCCAGCCGTTGTCGGGGCACCGATGGGGGCGTATCCGGCGCCGGTGGTGGAGGAGAGCGGGAAGAGGTTCGCAGCAAAATCGAAGGTCGACGAGACCGAGTACGAGCGGCCGTGGTAGTTGGGCCGGCCGGCGGCCGCCGGGTTCTCCGAGTCTAGCGGGTCATCCTGCTCGAGGGAGGCCTTACGCGAGGAGGATATGCTCGGCCGCGAGTCGGTCTCGGCCGTGTCGGCGCCCGGGCTTGAGCTTGCTAGCGAGGCGAGTTCGAGGGAGTCGCGGGGGTGGTTCTGGAAGTTGGACGAATAAAAGGATGACATCTGGAAGGATAAGTTGGAGGAAGCGCGAGCAGCTCGCGCGCGCGTCCCTACAACGTCGTCTATGCCCCGGATATTAGAGAGCACGTAGATACCATTCCGGTGGTATTTATGCCCCGACTGCGGCTCCAATCTCGTCCTGCGCTCGTGGCAAAGGAGAAGAATTTGAATAAGAAAAAGAATGCCTAATGATTCTATACAGGAATTTTATGCTAAAGGGGCAGGCATGTCGTTTGGGTGCCAGTTCCAACTTCCAAGGCTTCTGCAGTGGGGCTTGCCCAGGTAGGCTTAGTTATCTGCCAAAGTATACCACAGTAAACCTAATATCCTACCAATTATGGTTTGTGTTTCGAAACGGGCTATGATTCTAATGAAACGGTTTAGCTGAACCTGCATTCGTCATAGCACTGATCCTCAAGCGACAAAAACGACGTCTTCCTCTGCAATTGATTCTGTTCCCAGCCCAATCAGATTCTGAAAGCTCAATTAGTTGGCGCCAATTCCTTCCAACGGATATAGACGGACACCAATAGAGCTCAGAGACCTCTCCGTTTGCTTCAGGGGCCGCCCACTCTCCTGTCGTGGTGGACCGTCTAAAAAGTATTACTTTCATACGGACAGTGAGTATCATGAATCATGATGATCTTTTTACCAGATCTGTAAACTGGCGACCAACCCACGCGCAGTGACCTCGTCAACCTCTGGTTACCCGACGACAATACTTCAGAAAGAAGGTCGTAGAGCTTGTCAAACGCCCCTCGGTTGAGGAAAATCACCTGCATTGTACTCGCAGACCTGAGTCCCTGAGTGACTGTAAACTGTGGACACAGCTTGATGCTTCCGGAAATGGAGGGCAGTTTGAATGCTCTTTGAATGGTCCGTGCAAACGGTTTTTTTCCTTGGCAGGGTCTTGAGCCTTGCTGTTGGCGACTGCCAACCGAATACGGCAGGCTGGATCTCTTTAAGCTTCTAATTCAAGGGAGGAGATATCCTGACAATTACTGGCCAATTTGAGATAGGATGTCTTAAGCAGGGCAATTCTGGCTCTAATAACTTGTAAATCCGTCTCCGAGCGTTGGCGAGCACCACGTGAGCGTGACAGGGCCGGATGGGTTGTACCGTTGTGGCACGCTTGGCAAAAACGTCTAGGGCCCGCCGCAACGGACAGCTGACTATCTATCGATCGCATAGCTCGGATGAGCTCGACTCAACTGCCTCCGAGGCAATAATGTTTTCGTGATGCCGCTGCTCTATGGAAGATTTATAGCTCGGCCATTGCCTACGTCGAGCATTCAATGCTCAGCTGGGCTACTCGGTCTTTCCCTGCGATCGCCGCAATGGCCTCGATCCAGAGCTCCCTGTCCCGCTCCCCACGCCTTTATTCGCAGAAGCTACGCCACTAGCAAGTTCGACCTGCCCAGCCTCGACGAGAAATGGCGACGAAGATGGGATGAGCTGCGTTCCGACCCCAGCTCAAGAGCCAATGGCTCCAAGGACAGGCGATACATCCTGCCTATGTTCCCCTACCCTTCGGGTACATTGCATGTCGGACACCTTCGGGTCTATACTATCGCCGATGTCCTGGCTCGATTCAACACCCTTCAGGGCTACAATGTTCTCCTCCCAATGGGCTGGGACGCGTTTGGCCTCCCGGCCGAAAATGCGGCCATTGAGCGCGGCATAAACCCAGCTACGTGGACGAAGGACAATATTGCGAAAATGAAGGGCCAGCTTGACCAGATGAATGGGAGCTGGGACTGGTCGAATGTATGGTTTCTCTCTGTACCTTATCCATGCCAAGATAGAATGGAGCTGATCAGATCCCTTCCAGGAGATTGCCACTTGTGACCCCGAGTTCTACAAGCATACTCAGAGAATATTCCTCCTCCTGCACGAGAAAGGCCTTGCTTATCAAGCCGAAGCCGAAGTCAACTACGATCCGGTGGACAAGACCGTCCTGGCCAACGAGCAGGTTGATGCCGAGGGTTGTTCTTGGAGATCCGGCGCCAAGGTTGAGAAACGCCGGCTGAAGCAGTGGTTCCTTCGAATATCAAGCTTCCGGGAAGATCTCCTTCAGGGGCTACAGGGTCTGGAAACGAATGGCGCCTGGCCCGAGAGGGTCCTGGCTATGCAGAAGAACTGGCTCGGGAAGTCAACCGGCGCAATGATAAAGTTCCCAATTATAGCCTTCAAACACGAGGTTGGCGCCGCCATCGAGGTTTTCACGACCCGGGCAGACACCCTGTTCGGTGTGCAGTACCTAGCTCTTGCCGCATCCCATCCAATTGTTGCTACCTTGGCCGAGAAGGATCCCGAGCTACAGGCATTTATCGACACGTTGCCTGGGCATCCTCCTGACTCAAAAGTCGGATATATGTTGCCTCACATCAGGGCGATAAATCCGCTCGCGTACCACGAGGAATCACCGGAAGCTATTAAGCAGTCCATCCCCGTCTACGTCGCTTCGTATGTGCTCGGCGACTATGGAGAAGGGGCTGTGATGGGTGTCCCCGGCCATGACCACCGAGACTTTGCTTTTTGGAGAGAGCACCATTACGATGAGCCCATCCGCGTTGTTCTCGCCGCATCGGACGACGAGTCCACCACAGCCATGCTTAACAAACCGTTCGTTGAACATGGCGTGATGACCGCGCACAGTGGGCCATTCAAGGGCAAGACGTCGAAAGAAGCCGGCCAAATTCTGGTCTCCATGCTTGAGGCAGTACAACTGGCGAAGCCCGAAGAAAAGTGGCGGTTGAGGGATTGGCTTATAAGTCGCCAGAGATACTGGGGGACGCCCATCCCAATCATCCATTGCGGCTCGTGCGGAGCAGTTCCAGTCCCGGCGGACCAGCTTCCCGTCAAACTACCGGCGGTCGACGAACACTGGGCCGAACGCAAGGTGGGTAACCCCTTGGAGTCCCTCCAAGACTGGGTGAATACCTCCTGTCCCAAGTGTGGAGGCGCTGCCAAGAGGGACACCGATACCATGGATACATTTGTGGACTCGAGCTGGTATTACATGAGGTTTGTCGATCCTCACAACAAGGATGCTCCCTTCTCCCCCGAGCAGGTGCGGGAGCTGCTCCCCGTGGATATTTACGTCGGCGGCATTGAGCATGCAATCCTGCATCTCCTGTATGCCCGCTTCATCTACAAATTCCTGATGGCGAGTCCCTTGGCCTCGGACGGAAATGGCCAGGCTGGCGCAGTCCATGAGCCGTTCAAGCGGCTGATAACTCAGGGGATGGTCCACGGCAAGACTTACACCGAACCATCAAACGGCAGGTTCCTCAGACCAGACGAGGTCGAGTTGAACGATCCGGAAACCCCAAGGGTTGCGATGACCGGCGAGGCGGCCAATATCAGCTACGAGAAGATGTCGAAGTCCAAATACAATGGCGTTGATCCTACCACATTCATCGCCGAGCACGGAGCAGATTCGACGCGCGCGCACATGATATTCCAAGCGCCGACCAGCGACCAGCTCAACTGGGACGCGGAAAAGATATCGGGCGTTACACGCTGGCTCCACAAGGTCCACGATCTGGTCCTCAAAGTTAAGGAGATCCCGGCAGACCAGACCAGCAAGTCGGCAAGGGAATACCTCGAAGAATCCGCGGCTAGGCTTGGCTCCTCGGGCGAGGCGGAGCTAGCGCAGTGGGATGCGGACGCGGCGGCGTGGCTCGACGTGCAGAAGACAATCGAGTCGGTCACGGCGTCGTACAGGAAGGTCACCTCGCTGAACACGGTCGTTTCCGATCTGATGAGCCTGTCAAACACCATAGCCGCCAACGGGAACGCCCACCCCATCATCCAAAGGGAGGCTGTCGTCGCGATCCTATGCATGGCTGCTCCAATCACTCCTGCGTTCGCGGAGGAGTGTTGGAGCATTTTATACCCGGCGTCCAGGTCCATCTTCCAATCCGTCTCATTCCCGGTCACCGACGGGACTGCCCCCATGCTGCAGCCGCGGATGCAGCCCTGTGCTGTGCAGGTGAACGGGAAGCTCAGACTGGTGGTTGATATACCGAAACCCGCGAGCTTGCAAGGCGACGAGCTGAAGGACTGGGTGGTGGAGCATGTCACCATGACGGATGAGGGCAAGGCCAAATTGTTGGACGGCGCCATCGACATCCGGTCAGCGAAGAAGGTCCTCGTTGTTAAAGAAGGCAGGCTCGTGAACTTTGTACTATAGCCACGGAAACTGAGACTGTACGATATGATACCCTGGGCTCCTGTCCACGCAGACGGGATATAGATTGTACATGTACAACAATACAAACATATACACGACTCTTTCTATCTTACCATTTCCTTTCACATAACATGCTCTGCCTTCTTATACATCAAAACAGACCTCTCATGCCCGCTCCCCCTGACAACCACCTCCTCCCCACCAACCGTCACCGAGCCCGCCTCCCCCGCCTCCGGTACAGCATCCGGCCAGTCACGCCAGATCTCCACCACATAACCAGCGAGATAGGCATGCCGCCCCGCCATGGCCATCGCCGCGACGCGCCTCGCCTGCGCCGACCCGCCCACCTCGAACAGCATGATCCCGGGCGGCGGGCCCATGGCCCCCGCGACCTCCAGCAGGCGGGCGTAGAAGACGTCCTCGGGATACCCTTCTCCATCCCCGGGGTAAGGGCGGGGCCCAGGCACCTGCGCCAGCGCGGGCTCGTGGTTCCGCACCGACCGCGCCGTGTCGCGCGCGAAGCCCGCGGCCGAGACGTACGGCGGGTTGCTGACCATGACGTCGCATCGCCGCCGCCACCGGTCTCGGTCGCCATCGACGACGGTGGCGCTGTCGAAGAAGACGTCGCCGAGGTCAAACCGGATGGTGGAGGTCTGGTCTGGACCACCCGAGGAGGAGGGGCCGGGCATGAGGCCGCGGGCGACGTTGTGCCGGGCGTTGTCGCGCGACAGGGCGACGGCGCGGGGCGAGATGTCGACGCCGCGGACGTGGAGAGACGGGAAGGTGGGGGGGTGCAGGAGGGCGTAGAGGAGGAGGGCGATGCAGCCTGTTCCGGAGCAGAAGTCTGTGATTCGCAAGCCCTGGGTTTTGCAGTCCTTGAGCTGTGCGGCGAAGTATCCTGTCTTGATTAGGTGGGCGAGGTAAGTGGTGTAGGCCTCCGGTTCTGGCCTGTGGGAAACGGCATTAGCAGAGATATCCAGGGTTCCTGTGCCTGGCAGCTGGTTTGCTCACCTGGGGATCAGGACCCCTGGACGGCACCTGATATCCAGTCGCCCAAAAGGCTGTGTGCCCATGACATATTGGAGGGGAATTCCCTTGCCCCTTTTCTCGCACAGCTGGCGTAATCTGAGTTTCGGGGGGATCAACGAAGGGGTTGACTGCACATGTTCACGAATCCATCGCAGCTCTGTCAAGGCTGAAGGGAGGTCTCTGCAGGCAGGTAGCAGTGTGGCTGCGTAGGGAGAGATGTTCTGAGCTCTCCTTACGAGGGAGGGCGACACCCTGGGCATTGACACGGAGCGTCGTTCCCGCCCAGCGGACTGACAAATGTAAAGGGGTTTCTAATGCCCTGTTACGATTTATGCCAGCAAGAAATCATCTTAATCAGGTTTATATCGTAAGGACATGCATCGCCTGTCTGGATCACATATATGAATACCTCGTAAGAACTAATCCGACGGGAGCGACTCCCATATAAACTTTTATTTCCGCCCCCACTAGCCTGACCAGGCGTGGCTAATAAATTGACGAGGTCTAAGCCTCATTTGGTTAGACAAAAGGCGATCAGCTCGAATTGAAGCTATACAGAACCAATCCTTTTCCATCGCGGACATACACAAATACATCTTATCTCTCAATCAAGCACCCTAGATATTCTCGCCATCTCCATTCAGAGGTTTAGCGTTCCCAACTACCAATCCGCCGCCATGCCTTCCGCAGAAGAAATCGCATCGAAATTGGCGGAAAATCTCCGCACTGCATACTGCTGGTTTATCTACGCGCCTGGGCGTGTTCCTCACCCATACCCCCTACAGCACGAGTTCAGACGGAGAACACGCTTTCTTTGTTGTCTCCGGGGAGTCGGGCACCATCTTGATAAGTCACTCGCGTAGATGCTGCACTTCTGGCTCAAGGACAACGCCACAAGGAAAACTCCGCAAACGCCGTAAACAGGTCCTCCTCAACCGGCTTCACAGCCAGATCGGTCCAGCCCTCGGTCCACCATTCGTGGTGATTTGCCACGCCGTAGAGCATCTTGCAGTACTCCCAATACTCGGGATACCAACCCGCCTGCTCCCAGTCTATAATACCCACAATCCGATAGGACCCGGACTCGTTCGACACGATAATATTCCCAAGGGTGAGGTCGCCGTGGGTAAAATAAATATTCCTGGCGTCCGGGATGGAGTCTCGGAGCTCTCGGTAAGGCTCCGGGTAGATGAGCTCCTCCCCGGGGCCGGGCCTCTGGCGCGTGGCGGCGGCGTACAGCCATTCATTGAAGGCCTTTATGGTGAGGAATGGGCCTTTCCTCGTAATCGAGCTGAAAAAAGCGGTCTTGGACCGTCCCTCGCCTTACGAATCCTAGGCAGAACGAACGGAGCGACGGGGCTCAGCGCTAGTCGGGCGGATAACGAATTTTGAAAGTAATTATAATACCATACCAATGAATGGGCCCGATGAGCCCGGAGTAATCCGTCTCAATGCCGCCGCAATGCCTCCGAGCTGGCCGGATATCGACCTCTTGTCTTCCGTGGTGGGGGATTTCCAGGTCTGGTGCAGCGTCTGTTCGGTGACTAGGCTCATGTAAAGAAAGGTGAGGTCGCCGTATATTCTCCAGCCGAAAGCCTCTGGGACGGGTACCTCACCGCCAGGAAAGGCCTGCGTAACAGCTCGCAGACATTGTGCCTCTTCTAATCGAAGATAACTCGAGCCTTTAACCTTTACAACCAGGTTCAAATGTTCGAATTTCACGACACCATGTCCCAGATTCGGGTGGTGCCTGAGGATTTCGGCGGGTGTTGGCAGCTGAGGCGGTGGACCGGCGTCCGTGGACCAGAAGAAAGAGGTGTCGTGAAAATCCTGTTCTACGACGGAGATGTCGGGCAAAACGGGTAATGTTAACGGTCGGCTGCACGCCGGTTTGTTGCGCCATGATGTGGATTTGGCACGCGGAGCCGGTGTTTCGTGTAGGTACATACTTATAGGACAGTAATACATGCTAATTGTGGCCCTGTGAGAGGTCGGCAATCGAAATTCCATTATCGAGGATGTGGGGCTCGGTTAGATGCATTATGGAGCTCTCTCGGAGCAGTGTCTTCGGTCGCCGACATCATCAACCAAGGTCCTAGATGGCAGCAGGTTATTAACACAGTTGGGCGCTCTGGACTTCCCATCCAACATGCAACGTCTGATTCCAAGCAGACAGCCCTTCCGATCTGCAGGAGACCTTCCCGTCCTTCTTCCGTGCCAATGGTATTCCTCGCCAGGGTTTCGCGAGCATGCGCAAGCCCCATAGTTGCTGCCGCTTCGCGAAGGCGCCTCAGTACGAAGCCGCCCGCTTTTCCAACCATCCAGACCTGTCCTGCGCCGACATGTCCCTGCGCCGCGACTCCCGAGATGCCCGAGGGGCTCGAGATCGATCAGAAGACTCCCCTGAACGGCCTCATCTCCAATTATGCCCAGCATGTCCTCGTATGCACGGGCAAGGACGATTGGCCGTCGAGGATAGAGGAGGAAAACAGCGGCGACAATCTGGCCGCGGACCTGCGGGAGCTCGTTGGCCGCGGGGGCGTCTACAACGACGTGAGTTGGGAAAGAGTCGATTACCAATATTACAAGGTTACTTTTGAGCTAACGGCAACCACTCCAGCCTTTCAATAACATCTCTGTCCTGAACTCGTCTTTCCCGTCCTCGGTACCCCAGCGAACGGAGCTGCAGACGGCATCCGTATACATGCTCCCTGCCTTCAAATACGTCCCCTTCATCCCGCGCGTGTCCTTCGACAGCGTCGAGGCGCTGGCCAAGGGCTACCTCCTCCCCGAGAAGCTGCACTCCGCGCATGACGGGCTGTCGCCGATCCACCGGGACAGGTTACTCCGGAAGCCCGCCTACCAGAGCTTGCTGTGGGGCGTGCGGGATGTAGACGACATCCTGGTGCTGATATGCGGACACGGCGGGAGGGATATGCGGTGCGGTGTCATGGGTCCTGCGCTACGTCAAGAGTTCGGTGACAGGCTCCCCGAGCGGGGCATCGAGGTCCTGTCCGGCCCGGTTGAAGCCGAGGTGCCAAATGCGGGTGCTATCGCGGGCGATGTTTCCAACCGCATGTACACGTCCCGAATCGGCCTGATCAGCCACATTGGAGGGCATAAATTTGCGGGTAACCTAATCATCTACTTGCCGCCACACCTGAAAACAGAAGATGGATCGGCACACCCGCTGGCTGGTCATGGGGTCTGGTACGGGAGAATTGAACCGAGACACGTCCAGGGCCTGATCAAGGAGACGATTCTGAAGGGTAACGTCATTGCGGAATTGTTCAGGGGGGCTATTAAACGATCCGGTGAGATCCTGAGGTTATAGAATGTATAGACTTACAGGTAGAGGAGGCTGGGAGGCGTCCCTTTTAACCCTGTACAACCTAAGCCTTCAATCTAGGAATATATTCATAAAACAAGGGCACGACGAGTTGGCCGGAAGATGGGGCATTCCTGTTACTTGCACTGTACCCGTTATAACGATATTTATTTCCCTGCTAAAAATACGTTCTCACGACTTCTATTCCACAGCCAAGAGAATTGTCCGACACGCGGCTTTGGAGATAAATTTTACAATGGTTGGGATGTCATGACATTAGTATGAGCCCAAGGTATTTGTGTATGAGATTCCCGCCGAGAGAGGGGCTGGAGGTGGTGATGGGAGTCCGGGGAGTGAGACCCTCACCACTGGGTTGGATTGAGCTTCTCATCCCCAATTCAGTCCATCACCGATGGCCATCAGCAAGACAGTTGCCTGTCACACAGCGGGGATGGAGGTGCCTGCATACGACGCGGCACTTGTACCGCCCTCAAAACCCTCAAGGATCCCGAGAGTTTGGGAAAGGGCCGGACCAAGGCTCTAGCCAGAGTTCCCAGAGAGCCACCGCCCATACCGCCTGGAAGCTCATACGCCGGACGGTCCAGGGCATCCTCCTCCTCCTCGCATTCAACATCACCAGCGACGCCACCGGCCTCAGCACCACCATCCTCTCCTGGGTGCGCGGCCGGCCGCTCAACCAAGACTCCTTCGTCCCCTTCACCATCGTCTCGAAGGAGCAGATCTCCCCCACGGCCTTCATCCTGACCGTCCGCCCCAAGCACAGCGGGCCCCCCTCTCGGCTAACCACCTTCTTCCTCGCCACGCACGCCGACTCCCCCGCCACCCTCCTCGACTCCCCCGTCCCCCGGTTCCGGTTCTACTGGCCCCTCTTCCTCCGCCTCGCCCACTCCAGCGGACCCGCCATCTCCGCCGCCCGGTCGCACGGTCTCTGGTCCGTCGAGGTCCGCCAGCCCCAGCTGCAGGTGGCGCGCGAGTACACGCCCCTACCACCCCTCAGCCCCTCCGAAGGCGCAGAGTCCGACGACGACGGCTCCCTGCGCTTCCTCGTCCGCCGCCTCGCGGGCGGCGAGGTCTCGTCGTACCTGGCCGGCCTGCGCGTCGGCGACGACGTCGACCTCCGCGGGCCGCACCTCGGCTACGACGTGCGGGCCCGCCTCGGCGGTGCCGGTTCCGGTGCCGGTGCGAGAGGCGGAACGGTCGTCTTCCTCGCCGGCGGGACGGGCGTCGCGCCGGCGTTGCAGGTCGCAAGCGCGCTCCTGGACGGGGATGGGGACGATGGGGATGCGAAACCCACCGTCTCGATCGTCTGGGCCAACCGGCAGCGCCCCGACTGCAAGGGCTGCGACGGAGAAGGAGAAGGGAAGTTGAACGGGGGAAATGGGAGGAACGCAATCGTCGCGCAGCTCGCCGACATGCAGGCGCGGCACCCGGGCAGGCTCACGGTCCGGTGCGCCGTCGACGAGGAGCGGACCTTCATCACCGCGGCGGACGTCACTCGCGCCGCCTCCTCCTCCTCCTCCTCCTCCTCCCCCGCCCCCGCCTCCGCCTCCGCCTCCGCCTCCGCCGAGTGCCGGCTCCACGCCCAGAAATGGGTCGCGGCTCGACCCGCGAGGGAAGTCCCCGGGGAGGAATGCGCCTGCGCAACCCCCGGCAACAACAAGAATAAGAAGAACCTCCTCTTCGTGTCTGGGCCGGATGGGTTCGTGGAGGCGTATGCCGGCCCCAAGAGGTGGGCGGGGGGCCATGAGCTGCAGGGCCCTGTGTCGGGACTGCTTGGTCGGCTGAGGAGGCAGGACCCCGAGTTATGGCGGGACTGGCTTGTTTTAAAGCTGTGAGCACGTTACGCACGCGCACATACGCAATTTGCAAGGTTTATGGGGATGCGGGTGAGGGGGTTGTTTCTGGGCTGGCGGCTGTTGCCTCGAGTTTCTGTATAGACTGCATGATATTGTAATACCAAGAGTGCAAATCACATGTGTATGCCTTGCGTCCATGGTATTGTGTCATTGCAATGTAGAGCTACAAAGATGACTACACTGATACTTCATCCCACGCCGTCTTACACACGAGTTGTGACAAATGCCCTCCCCCAACGCCGTACGATGCAATGATATCGTGAAATACGAGACCCGCTCATATGCCCTGGACCTTTCTATACGACGGAGGCTTCATCGTCCTGCTGATGAGTTTCCCAGCGTAGGGGGGGATCAGAGAGACAGCCGCGATCGCAGAGACGCGCCAGAGGAAACCGCTGGTCCCAACCCATTAGAAACCTAACTGCTGTTAAGGAGTGAGGGCCCGGCACTTACAGCGTGAGGATGAACTCGAGATCGAAGTAGGTTCCGAGGAACGGGACCGACCCGACGAAGACGAGGAAGGTGCCGACAATGGAGAGAGCCATGACCCAGTGCCACGTCGTGATCTCGATGGCGACCATGAGCAGCTCGTTAAGGACCAAGACTATGTAGCTGACGGTCACCATCCTCTTTCCGTCGACCTCGGTCAGGATCTGCGAGAGACCCTGGATCATGCTCCCTTGGTAGATGGACACGAAGACCCAGACGAAGAAGGTGCGGTAGGAGAGTGACCGCCCGGACGTGAGCTCCTTGTACAGCTCGGGGTAGAGATTCGCAAGATTCTCATCGACATCCTTGTCCAAGACGAGAGACAAGACGGGGGCTGCCGTGTACACGGTCGCGTAGCCGACGAGAAGCCAGTCCTGGACACTGGTTAGCAAGAGAAAAGTCGAGATGTGAGATTTGACATGAGCATGGGACCAACCTTGTAGAGTCCTTCGGGCTCAAAGTTCAGGGCGATGCTATACATGGTCTGACACACAGCGATGATCAAGCCACGATGGATGACGAACTGGGCAAGCTTGGCGCTCCTCTTGTAGCTGTTGCGGCCATGCCACACCAGGAGTTTGGTCAGGTGGTGGAACTGCTCGATGGAAAAGTCGGCCGCGAGACTGGCCTGCCGTCCTTCCTTGCCGACGATGCCGACGCCGACATCAGCTGCCTGGATCATGGAGACGTCGTTGCCGCCGTCGCCAATGCAGCACACCCGCTTCTTCGTGTATTCCTTGATGAGCTTCGCCACCTCGGCTTTCTGCATGGGCGAGCATCGGCAAGCAACGACGGCGGGGAGTTGGACTGCAACCGAGATGAACTCGACCCTGAGGTGGGTCAGGAACAGATTAAGGCTTTCCCCGTCGATCAACAGGCAAGCGTCGGTCTTGCTCCTAAGGAAGTCTAGGTGGTCCTGGGCCGCCGCCCTCCCCTTGAGCTTGGCAATTGTGTAGATGTACTGGCCACGCGCGACCAACCTCGAGCTGACAGCCACGCACCTTGCCGTCTCGACCTTGTCGCCGGTCAACATCCAGATCTTGATGCCGGCATTGCGGAGAAGTTCGAGAGACGGCTTGACGTCCCTCTGGAGCTTGTCCTCGACTCCTGTAACACCCAGAAGCTCGAGGTCGTGCTCCAGATATTGGGAGACGACAAACTGCATGCTCGAGTCTCGGCCACTGATGGCTAGGGAGGCTTCCTGGTACTTTGACGAGAACTCCCGGTACTGACTCGGGGATAGGCGTTTCCGTCCGACCACCAGAGTGCGGAGGCCCTCGCGAGCCATGTTCGCCGTCTCCTCGTCGAGCCAATCGTTGGCTGCGACGATGGAACCCATGACAGTATCGGCACCCTTCTGGTAGAACCATATCTCGCCACTGTCAACATCTGGGAGTCGAGACTGCGAGTGTTCGTAGAACTGGACAACGATCCCCATTCGCTTCCCCTCCGAAGTGAAGGGGAATACGTCAAGTATCCGGACTTGGACAACCGGTCGGCTAGTTTCCGAGGATTCGAGGAGCATTCCCCGGCGGTCTCTGTGAGTCAAACGTAGGCCAACAGATTCGGTCCACCTGACTATGGCAATCTCATCCGGGGATGACGCTTGATACGAGGTGACGACCTTCCCATCTTCCTCCTCGGTGGTTGGAGTAACGTTGTGACATAGAGCTAGCGCCAAGACGACATCGCGCACCCGAGAGCCAATTTCCCGACGTGTGCGCGTGGCTCCCACATTGGCGGTCGCAGAGAGCGCCGAGGATGGCGTGACCAAAGATGAGCTGGTCCCCGGGTCCGCTGGAGAGAGGGAGAAGCCCTGCTTGATGTAAGTGGAAACTTCGTCCATCGCATCGTTGGCGTACGAGACGGTTCCGACGTGTATCTTCTTCATCTCCATCTCGTTTTGCGTCAAGGTCCCCGTCTTGTCACTCAGGAGGTATTCGATTCGGCCCAGGTCTTCTGGTATTGTACTGGTCCGCACAACGGCACCTGGAATGCCCGGATCACGCTGAATGAACCACGAGTACACGCTCTTTCCAAGGTCCAGGTTCACCCGGAGACTGATGGGCACGATCGTGGAGAACAAGACCAGGAACCTCATGATCTTGATATACCACACGTTGCCCTTCGTGCTGCCAAAACCCTCCAGGGCAACCAGGATGATGGAGAGGCCCAAGGTCAGGAAGCAGAGGATTTTGGTCAGGGAGTTGATTTCATATTCCAGAAGACCCGTCTTCGACCGCGACGGTGACGTTGAGAGAGCTGATCGGGTTTGGGGGCCCGTGTAGGCAATCACAGCCAGAGTCGTTGCCTGGGATGCAATAACCGTATTGGCCCACGCAGTGTTATCAATCGACAAGGGTGCCGAGCTGGTGTGATCATTGCCTGTGGCATCATCAGATGCGCCCCCAGCGATGGCATCCTGTCTTGAAGGGACCAAGTCGATTGTTCCCGCAAACTCGTTGACCTTCCTATCCGGCTTCCCTCCAGTAACACGCAGGCGAATCAGCTCCTCTACTGGCAGGTTTTGCGACAGGGGAGATGCCAGGCGCAACTTCCAGTCCGTCTCGCCGTCCAACTGGTCCGTTCGGATGAACGTCTCGCCCGTCGAACTCCCCTCTGCGCCGGGTTGGGTTTCTTCGTTTCCGCCGCTATTTGCTGCCGAAGTCGCCTCATCAGACTGGCCAACATGGTCAACTAAGAGCGGCTCGTCCTCCTTTGGGGGTTCTTCCACGGCCGCCATCGGATTCGACGACTCCTGCGCTAGACATTTTAGAATAATAACGTCTGCTGGCACACGCTGCCCTTTGGTGAGTTTTAGCACGTCGCCGACTTTGAGGTCGCGCGACTTCCGACTGATCTCGTTGACGGAATATGGGGGCTGCCTCCAGGTGCCGTCGGCCTCAATCTGCTCCTCCTCTTCCTGGATATCCGACAGGCGGTCTCTCTCCTGGGTCCTCCTTTTTGACCCCTTCTTTATCGAGGCCGACTTCAACTTCTTGTTGGGCCGAGTGGATAATACCCGGCTGCCGGGCTCGACGAACTGCAGAATGGTGTATTCTTCAGAGTTGGCCTCGTTATCTCTCCTGCGCCTCTCGATGTCGTCGTAAGCTTCTTTTCCGAGAGTGATAACCAATACAAAGGCCAACGGTGCGATGTATGTGGACAGGTATCCTATCCTCAGCTGCGGTATCGCCTGTGATAGGGCAACCAGGAGGAAATACATGTTGAAGAAGAAGGAGAATTCGTTATAGAGGGTAACAGGTAGGAAGCTGAGCGGTGTGTATTTCGCATTCGATATGGTGTTCGGAGGGAAGCGCGTCGATTGGACGGCACCCACTACCACGACTCTGGAAGATGACGGGTCGTCTTCATCCTGGTCGTCGCTCTGATCGTCCCTTTGCTCTCCCCCCCCCCCGGACATGAAGCTCGGCAGCCGTAAACTGGTTGCCAGGCCCCGAAGGCTCTCGTTTGTGAACGAGCGGCGCCTCCTTCCCCGGCCGCCATGCCCACTGAGCAGAGGGGCGTCGTCGTCACCGCCACCTCCGCTGCCATCCGAGTAGCGCGACACATACCCTTCTCCATCTGCTAGGTGCGCTTCTGAGCCCTCGCCCTCGTCCTGCCCATCCCTGCCTTGACCCAGCTCTCCATATTCCCTGTTGCGATTCCCAGTTCGTCGTAGACCACCCATACGAAGTTTGCGCAGAGCTATTCTGGGAGCCGGCTGTTCAACGGTATTGCGGTCGTAGCCCAGAAGCCCAGGACCCCGCCGCTCGCGAGAGTTGCCCGTACTGGTCGTAGTTGGGTCGAGCTCCTGAAGATCGATTTCGAGGTCTGAGTCGGAATCATCGGCCGGGGATTCGGGCGGCTTCGTCGGGTAGTTGTAGGTTGGAGGAGGCATCCCGCATCTGGGCCGACGCCCTCCAAACTACCCAGGCTGATGGGGACGGTTGAAATTCAAAGACAAGTCTGCCCCTCTGACACGCAGCTCTTCCCAAGGAGAGATGTTGTGGCTTAGATGGTCAACGCCCTCTCTCTGTCTCTTCTAGGACTGCACGTTCGTAGTCGTAAGCTGCTAGATACATACCGTGATCACGAGCCAGCCAAATAGGCCACCTATGACGACGGATGCTCGGCGCAAGTCGAGGTACTAGCAACGCCGATAAGAAACGTAATTGTGATAAGGTTCGTTTAGGGGTTTGGGTGCCAGAATCGACCGGCGAGTCAAATTACAGTTCAATCGCCTCTGAAAGGGAGTACCTATCTTTTGCTCTTTGAATAAAAGGTAAGGCAAGGGCCACCGAAGTGGAGGGAGGTACGGAATACATACCTGCTTGATTACCTAGGTACCTAAGGCAGCCTATGGGAACCACCTACGGATGTAATGTTACCTGGAATCAGGTACCGCCCGTGCGTCTCGACCCATGAGGACAGCTTTTCTTTTTGTCAATGCACCTCCGAAGCCTGCCATCTGCTCCATCTCAAGGTCAACTCTTCTTGATAGATAAATACCTTTAGGTCTTCCCCACTTCTCCCACCTGGGGACGATCGATTGATTTTCTTCAAAACCCTCGCTAAATACCTTCACCCTGCTCAACGGGCTCTCCCTTTCTACAACCGCAATTACCAGCTGGCAAGCTTTTATCTTGACATGTCGAAGAGACAGGGCGATAATGCCTTCTGTGGACGAATGCTTCGCAGCGCCAAAACAGCAAGAACTAGTAGCTCCTGGGCTTCGTTACCTGTGGAGATCCGTCTTATGATCCTAGAGGAAATTTTGCGCCAAAAGCATCGCGGCTGGGCTTCTTCGGCGGCTGTTTGCAAAGAATGGCAGGTCTTTGTCGAACGCAAGAACTTCCACCAACTAAAATTACAGGCATCATGCCTAGAGGAACTCGAATACATGGCTACCCGACAAAGGGATCTTGTTCAATATATCTGCCTGAATATTGAGCTTCCACGATATACCTGTCGCTGTTGTCAGCAGATGGAGTCACAATCATGGACGTCACGACATAGCTGTATTATCAGAGAATATCCTGAAGCTGTTTTCTGTTCTTAGCACATGGCAGCCCACAGGCCGTCTGATATTAGAGCTAAACGCCTATTCACCCAGCGACTCAGAACACTGGTTCAAAAACTATCATTTTGGACTTGAGCATGAAGATCGCGGAGATTTGGTCCACCAGCAGGAAGCTACCACTAGATGTCATGACCCAAGTCACGGCTGGGTCAATGGCCAGCAGGTCGAGGCTCCTTGTGCGCCAGCTATATTGCGACTCTTCTCCACGCTCTGCTTAAGCCTCCCGAAAAATCTCCCCGAGGTTCACGCAGTTACCGGGCTTGTGATACGTCGACAAGTCCGACGTCAGATTTCTCCGGCGGCATTGCGGCTCTTATGGGAGAGACTCCCTCGACTGGAAAATATAGTCTACGAGCCATGGCGTGTTTGGCTGCGGTCGTGGAAGATCACGTACGATAAGGGTATGTTACATACTGTATCGACCGCCTGTTCGATGGTCTTCTAATACCTCGATAGAACTGGCCTCGGTCATTCAGGACGCTCTACCGAGCCACGTTAGAACAGTATCCATCTTTGAGGATTCCAATGACCAGCTTGCGTTGGCACTACGCAGCAATACGCCGTACTTGGGCCTTATAGATACTAACCCGATCGCAGACCTCATGCTGGTTAGAGCCTTCGCCTCGAAAAGACGTGACTTTGAACATCTTTCAATTTCATATATGATCGATGCTCAGCAGTTTTTCCACTCCTGTCAGCCATCTTATACCTGGCATCACCTACAATCATTAATACTCACATCATCAATCTTAACACACACAGCTTCTCAAAAGGAGTTTGCTACATCATTACATAACGCTAGTTTAGCTGCGCTAAATATGCCGCAGTTGACAAGTATGGTATTATGGAATAGTAAACAGGGAGAAGCATGTGCGGTCATTTATCATTGGGGGAAGGCAGTAGGCAAGCTACTCTTACATGGCGTGGTACATGGGATCTTGAGCTCAGTCATGATGTGGTTGAGTCCTGGCAGAAGGTTGCCTCTGATTTCTACCACCTACAGATCAAGAACGAACGAGTACAGGGTGTTATCAACTCCCATGGCGATGCCGTTTACCATTTGCGCTTGCCAGGTGGAGTTATTGATCCCGTATCACTGTGGCAGATACGTCAGGAGGGTATGATGTAAAGAATGGCCTGATCAGTGGTTCTGCCTCCTTGTTCGATCGGCTTCCCACTAGGGAGTATGGCGTCTGGCAGTCTCGTTCACGTGCTACCATTGAAAAGGATCGGAGAAGGCACGATCGATGACATGGTCGAGGCACTGAGACGATTTGAGAGGCGAGGTGTAAGATTCTGAGTACCGACCTATTCATTCTTACAGATGTGGCGACTGAGGACACTAAATGTACAAAATCAGACTTATTCCAAAGTCGCCAGAAGCTGGCTTCAAATTCCGGACCATTACAGGCAGTAGAGCCTGTATTTGTAGTGTAAGGGCGGTTCTTAGTACGATTTTGTGGTGGTTGACTAGGTAATTGGAAAAGAGCTTGGCTCCGCGGGCAGGGGCATTTTGGCTACGCAGTATTCAGGCAGGGGTCAATGCTGGACAGGGGTTCCGGGCCGCCAAAAATCTTCGGACAGTTGGACCATCAAAAGACCAGCTGCCAGCCACGGAACAAGCGACGGGAACGGCGACGACGACGGTAACGGCAACGGCGACGGCAACGGCGACAGCAAGAGCAATAGTGACAGCGACGGCTAGCCAAATGCCCCTACCCTAACAGTTAAATGCCCCTGCCTAAATAGCTGAATGACCCTGCTCAAATACCTACCTAACCGCCCCTACCCGCATAGCTAAATGCCCCTGCCCGCGGAGACAACCTCTTGGAAAAATAAAGTGAAGCCAAGACCAGCCTGCGAGGTAACTATGTAGCTGGAGGTGTGTCGCCTGTTGTAATGCAAGTGCTGGATAAACTATGCACGTACAGTAAACTTCGAGAAATACATATGCCTCGCCGAAAATGCACTTGTCGAGGGTTTTTGGGGGTTCCGGGAAATGGTGGGTCTGACAAAGATCCCCGATTGCTGGGTTAAACCAAGCCTGCCAGATTGTCGTCACAGTTGCCAGCTTGCAAGTTCTAAAAGGAGGAGGAATCGAATCGACGAATTCTTGCCATCAACTTTCCTAGTCGTTCAAGATGATCGGCCTTTAATAGCGCTCCTTTTCTTTGTTCGAGACCTTTGTACTGTACAAGTACGTACGACTTCCTTCCCTAGCGTTCGCCTTCCCGCAAGCGCAGATGTTGGCCATCGCGTGCTCGCGATTGCCTCATTTCTGCGAGGCGACCCTTTCCCGCCTCATTGCTGACTCGCCCCACAATTAGTACTCTTCTTCGGCCTCCATCTCCTTGAGTACGACTTCGTTTCTTGCGTCTGTCTAATACAGCAACCATGTCATCCGATGCTCCACACGCATCATGGCATCCGGCGCTGATGCCGAACGTCGCGCCGACCCCTAATCGGAGACCATCCCTGCCTCCCCCGAATCCGCCCGACGACCAAGCACCCCGAGATATCGAGCCGGTTATCGACAGCCCCGAACCAGTTGTCGACAACTTAGAAGAGCCCGTCGAGGAAGTGCACGACAAAAGCATCGGCCCCGATGCCTGGTTTCCCGAGTACGAGGCAGGGGATAACTGGCTAGCAGACGCCAGCAATGTGCCGCCACCGTCTAACGAAGGTCTTGAAACACCGTATATGACTGGTCAGGAAGAAGCAGAAGCAGAATCTACCAATGCGGGCAAACACCTGAGCTCAATGTCTTTCGCGCGGACCGTTTCCCACGACGTCAGTTGGGCCGATGATGAGGACGAAGAGCCATCCTTGGCTAGGGTCGACACTGATCCCTTCAAATTCATGCCGCCATCAGACCGAACCAATTCATTCCCCCCTGTTCCTCCGCTTAACCAATCCGGTAGCCATGTCGTTGAACAACCGCTTCCTTCGAGCCAGGCAGAAGATGTCATTCATGAGATCGAAGAGCATGACAGGCGCGTGGACTCTGGGGCCGATTTTGCGAGCCCCTTGCAGGAATTGCACGAAGACAATGCGTTTGATGATGACGACGACCTCGAGGGTGATACGAGCCATCAGTACATTGGAGGTGACGTTCACGGAAGCAACGAAGAAGCTTCTGAGGCCAGATTCACGGAAGGATTACCGCTAATTTCTCATGATCGGGAAGAGCACGATTCTGGCCCGCACAATGCTTTTGCAAGCGAGTTTGCTGCCGACGAGGACGACTTCTTTAACCAAATACCGGGCGCGGGCGATTCTGGATCTCAAGACCCAGAACCTCGGTCGCTGGAGCGCAAGTCCACCGCGCAGGTCATGGATGGCCTTCGTGTTGGAGATTCGTTCTCGAACATCCACACGGTTGATGAAGCTCAGGAGGAGGAGGAAGACGAAGATGAACCACCTTCGGGCACAGCTCCGCCTGAAGAAGCCGCCGAGATTAAAGAGGAGGTCTTGAACGAGGAGGTATCGAATGAGGAGGGTTCGAAGGAGGGAGGCAGCGAGGATCTGGATGCTAAGTGGAAGGCTATGTTCTCGGGCGACGACGATGAGGAGTTTCTCTTTGACGAAGCCGGGAATCCGAAGGAGGTCGACCCGGCTGCCTTTTTCGGCAGTGATGACGAAGGTTTCCTCGATGACCAGGAGGATGAACCGACGCCTCTAGTTGTCGAGCCGGCTCCACAACCACAACCACAACCAGCACCATCTGCTCCAAACGGGGGAAGTACAGGTTTGAACAGCCGGTATCTCCCACCAAACCAGCCCCAAGGTTTGGTCTCACAGGCCTCAATCTCATACGCGCCTTCTACCACCAACATGACTGGGATGCAGCCTGCAGCGTCGCCGGCTTTCCCTTTCCCTACGATTTCTGCTCCGCCGGCTTTCGTTAGCCCCCAGTATGGGGCTCAACCGCCCCGTACAGAGCCCAAAAAGGCTCAGAGTTTCGTGGATAAATCCAAAGGCGGATATACCTCGCCGTACGATCTTCCGATGGAGGTGGTGAAGCCAAAGAAGCGGGTGAGCATGCAGAATCTTCAACGGGTGCAGGCATCGCCAGTCGCTCCCCCCGGGCCACCAGCTCCTCGCAGTAGCAGCATGAATCAGGCGCCTCTTCCGAGCAGCCACTCGGTCCCGAATCTCCCACCACAGAGCTTCGTTCAAGCTACGCGTCCGCAAGTTGGGATTCCTAAGCCTCCGCCACCGGTTTCAAAGCCACAGGAGGCTTTCTTCGAGGAGCTACCGCGAACATCCAAACCTCGGCCGACATCGAGACAGAGCAACAAGAGCCTGCCATCGCCATCCCAGGCAAGCCCTTATGTGCCCCAAAGCAGTCAGCCCCCGTCACAGGTACCGCCTCCACCTCTGGCACAGCAGTACCCTGCTCAACCACCTCCACCCCTGGCACAGCAGTACTCTGCTCAACCGCCTCCACCTTCGGCGCAGTACTCTCCAGCTCAACCGCAACTACCTCCGGCGCAGCCCTTTCCAGCTCAATCACAACCACCTCTGGCACAGCAGTACGCAGCTCAACTCCCTCCACCCTCGGCGCAGCAATATCCGGCTCATCCGCCTGTTACCAGTGTTGGAAACCTGGTAGCTCCCGAGCGGGTCAGCCCATACGCTCCGCTTCAGGCTGGTCCCGGCACCGTGTCGAGCTTGCCTCCTACAGCGTCCAATCGATACTCCCCGGCAGCCTCAGGCATGCCCCATCCCAACGGAGCCATTCCTGCCGCCGCTGCGGCCCGGTACTCTCCGGCCCCGCCAAGCACTCGATCGCCCAGCGCGAGTTACACTCCAGCTCAGGGAACTGTCACGCCTACTGTTCTTCCTCATCAACCCCGTACTTCAAGTCCTCTGGCGCATTTTGAAGTCTCGCATGACCAGGCAAGGTCCATGCCTCCGAACCATGTCGAGGCCAGTCACCTGGATAGACGCAGCAGCTACGAATCTCGATTCCAGAGGGTTCCATCATTGCCGCCCACCCGCGAAGTCGAGGAGGAAGAGAGCCCTCCGCAGGCACCCCCGGGGTCCGGATATGGTCAGGTGCCTTATCGACCCAGGCAACCCCCGAAACCAGCTTCGCTCCCGGCGCAATCAGCTCTTTCTCCACCCAAGCGAAGCATGTCAAGCTACAGTCCTGCGCCAGATCTTGTCCCCCCGGCCAGGTCACAGACACAGTCGCCAGGCGCTCTTTACGGCAATCGCGCCGGCGTCAAAGCAGTGGATCCTACCCCACGCCCTTCGTCAGCCCAGGGGCCCGCATCTCCGCGAATGGCGCCGCCTTCTGTCATCCCGATGCCCCAAGCCCCAGTTCCTGCTTTATCCTCGACTGCCTCCCGACCGCGTGGATCTTCCCAGCACTTTAACCTTATCCCACCAACCGATGGGCGCGAGCAAGATCCTCTTCAGAGATGGAAAGGTGCTCCGCTCATGACATGGGGCCTCGGAGGCGCCGTTGTTACCATGTTCCCCAAGGATATTCCACGCTACGGCATCAGCCAAACGGTTCCGATGGTTGTCCGTAGCCCAGGAGAGGTCAAGGTGCAGAACATCAAGGATATCTATCCGTTGGAGGAACGGCTGGCAAAATTCCCCGGGCCTCTCAAGGGGAAGTCGAAAAAGAAGGAAACACTGACTTGGCTAAGCACGGGCATAGAGGACCTGGAAGCCCGTTTGCCCAAGAATATGCCCTTCCAGCCGCATGTCTCGCATGAAGATAAGCGGGCAGTAGAGAGAGTTCTTCTATGGAAGATCCTGCGCCTCTTCGTTGAATATGACGGCTGTCTGGACGGAAATGCAACAGTCGAGCAAGCCGTTCGCGCCGTACTTTCGCCGCAACTCGGTGGACATACGGCGGACGGAGCACCGATGCACGCAGCCGTCGGAGGAAGCGTCAAGGCGCCACACAGCGCTCCTGCTGCACAGATGCATTCCGACGCGGTGGATCCATCAGCCATTGAGGAGGTTCGCAATCACCTCCTGATTGGCGCCCGCGAAAAGGCCGTGTGGGTTGCGGCCGACAAACGACTTTGGGGCCACGCCCTGCTTATCGCAAACACCGTCTCCCCGGATCTCTACAAACAGGTCACGCAGGAGTTTGTCAGGAAGGAGGTGAACTATCCCGGTCACAACAATGAGTCGCTTGCTACCCTCTACGAAATCCTCTCTGGCAACCACGACGAATGCGTCGATGAGCTCGTGCCAGTGCATGCCCGTGCCGGCCTCCAACTGGTAGCCAAGGACACAGCCCTGGGCCCGTCAAAGGATGCCATGGAAGGACTCGACAAATGGCAGGAAACCCTCGGGCTTATTCTGAGCAACAGAAGCACGGATGACACGCGGGCCATGAACTCGCTCGGCAATCTCCTCTCCGGCTATGGAAGGGCAGAAGCAGCCCATATCTGTTTCATATTCGCCAGAAATCACACCGTCTTTGGAGGGCTCGACGACCCGGCCTCCAACTTTGTCCTGGTTGGCTCGGACCACAAGAGGCAGGCCGACCAGTTTGCCAAGGAGATAGAGCCGCTCCTCCTCAGCGAAGTGTATGAGTATGGCCTGAGTCTGGCAGGGGCGTCTAACGTCACCTTGACCAGTCCGCATCTGGCTGCGTACAAGCTCCAGCACGCCCTCGCCCTCGCCGAGTATGGTCATCGCCAGAAGGCCCTGCAGTATTGCGAGGCCATCCTAAACGCTATAACCTCACAGACGAGGAGGTCTCCGTACCACCACATCATCCTAGAGTTTGCTGTCGACGACCTGATGAAGAGGCTGAAGCATAGCCCCAAGGAGGAGTCTAGCTCATGGATTCCGAAGCCCAGCATGAACAAGGTAACGGATAGCGTGTGGGACCGCTTCAACAAGTTTGTCTCCGGAGAGGACGGCGAGAATGCCGGCCAGGCATCGTCAGCCGATGGCGTAGAGTCCGGTCCATTCGCTCGAGTTGTCGGAGGCACGCCTACCGTCAGCCGACCGCCGTCTTCATCTGGCTTTGAACACCAAGGGTTAGGCTCGATGCCTGGGTACCCGATGGCGAATGGACCCGTGGCTTCTGCCGCCCCAACCAATCCCCCCACCAGGGCTGCTTCTCGATATGCGCCTCTGCCTTCACAGCCGGCGGCTGGCACGTCCAGTCCTTATGAGCCGGGCGCCACATACGCGCCGCGCACTTCGATAGAGCGCAGGTCCAGTGAGTTCAACCAGGGATCTTTCGAATCGCCCAGGAGGTCCTCCGAGATGCAGCCTGGGGTTCCGAACACCTACGTACCAAACAACTCTTCCTTGCCAGCTCCAAGCTACCAGCCGACTCTTTCAACAGAATCGTCCTACATGCCAGTCTCACCGCCTGATCACCATGCCGCTTCACAGCCATCAGTGGCTCCGGGTTTTGCGGCTCCGGGATATGAGCTCCACGCAAAGACCAATTCTGTTCCAAATGGATCACCATATGAGCCACACAGTCCCACCGGAGAAGAAAATACTGCCAGCGTGGTGAACGACTCGACCATGATCTCTGAGAGTCAACCGTCTCAACCGCCGTCGTACGGTTATGAACCGCCTTCATTCACGCCGTATGAACCTCCTGCGGAGAAAGGAGCCGATGCAACAGAAGAGACAGCAAGCACCGGCTACGAGCCCCCTTCATATCAGCCCTATGGATACGAGCCGCCGTCGTACGAGCCCGTTTCGCAACCGGATGGTGATTCAGACTCGGAGTCAAAGCCCAAGCCCAAAAAGGGCATCATGTACGACGACGACGACGTCGACATTCCAGTCGTAAAAGCTGGGGAAAAGTCGAAGGAGGAGAAAGACCGGGAGAACGCCGAAATGTTCCGCAAGGCAGCGGAGGAGGATGGTAAGCATCAAGACCGTACACGGGGCGATTTGAAACTGCTAACAAAAGTATTAGCGAAACGAGCAGCTGAGGCAAAGGCGGGCAAGAAAGGCTGGGGCTTCACCGGCTGGTTCGGCGGTGGCGGAGCAAAGAAGGAGTCGCTGGACTCGGCTTCACCCAACAAACCTATCCGCGCCAAACTTGGAGAGCAGAACTCGTTCTACTACGACCCTGAACAGAAGCGCTGGATTAACAAGAAGGGCGGCACCGAGGACAATGCGGCAAAGACGGCTACTCCCCCGCCCCCCAGGGCCACCGCCCGTTCCGCCGCTTCCACCCCACCGCCGCCAGCATCGGCTGCCCTGGGCCGCGCCAGCGCGCCGCCGGGCGGGCCGGGCGGGCGGCCAATGGGTTCCTTGACGTCGTCGCCGTCAGCCCCTGCGGCGGCCAACCCTGGCGGGTCTGAGGGCAATTTCGCACCGGGCCCTGCATCCATGCTGCGGTCGGCCTCGAACACAAGCACTGCCAGCGGGCCGCCGGGTCCGCCGCTGAGGACCATTAGCAACGCGAGCAGCATCGACGACCTGCTCAGCGTGGGACCGCGGCAGAAGGGCGCTAAGAAGGCGAGGAAGAGTGGGAGATATGTCGACGTGATGGCGAATTCGTAATCACGCCTGGACTGACGAGGATGGATGGATGAACATTTTTAGAGGATGAGGAACCGATTCAAAGAGCTATGGCTTGGTGACAGCGCATAAGATATACATACACATACAGGGGGGTTACGGGTGTTTGAGGGAAACCAGCATATTGCTGACCCATTGCTATACTGTACAGTACAATACCTGCTTTTGTAATAATCCCTGTCTATCATCATCATGAGGAAACCGACACCGGCGTCCTGCTCCTGGGTTCATATTATCCGGTTACAAAACTGGGGATCTCGGAGTAGATAAGAAACTAGGACAGACGACACCGAACAAACAAACGAATGTCTTACTTCTAGTGTATTACGAAGAGTGCATATCTATGTTGAGTGGGCAATTGTGTAGTTTTGTACATCATAACATCAAGCGATGCCCCAGGTCCCAAGAATTTAACGCTAGCTCTCAAGCTCCTTTATTTCAACCAGCAAATGTGAAGAAGCAATGCCCCCAGCCGCAGCTCCACCTCCGTCCATCATGTATCTACAGTCAGATTACAAACTATAAGACGAGACATAATACTTTCTTTAGGTCAGCCAAGCCACAAGAGGAAGGAAAAAGGGCGGGGGGGAACCAACCGTAACAACCGAGTCCTCAGCCGAAGCATCGTCATACTGCGGCACATAAACATAGAGTATGAGCGCGTGGTCGTCGGCGAAGCAGGCAATGACGCGGCCCTCGAGCCGGCCCACGCTGAGGACCCTGCTCCAGTCGCGGCCGTCAACGCGCACGGTCGCCCAGGCGTCGGGCCCCGCGTCGCGGAACCGCGTCGAAGGGTGCTCGGCCAGCGGCACCGACAGCTGCGCCGGGTCCAGCTCCGGGTTCTCCAGGCCGCCCCACGTCGACGTCACGTCCAGCGAGGGCGTCGCGATCCGCAGGCGCAGGCCGCCGTGCATGTTCGCCGAGAGCTCGAGCCGCGGGGACGAGGCGGACAAGGATGCGGCGGCTCGCCCTCCTCCCCCACCGGGGGCAAATGTGTTGTTGTTGTTCCCTGCTGCCCCCGAGGCCAAGGAGGTGCTGGTGGCGGCGAGGCGCGTGAAGCGGTCCGAGATGGCCTTGAGCTGCAGCAGGGGCGGCAGCTGGATGTGCACGTCGGGCTCACGCACCTTGGGTTGCATGATGGTCTCGACCGTGTCGGGGTGCAGGACCCGCACCGGCATGTCCTGCGTGATGACCTTCTCACGCCCCCGCCGCAGGGACAGCTCCAGGGACTCCTGCTGGAACACGTCGCCGAACGGGTCCGGCCCGCCGTCGTCGTCGTCGCCGCCCCGTCCTGCCCCGGCTCCGGCTCCGAACTGGCCCCCACCGGTGGTGGTTGCGCCGGTGTCTTTGGTGTTGGTGTGGATCGTCATGGAGAGAACGGGGATGCCGTCCCGCTTGGTCAGGCGGAGGCTGGCGGCCGTGCTGCCGAGGGCGGACTTTAGGGCTCGCTGGAGCGGGCCGAGGGGCAGCTCGAGGTTGATGGTGTTGTTCGCCTCGGCGGATTGGATGTGGTAGTTTTCGAAGATCAGGTCCATCGACAGTGAGCTAGACGGGGATGCGAGTTAGGGGGTCGCTTCTCTAAAGACTACAGACAGGAGTTTGCCAATGACTCACGCCCAGACTTGGGATCCCGTGTCCGGGATCACGGTGAATCGAGCGGTGTCATCGTCGAGGCGCACCCAGGCGATCTTCTCGAGGGAGTTGAGCGCCGCGACTAGTTCTACTCGACAGCTTTGTCAGAAATGGGGAGCCGGACAGAAAGCTTATGGAGGGTGTTGAGCTGACTTGAAAAGGTACGGATGTTTTTCAACTCCGTTTTGAACCGCATCTTAACCTCAGGAAGCGGTGGCGCCCATCAGCGTTCTACAATCTGCAACGCGTAAAAGTCGCGGTGAATTCCCGTCTTCAACGGAGATGTTCTCGCGTTAGGGGGGGTTCCGGTAGTTCAGTAATTAATGCGGGGTCTAGATTGGCAGTTATCCTGAGCATTTGGAGAAATCCCACGCTGACCCCACTATACCTATCGCAAAGTATCATCACCCATGTCAAAGCCAAGCACGGCCCGCGCTAGCTCTCCTCCCAAGCCTCCTCCTGCTGTCAACTAGCCTTATAGCAAACAACCTAACAAACATCCATCTATAGGTAGGTACTCAGAGGAGTGATATCCCGCGTTCCGAAGCCAAATCATATCGCAGACTCCATACCCCTCTAAAACCCATCAAGCCGATTCTCCGCCGCGCCGTATGATGAGCATAGTGCAAGCAGCATACTGCGCGTCCCCCGTCCCCCAATTTACACACCCCAAGGCTCCTGCTCCTTCCACCACTCCTCCCACTCCGGGTCGCGCTCCCGCATCCCCACCAGGACCACCGGCGGCATGTAGTCCGACTCGCCGGGGCGCCGCCACCGCCGCCCGTGGCGGATCAAGTACAGACATCCCAATACCAGCTTGAACGGCCATGTCCTCCTCCTCCCCCACCTCCTCCTCCTCGCCACCCTCGCCGACGACCGACAGTACCCGCACACCGTCTCGGCAACATCCACCTCCTTCACCCCTGTCCCCGTCCCCGTCCCCGTCCCCGCCCCCGCCCCAACCTCCTGCACCGCCGCCGCACCTCCCCTCCCACCACCATCAAAGCCCTTGTTCTTCTTCTTCCCCCCCGCCCTGGCGCCCCCCCGGCGCAGCGGCGGTTTGGCGTCGCCGCTGCCGCCGACGATGACGACGGGCACGGCCGGGTGCCCGCACAGGTGCGTGGCCGTGCGGCGGCACACGGGACACGCGGGCCTCTCGTCGGCCACCAGGCCCAGCCACCGCTTGATGCACACGCTGCCGAACCGGTGCCCGCAGGGGAGCCTGCTCCAGGCCTCGGTCACGCCCTCGGGTGTCGGGCGGCCGACGGGCTCCTGGCAGATTGGGCATGGCTGGGGCTGGGCTTGGGGCGGTCGGGGGGGTGCGGTTGGGGGTGCGGCGGTGACGTTGTGTTGTTCTTGTTGTTGGTGTTGGTGTTGGTGTCGTCCGCTTATAGGCTTCTCGTTGTTGCTGTTGTCGTCGGCGGAGGCGGAGGTGGTGGGTTTGCGGCTGGCGCTCGTGCGCCGGCTCGCTTGTCTTCTTGCTGGGCCGGCGGCGTTCATGGCGGCGGGGCGGGGTTGGGGTCCCTTGGTGAGAAAGAAAACTCTATGGTTGTGGGAGTTGGGGAAGGGAGAAGAAGTGGACATTGGTAATGACTTAGAAATGTCTCAGTCCGGGTCAAATGGTCAAATATTAGGTAGACGAGGTGGAGTGGGAGGTAGAGGTCCAAGACAGCAGGCAGCTGGAGGGTAGGACTTGTTCGAGGTCAGCCGGGGGTTGGCAAGTAAGTAGGTAGGTAGGTCAGCTCTCTTTGTGGCACCACCTAGGCTCCCACTGTCTCCCATTTGCTTCCCGGGTGTACGATACAATACGCAGCCTGCGTCAAAAAAGGAGGGGCACCTGCAAACTCTTTTGGGCGGGGGGGGGAATATTTGCTATAAATACCTACAGCTACGCAGCAACATACATATGATGTGCAACATGCCTCCGGCGAGCTGCCACGCAAGAGGAAATCCGGAAATTTAGAGTTAAGCTGCCATGGGGATGCTTTTGAAACTGGCCTGCATATGATTCCTTTGCCATCTAGCAAAAAGTATGTCGACACGTTCAAGCACCAATGAAACCTTCGTATTCAAATCTACAGGGAGACCCATTCCGCTCCGAGCTTACCTACAGAATACATCCCGATGGGGGCCTATTGTTGCGTTCCACCTTGATTCGGCGTACGCGCTAAGAGAGAGCCCCTTGTACTTCACATGTCAGACAATGCAAGGACTTTGGATGTTCGTTTATGAATGCCACTATTCAGCTCCGTGTGGTTTTCTTTTGAACCTCTTTTGAACCCCCCTGCATATACGGCTATAACGACAACGCCAACAATTCCACCCAACTCTATCCGTATCTGCAGCAGGAGAAGCCTGTGCTCAGAGATGAGCAAGCTTCAGCAACAGGGTTAAATTGCCAATAGTGTGCTCTTCTTCCAAAATAGCAGCTCTACTCTCGGGCCCGTCAGGCAGAAGCGGTTCCAGCTTCCCACGCAACGTAGTCACAAAGGCATCCTGTCGAGAGGAGATCACCCCATCCAGGTCGACATTGTCCGGGTTGGACACGACGCTGTACTGCATGTGGATATCGTCCGTCGTCACCAGGCCAGCCTTCTTCCGCATCCTCTGTACCCGGTTGATCAAGTCGCGGGTCAGCCCCTCATCCACCAGCTCCGGGTGCGACGCTGTATCAAGCAAGGTAATGACGTCCCTTGAGAAAGACGGTTCGTACTGGGGGCCTTCTTTATCCGAGGAGCCGGGGGTGTCCTGCCCCAGGATACGCACAATGGTCAGATCATCTCCCTCTAGCTCGATGCCACCAACGGTCAGCTTCCTTTCGCGCAAGTATTGCTTGAGCTCCTCCTGCTTCAGGCTTGGAAGAGCCTTGCGGACGACCTGGACGTTCTTCTTGAGCTTCTTGCCGAGCGTTGGCCAGTCAACCCGAGCTTCGAGGACGATATTGTATTTCTCTTCGTCGGTAGTCAGGATGACGTCCCGGACATTGAGCTCATCCTTCACGTAGGACAGCAACGACTCCACATCAGCGAGGAACTCGGTGTCTGCGATGACCACCATGGAAAGCAAGGGAGTCTTCAGGGCGATATTCTTGCGCTCTCTCGTAGTTCTCCCGAGCTGGATAACGGCCTGCATGGCGGAAACCTTCCGTTCGATAACTTCGTCAAAGAGGTTCTCCTGCACGGTCGGGAACGAGAGGAAGTGGACGCTCTGCGTGTTCTTGAATTCCGCAAGCGCGTCGCCAAGGTACGGCGTCAAAAGGCCGTAGATGTGTTCGGTTATGAACGGCATGAACGGCGCAAGAGCCCGGACCAGCGTGAAAAGCACCTGGCAAAGGGTGCTCAATGCTTCGTTCGTGTCCTCAATCCCAAGCCCCGCAGCTCCCTTGATCCTCTTGCGGTTGAAGCGAATGTACCAATTGGTGAGGTTATCGATGACCTGGAGCAGTCGTGGGACGACAGTATAGAGACGGTAGCCTTTTTAAAGTCAGTCTTCTGATGATTCCAGTTGGGGCGTACCGAGCCATAACTCACCGTTCATCTCTTCGTTGATGAAGCGCAACATGCTCTGGCAGTCCGCAAGAATCCACCGGTCCATGACGTTGCTTACGCCCTTGTCCGATGCTAGAGACTGAGCAACGAAGTCGTTGCCGGTAATCTTCTTGAAAAGGTTTGCTTGTTCGTAGAAGAAACGATAGCTGTTCCACAGGGGAAGGAGGACTTTGGATACTACCTCCTTGACTCCAGATTCCTTGAACCTCATCGGCTCTGCTCTGACAACCGGGGAGTTGATGAGGTAGAGACGGAGAGCATCAGATCCGTGCAAGTTGATGACGGCACTGGGGTCCGGGTAGTTCTTGAGGCTCTTGGACATCTTCTTGCCATCTTCTGCGAGCACGAGTCCGTTGACAATACAATTCTTGAAGGGCGACGTCCCGAAGAGGTGGTTTCCGAGGACGGACAGCGTGTAAAACCAGCCACGAGTCTGATCCAAGCCCTCGGCAATGAAGTCCGCAGGGAAGCGACCTTTCTGGAAAGCATCCGCGTTTTCGAATGGGTAGTGGTTGGACGCGTACGGCATACTGCCCGACTCAAACCTAGTCCGTGTCAGTCAAGCGAGAGGCGAAAGGGGGGGAAGGTAGTCACAAACCAGCAGTCAAAGACCTCGTCCACACGTCGAAGGACTCCCTTCCCTTTCCTGGACGGGATTGTTATCCCGTCAATCTTCTCCCTGTGGATATCATCCAGGGAGCCCTCGAAGCCACTGAGCTCCCTCAGCTCCTCAATGCTTCCCACACAGATGACCTCTTCGTAGTCCTCGCTAACCCAGAGCGGAAGCGGAGTCCCCCAGTAACGGTTCCGGGACACATTCCAATCATGGGCGTTGGAAACCCAGTTGGCGAAGCGCTTGTCCCTGACAAACTGTGGGACCCAATTGGTAGCCTCAAGGTTTTGGAGGATATCCTCTCTCGAACTTGCCACTCGAATGAACCAGGACGAGACGGCCTTCCTGATAAGCTGAGTATCGGACCGCCAGCAGAACTTGTCCACGTGGGTGACTTGGCTTTCGACTAGCAGACGGCCTGTGAGCCTCAGGTCCTTGAGAATGGCCTTGTCCGCTGTCTTCACATGCTGGCCGGCGTAGTCCGAAATCTCCGAAGTAAATTGGCCCTTCTCGTCAACAGGGCATGGCGGCAGGCGCTTCGGAGAGATATAACCCGCGGCGACTGCTGCATCGTAATCCTCCTGACCGAAGGCTGGCGCCTGATGGACGAGGCCTGTGCCCTCCTCCGCCTCGACATAGTCTGCCCCAATGACACGGAAACAATCGGAGAACTTCTCAGCAAAGTATGGGAACAGAGGCTTATACTGCCAGCCAATCATGTCCTTGCCCTTGACCTTCTTGATGACCTTGTACTTTGCCTTTTTCGGGTCTTTGTAAAGCATCGAAAGTCCGACCTCCAGGAGGATGTACTGGTTACCGGACTTCTCGTCGAGGATCACCATGTACTCGAAATCGGGATGGGCGGCAATGAGGAGGTTGGACGGCAGAGTCCAGGGGGTTGTTGTGTAGATGACCAAGGAGGTGTTGGCAAAGTCGGGCTGCTCCAACACGGGAAACGAAACCAAGATCGAAGGGTCCTGGGTCATTTTCTCGTTTTCTTTCGACTCCATTTGGCTGAGTGGTGTACATAGCGCCGTCGAGAAGGGCATGATCTGGTAGGCTCGGTAGACCTGGTCCTTCTCGAAGAGCTGTTTGAATACCCACCAGCAAGATTCCATGAAGGTAGTGTCCATGGACTGTGCAAGTCCACCGTCAGTAACGGACGTAAGACTGATACAAAATGCGTGGGCCAAACCTTGTAGTCATTGTCGAAGTCGATCCAGCGACCCAGACGCTCAATGATCTCCCTCCATTCACCTGCGTACCTCATTACAATGGCTCGGCACTCGGCGTTATACTTGTCGATACCTAGGTAATGCCTGGTCAGTATCTGCCAGGCGTAATAAGACTCGTCAATGGGGCTGTAGCAGAGAAGAGCGCCTCCGGCATTGGCGGAACCCCACACCTCTGGACAGCCCATATCAACAAGGCTTCGGACTGGATCTTGACTGACCCATCTTCAGGACAGCATCTCGGCCAGAGATCCCCAGCTTTTTGTCGATCTCGAATTCTACAGGCACACCGTGCGTATCCCACCCAAAGCGGCGGATGACATGGTAGCCTTTCATAGACCAGTATCGTGGTATAATATCTTTGATGGTGGAGGTGAGTAGGTGCCCGTAGTGGGGTAGGCCTGGATAGCTGTCAGAGAGAGTAACAACGGGGGATCCGAATGGATAATACCGGTTGCTGCGAGAGAGATTGTCAGTGAGCTCTACGATGTAGCCATATTAGGGACGGCGGAAGAGATTGCATACCGAAGGGGGGGCCATCATAGAATGTGAAGTTTTCGGACCCTTCCGTCAGGCGAAGCTGTGTTTGGAAAGCATCGATCTCCCGCCAGTAGCGGAGGGTCTCCTCCTCTGTCTTGGAGAAATTGATGCTCATCTTGTCCACACGATCTGATTTCCGTGACCTTTGTGGCAGAAGTATCCGCGGGCCAAAATTCAGGGGACTGAAGGCTTTTGAGTCGAGATGGAGGGGTTTTGACTCACTTGGCGGGGCACATCATTTCTGCCATGCACAGACCTTGGGCGGGCAACCCGATGGCGGGGACCCTATCTGGTCGGCCCCTGCCAGCCCCACACCGCCATTCTGGGAGTAACTTCTTCCGGTTAGCCTCTTGCCAACAGTTTGTCACCTATTGCATGAGACGAACACTCGATGCTCTTTAAATTCCTATACCTGGAAAGAGGAAGATGATAACTCGTGGCATCCAGAATGGCCCAGGTATATCTATCTTATGGCGAGAACACAGCTATGCTGTGCTGGGGAGCCTTGATGCGCCCCGAAGAAGAAAAAAAGAAGAAAACCTCACCTGAATCGCCACCCCCAAGCGCAGGCCCAGAGTTCAGGGGCAGATTTGGAAAAGCCATTTCTGTAGATACTTTCCTTTACAGATTGTCCATACTTTAGGGGGGGCAATTCATCCCTTTTATGTTCTATTGTGTATCCTCGTGATCTACTTGTCTCGACCCTCTTCCCACACCATCCCTCGAATGCTTTGTAAGTACCAGCACAACCACCCCTTAAGAGCTCGGGGCCATTTTGACTAGAGAGACTCAGGACAGAGGAAAATGCAGCGTACCACCATTCCCTCGTAAACCCTAGGTTATCATTAAAGACAAATAGTGCATGCCAGACAAAACGAATAAGACCATCTCCCTCACTGCACCTGCATCACCTTCGTCTTGCTGGCCTTCTGCAGCAGCATTGCCTCGACCCACTTGTCAACCTCCAGGACCGCCTTCATGGGGTTCTTCTTGCGCTTGAGCAAGAACCCCTGGATCTCGGCGGGCGAGAACTGGCCGTCGGGTATCTTGCTCGCGAACGCCGCCGCAAGCTTCGATAGGCTGTCGTCGGTCACGGTTTCGGAGCCGTTGTCGTCGGGGGTATCCACAGTCGGTTCGGTAGTCTGCTGCGCCCCGGCGTCCAAGAGGCCGGCCTTCTCGGCCTCGGCATCGGTGTCGGAGTCGGGGGCCGAACTCGTCTTGTCCTTGTCGCCTGCGGCAGCGTGGGCCGAACCATTCACGTGCGTATGGTCGGACCCGACTGCCTTTCCATTGCTCTGTTTCGGGTGGTGTTCCTTGGCGGAATCAGGCGCCCCGGCCCGGCCAGGTTTGACGTGCTGCTTGTCAGCTTCGTACATGCGCTCAAACAGCTCCTTGGCCTGGCCTTGGGTTGCGTAACCAAACCCGACCTGTAGATCAACCCGGCCAGGACGGATGAGAGCCTCGTCAAGCGCCTCCGGTTTGTTCGTGGTCATGATCAAGACACGTCCTTCGTGCGACGCCACTCCGTCGATGGCGTTGAGCAGGCCCGACAGGGAGATGCCCTTCTTCTCATCAGCGCCGCCGGGGTGTCTCTTTAGTTCTCGGGCCAGGTCGGCCACTTTCCATTCAGCCACGTTGGCCTCCTTGCTGCCCTCGCCGTCCTTTCCTTTTGCGCCCTTTGATTCACCATCGCCGGCTGGGCGGGACAGTCCGGCTGTATCAATATCCTCGAGGAGGACTACACATCGTCGAGGAAGGGAGCTGAAGAGGCCGGAGAGGTCCTCCTCTGTCAGGGTCGGCTCCAGGAGGCTGATAACGTATATGTCAAGGCCGAAAACACCGGCAAGAGCAAATGAGAGGGATGTCTTTCCAGTTCCTGGGGGGCCGTGGAAGAGGTAGCCGCGACGTAGCGGTATACCGCGGTTGGCATACCACCTCGGCGTGGCTGGGTGAAGATATTCATTGATGTCGGCAAGAACCTGCACCTTCTGCTCCGCATCAAGAACAACCGTCTTCATGGGCCGGACAGGGCGGTTGGCAACCAGTATCCAGCTGTGTCGACCGCCATATCTACGCATGTTCTGGGGGCTGGGCCGTCTGACCATGGTCTTAGCATGGTGGTCATCGTAGTACAGCCTTTTGGCGTGTCTGAGGAGCCTCTTGATCGGTTCTGTAGGCGCATTAGAGGTCAAAAAGAGATCATGTGGTGGCATGGGACCATTCTCATTTGACTGTACACACCTGGAGATCGCCCGTAGCACGAGACGACCAGCTTCTCCTTTTCCTTGAACTGGGGGAAATTAGTACTAGCCCCGTCATCATACAGAGACTCCTGTTTCCTGTGCAACCGAAAGTACCGGCCATCGAACCAGAAGTTATGCGCGCCGAGTGCCGGGATGAATCGTGGGGGCTAAAGAAATATGAGCCGCAATTTCAAAAGTATCGAGAGCGGGCATTGCGGACTTACCGACTTCGCCTCCTGGTTTGAGAAGTTCAAGTAAACGCCGGACCCATCAGCCGAAATGTTAGTTGACACCACTTCAGCCTCTTCCTCCTCTTCCCACGCTGTCCTCGAGGTCGTCTCCGCAGTGAGGGCCCGCGAGTTAAACATGTTCGGTTGGCTGGCGAGCCACTTCATCATGTGGAGGTACATCTCGTCGCTGCTGCTGATATGGATACTGGCGGTCAGGTATTCCTGGAGCACGCCGTAGACGGTCATGTAGACCTGTCTCCAGAGCTTGTTTGCAGCCCAGACGAACCCCAGCGCGGTCAGGATGGCAGTTGGGTCGAAGCCAAGTCGGCTGCCGGCCATGTTGTAGAATAGCATGAAGGCCTGCATCAGGGGGTTGAATTTTCCGCCGAAGAGTGGCATGAGGCCCTTGATGATGCCATCGTGGAACTCTTGGCTGGTGATATTCCCGCCAGCTTCCGTCAAGTTCTCGCCAAAAGTGGGCAAGGCTCCACGGAGCAGGCTGTTGAGGTCCATCCCTATGCCGCTGTGCCTGAGTCCTGGAACGGGCAAAAGAGAGGGACGGAGATGGGGGTTGGAATGGGGACGTGGGACTAGAAAGATAATTGGGTAATGGAATCTAGAGGAAAGTCTACAAAAGATGAAGACTGCCACGGACGTCTAGGTTGATAGACAAGAGCGGCAAGAATTATAAAGGAAAAGGAAGCAAGCCTGGATGCTCTGAGGACTCCCAAGTAGTTAAGCTAGAGAGGTACCTTGCTTTACAGTTGGCCGATATCTCCGACCGATAAGGGGGAAACAGTAAACCAACACTCTTTGTGCCGTTTGAAGATGTCTTTTAAGAGAGTAGTCTGTGGCAACTTATAAGTTGTGGGTGTGGACTGATGAGTCTGTTGCCACGTCTGCTTGGCGGTGTACCCTAGGCACGGCTGCTCACATCAACTCTTTGACATTGGAACCTTGGAACTCCCACGGACGGTGGTCAGCCAATGTGGAAGTATATTATCCTACCTAAGCGCCGTTAAGGTGGGCTGAAAGGCGGACTGGGACATTTACATGGCCTTGCAGCAAACAGCAAACAGCCCAAGACACTAGGCACCCACATAGGTGCCTCCCATGTTTCTAAAGGCATGTTTTATTTATGTTTTAGCGCCGTTTGTGTCTGTTAGCATAGGCTTCAATAAGGCATCCAAACTCGGTCCCCAAGAGTTGATTGAGTGGACAATTGCGTCTAATAGTCTCACTAGCAAATAAATATGACAGAGACTCCCCCCTTCTTGAATTGCTGCGCTGATAAAACGTAGGTAGCTGAGGCGGTGAATAGGTTGGTACCTCTACATACATAAGCTAGGTACAGGCCAATCTACCCCGCCTATTGCCGTATTCAAGCGGCCTGGTTGGAGAACCGCCTAAGAATTGCCCGTGCCAACGGATCTATGACCATGCAAGTCCAGTGGTCATGCAGATCAACAAGTTCCCGCAGTGGGTCACGAGAACCCCCGCCCTGCATTACCGCTCCGACCTGCTGGTACAGGCAGGCAGCGACGCGGCCGTAGTGTCATGCTCTGGGGGGTCCCTGTGCCATGGACCACTGAGCTTCGACCATTCCTCCCTCCCCCGCTGTCAAGGCTGCCTGTTTTCGGCGACGGTCTAGCCTGCCGTGCGACCATCTCGTCCATGCTGCAGATCCGCCTCGTTGGCGTTGCGCCACCGAGAACAGTGATAAAAGTGCCAGGCAGTTCTGACGACGAGTCACACAACGGAAGCTGTGGTCCGGTTGTGACACTCCAGGGCGCCCCTGAAAACGCCCGTAATGGTGATTGAAAATATTATGGACCCTCGGTGTATCGGTGTTTCCGTTGAACCACCATAAAGCCGCGGTGTGTTTCCCTTATGAGTCATCTGTTCACAGACAAGTAGGTTAGTCAGTAGGGGAGCGGCCTTACCGAGAACTGCAACTCGGCACGTCGTGCCGGCAGCACACGAACTTTTGTGGCTCAGACAAGACACGCTATAATTATGCCTGTACTGGAGGCCTGCAGGCAGCAGCTCCTGACTGGCTGCGATACGCGCTAGCATAGCTCCAGGGTCAGAGAAGGATTTCAACGACCACCACGAACAAGATAATCTCTACCACTACCTCGGCGTCTTGTTTTGGTCACTCATAGTATCAACTTGTATTCGTAGGTAGATTCACATAATAGTGAAATTCAGACTGCCGTCTAAAAAGCGCCGTGCTGGAGGAGAACCATATGTGTGCCTTTTGTCAACGCCGGTCCAGTCGTTCTAAACCCTTGAATGCGTTTCCAAGTTGGTAACTAGATGCTCTTCTTCCCAGAGGCGGGCCCCTGCCTCCTTGAGCAGCTCCACGCACTCCTGGTTCCCAATCTTCTCCGCCAGAAAGAGCGATGTGTTGTTGGCCCTGTTCCTCACGTGGACGCTCGCGCCCCTAGTCAGGAGTTCTCGCATAACCTCCTTTTCCGGTCCCACGGCGGCGAGGTGCACGGCAGTGTTTCCGGCGTAATCAGTTCTCTTCAGCAGCTGATGGTTTACCTCATCGCCTTCTATGATCTCCCTCACGGCGGCCAGGTCCCCGTCTCGGATGGCGTATCCGAGGGCCGAGAATGCGGCTTCTGCTGGTGTGAGCCGCGCCGCCGCCGCGTCCACGCTTCCGCCCGGGTGAGAGAAGGAGGGGAGGGTCAACTCTGTCATCTCGCCCCGGAGTGACTGCGACATCCTGGCGGCTATTTCCTCATACCGGAGATTTGGCAGGGCCAGGAGGTAGGAGAGCTTTGTCAGTGCAGCTTCGGTGGTGAGGTCGTGGCCAAAGACCACACCCGCTCTGCCCAATGCTGTTCCAGGGGCGTAGAGAGGAGATACGGAGCCGCTCGTACATTGGCTGACGTTCACAATAACGATGCCCCGCTCGACAGCCTCCCGGATTACCTTTGTCAGGCTCCCATCAACGACTCCGGGTGCATTGCCCATGCCAAAGGTCTCCAAGATAAGGCCCCGCAGGTCCGGCGCTCTAAGGACAGAGTCAACCATCTCCGGCGTGATACCGGGGAATATGCGGAGACAAGCAACATGGGCCGTGTCTAGGGCCCTGGTAACTTGAAACTCGGCGATTCTTGTCGGCCTTCGCACCAGAGACCAATTCACATCAACCCCTAGGCTGGTGACCTTGGCCAGCTGGTCGCAATTTGGACTGCCAAAGGCCTCGAAGGAGGAGGCCGAGATTTTGGTCGTCCTGTTGCCCCTGAATAGCATGTGGTGGAAAAACAGGCAGACCTCGGGAATAACAAAGGTCCCCGCGATGATAAGTGACCCCAGGAGGTTGTCTACTGCATCCGACTGGAGCGCGAAGATGGATGCCTGGGAACCCGTGAGAATGACCGGCTTCCCCAGGTCAGACATCATGAACGACAGGGCAGAGGCGGTATAGGAAAGAGAGTCGGTTCCATGAAGGACAACGAAGCCGTCGAAGAGATGGTAATTCTCCTTCACGGTAAGAGCGACCTCGGTCCAGCCGAAAGACGAGATGGAGCTGGAATCTAGAAGAGGCTGGAACTCCAGAATACCGTACCGGATGTGTCGCGAGTAGGCACTCAGAGGCGTGCGAAGGCTGTCAAGTTCGAACTCGACGCCATTCTTGTAAGCGTGGAGCTTGACTGTGTCCAGTCAGTAACGGCCAAGGCTATGATTCGGCCCATGATTCTATCCTCCAGTCGCCGAACGGATATCGAAGACGCCTACCTGGAGGGGTTGAATTATCGTTAAACGACGGTCGAGGGGCCATGGCACTCTCGAGGAAACCAGTCATTGGTACCAACCCATCTACAGACGGCTGCATGCAGATGGTACCCCCAGTCATGATGATGAGCACCCGTGATTCGGGGTGGTTGGACTGGGGCTTGTCCCGTTCCGTAAAGGCGGCATGGCTCATTTTGACTACAGAGTTCGGTTCCCCGTGAGCAGTATTTGTCGGGAGAAGGGTGCCGTTTTCGGTGTCCAGAGTAGTCTGTGGTCTCACCGGTATGTCCTCGGTTTTGTTGGCACAGCTTCTGCTGTGGAACAAGGAGGAGGTATAGGATTCGATCAAGCAAATATGGGTTTACCCAGACATCCAAATTCTATGGCTTCACAGCGACACTAGCCGTGTGACGGGTTGGCGGACTAGCCCGCTAGTAACAGAAAACGAAAGTAAGAGCCGACTGAAACCGGACCACTGCCTAGGCACAGCCGCGTGTGAGAATCGCAAGTTACATCGGGCCGTCGCCGTTCAGCAATCTCATCGAGAGTGAGAGGAAGGAAACTAGCAAGGTAGTTCCAGGTTTTATGTGGAATGTCCGACGAGGACGCGATTTGTAGCAAGTGGTGCTGCTTGGCTAACAAATAAGTCCGTCCACGTGACCCACTCTCGCTCTTAAGGCTATGACCGGGCTGTGAAATTCTCATCGGCTTTCCGGACCCAGCATCAGCGGACCGGCCCCACACAAGCTCGGCCCGGACCCGCTAATAGGTCCCCGCCTCCAGAGCCAATTTCGCTTGCAAAGCTTTTGATAGCAGAACCTCCAAAGCCAAATTCTCGACGTCCATTTTACTCCATTTCCGAATCCAATTGATACAGCAGTAACAATGGCGTCTAGTTTGCAAGACACCCTGGTTACGTACGAGGAATTGGCGGAGCTCGAGCTCGAGTTTGACGATGTCGAGACGGAAATTAGTGAGTCCCTCCTGGCATCAAGTTTTACTCGATGCGACAAACGATGCGCCGAATCACACACACCAGTCTTCCAAACGACCGCCATGCAAGAGGGACAATGCACGCTAACCTATGGCCAAAGTCCGTCACCAAGTGCAGTTGACACAACCCCTCTACGAAAAGCGCCACAAGATCGTTGCGCAAATCCCCAATTTCTGGCCTCTGGTCCTGGAGCAGGCCCCGCCAGACATCGACGAGTATATCCAGCCGTCGGACTCAGCATTGCTCCTGGCGTGCCTCACCTCGTTGTCGGTATCGCACTTCGAGATCGAGAATGGCGCCAAGGGAGACCCTAGAAGCGTCGCCATCAAGTGGGAGTTCAGCGAGAACGAATACTTCGAGGACCGCGTCCTCGAGAAGAAGTTCTGGTACCGCCGTGCCGAGGATGGCTGGGCCGGTCTGGTCAGCGAGCCGGTGGACATCAAGTGGAAGAAGGACAAGGACCTGACCGGGGGTCTGCTCAGCATGGTTAAGCGCGTCTGGGACGAGGACCAGGCTCTCGAGAAGGCCGGCAAGGGCGGTGCCAAGGCTAAGGACAAGGAGCTCACGCCCCAGCAGAAGGAGTTGAAGAAGAAGATTGAGGAAACCGGACTCGGTGGCTTGAGCTTCTTTGCCTGGTTTGGGTTCAGGGGTCAGAGGATTTCCGCAGAGGAGAGCCGACTGGCTATCGAGAAGGAGCAGAAGCAGCGGAAGCTCAGACTCGAGGGCAAGAAGGTGGAGCCATCAGAAGACGATGCCGACGACGACGACGACGACGATGACGAGTTGGACGGTCTCGAAATCTTCCCAGAGGGCGATACCTTGGCCGTCACTATTGCCGAGGATCTTTGGCCAGGGGCTATCAAATATTTCAGTAGGTTGGACCTATCCTGTCCTTGAATTCCGAGACTAACGGGGGTTAAAAGCCCAAGCTCAGGAACAGGACGCCTTGAGTGACCTTGAGTTCGAGTCCGACATGGAACTCGACCTGGAGGAACTCGAGGAGGATGGTGACGAGGCACCGCCATCAAAGAAACGCAAGGCTGGTGGAGAATGATTACAACATCAATGTGGCCAAGGTCCTATTAAGGATCTTCTACAGGAAGCTAAGTTCGAGATACCTCTGGAGATTCCCTCCCCCGGCCTTACTATAGAACTATCGTCGTCCATTTGGATGAATTCCGCGAGGAGTTGCCAGGCCAGATCTGCAAGCTGGCTGTACGCTATCACCTGTAAGGTTTAGTTTGTCAAATGTTGCAACGCAGGCGGCAGAGTTATGTGACACTGGGCCCCCAAGATAACATTAATCACCACCTTTGGTTGACGTTTGAATTTATTTTCAGAAAGACATGCCAACTCCTTCCTCAAAATACCAGAGAATTTCCTTCTTTCTCTCATCCTTCAAGCCCCTCAACCTCGCGGCCTTCCTGATCCAAACCTCGCCCTCGGAAAGTGGTCAACCTACCCCCAACACATCGCGCAACCTAAGATGGTCTTGATCAATTCACCTTTCCTTTTACTTGCCTCAACTAACCTCAGTCAGACGGTCGTCCTACCACAGTCAGACCAGTCCCTCCCAGACTTCTAGTACTACGAAGGTCTTCTCATCCTTGTCTTCAGCAACAACTCTCAGAGGGTCGTCCAACTATGTTGAGACCCCAGTCCCTCCAAGACAAAGCCCTTTACCCTCTACAGTAAGCCTTATTTAGTTTTCCTACATATGATATTTGCCCAATGGACCACATGAACGCTACACGACCTTCCAGCAAAGAACAAGTGTAGCCACTTACCTCAAGTAAGCGGCGACAAAAATAGCTAGTCCCCGAGGGGGTTGAGGATAAGGAAGTGGGTTGGCCCACGACCCCGAATCAACCTAAAAAACCCCCCGGCGCTATCCCGCCCGTACCCGCCCCGCCTCTGTTTCAACAAGGCGCCCAGTGACCCCAACCCTCAGGGTGGGTCATTCTTATCTCAATCAAGCATTACCACCTTAGGGTTCGACTTGGCTCATTAATAAGTGCCCGTTTATGGATTATAAGACGATCCTATCTGTTCAGCACCAGGAATAATATTACGTGGTAATACGTTAAGAACAGGGAATCCCTATATCCAGGGTTCACATGCAGGGGCCAGCCACAGCGCTTTGAGACAGCCGCAGCGAAGCTTTGGCGGTTGCTAAGCCTGTCCGTGTTTCAGCTCGCCCCTTTGCACAGCCTCCATCCATCCAGCTGTGAATCGAGACTCAGTAGCTATGGAGTCTCGATCGGACGAAATTGCAGGAACTCTTTGCGGTCGAGCGATCCGAGTCCGTGTCTGCAGGAGCAAAACGTTCGGTTAGGATCTAGATGATTTCAACTTATTTTATTGTTTCCTCTCCATTTGTTTCCTCACTTCTACTCTTCACTTTCCGAGGCTTTGGTTCTTCTACTTGCCTTCTTTCATCACAGGTCCCGGTGTGGCATTTCTTTCGTTCCGACTTCTATCTCTCTCCATTCTTTGTCCTCTTTGTGACCCTCCTTCTTGTCCAGGTCGGGTACCTTTGCACGACTGACTGCCTGTCGTCTTATTTCCTGTTCCTTGTGCACCCTTTCCCAGCCACTTGCAGTCCCAGGCTGAGCTTCTTTCGTATTGCCTCACTCACTGGTTGCTGCCACCACAGACTGGATCTCTGCATGAGCATGACCTTTCTTTCTCGTACTTTTTTACAATCGTTTTAGAGCACCATTTCTATCTTCCTCTTCTTCCCTATCTCCCAGCTCCAATTTTCTTCAGCATGAGGGGATTCCTGAGAGCTGCGGGCACCTTCTGCCTCCTTGCCCATTCAACAAACGCCATTGAATTGACACTGGACAATGCCGGTTTGTTTACCTCGTTGGTGGGTTAAGGAAACAGAGCTGACCACGCTTTGCAGCATCGGTAAATTCAGCTGCTAGCACAATAGCATTTGGGCTGATGAAGTATTATACCGGAAACAATACGGGCGATGTCCCGGGAAACCTCCCGGATCCGTACTTCTGTATGCCGGTCTCCGCTTCCCCGTCCAGCTGCGCGAGCTAACATTCAGTTACAGGGTGGGAAGCCGGGGCCATGTTTGGGACCCTCATCGACTACTGGTCCCTGACCGGAGACACGACATATAACAAGGTTATCACACAGGCCATGCTCCATCAGGTCGGTGATGACCGAGACTTCATGCCCAAAAACCAGACACGAACCGAGGGCAACGACGATCAAGGGTTCTGGGCCTTAGCCGCCATGTCCGCCGCCGAGAACAACTTCCCGAACCCTCCTGCGGACCAACCCCAATGGCTCGCTCTTGCGCAGGCAGTCTTCAACCAGTACGCCACTCGGTGGGACCCGGAGACTTGCAACGGTGGGCTGCGGTGGCAGATTTTTACTTTCAACAATGGCTTCAATTACAAAAACTCCATTTCCAATGGATGCTTCTTCAATCTTGCCTCGCGGCTCGCCCGGTATACTGGCAACCAGACATACGCCGAGTGGGCCGAGAAGGTCTTCGATTGGGAAGTCGAGGTGGGGTTGATCACTCCCGATTTCAAGATCTACGATGGTGCCTCGGTGACGGGCAAGGACAATTGCACCCATCTGGACACGATCCAGTGGACCTACAATGCCGGTATCTTCCTCCACGGAGCTGCCGTCATGTACAACGTCACCGAAGGATCCGATGTCTGGAGGGGCCGGGTACAGGGCATCCTCGACACCACCAAGGGGCGGTTCTTCAACAACAGCGGCATCGCCGCCGAGCGGGCGTGCGAGAGCGTGGGGCGCTGCGACGTCGACCAGCAGAGCTTCAAGGGATACCTGCTCCGGTGGATGGCGCGCACGACGCAGATGGCCCCCTTCACGTTCGACGCCATCAGCTCCCTGATCCGGACGAGCGCTGCGGCGGCGGCCCAGTCGTGCACGGGATCCCCCGCGCAGGGCTTCAGCGGCCGGCCGGGGACGGCGTGCGGCACGAGGTGGGACGTCGGGTCCTTCGACGGCGCCGTCGGCGTGGGCCAGCAGATGAACGCCCTGTCCGCCGTCATGTACACGCTCGTCGGCAAGGGCGTCGCCGCCCCCGTCACGGCGACGACCGGCGGCACCTCCAAGGGCGACGTCAATGCCGGCACCCAGACCACCTCGCCCATCACGCAGCTGGCGCCCATCACGGTGGGCGACCGCGTCGCGGCTGGCTTCTTGACTACGGCTATCGTCTTGAGCATCGTTGGAGGGAGCCTGTTCGTGATGAAGTAGGCGGCCCTCGCACAAAGCATTGGCGGCATCATAACTCTCTGGGGTTTTTTTTTGGGGGGGGGGAATTGGCGTTTCTTGGTCATACTTCATGGACTAGGTTCATCTGGCTGGCGTTTATGCGGGACTCGTCATCAGCTTTGAAAGCCATGCATAATGATTGGGGTGTTGGGGGAGGTCCGGCGCAGGCAATGTTTTTTGGAACCACTCTATATTTAGAAACGTGCTGGGCCAAGGCCTGGCGATCTAAATCTTGAAGATAATGTGGATATTTTGAGTTCAACCCTTGCCAGAATCTAGATATTTACTTTTATGTGTCGTATGCTGCGTCTAGGTTCGCGATGGCATGGCCGTCGACCTTGTAAATGCGCCGTATCAGAATATCTAACCCACTTGGCCGTTGATGGCCGGGGCCCTTCTCTGCCACGAAGGCGTCATCCTCCCTAGGGAACCCAGGGAGAAATGGAGCCTGGTATCCTGCAGGCAATATCGCCATGGTTTAGACGACTCGCAATGGCGTTGAAAGCAGGGCTTGTCGGGATTCTATAGCCCCTGAGCGGGCGGGACTATTCAACCTTGGTCCATTTTGTCCACCTGGGACTGGGAGATTATTCCATCTAATCACATACATGGCTCGCACAACTTTGTCCTTTTTTAATTCTGTAAACGGCTTCCTTTCTCTCAGCCCCCATCTCAGTCGGTATCTCAGGGGCTGCATGTGATTCAGCCCCTTTTCTACTCTTTCCTCCATGAATGTGTACAAGCTTACCTGGCTCCGTCACACCTCACTAGTCGCAGGGGATAGATTCACTGGTGCTAATTCAGGTACTTCCTCACTGATGCTAGCCAGCCCGAGGGAGTCGAGTGATGCCATGCTTCGACCGGTCTGGGTCATCGAGGCGAAAAAGAATCGATCTGACTCGATCTAGTCGACTGGAGCATGGTGCAATATCTACTATAAAGGGGACTCCCTCCCTATTACTTTCTTCTCCCAATTGCTACCTTCGCCATAAACGTTTGCCTCGTACGGAATAATGTCAACGAAATCCTTTTGGGGCAGGGTCAGGCCTGCTGGTGATTCAGGCCCTTGGTATATCATCATCAAAGGCGTACGTATCATCAAGAAGGTCAGAACGCTGGCTGATCTACTGTAGGTACCCGATCGCTCCGAGGGCAAGCTGCATAGCTGGATGAAGGAGCTGTTTCTGAAAGAGGTCAGGAAGAGGGAGCAGGAGCCACGCCACACACCCCCTGAATTCTGCCAAGGGCCGCTGCGATATGGTACAACTTGGGTCAAAGTTACGACTTTGGAGGATTATGGTTCCCTGTTGAGTAGGCATCAGACCTTACGCAAGCAGGCATCTGCGAAATAGGGGAAGTGGTGAGCTAACAGGGGCTGTTAGAGGCTCTTCGAAGCCTCCCATGGCAGGTCCTCCAACTCGACGACCGCTTCGAGATCGACTACCGGCAGGAGCAACGCCATACCTGGGTTCTGAATCCTCAAGAAGGAGACTTCGACGAGACCATGGAGTGCGACCAGGAGCCGGACGCCGGGATCACGATTCACGAGTTGTCCCTCAAGGATAGCGATTGAGATGCGAGCGTCACAGCCAGCGAGCCCGAACCTGAAATGGAAAGCATGGTGGAATTCCCGAGACCGATATACCAGCGATGGTAATGGTTCCCATCCTGAACAATGCCATGTTTGCAGCAGACCAGTGCCTGGGGAGGAGGTACCCCCGCCAGTTGAGTAATCAGAGGCTCTAACGGCTTCAACAGCCAGTCACAAGTGTCTTGCAGATAGAAATCATCCATCCTTTTCACGCCAGATCATAGCATGTTGAGGTACTTGAAGTACCCTCTGTCACCTTGTGGGACTAACAGAATCGAGACGGGTCGAAGTGGAGGTAGAAGAGCCGCCCATTGTTGTTTCGGATTATGAAATCGCAGCCCTCGTCGGTTATGTGTATCAGCCAGAAGTCAACGTCGTAGTCAACGTCGTAGTCAACGTCGTAAGGTGAGGCTCTCGCCATGTCGACCGGCGCCGTTGCTGTAGAGTCCCTTGTCACAATTTAAGGGGAAATTATAAGTTTGCCTAACAGGAGCTGGATCGGAGGCAGAGAGTACCATTGGTAAGGTACTACACACAGAATATGCGTTTTCTCATGACTGAGAATGATATGTCTGGCCTCACGTCTCGATAGGCTTGACTTCCAGACCAGGACTTTACAGGTCTGAAAGGCTTGGGAGCTGGGAATGGACACCACAGGCGGATAGATGCTAGAATCTCAAACCACACCGATTTAGCCATATACCAGTCATTTTCACTTTTCGAACTCCTGCCTCGATAACACGCCCGGAGGCGTGCCAATGCCGCCCTTTTAGGCTCGCCACTCAAGCATTGAGCTCAAGGCAGGCTTCGCAATTGCCCCAAATGCTAAGTAAATCCGGATGGGGTATTGTCGTTGTTCCCCTCAGATCCAAGAAGGTACGTGGTCCAACACTCCAACTCCAAATATGGGCTCCCCCCCTTTTGTTGCCAAGCGGGACACCAACAGAGTGTATCACGTGACTCATCACATGCCATTGTGTAAACTAAACCCCGCGCCTGTCTATGCCGACGTCACCCCACCTCACCGCGCGATGGCTCTGCCGGGCTCAACTAACTGGGCCCCATTGAGGGGCTTTTCCTAAGCTCCTCTATATTAGTAGGGTAGATAGGTCATAGGTAGATACACAATTCTTCGCGAACTTTGCCATCGATTTATTTAATTTGATTGCTATTCCCGTAGCCATTGAGGTCCCCTATCCTCCCTATCCCTTCTCCCCTTCGCCGAGACCCCACCTCTGCGACAGACACTCAACCCTGCTCTCTTTAACACCACCTACCCAGAAAAGGCAGGTAGGCAGGGAAGGCAAGACAACGACACAATGTCGGCCAAGCACTTCATCAACGACCCCACCCACCTGGTGAACTCGGCCCTCCGGTCGATCACCCTCACCAACCCCGGCGTCGCCCTCGACGCCGACAACAAGATCGTCTACCGCCGGCCGAGCAACAGCTCCAAGCAGCAGGTCTCCATCATCAGCGGCGGCGGCTCCGGGCATGAGCCCTCCTTCGCCTCCATGGTGGGGCCGGGCCTCCTGAGCGCCGCCGTGGCGGGCACCATCTTCGCGAGCCCAAGCGCCGAGCAGGTCCGGGCGGCTATCACGTCGCGCGTGGACGGCGACGCCGGCGTCCTGGTGACGGTGATGAACTACACGGGCGACGTGCTCAACTTCGGCGTCGCGGTCGAGAAGGCCCGCGCGGCCGGCGCGGCCGTCGAGATGGTCGTCGTGGGCGACGACGTCGGCGTGGGGCGCGCCGCCGCCGGCAAGGTCGGCCGCCGCGGCATCGCGGGCACCGTCCTGGTGCACAAGATCGCCGGCGCCCTGGCCGCTCAGGGGAGGAGCCTCGACGACGTCGCGCGCGTCGCGGGGCTCGCGGCCCAGAACCTCGTCAGCGTTGGCGCCAGCCTCGAGCACGTCCACGTCCCCGGACGGGCCCCGCCGAGTGCGGAGGACGCGGGCCACCTCAAGGTCGGTGAGGTTGAGATCGGAATGGGCATCCACAACGAGCCCGGGTCGGGCAAGGAGAAGGTCGAGCTGCCGGAGCTGGTGGGCACGATGCTGGCGCAGTTGCTGGATCAGAACGACCAGGACCGGGCTTTCTTGAACGTCAATTCGAACGAGGTCGTCCTGATGGTGAACAATCTCGGCGGCGTCAGCGTCCTCGAGATGGGTGGCGTCACCGCCGAGGTCGTCTCGCAGCTGGAGAAGAGCTACGGCATCCGCCCCGTCCGCATCCTCAGTGGCACCTACATGACGAGTCTGAATGGGCTGGGATTCAGCATCACTCTGCTCAACGTCGTCAACACTGAAATCGGCGGCCCTAGCATGATAGATCTTCTGGACTATCCCTGCGAAGCTACTGGCTGGAGTTCTCCTATTTCCAAGCAAACCTGGGAAGCGAAGAATACGGCAACGAGAGAGGATAAGGCGACATCCGGCGATCAGATCCGTTCCAGTGGACTGACGGCGGATGCGAAATCGTCTCAGGCAGCGTTGACAGCCGCTCTCAAGAGCGTTATTTCGGTCGAGCCCGATGTCACACGGTACGACACCGTTGTTGGCGATGGCGACTGCGGTATTGGCCTCAAGAGAGGCGCGGAAGGCAAGTAAATACTGTACCCCTTAGCCACCCCTATCTAGCCCTCGCGTGTCGTGGTCTTCCGAGCTTACATCTATCAGCGATACTGGAACATCTGTCCACTACCCCGCTTTCGGGAGACGCCGTCGTTGACGTCGCCAACATCGTGCCCGTTGTGGAGAGGTCAATGGATGGCACATCAGGAGCACTATACGCCATCTTCCTGAACTCCCTCGTCCATTCGCTCCGCACTCAGGGTTCAGGTGAGGCATCACCCAAGATCTGGGCCGCAGCGCTGAAGCAGAGCCTGGAGGCTCTGTCTAAGTACACACCCGCAAGACCGGGCGACCGCACACTCGTAGACGCCCTGCATCCCTTCGTCGAGGTGCTTGGCAAGACTGGCGATGTGAAGCAGGCGGCTGAGGCATCTAAGGACGCCGCCGAGGGGACTAAGGGCATGAAGGCGAGTCTCGGGAGGACGGTATATGTTGGTGGCTCCGGGTTCGAGGAAGTCCCAGATCCCGGCGCCTGGGGCTTGGCCAGCTTCTTCCTTGGCCTGGCCGGCCTGAAAGCTGTGGAGTAAGGTCGTGAGAAAGGCTAAGTTGTTGAGGCAGGATAGATCTGTCGTACATGTACTGTATGCCTTGAGTGGCTCGCTTTAGCCAGGGAGGCAAGGTTAAGGTAGAATATCTCTAGGGTGGAAAACTGTTGGATATGAGAGAACAGCCTTTTGGGGTATTTCATCGTGTTCATGTTCACCGAAAAATAGAACCACCGTCATTTCAACGCCCATTTAACCCTATTCGAATGACCGTTGCCCCACATATCAGCGTATTTTAATGCCAAACCGAAACCGCACCATCACGACGAGTCCCATTAACTTAGCAGAACCAGAACAACCGAGTCTCCTCTCAAGAACCTGCGGGCGAACGTTAGCAAGTGGCTCACAAAAGGACGCTCCCCCCAGGGGCGGACGTAAATCGCCCCCCAAGATTCAAGCACGCACATCTTGCTGATAAACCTATCCTTGTTCACAGCCTTTCCCTTCTTCCCGTTGGCGAGTCTCGGGGTCTCCGTCCACATCTCTTTGGCATTCTCCAAGATCATGTTGCAATGCCGGTCGAATGCCTTCACCCGAGCGAGGATCTTCCTCGAATTTCGCAAACTTATGAGGACCTGGTTATGGCTTCGTACGGCGGTCTGTAGGATCGAGCTGCGGTCATCTCGTTAGCCTCGTGCATCATGAACGACCAAGGCGGGGCGGGGCCTTACAGAGGGCCGGCATTGAACTCGTGCTCCTCTAGCTGTGCTATCTCGTACTCGCTACCGATCGGTCAGTATCAAGTGGTCACGGAGCTGGGACAGGGCCACAAACGTGAGCTCGTTCCGGTGCTTGGTAAGAAGCTCCCTGCGAGAATGTTAATATTGTCAACCGGTAACCATCTGCAGGGTGTACACTAACTGAATCTTTGCGTCCGCCATTGTCAAAATGTGCAATGCCTCCTGGTGGATGTTAAATAAAAATGGCGACGGTAGGATTGTAAATGGCTGGTGTGGGCGATATTGAACGACAATGGTGATGTCGAATTGTTGTAGTGGGGGAGGTTGAATGAAAATGGCAAGGCTGAAGTTTTCTTGGGAGAGCTTGGGGAAAAGCTGGGTCTGATTGGAGGAGCTGTGTCAAGGTAGGCCCCACACCTGCAAAGGGGGAAAATTATAGGCCCGGCGACAGTCAATCGGTCCCGTCCCTCTCGGTCGCAGATTGTACGCATGGCTCGAAAAATCGCCGCTAGGAGCTCGGTTTAGCTGCATCATGGAAAAGCATTGCCGACCTGCCGAGTTCGTATACCTATAACACCGTCCTTGGGAAGCTTCTCAAACCACCAATTCCAGACTATGGTCCTGGGGCTTACAGGAATTGACTTTTAGATGTTCTCCACGGTGATTATCAGTCGAGCTAGACCAGCAGCATCGGCTGCCTGTCGGGGCTGCAGAGTTAGCTTTGCCATGCCTCTTCGAGCGAAGATCCTCTCACAGCATGCCCCCAAGCATAGAGCACTGGTACTGCTATTCCACCAGCCTCGCAAGCCCTATTTTGCTTACCATTTATTTTTTATAGATGTCAACCCAATCGATGGCCGAAATCTTCCGCGAGGTTCCGGGGGACGAACCCGAAGATGTTCTTTTCAACAGCTTATACGGACTCCGAACGATTGAGCTCAACCGACCGGCCCAACTCAACTCCCTGAACGGATCGATGGCCAGGAAAATTGCGCCGAGATTACTCGAGTGGCAGAAGTCCGATATGGCGAACGTGATCGTTATGAAAGGAGCTGGGGAGAAAGCGTTTTGCGCCGGAGGGGATGTCAAGGCTCTTGCACAGGCAAACGAGACCGGCCCAGAAGGCCAAAAAAGGTCAACGGACTACTTTGCCCTGGAATATAAGCTTGATCATCTGATTGCGACATACGAAAAACCATACGTTGCATTCATGGATGGCATCACGATGGGAGGTGGTGTCGGACTAAGCGTCCACGCGCCAATCAGGATCGCCACTGAACGGACGCTTTTTGCCATGCCAGAGACGACCATTGGCTTTTTCCCTGACGTCGGGGCCTCATTCTTCCTGCCCAGAATGGCTGGTGCGACGGGAACATATCTCGCCCTGACGAGCGACAGGTTAAAGGGTGTCAATGTGTTCTACTCTGGAGTCGCGACTCATTACCTGCATTCGACCAGCCTGCCAAATCTGGAGTCGCGCCTAGCGGAGCTCAGGTTCAAGGACAGCGACCCCCTGACGCGGAGACTCGAGATCATTAGCTCAACCATCGAAGAATTCAGCACAGGCTTGCCGCATGACCAGCCCATGCAGCTGGCTGGAGAGCTGCGCAGTGCTATCGACCGTTGCTTCAGCCACGATAATGTGCCCGCGATCATCAAAGCCCTCGAGCAGGAGACGAAGGCAGAGAACAGCACAGTCGGGCAGTGGGCGGAAAAGACGATCAAGACACTCCACGAGAGATCCCCGACCGCGGTTCACGTGAGCCTGAGGCAGATGCAGATTGGCAGGAAGTGGTCCATCGCCGAGACGTTCAGGAGGGAGCACCAGATTGCTGCAAAATTTATGCGACACCATGATTTCACCGAGGGTGTATCAGCATTGCTTATCCGGAAACCGAGAGGCACACCACAATGGCAGCCACCATCGCTGGAGGCCATCAAGCCGGAGGACAACGTGAGCGAGCCATTCTTCCAAGAATCCAAGGATACGGATAAACTAGCTCTCCTGAACGATTCCGACTTCCGCGAATACCCAAATAACCATCTCGGATTGCCGAGTGAGCATTATGTTGAGCGGGTCGTGATGGAGGGTACGATGAGCCGGGGCGAGGTGGTGAAGCATTTCATTGAGAAGAAGAAGGGCAAGCAAGGTGTGAAGGAGGTCGTCGAAGAGGTCCTGTCAAGGAAAACCATCGTCAATGATAACGGCAAGGCTGTGTGGCAATATTAGGGGTTGGAAACAACAACTACTGGGTATGATAGGGGCTTCGCTGATGGAAAAAGGCGATAGTTTCATTTTCATGTTGCATAGAACGCGAAATTCATTAAACAATAAGTGTAGTTATAAGTATGCGTAGATGTAGAAATAGCCTCGTTCCACGCTGTCAGTTGTGGAGCTGGGAAAAAGGTGTGGTTGCGAAACTGAAGGGTGTTATGTGATTGGCTGCAGCTTGGCAGTTACAGAAACTCTGCAAGACCAAGATCGCGTCATGTTATCAAGATGGAGTTGGTGGCCGAAAAGTGCAAGTGGGGGGTGTCTTCAGAAAGTATAAATAGGCAGGGCCCCCGCCCCCGCAGGGTATAATTCAAAAAAGACGGCACTTTTTCCCTCTCTTTTCGGCTGTCAGATCTGTGGCTGTTGCTGCCTTTGGGAGGACCTCCGGAGTTGTCAGAGACTCAGGACTAAAATCCGAGGAAAGTTGCCGTCCTCCAATCCAGACCAGTCCCCCCTGCCGGAGTCGGGTGGGTCCCCATATTAGCCTAGGCGTACCGTGCAGGCGCGTTAGAGCGGGTCCACCTGAGCTGCAGCCCACCAAAGCCACACGTCAACTCAACTCCTGGACCCGCGTTTTTGGCTGTTGAGAGTTTGTAAACTTACAGACCGGCTCGAGCCTTCCGTATAATCCCATCTTTACACCTCGACAACACGGATTAAAGGCTGGGAAGCTCTCTCTCGTAAGCCCAGCTGCAATTGCATTTGCCACAGTTACACGCCGTTGAAGAAGCCGGACTGACAATATCTTTCAATTTCTTTGTCTTAGTCCTGCAAGGGGTAGGCCGTTTTTACGGCGATATTTCCAGAGACGCGACTATTACGCGCCCGTGGCTGGACCCACGAGCCATGACACCAGCCTCTTTAAACCAAACAGTTTGGGACGAGGTCAATGCTTAATTGCGTTCTTCCCACTCCACTTCAACAATCTCCAATTTCATTCCAACTTCAACTTCTAAACAACATCAAATAGCCTCCAACCCGCCGTCAATCGCTCACGGGAGTGTCAAAGCTCCACGGTGGTTGAACAATGGTGCCCGCAGGCAGGCTGGGGCCAAGGGGCTCCGCTGCACCACCACCAGCGCCGATGCCACAGGAAGCCGATGACTTTGGCCTTCAAGTCCGGCCTATGGGATGTAAGAAGGATCTGCTCTCATTCAGATCCAGCCCGAGATCGCTAATGCATTTTCCTCCGCCCGGCAGTGAAGGTCCATTATACCTTCGACAGGGAAAACCAAGTCAATTGCTTAGCAAGGTGGCCGCACATTTTGCAAATACAGACTATCCCTCTCGACGAAAAGAACTCAATTGGCGTCATTGACCTTAGGACATGCCTCCTGGCCGTCGCTCAGTGCAGTCCTGAGATTATTAACCAGCACGACAATGACTACACCGTCTACGCCTTCGACTACTCAGAACCAGACACCCCACTGGTGGGCCAGGGCATGCTGTCCTGGGGCCTCGATGCGAACAGCGACCCTCAATCCCAACTAGTAACCGGGCGTGTCGCGAGGAATCTATTGGCGATATTCGGAAATGGCATCCGAGAAACTCTGGAGGTCAAGCTGAAATTGACTGCTGTGCCGAAGATGCAACGCGCCGAGTCATCGAGTCTCAACATGGATTCTCAAAACATGAGGTCTGCTCCAACGCCCGTGGACACGACAAATGCCGAGTGGAATTCCTTTGTCCAGTCGAACCCTGCTCTTGGTCGGTCTGCAAACGTCGCCGCCGTTCCATCTCCTGCCCTAGCTCCCGTGGGATTCGACCATTTTGCGCCAGAGAACAGGTTCTCTGATATACGGAGCGATTGCTTGCCACACCAACCGAGCCGACCCCCCAGCATCGCTCCTACTGCTCCGCGAATCCCGCTTGAGGAACCCGCGTCTTCCCAGCCGCCTATCGAGATTGTACACGAGAAGCCTCCCCGGCCCTCCCGTCCTTCGTCGAGAGCGTCTCGAAAGGCGCCCACGGGAAGGCCTAGAGGAAGGCCTCGTAAGAAGCCGCTGGAAACTGGGAACACGTCGGCAGCCGAGGAGGCCACCGACGCCGATGACGGACCGCATAGGAAGAGGGCAAAGATCACACAGGTCGACTACAGCAATGCTGCGCCGTTCGGGTCAGCGCCAGACTCGCTGAGGGTTGCGGCAAGCACTTCAGGCTCTCTCCGAAATATGAGACCTATTGCTGCCGCTGGAAGCGCCCCGCCCGTTGGCCATCTGCAGGATATCCCCCGAGCCCCTACTCCTGTTCCGGAAGCGCCAATGCTACAGAAGCAGCAGCGCAAGCGAAATTCAGTCATGATCCCCCGGAGAGGATCACTGGCCGAGTTTGAGAACACCCACCCGTACCCGCCAAACTTTGGCCAGCAGGCTTTGCAGATGAGTATGGCTCGGGATGCGCGGTCCCCGACAGAGTCCATCGCCCTGTCTCCCGATCGGGGCTATACTCCTGAGAGCGCAGCAGATCTTGGTTCATCCCCCCCGGTGCCCAGGGCAAGCGTTTACATGCAATCGAGCCCTATGCCCTCCAGCCCCGTCCTACCCTCCATGTCCTTGGCCCCGGTAGACTCTGGATTTATGAGCGGAGGAATCGAGGACTTCTTTGACGAGGAAGACCTGCCACAGGAGCTCCCGCGAAGACAATCTCAACCCGACCTGCCCCCAAACCTTCCCGCCACCAAACTGGCGACACAGGCGCCCGTCCGAAAAGGCCGCAACCCGCAACCACAGCCGCAAAATTTCCCCTTTCAAGAGGTCAACCCCGGCCCACCAGAGTTCTTGCCGGTCACCAGTATCTTCAACCCAGCTGGAAGAGCCAAATCCCTGAACAGGGCAACCGCTCCAAAGAATCCTGCATCTAGGACACTCAAGAGGTCGAACACGGCATCATGCCCGCCTCGATCAGAGCCGGGACCAGCTGTCCAGGAGCAACACGTGAGCCAAGATGCTTCGCAGACTGCACCCGTATTTGCAGAGGTGATGGATAATCGTCCGGCTTCTCAGCCTGCGGATGGAGTTAAGCAGATGGATTCCACCGGCATGAAGATGGACATAGACGTCACGGCGAGCGCTTCTATCCAAATGTCCCAGCTACCTTTGAATGACGCCCAGCCCAAGGAATGTGTGGCGGCAGCTTCGCCGAAGGATCAACCACTTTCTAGCACGGAGCCGCCAGTATCCGCTTCCGAACCGGCACCCGCTGCGCCAACCCCGAAAGAAACCCAGCCTCTGCCGGCACGCCCGCCGTCCAGACCTGTATCCCGGAGTGCCACAGTTCCCCCGGCCATTCCAGCCAGCGACCCGGCACCAGACATGATGGCCCTGACATTGCCCCAAGTATCCCACTCTGAAGCCCCGTGTCCTGCCACTGATGGCGCAGAGGCGCCGAGGTTCAATAAGAATCAGGTCAAGAAGCAGTCGATCAAGGAACGCTTGGAAAGCGCCATCCAGAAGGGAGAGATGCCCCCTTTCTGCAACAATTGCGGAGCCATCGAGACACCAACCTGGCGGAAAATCTGGACTCAGGATCATCAAGGTGTTCCAGGTTTCTATGAGTTTTCGGACAAGCCGGGCTGTGTGACGACGATTGACATCTTGGCGAGGAACACTGAAGGCCAGCCAACAATGCACCGCCTAGTCAAGAAGAACCTTGGTGTTACAGACAACAGAGGGGATTGGAAAGAACTCCTCTTGTGTAACCGTAAGTGCCATTCGAGTATCGCTTCTTTGGGTGGAGAGACTGACAAAGGATAGCGTGCGGTATCTGGCTCGCCAAATTCAAGTGTCATCGGCCGCCTGACAGGTGGGATAAAGACGCAGCCAGACTCAACCAACCTCGTAGGAAGCGCGAGTCGAAGGCCGGCAACTCCCGTTCCAGAAAGTCGCGTACCAAGAGCGATGGGCAGCTGAACCCTACTTCGGAGGCATACTTCACAACTGATCCAATAGGGCCCTGCGATCAGCCGTCTCCCAACGACCTGGAGGGCGGAGAAACAGATTCTCAGTCAACTCGCCAAAACAGTGCCGTGACGGATGGCAATGGTGGCCAAAGGCAAGCTTCACAACCGGCCATGGCAAAGATGCCCAACTTGCTCGGTTCCCCAAACGGGAAGGGGCCGGGGTCGACTCATTCAAGGGGTAGCGGAACGGCCAATAGCCCCATCGCAGTTGAAGAGGATGACCTCGGCACGACCCGACGCCTCCTTTTTCCGTCTCCCAGGAAGGATGGAATTCCAAAGGTCCTTGGGGAGCTCGCGGTAAACATTGTCCAGACTGGGCCAATCGTGGTAGAGCCGAAACTGGCAACGACTGGCAAAGATGAGAAACCGACACTGGATCGCTCTGCGACACCTCCGCCCCCGGAAGGCGACGACTTGGATCACCAACTATTTGGCACACCCCCACCACGGCCCTCTACACCTCCCCCGAATGCTGCAAACAGCGGCTCCTTTAAGACTCCGACTCGGCCAACACCGAGCCACAGGCCCATAACTAGGAGTATCTCACGGTCGATCCGCTCGGCGAAATCTATCCCAAGGTCACCGAGCCAGGCACTGCTGCAGCTGCAACGGACGCCCTCTAAGACTCCGCGGTCGTCAGGCCCCAATGCGCTGAACCTGAGCTCCGGCAGACGACGTACGACGCCGCGTCATTCAAACATGCACGCACGCTTCGCCCTCGACGACGACACGAACGGGCACGCGCACCTACACTTCGACTCGCCCTTCACCGCGACGCTGAACCAGCTCCTGTCGGAAGCTAACGGCTTCACGGCGGGATCCCCGTCGCACGGCCTCGTCGACCTCGACCTGAGCAGCCTCCCGAACCTCGACAGCGACGACGTGCAGCACCTGGCCAACTCGGGGGCCCTGGACTTTGGCCACTTCCTTAACACGGACATGGCGATGCAGAGCTCGCCGCCCTTGCTGAGGAGCCACGTCATGAACTTCGGGGGCGCTCTCGGCGGGCTCGGAACCGGCTCCGAGCTGTAGGGGGTTACCGGTTCGAATCGGGAACAGCGGGATCAGGTGCTACTGCTCCGACGAGGAAATCGAGTCGCAACTTTATATTTAAGCAGCTCTGTGGGTTTAATGGCGACATGGGTCTTCTACAGACGTGTATGGGTACATGTCTGGCTACGGCTAACGGGGTGAGGTCACCGGCGACAACTGTCGAATTATTTGGTTGCATAGCGGAAATGGGGGCGTTGTGTTCAAGGGGCGAGCCAGGCTTTCCTCCTTGGAAGGCGCAAGGGAAGCGCCTGTCATTGCATTGTGTTTTACTATGATATCCCATGTTACCTTTTTTATGTTCGAGTGGACGGAGAGGAGACAGGCTTGTATGCATCTCCATGAGGAAAAAAGCAACAGTATTAGCTTAACACGCAATTACCGATGAGACGAGGTTTTCGTGACTTGACCGTGCCACCCCTTTTTTTGCAGCGTGACTAAAAGGGGCAGGCAATTGGCCGTACAATCGCTTGCGCTCCATTCAACAGTGCCAGGCAAGTAGGCATCATCATGCAAGGCAAATAAGTAGTTGCAGCCAGGGGTTGGAAACACAGTCACGAGGTGGATGCAGAAAAGTATAAGAAAGAAAAAAAGAAATAGACTTCGTGGTCATGCCGATTTACTTGGACATACTGCTGGATGCAGTCAGTGTCTTTATTTAACCTCGATAAACTCTAGATCCCAATGCTAGCTCCCATTCCCACCTAATGCAACGCAATGTAACGCCCAAAGTAGACAGCTACGCAGTATATCCCGGGAGGTGCCAAGAAATCCACTCATTCCTTCAGCTGGCCCCTCGCAATCCGCCATCGCCCCGCCGAGTCCATGCTCATGGCGATGGTCATGTTCCCGACGCCCTCGATGAGGGAACTCATCAGTTCGGAGTAGTCCTCCTGCTCCTGCTCCTCCTCCTCCTCCTCCTCCTTCTCGTCGCCGCCAACTTCCTTCCCATTGGTCCTCCCACCACCACCGCCACCACCGCCACCGCCGACGGGGAACCGGGCGCTAGATTTCCTTCGCGGGGGAGACGGGGCTACAGAAGAAGAATAGGACGACGAAGAAGACGATGATGATGAAGGGGCGGGAGAGGAAGAACGGGAAGGAGAGGGGGAAGGGCGAGAGGGCGGGGGGGTCTCCTGGGAGGAGGATGGGGAACCGGCTGGCCAGACGACGGAGACGCGTCCGCGACCGCCGGGCCGGGACCGTCAGTGGGCGGCGCCGGCGGCGCTGCCCTCGGAGACGAAGAGGTTCTTGTGCTGGTGCGTCAGCTCGACGAGGGTGTGGCACAGGTTGAAGTCTGCGAGGTGTGTTGTTAGCTAGGTATAAGGCTCCACTACTTGCTACTCGATAGTCTGTGCTCCATATCGCTTGATAATGGGGCCTGGGCGCGAGGAGGTCATGAAAGAGAAACAATGCAGATGGGGGATAGAAAGAGCATACCGACGCCGGTTCCAAGGTCAACCGAGCTCAACACCTTGATCGAGAGATCCGGGTTCACCTTGCCGATGAGCTGGGCGCCATTGCCAACAGAGAGGTGGGCCTCCTAGCAGCTCATTGTCAGTCAGGGGTCCACGATGATGCTATTGTTTTGTTTGGGTAAACCGTGTGTGGTTAACCAGGAAACGCACCCGGTTGAGGTGAGCAGTGACATTGCCATCGGCGTCGACGATGGCCTGGTCCCCGCGCAACTGGACGACCTTTCCGACAACCATGACATTGCGGCCCACGTACGAGTCCAGGTAGGGACAAGATATGCGAGGGGTCGACTCCATTGTCTTAGTCGCCTTCTGGCAGGTTCGCTTGGTAAAGCCTCACGGAAGATTCGAGACGGCGGCTTTCTAGTTGTTGGAGGGCGTGGGCAGGTACCACGACTTTGGGCCGGGTGCAGATCACTTGCTGCAGATCACTTGCTGCAGATCGTTGGCGCCCCTTTCCTGCTAAAGTTTGGCCGAGTATCCGTAGACGCCTAAGGAATGAAACTTGGGATTACTTGTGAGGCTGGGCTGCAAGGCGAGGAGATTGGTAGTTCAGCCTGTGCAATGACGCTCCTAGTGTACTTTGAGTTTGGAAGGTGTGGCTGCGGGGTTTTGGGTGGAATGATTCGACGATCTCGATCGCGATGACACTTACACTGGTACACCTTGGCATTGGGCTGAGCTAGTTCTACTTTGTAAATGCAGACCCACCTGCCTGCGGTTACGCGAAGTCGCCACCCGATTCTACTGCGTTACATACGTGTAGCCACCTCATATTAACCCTGACCCCCCAAAAATATTCTTGGCCTGCCTTCCTTATCTATCATACTTCTCTAGGCAGCACCGCCCGAAATCCAACCGAACTTGTTGCTGGAGGCGCAGCAACACTGCCGCATGCGTCGATATCCTTAATACTTAGACTGAACGCGAATTGAGCAGACAAGCAGCGCTCAAACTGTTTGGGAATATTGCGCGCTTCGAAGGGATGCTTGGCAAGATAAGACTGATGAGTGGCTGATCTGGCATGCACTGTGTCCACTTGATGTGGGGAAGTGTCTATTCAGTGGGGCCTAAGTTGATGGGAGCTTCCCCTCGGGATTAACGCCGGAGAGTGAGTCCGGAAGCGCAACTGTCAACATCGGGGCTATTCCATCTTATTAACCATGTTCTCCATGCAGAAGGTAAATTCGAATTCGATCTGTCAACCTGTCGCTGCATTGGTAGGTCCTTTGGGTCGCCATCACATGGGTTGCAGTGTGGCAAATCTTCCCTGCCACATGCGTCTGATATCCAGATCCATCCAATTTATGGTTCAGATCGTGATGAGTTTGGACGAAAGAGCAATACCTTCCGATGCGGCAGCGGATATGCCATCCCAATAATGTCTCAAAATCAGATGAGATCCGGTATCTTAGATGAGAATAATTCATGAGGCCAATGAATTACCCCCAAGAAGCTTCCCTCCCGACTGAATCTCGTTTTTCGTCTTTGTATGTGAGATGGGACCTCATCTACACTAGAGTAGGTAGGTCTGTACCATGCCAACCATGCCATGTACCGGGACAGCCTATTAGCGACTAGCGTAACTAACTATCTACGGAGTCGATTCTGCGTGCAGCGCAGTCGCTGAGCCACAGCCAGCCACGATGATGATATCTGCAACTTTGCTGAGCTGGAGGTTCATCAGCCTCCAGAGAGTGACGTCAGAACCCAGTCGTCCAGACTACGCAGATCAAATCGGCATTGCCAATCTGGAGCTTCGAAGAGCGCCTCAGGATCGACCACTTACTTTTGAATCACGCGACATGGCGTCCACGCGTCCACGGTTGCGACCAATGTTACGAGAACCACTCCGTAGTGCACAGTAAACTGGTGCTCTGGAAGAGGTCTCAGATCTTGCCACCAAGGAAGATAAGGACCAAGCTAGGGAGCTGCCAGGTATTTCTTGGCACCTCGGCCGTCCGTGCACATACAATACCATGGTTTGGTCAACCAAAGATCATGAACAGGACAGGGGCTTATTATTTGCGCCCCCGGTTTGGATGGTCAGTCATGAACCGTACTATCTGATTCTGAACCTGCCTGGCCTGTCTTTCCTGGTTAGCAGCCCTTCTAGAGATAGCCCGGTATTCAAAGACGGATAAGAGCGGCGTCTTTGCAAGATGAATCACGGCCTACCGCTTGCAGTAGAAATTTACACTGTCTCACTGTGTCCGTCCAGACCTGACTGTCAGGAATTTGCCATTTATTTTCCAATCCAAGACTAGGCACACTGCATGAATGGCCCTTGCCAAACTTCCTACCAACTGTACGCCATAAGTACACACACGTGTTCTAGAACGTCGTCGCCGTCAAGTAGCTGTTCCTGGCCAACTTTCGTATTCTCCCAGTGATTGAAGTCCATAGACCAATCAGCAATCATCAATGGCCAGACCGGAACTCTCTCCAAGCGTAACGTCTCTCCTCCCTGTCGGTATGGACGTTGTACTTACTGGATGTACCTACCTGTAGCGTATCCTGCCGGTGGGCTCCGACTGGGCCAGTCCTGTGGATCCCAGGCCTAGGAATTGATTGCCAAGCTCCGGCCTATCCAGGCGCGACGTTCGACCTTCTTGTAGTTTCCTGCTTGGCCTGTCCACAGTTACAGCACCGAGCTTGGTGGCCAATTCCTGGTCCCTTTTTATTTTCGCATTCCAAACTTGTATCCAAAAGGCCGAATGTTGTCTAGGATTCACATATCCATGGCCGGGTTCCAGACTTATTCACTCTTTCCAACACCCAACGTTTGTTGTAGAAAAGAAGAAACTCGCTGCTCAGTTCCATTTATGTAGCTCTGCCCCACCAGAGCTTCCCTTCAAAGCAGCTCGCCTAGCGGCGATACAAACATACCTCCTCTCGCCCCTCTTCCCCTCCCACCTCTCCGCGTTTGATTCAGAGAAATTGGTGGTTTGAGGGAGGTTGAGACCAACCAGCCTCTGTTTTCCTTTTCCGTACGACCTCGCCTTAATCCACAGTGGGGGACTAGGTCTGCGAAGCCAGTGTAGCAAAGGTGTGTTTCCCATGCATGCTCTCCTTGCCCGTCAGCTTGCTCGGACAACGGTCGGCTCCTTTGCAAGTGACATGCTGGCTGGCCCCCGCCCCTTTGGAATGCATTCATTAACTGAGAATACCATTGCCCACGTCTTCTAGACTTCGCACAGTTCCCTCATTGATCTTGTTCTGCTGGCATCTCCGGCCACATTTTGCCTCTTTTTTTCTTGAACCCGGAATATCGCTGTCCTCCCAGCTTCTCGCCTCATACTCGCAACCTAAACACCTGGCCCATTAGGCGCAGAGTCTCGAGATCCAGTAGTCGAGGCCTCTATCTATCGGGTGGGGCGCGGAGACAAAGGAAGGGATGGACAGCCCTTCCCATTTCTTCAATGATTGCCTAGGCCTTAGCGACGGGGATTCGTATCCAGGCACTTTCGACAACGACAGGGCAGCTGCGTACGACCAGCACCGCGTGAAGCTATACAACGACAAGCTACTAATCGGCGACTCGCCCTTATCGAGGACACCCAAGTCCCAGGTGCCCAGATCCAGTATGTGGGGTCGGATACACACGACCGATATGGAAGGAGCAGTTCCTGATACCCAACCACTGTACATCGACCCAAGCCTATACTCTGCCAACGACAGCATCACGGCACTTCCCCTGCAAGCAGAAGAGTCTTCAGCGACACCGGAATCGCAGCCATCGATGCGCCGCCCGTCGAGTACCAATTCGGATTTCCGCCGGGCTTCCAAGTCCGGCAGCTCATTGACCGACCTCACACCACCCGACAACCCTCCACCTAAGAAACGGAAGCCCAGGAAAACGAAAAGGGCAGCAAACATGCCTAAGGACGAGGAGAAAAGGGTCAAATTCCTGGAGCGGAACCGCATAGCGGCAAGCAAGTGCCGAGAGAAGAAGAAGCAGTTCGTGTCCGAACTAGAAGACACCAAGATCGACCTCGAGGCCCAACATGCCCAGCTGCAGCTGGAATATAACAGCCTGTTGAGCGAGGTGAGCGGGTTGAAACATCGCTTGATGGCCCACGCGAAGTGCAACGACCCAAATATCGACAGCTGGCTGTCGAATGAGGCCAGGAGATTTGTCCAGACCACCACGGATCTCTTTGGTCCTTACCAGGGCCCGTCTTCCCATTCCTCTCACACGCGGAACCACAGCACCGCCTCCAGCCGGCAAAGCGTCAGCTTCAACCCGCTCGACACCGGGGATAGGCGCGACAGCATTGCATACTCCCAAGGTACGTTTCCAGGTCTTGTTTGATACCTCCGGGTAAAAAGCTCGATGCTGATTCGAGGAGGCTCATCATTGCAAGCATCCCCCACCGACATGGTTTTCCCACCGATCGGTTCGCCAAAGTTGAAGACCGAAATGAGCATGAACTATGATCACATGCCCGACAACCTGTTCAACTCTGAACAGTAGTGGTGTGGCGTTGCCCTCCGTGGCAGACAGCTTCAACACTTGACGAAGACACCCATAGAGCCCCGCCCCGCCACGCCCCGGGGCGGACTCTTTTCGGGCTACACGGTTCACTCCCACTTGGTGTGGTCATTTCCACCACAAAAACCGGAGCTTTCACGATTTGTTTTGTACGGGGAGTAATGAGTGATGATCTCACCAGGGGAGGTTTCGGAAATGGTCAGGCTCCGGCGTTTGGTGGGAAAGGCGTATGGTTGGCAAATACCATTGGAACTCTCTAGGTTCCTCGAAAATATTGGGCCGGGCTTCTTTTTTTTCCCAATTGAAAATGGAGAGGCGCAACTATTTTGAGCTGGGTCTTGCCACACGAGGGGAGGGCGTCCCCCAGGGGGTATATTGGAACCTTATTTGTGTACTACTACCAGCCAGCTGCCTAGTTGGTCATGCTGAAATCGAGAACGTCGATTGAGGCTCTCGTCCCCGGTTGGAAATGTATCGGCGGCTCTGTATGATGTGTTTCCCCCCTTTGATTGCCGATTGCTGTCGATGGATCTGGCCCAAGTCGGCATTTGGAGCCCTGGAGCTTCTAGCTGGATCTTGTAGAACTCGGGTCTCTCAAATGGTCTCCGTGATGCGCTAGGTGCCGGGTTGGGAGTTTATCTCTTGAGGAGTTGAGGCGACGGTGAAGGGAAAGGCTCGAGCGCGGTATTCCCCAAGACAACCATGACATATACCCTTTTGGGGGGGGCCAAGAAAGTAACACTCTGTCTGATGAGTGAGAGGCTCAAAGATAGGTATGCAAAAGGTGACGGGAACTGGAACGGGAACGGACCCCGTACCAAGCAACCAGGGGAATGGGGTCCTCGCCTTTTATGTCATTTCCTTTTAGTGTCTACAACGTGAACCTGTCATCAAACCTGGAGCCGCATCACGCGCCAAGTTATTCATTCCCGCTTGTTCTTCGTCTATTAGCTCAGTTTTCAAAATTTCGGGGAGGTCTGCTCCTCCTCCGACCTGGCCACCGCCGATCACGAATCCGCCGTCGGGAAGACGGGGTCGAAGTCATGGCGTATGGGGCCGAGGTGCACGATGCATGAGCCGCTCCATTCAGTAAAGTGCCGCTGCCAAGTGGGTGAAACAAGGCAACTACGTCGACGCTCCCTGGCCTTCAATCTAGTATTCCAAGCTGATGGGCTGAGGCTAGCGGGCTGACTGACTTACTTTTCAACCCATCGGGTCGGGTCGTTGACATGGAATAGAAGTAGTTGTTAGCAATAGTGACGCAATGACACAATTCGAAAACGGAGGGGCCCTATCGTAATCGTAACGCTGTGAATTACTCAAGTTTATGCCTTTCTTGTTGAGAGACTGCCCTCCTCACGAGAAGGTGTGGTGGCTTATAGTACAGATCTATACAACTTTGACGGGTTATACCTCATACATATACAAGGACTCTCTTTCTGTGTTTCCATATAATGCCGCCGTGGAACCTCAAGCGACAACGGCCTGCCCCAGCGGAGGCCCCGAGATAGGGATCCCGTTGACGACCACGCGGCTGACCAGGTCGCTCTGGTGCTGCTCGATCATCTCGCGCAGAGCGCTCCTCTCGATGACGATCCGGCCAGTCTCCAGCAGGTCCTTGACGTCGACGTCGCTGAGCTCCAGCGCCCTCGCCTCCGCGCCCGCGACCTCGAGGCTGGTGAACAGGTTCGCCCTCTTGTCTCCCGTGACGAACGTCGTCCGTCCGTCCTCCCTCCCCCACTCGAGCCCGCGCAGGATCTGCGTGACGTACCTCTTGACGAAGCCGTCCTCGAGCTCCTGGCCCAAGACGCCCGTCTCGGCCAGCTGCAGGAAGTCGTCGGGCAGGGGCAGGTCGAGCCCGTCCTCGGTGACGATCAGCTCGCCGCGCCGGTAGCGCCAGCTCAGCGCCGTGCGCCACGCCAGGTCGTACACCTTGCGGTTCAGCCGCGTGCTGAAGTCGCGCGGCTTGGGGCCGAACGTCTTGCCGCCGCCCCGCAGCAGCGGCGACTGCCGCGTGCCGCGCCGCGCCTTGCCGGAGCCCTTCTGCGGGCCCATCTTGCGGTGCGAGCCCGCCACCTCGTACCGCGTCTTCGACGACGCCGTCCCCTGCCGCGTCGCGTCGCCCTCGAACACCACGGCCAGGTGCAGGATGTCCCGCCGCAGCGGGAGGTGGAGGTGCTTCGTGGACCAGCATTCGAGGGATCGGGGTTCGAGGGAGGGGAAGGAATAGATCGTCAGCGGCACCGTGGTTACTGGAGGAGAAAATTGGTTAGGACTGGCTGGCATTGGGGATTGGGATATGGTAAAATTGCGGGAGAGGTTGCCGTACTGGGATTCCACGATTCTGTAGCTGATCTTGTGATATCCGGGACCGGAGCAGCGGTCGCCATTGATCTCTTGCTGACTGACGGAAGTGATAATGCCTATGGGCGTCGCCGTATTAGTTCGGGCATCTCAACTCAAGCCACACATCCAGCCCATACCGGTGCAGCCTTGCAGCTCTGTGTTGAGAGGCTCAATGCCCTCATTGCCTCGCCGAGGCTCTTCACCCCTTTTCCAGCCATCACTGAATTCGCTCCGAGTTGGCGTCAGGGGATTACGGCATCAACACGTTGGATTGGGGCGCGGCTGTCGATGATCTATGATAATCCAGAGAATGAAAATGCTTGAAAAGATCCGACTAGAGTGCACGGACCCACTTACAGCTTTGGTGCGGCGGAAAGCTCCGCCGCTGCGGGTTGCAAGGGTCCCAGAAATTTTACTCCTACCCAGCTCGCGTGTCAAGTCAAGATAATTGAAAAGCCGCCAACCCGAATTGACGTCGCCCAAGCACAAGTAGCCGCGATGTCGAGGTGCCAGCAGGTCGGCCGGCCAATTGTGCGGTCCTTACAGCAAGGAGCTGCTTCGAGGGCATGCACGGCATCGGCAATTGCCATCCGGCAGTTCTCAGCAACATCGTGCTCCCTAGACGTTGAGGCCGCGACGGTATCAGAACCAAAAGCCCCGAGCGGACCACCGGCCCCAAGAAACCCATCGGACTTGGACTGGAAGCGACGGAAGCTGGACCCCAACGTCACGACGCTTCGATGGGCTGAATCGCGGCTGATGAAGGCTGGGACGCCGCCCATCGGGTCCAGGAGGAGACGAGCGGCAATCCGCACGAGCAACAACATCCCCTTTGAGCAACTCCCCTACCAGTGCTTCCAGGAGGCACGCAAGATCCTGAACGCGGACCGCGAGGAGAAGATTGCGCAGATAATCGCCGAGACGGCCAAGATCAAGCGCCTAGAGGCTGCAGATGCAAGCACCATGAAGGGGGGCGAGGAGCTGAAGCAGCGCCGGCTTGCCAGCTTGAGGAAACACGTGGAGGAGTTGAAGATCCTAGCCGACATCAACGATCCCCTTGTAAAGCGGCGGTTTGAGGATGGCATGGGTGAGTGTGACCTTCCCCCCAAAAAACCCCACCAAATAGCTACGGGACAACCAGACTGACAACCACCCAAAAAAAGGCGACATGACGAAGCCCATCTACAGATATCTCGCCGACCGGCGCTGGCGGGAGATGGACCGCAAGATCACCATGCAGCGCATCAGCCAGTTCTTCATCGTGCCAGACGTGCTGCCCAAGCTCGAGCCGACAGCCGACGTCAAGCTCTTCTTCCGGCAGCAGAAGGTGACGCCCGGCGAGATCCTCGACAGCCGCGTGACCGAGGTCCCGCCGACGCTGCGCGTCCAGGTCTTCGACAAGGGCTCGCGCCTCCTCTCGGTCGTCGTCCTGGACAGCGACGTCCCCGACCCGGACCGCGACGCCTTCGGCCGCCGCTGCCACTTCCTGGCCGCCAACATCCCCTGGGACCCGTCGCGCACGAGCCTCCCGCTGTCGCGCGTCCCCGCCGCCGTCCCCTGGCTCCCGCCCTTCTCGCAGAAAGGCGCCGCCTACCACCGGCTCGGCGTCTACGTCCTCGAGCACGCCGAGCCGCTCGACGACGCCCGCCTCGCCGAGCTCTACGGCGGCGAAGGGGGCCGCGACGGCTTCAGCCTGCGGAGCTTCCGCGACAGGTTCGGCGGCCCGCGCCCCATAGGCTTCACCATGTTCCGCTCCGTCTGGGACGAGGGCACCGCCGACGTCATGGCCCGCCACGGCATCCCCGGCGCCGACGTCGAGTTCAGGCGGCCCCGCGTCGAGTCCCTCAAGCCGCCCCGCAAGGCCAGGGGCTGGGAGGCCAAGAGGCAGAAGGCAAAGTACAAGTTCCTGTGGAAGTACACCAAGCGCATTGCTTGAGTGGGGTGAACGTGAACCTCTCGCTTCGCTTGCCCGAGGCTCTGGGAGTGTGGTTGTGTGGGTTGTCGTGTTGGATAATTGCCCTCCCCTACCGGAAGTGGTGGGGATGTTTGGGGAGGGTGTTACTTGTATCATACGTGCGTCTGTACTGGGAAATATCAAGTGAGAACGGGTGTACTAGATAGACTCTTGTGTGAATATCGTCGAAATTCATAGGACGTTCAACTTGCCCCTGCGTTTTGGACTTGGACTCTGAATCTACCCTCGAGAAATAACACTTGAGCCAGTATACTCTCGGCAGTGAGATACTCCAACAGTGTACACTATATTCAACAAAGCTGCCTCTACCATCTATCAGTACAGTTTTCGACAACCACAACAGACTAGCTAATGGACTCTAATCCCTATCCGTTGTCCCCCTTGACCGGGAGTAAGTTCCTCCAGCCGTATCCTACAACCTTCATAACCCTTTTTCGATACCCCCCTAGGACCTGATTCGAATCCCAAACCGTTGTCCCCCTTGAGTGGGTGGGTAAGCAACATACAGCATATCCTTCACCCCTCGTGAATTTTTTTCGATGTCCCCTTGGACCCGATTCGAATCCCCAGCCGTTGTCCCCCTTATGCGGCGGTAAGCAACATACAGCATATTCGACAAACCGATTCCATTCATCTTCACTTCTCCCCGAAAGGCTCCAGCAGCCCCTGCGCTGCCATCCACATCCCGGCTCCGTTGAACAGCTCCTCGTCGGGAGCTTCCCATTCGATATCGATACCGGCCTCCACGTTGGCTGCGCCGGAGCTTCTCGTGCCATTGTCGGTTTCCCAGGCCTCGCCCGACGACTCTTTGCGACCATCCTCATCCGGTTCCCACTTGGGTTTCGCGAGGGCTAACACGACGAACTTCTCTTTCTTCCCCTCCGGCTCTTCGGCTCTCGACTTGGGAACAAAGAGTTGCTCCAGACCATCCGCAGGCCGCTCGGTAACTTCGGTTCTCTTGCCCTGCTCTTCCGTTATCGCCTTGGCAGCAGCGAGTCGCTCCAGGGCATCCACGCGCTTCTCGGCGATTTCGGCTCTCTCCCTCCAACTCCGCCATTGGAGATTTGCTGACCGCAGCCGCCCCCTGAGTGAGCCGATATCTACATTCTCCTTCGCCTCGATCTGGCGACGCAAGCGCGCCACCTCGTCCGTTTTGGCACTCAGCTCTTTTTGGAGGTTTTTGATCTCGGCACGAAGCAGTGTAGTCCCACGGCTTGGGCTCTTGTTGGTCCCGACTCTGACAGGCGTGGACGCTTGTTCCGGACGAGGTGCCTGTGGCAGTATCCCTTCTGGACCTTGTGCAATGGTGGTTGGTCCAGCAAAGTCCATGTGTCGGGATTCGGGATATTCCTGTAGGCGTGTCGTCGTTCTGCCAAAGCCTCCGATACGGCGGTCCTCAGCAGACTCTACTGAAGTGATGAGTTCGGCTTGAGACGGAGGAAGCCTCATGGTGGGAGTAACCGGTGACGACGTCTCAATCCAGTTTGCTATCCTTTCAGTCTCCAAGCTTGGCTTTGAGAGCAACCGCGTGGTCCGCCAATTGCCAACCGACGAACCAGCATTGCCTTTCTGTCGCACCATCTCCGCAGGGGTATCATCGCTAGAATACCCTCCTTCGACTACTTCTCGCTGCATTCGCAGAGGAATACGGCTCGACCGTACCGAGCCCGCCCTGTTTAACCTGAGTGACTTGGATGGTGAGCTGTTGATGGTATATTGCGACGTTCCATCTCCTGACCACTTGTTTCCACCACCATGGCCTGTGTTCCGTGCCGGTGTAGGAAAGACTTCCGCATCTTTCGAGGCCCTTTCGAAAAGTGCCGCCATTGCCTTCACGGCGCTCCCACCAGTCGCTACACCGGTTGGGTGGGAGAGAGTCTCCCTGCCCGAGGTGTTTGTCGGAGTTCTGGGAGGCTCTGCCGAGATTTTGGATCGATTCTCAGAAGGACCATCGAATGGCTGGGATCTGGTCTGGAGAGGTCCCAACGGGTTGCCACCAAACCTGCCCTCTGCCGATGACCGAGGTGCATCATGGGCGACTTGCTTAACCCCAGTACTCTTGTATCCCTTTGGCGGCTGAAAGATCCTGACTCTCTGGGGAGGAGGATCATATGATCCATCTCGCGCTTGGGGTACGGGGTGCCTGATAACGGACTCAGTGCTCGCATTTCCCAAAAGGTACAAATTCCCGAGCTCTTGCAACTCTGCCTTTGCTGTGCGCTCTTTATGTGGCTCTCGTGCCGGAGCCAGAGCCTGACGGACCTGCAATTGGGGAGGCTCTTCCGATTCTTCGACACTCATCATCCTGGTAGGCAAGACGAAGCCCTTAGGCCGAGCCCCGTTGTGAACATCCGGGCTATGTGTAGGAGGCGGCTCGAAGGTTTGGGGGAGGAGACGACGGGAAGCACTCCCTGACGAGTGACTGTTAGAGAAGGACTGAGCAGACTTCGAACCTCGCCTCCATGTCGAATATTTGCCACGCATCGTACGCTGCTTGACGGCAGATCCATCTCCTGGTAAGATTTTAGCACTGAGTCGGTGCCGTTTCGAGGAATTGGCAGACTTACCGTTGGAAGTGGACGAGCTCTGTGGCACCACGGACTCGCTTGTATCAGCATCTTCGGAAGGGAGTGGGAACTTGTTCCATTCAGCAGGATTTTTGGGAATGAGGGCCTCAGAAGCGATGGAGCGCAGCCATTTGTCTCCTCGTTGGAGTTGCCCCGGGGCAACTCCATTCCCAGTGGTAAACATACCCCGGCTTCTCATGTAGACGACCACTTCTCTCCAGTGGGAAATCACCATCTCGGCGACACTGTTGGCTACGTGGATATTGTCAACGGTTGACGAAGTTAGAACAGACTCTTCGGAAGCTCTGCTCTTGCGTCGCTCTCTCCATCGCTTCGGGGGCGTGAAGACGGAGAGTACAATACCAGAGTGTGGGCTAGCCACACTCGTAGTGTAGGAGTTTATCAGATCTCCCAGCAGCAGCGGACCGAATACGATACCCAATGCGTCGTATCCCATCAAGTCTGCAGCCGGTGGTGGGATTCCTAGATCGTCATACCCTTCGTCTTGCTCTGTAGCCGTGTCAGCTACTCGGCCGATGAGACTCAGCAGCCCGAAAACGGCATATATCAGCTCCCTGCGGTACTGGGACTTGACAGTTCCGATTGCGAGTGCAATGAGGCTTGCACGGATTTTGGTCTGCTCGGTCTTGTTGATCTCGACATCCTCAGGCAGCTGACTGTGGATTGCCACCAGCGCATCAAAAAGAGAGAGAGAGCCCAGGATGCCGCCTGGCAGGCCCGCCAGCAACTTCTTGAAGGTTGACGCTACGTCGTGGACGCCGGCATTGATGTGTGTAGGCAGACCCGGGTACCGGATGGTGCTAGAAATGCTGTCCGCGTCTTTCTCTGCGCAGTAATAGTTGTACAAGACACTCACGACTCGGACGGATCCAGGAATGCGGAACAGGCCCCGAGTGTTCGTACCTACGGGGTGTCAGTAAGCGAGGGGGTTAACAGGTAAACCACTCATGCCAAATTTACCATGCTGAATGAGGTACTGAGCCGTTGCCCGGAAACAGGTGGGTAGGACGAGAGGGCCTGACGCGTACTCGGGGCTCATTTGGAGGGTACTCTTCCCACAGAGGCGAACCAGCGAGTCGGGATCTTCGTCTTTCAACCCATGCTTTCTCGGATTGACTAGCTGCATTGCCAAATCGCTCACGCTACGCCGGTGCTGGATTTTCTTTTCCGGTTTGGCGTTGTTGTCCTGGCTTGTCGCTGACGTCTGCCGCAGGAAAGTACGGGAGAACCAGCCCCTTTTCTGCTGATCCAGCGAGCGACCCGCCTATGCCATAGTTAGATGGTTATCATCACCGCAAGTCTGAAAATATCTATACTTACATATTCCGATCCCAGTCCTTCGTGTATCAATGATCGTATGCCATGCTGTTCTAACGTTCAGTGTCACTCTGCAAACTCGACGGGGGGCCGGGGGAGACTCACCTGTTTGGCGAGTCGGTTGTACTCCTGGACGAACAGGATGCGCTCATCAACTTGATCCTCACCAGAAAGACCGCCGGCCCCTCCAAGGGACGTAGTCCATGTTGCGCTCCTGTTTCCCTTCCGACTAAACGCGTCGGTAGGCGCGCCGGCGGCTGGAGTGGGCCGAGGGATGTGGTCTCCCGCGACTGGGGAGAAGTCCCGACCAAGGCGCGTCATCCTCAGTGTCACCTTGCGCGGGTAGGATGGGTAGGTTCCCGCTGCTAGCTGCCGATGGAAGTGAATCTAATGATGCCTCATCTAGACTGCTGAGACGATGGTTTGATGGTTTGATGGTGGTTCTGATGGAATCTCTGTAGTCAGGGCACGTATGGAAAGAAGTGAAATTGTGGTTGCGATGATGATGAATCCAAGTCCCTCTGAGGAGGAGTGGAAGAAGATGTAGTTATCGTGGGCCCCGTAAGTGTCGTGGGTCCAGCCTGGGAATGTCCTTCGCTGAAGGGCGGAGCATATCGTGAATCATTGTCTACCTGCTTTCCCGAGCCGGCCTTTGTGCTTTCCCGATACTTCTTCATCACAGTTCAGGTGCTATTGGCTGGAATTGTTCGCAAGAAGGGGAGAGAGATAGTAGAATCTAAACAGGGAAGGAGCGTGCAGAATGGTGGAACATCAAGCTTCGAGGGCGTTGGCTTGGAGAACGCACCTTGATATAGGTACCTCATCAAGTACCTAAGTACGGCAGTCAAAAGCTTCCATTCCCAGGTTTAGGTACCTTAGATCACTAGGCAAGTACGTAGATACCTTAGGTAGGTAGGCACGATCAATCAAAGGCACTTCGGACGGGAGTGCTTCAACTAATTAGGTACCTAGGTAGCTACCTAGGGGGAAGGTAGGTGGTTGGCCCTGGTGCCTACCACTTAGCAACCTCTCTCCCCATCTCCAAGGTGCCGGGTAGTTAGAACGGGTTCTGACTATTCCATGGCAAGGCCAAGGCCTCAATTGCCAGTCAAACTTGGGGGGGAAAAGGAAAAAAACAGATCTATAAGGGGGTGGGGAACGTATGCAACCATGTGGTATTCCTCCAACCCAAGTTCCATCCCGGACGCCTTGCAAATGCGAGCCAACAGAGCCCATTTCTTCAGCCGGAAGATTGAGGCCACCCTGTAAGTCCACCCTTCCCGACCTTAGACGGCCCTGATGCTATCGTCTTCCTCCCCGAATAAGAGGACGTACTTGAGTATGTCCGACAGGGAGATGATGCCTTTCAAGCGGCTCTCATCGTCGACCACGATCAGCCGGTGCACTCGCGACTTGCGGATCGTGTCGAAAATGGAGTCCAGCCGATCCTCCATGCCGCACGTGTAGATGCCCCCAAAGTCATCTGCTCGCCTGGACAGGGCCTCCCCAACGGTAGCCGCCAGCTCGTCGTACGCCCCGCCCTTGATGCAGGGGATGACATCGACTGCCTCAAACACGTTCAATACGTGGTTCTCCCGGTCGAGAATGGGCACGGCCGAGATATTATGTCGGACCATGAGGTGGATCACGTCCAGGACGGAGCTGTTCATCGTCGCCGTTGCGAGGTTAGAGTAAGTCCCCAGGTCAATATCTTTAACCGACTTTCGCAACAACACAGTGTGTTTTTCGTTGTTCACGGCGATGAACTTGAGGATCCGGTACTGCGTGATCACGCTGACTACCGTCTGCCGCTTGGTCTCGTCGTCTATATCAATCAGAGGAATCCTCCGGGCTCTCGTCTTCAGCATCCGGCGACAAGCCTCGTAGAGGGGTCGCATAGGGTGGACGGATACCGTCTCAAGCGGTAGAGCCCCGATAGCTTTTTCGATATCTGCAGTATCCAGCTCAGTATTAAGTCATTGCTGGCGTCTGCGTCTGCGCCTACGCCCACGCCTGGGCTGGGTGTCACCTACCTCTCAAGCTGCTCAGGCGAAACTGGTCAACCTGGTGAATCTCTTCCGGAAACTGCCAGTAATACTGGATGACGTTGATATAGTCGGTGCTGGTCAGCAGTCCAGCAAAAGTCGAGTTGCGCGAGTCCCAGAGCGGGGCCGAGACGATGCCTATCAGAATGAGCCCGTCAGACTTGTCTCACAGAGTCGGGGGGCTTCCCCGCTTCGTCCAGTTCGCCTTACCATTTTGGATCAGGATATTCAAGCTCTTCTTGATGAGGAGGTCGTTGTCGAGGACAATGAGCCGGAAAGAGAGCGGGAGGACGTCGTAGCTGGTTCGGACCTTGAGGAATTCGCGGATGCCTCTCTGTCAAGTCTCTGGTTAGCGCCCGCAGTCTTGCCACGTAGAGCCGTGAGGAGGAGAGATCTGAGCCTACCAAACCCTGCATCTGCTCCCTATCGAGGGGACTTGCTGACGTCTCCGTCATTGTGCGACTGCTCGGCTTCGGCCGAAGGTAAGAGGAGGGCGCAACAAAGGGCAGCTCGTGACTGTGTCTCGCTAGTGCGGCTGGCGGCTGTGGTTGATTGCCCGCGGCATTGCTCCCACCCCCAGTAGTAGCGCCGAGGCTAAGGTTGGAGCTGGAGGGGTCAGAGGCGCTCGGATTGGCAGGATCACGAGTGTCATCCATCATCGCCGTCGTGGAACGGACATTCGGCAGCTTGGGTAGTTGAAGAGGGGAGAGGGGGTCCGAGTTCGGGGAGGGGGGTAAATCTCGGAAACCTGGCAGCAAAAGAGATGCTGAGAGAGGGTTGAGAGAGGGAATTGGTGCCTGTTAAATGGAACTTGACAATGGGACCAGCAAGAGCGATTTTACAAGAATCGAGGTAGCAATCTTGGGAAGTTCGAGGTCAGGTCGGGGGTCGGGGTTCAGGGGTTGGGGTCGTGGGTTGCTCCCGCTCGACAATCTGGCTGCAGAGCGTCGCTGAACTAATCGGATTAAAGAGCCGAATCTTGGCGATAACATCAACTTTAGGCCTTTGGCTGCTGCTGTGCAGACTTTGGTTCAGCTATGAGTGGTTGCATATGCAGCCTAGAGGAGGCCGGGGACCCCTAGGTTTCCCGGACTTAGTATTTTCCTCTCTGTAATCGGGCTGTGTTAGTGCGCAATAACCTTTGGGGCCGCTCTTCACCTTTGGCACCCTTCTAGTGTGCATAGATAAGAGATTCGAAAGCTTAAACCGAGAGAGTAATTATCGGTGAGCCAATAAGTGACGCTGTCAGGGTTTCTCTCCTAGCTGGTCTGGTTTTAAAGAGGAAGCTCGAATTGTTAATTGGCAATGGATTTGCTTGAATGAGACATCTGTGATAAACTGAAGAGCCGACGCTGGCCTAGTGACTCTGGAGGCACCTATTTGTGCGCTGTCTATCTAGGTTCTGTCTAACACTAGGTGTTATTAGACGCAGATATGCAGCTTGAGAGGGTAGCCGGAGGCATTTTACAACCGCTTGCTGGAATGCATAACGCAGACTGAATCGAGTATGTCATGCCATGTCAACCGCCATGTTTGGCCAAAATACAGTTGTCTTTGTTATACCCCACTACTGTCATGTATGTACCCCTCTTTCACAAGTTGGACTGGAACTGTAAGTCATCCAGTAACACAAACGAGTCCTTGACAATGTAGCATCTTTCTCTAAGAGGCTGAATTTTAGACAGTCATACGAAAGAAGGCATTTGCAACCGTGGGAGTGGTGGAAGCCCCATTGGTCTGGAACGACGACTCCTTCAGCGCCTGTCTTGACTGGCAGATCCGTTGGTTGCCATAACAGGCCTGACCAACGCCATCATGAAACATCGCCTAGCAACTCGCCGACTTTCCACCTCAACATTACCTAGTTTGTAGGCGGCAACCCACCGACGCCTGTACCAATCTATTTCCGAAGAGGGCGAAGTCTCAATGTCTTGGAAGCTGGCCAAAAGTAAGCCGCCTATCCTCTCTTGCTCCCTCCCTAGCCAGGCTCATCACTGGACTGGCAGTCTGCCGCTCTCTATATTCTGAACATGACAAGTCTGCTGACATGAACCTCTCCAGAGCTGAAGGAGACCCATTTGGGTACTTTGTCCAGCTTCTCGAGATCCACCTCAAGCTCTACCGTTGCGGACAAGGACCACAAAGTGGTGCCCTCTAGCTTGGGCGGTACCGCTCTGACAAACGCGAGTACGATCGACGCGTTTTCAGTCTTGGGTTTATAATTCGTTCGCAGTTACTGACCGCTGCAGCTATCTCAGAAACTCTCAACCCAGCTCCTGTAGTCAAGACTCTGAAACCAGGCATTCTCATCGTCACCCTCTATGAAGCCTGCGGTCTCTCGCTGCCTGAGGAGTATCAAGATGTCTTCGCATCGCAATATCCCGCAAACTCCCGCTCGACCGGCAACGCAATTGGCATGGCCAACTCCGCCCGTCTGACATCGTCATCTCGGACTTCGGCTCCATTTGCCGACGGCTTGGATCGGCCTCAGACATCTTCCGGAGGAGGTTTCAGGGGGATCTCCACCGTCCATGGCCGGGTGTCTGGCAAATATATGCCGTATGCCTTGGTGGATTTCGACAAGGTGCAAGTCTTCATCAACTCTGTTGATGGAAATCCTGATAATCCCCTCTGGGCTGGCTCCAACACCCAGTACAAATTCGACGTGTCGCGAGTCGCAGAACTCACAATCCATCTCTTCATCCGAAACCCAAACGCGACCCCTGGTTCAGGGCGGACACAAGACATATTTTTGGGGGTTGCTCGCCTTAATCCACGATTCGAGGCTAAGCGGTCATTCGAAGATGTGACGTCGAGCAAGGAAGGTCATGGACAAACCCCAGGGTACAGTGGTGCTGGGTGGGTTGACATACAACACGGAACAGGCAGATTTCAAATCGGCGTCGAGTATGCAGAGAACCAAACAGGGAAGCTCAGCATCGACGACTTCGAATTGATGAAAGTCGTTGGAAAGGGGAGTTTTGGCAAAGTGATGCAAGTACGGAAAAAGGATACAAATCGCATCTACGCCTTGAAAACGATCCGGAAAGCGAAAATCATTTCCCGCTCTGAGGTTGCCCATACCCTCGCTGAACGGTCCGTTCTCGCTCAAATCAACAATCCGTTCATCGTCCCCTTGAAGTTTTCTTTCCAATCTCCAGAAAAACTCTACTTCGTTCTGGCGTTTGTGAATGGGGGAGAGTTATTCCACCATCTTACAAAAGAACAACGATTCGACGTCAACCGCTCTAGGTTCTATATCGCCGAACTTCTCTGTGCCCTCGAGTGTCTACACGGCTTTAATGTGATCTATCGAGATCTGAAGCCTGAAAATATTCTTCTCGACTATCAGGGCCATATCGCACTCTGCGACTTTGGCCTTTGCAAGCTTGAGATGAAAGATGAAGATCTCACAAATACCTTCTGTGGGACTCCTGAATATCTTGCGCCTGAGTTGTTGCTTGGAGAGCATTACAACAAGACAGTTGACTGGTGGACACTTGGTGTGTTGTTGTACGAAATGCTAACAGGGTTACCACCTTTCTACGACGAGGTTACCAACGAGATGTATCGCAAGATCTTGTCTGAACCTCTACACTTTCCCGGCTACGACGTGGTGCCTCCTGCAGCTAAGGATCTTTTGACGAAGCTGCTCAATCGAAATCCAGCGGAACGGCTTGGAGCTAATGGATCGGCGGAAATCAAGTCCCATCCGTTCTTCCATGCCATCGATTGGAGAAAGCTGCTGCAACGAAAATACGAGCCGGCTTTCAAGCCCAATGTGGTATGTCTGCTGCTGTTCCCTACATAGTTGGGGAACAATTTGTTTTAGCCCGGCTGACAGTTGGTCTTGTGTGTCTAGGCTAGTGCCCTTGATACTGATAATTTCGACCCTAAATTCACATCAGAAGCCCCTCAGGACTCCCCTGACGATGACGCCCTGCTTTCCCAGACGATGCAAAACCAGTTTGTGGGCTTTAGCTACAATCAGCCCGTCTCTGGGCTGAACGACACCGGAGGGAGTATCACGGGCCCCTCATTCATGGATGGCTTGAAGCAGCTAAGATAAGGGCCGCCCAGGCTTGCCTCTTTCCTTCATGGTCAAGAAGCTGGTGACTTGCTTGCTCTAGTTGCAACCTCTCTGCTTTTTGGCCTTGTCCCATAGCTCCCTCTTTTTGTCTAGTCTTCGCAACTTGAATTTAACTGGCATTTTCAATATCATTGCAGTCGGACAGCGATAGTACAAGAGTCCCAAAATGAGTCACGAACCCGATGTGCAACTTACACCACCCGTCTGGAGAGCTCTGGTGGTCTGAGCGTTCTCTGCAGGTTAGATTTGGTGGGAAAAAACAATGATAACTAACAAAAGCAATGAACAAATACGAAATCGATGATTGATTATTCATCCCCTTTCTTGAATACTGCGGATGAACAGGGGGTTTCCAAGACATGCTCATATGACAGGGAAGGGAGTCATCCGCAAGGGCAGCCGCCAAATTGGAGGGGTGGATGGGTGTGGGTGACTGCGGTGAGTGGGCATAGGGAGATGAGAGTTTATGTGCATCTGACCCTTGAAACCTCAGTTGCAGAAACTCTGTTTGTAATGATTATCTCACTGTTATCATCAGCAGTTAACAGACCGGATGCGAGTCGACTATGCAGCATCCGAGTCTGACTTGAGTGCTGAGTGACAGCTCCGTGGTGGAGCTCCACTTTGGAGCTTGAGCTTTCCAAAGCAAGGGAGCTGTGGCTTGGTCTGTGGCTTTACTGACCAACCACTGGACAGGAAGAGGCGGCACCGCACATGCTGACAGGTACGTACATACCTACATATCTGGGGGTGGTGTGCACGGCCCTGCCTCATAATTCCACCCAAAGGGCAGGCAGCTTTGTCTTCCCTGCACCCAACCAGGAACCAGTGACCAGTCGGGTAGCCGGTAGTCTTGCACTTAGTTTGACCCGCCCAGAACAACAATCGTCAGCTCAAGAGCCCAGCACAGTACAGCCAAATCCAGCAAGTCCATTGCTGTGCGCCCAGATCCTGCCGATAATGCCACACTGACCTGCCTCTCACCTTTCGAAAGCTCCACAAGATAGGTATTCCCCCCGCTACCCGGTGAGTGGTGGTGGATGCCGAAGCGAGACTCGGCGAGCTTAAGAGCAAATATCACCATCCGCCCGACACCTCCCTCGACCCAAGTGGCCATGGGTGCCTGCAGCTCATCATGCTGCGGAGGTATTGGAGCTCCTTATTTCATATGCATACCCAGAAACTGATGTCTGCCTAGGAAAAGCCCGCGATGGCTTGTACGAACCAGTCCTAGCTGATAGCGAGCGAGAAGCTGTGGCCGACCTCCTTCAGTATCTAGAAAACGTCCGTCTCCCATTCTCGCCGTGGGTTTTAATCATACTCTGACATTATAAACAGCGTGGCGAAACCGACTTCTTCTCCGGGGAGCCCCTCCGTGCTCTCAGCACCCTCGTCTTCTCCGACAACATCGATCTTCAACGAAGCGCAAGCTTGACGTTTGCCGAGATTACCGAGCGAGGTGCGTGGATACATTTCATGGATACCTGGCTCCGATGCGCGATATGGCCGGCAGGGCAGACATGGGAACACCAGGGGCTAACAGAGCATACTAGATGTGAGGGAGGTTGACCGAGACACCCTTGAACCAATCCTATTCCTCCTCCAGAGCCCGGACATCGAAGTCCAAAGGGCAGCTAGTGCGGCGTTGGGGAATCTAGCAGTCAACAGTAAGCTTGCCCACATTTGCCACATTTGGACCGTGGAGCTTATCGCTAATGGGTGTCTTCAGCGGAAAACAAGGTTTTGATTGTCCAACTTGGTGGCCTACCTCCTCTCATCCGGCAGATGCTCTCTCCGAACGTCGAGGTCCAGTGCAATGCGGTTGGCTGCATCACAAATCTAGCGACGCATGAGGATAATAAGGCGAAGATTGCACGATCTGGTGCCCTGGGTCCCCTGACACGCCTTGCAAAGTCCCGAGACATGAGGGTTCAGCGAAATGCTACCGGAGCCCTGCTGAACATGACGCATTCTGGTACGGAAGTCTCCAGTTAGTGGCAGATACGTTGTGTGGTGGCTAACGTTTTGGCAGACGAGAATCGCCAGCAACTGGTAAATGCCGGGGCCATTCCGGTTTTGGTCCAGCTACTCTCTTCCTCGGACGTTGACGTCCAGTACTATTGCACGACTGCCTTGAGCAATATTGCTGTCGATTCCAATAACAGACGAAAACTGGCCCAGACTGAGCCAAGGCTGGTCCAGTCTCTGGTTAACCTCATGGACTCGTCTTCCCCGAAAGTTCAGTGCCAAGCTGCACTAGCACTTCGGAACCTGGCCTCTGACGAGAAATACCAACTGGATATCGTCAGATCCAATGGACTGAGCTCTCTGCTCCATCTCCTCCAGTCCTCCTACCTACCCCTTATCCTATCCGCAGTCGCTTGCATCCGGAACATATCCATTCACCCCATGAACGAGTCCCCAATAATCGAAGCTGGCTTTTTGAAGCCGCTGGTTGACTTGCTCGGATCTACTGATAACGAAGAGATTCAATGCCATGCCATCTCAACCCTTAGGAATCTGGCGGCAAGCTCGGATCGGAACAAGGCACTGGTTTTAGATGCCGGGGCTGTTCAGAAGTGCAAGCAGTTGGTACTCGAGGTGCCTGTCACGGTGCAGTCGGAGATGACGGCAGCAATCGCGGTCCTGGCCCTGAGCGACGAGCTCAAGACACACCTGCTAGAACTTGGCGTTTTTGATGTTTTGATACCCCTGACAAAATCCCCAAGTATCGAAGTCCAGGGAAACAGTGCCGCGGCCCTCGGAAATCTGTCCTCGAAAGGTATGCTATGCTGCCATACTCCATCCCCGTTGTTGCAACCCGTCGGATTCGCTAACTTTTTGCAGTTGGTGATTACGGCATCTTTGTTAGAGATTGGGCGGAACCAAGCGACGGCATCCACGGATACCTGAGCCGATTCCTTGATAGCGGCGACGCGACATTCCAGCATATTGCAATTTGGACCCTCCTCCAGCTCCTCGAATCCGAAGACAAGACCTTGATCGGCCTCATCGGCAAGTCCGACGAGATTGTGGAGATGATCAAGCAGATTGCAAATCGCCAGATCGAGTCCGACAACGAGGCGGAGGACGACGATGAGGGAGAAGTTGTCAGCCTTGCTCAGCGGTGCCTTGAGCTGCTTGGTCAGGGTGTGGCTAAGAGCCATATCGAAGGCTAGTCAGAGGCACCCGGCTTCTAGGGTCAAGACAACTTCCCATTACTTTGATTCACTTCAGCCCCCCTCGCGCTTCCATTTCCTGATTTAATCCATCCGCATGCACCTGGGCAGGGGGTTTGGCGCGGTGTTTGTGGCGTATGTATGAGGTATACGGAACGGCAACTCCTGAAAGTTGGAGAGTTCCATTGTATTTTCGGTTGTGTGCATTTCGGAGGGATTCATAAGTGGCGAGCTTCTTTTTGACGGCTCGCATTATCGGGATGAACCCGTCCACTCTGCCTGCAGGCTCTATCTAGTATTTCCTTTGTACCTTGACACCAGGCCTTTCGCATGGCGATGATCGCTCCACAACCGTCTCCTCTTGCGTTTTCGCTTCCGCGTTTTCCACCCCCCAACGTCGTTTTCAGCCTGTCGTTCTCAGGTGACCTGGCCGGGTCTAGGCTGATGTAATTAGACAGAGCCCATAGTAAGATATCCACGCACTGTTACTCACTGCCTATTATTAGAAGCGGCCTTTACCTAGACTCGTTCCCCCCGAGGGCATGGCGGGTGGCTTGCTAACTGCCCTGGGGTTCATGTCCTGCCTGGGTGACGCCTCTTAAGCCTCGGAGGACGTGTCGGGACTCTGGAGAGGGTTCTCTATCCACTTGAATTCCCAGGGTGGCCATGCCCTTGCGATGACCTTGCCCCTGACCAGAGCCATTGGGACGGGTCCGAATTGCCTCGAGTCTCTGGAAGCAGGCAGATTGTCGCCGACGACCCAGCAGTGACCTTTGGGGACCTACATGCTATGAGTAAAAAGCGACCCCATGACCACAAGGTGGACAGTAAACAGACCTGGATCATAGCCTCGCTCCCGCTTTCGGGCGAGTCGATCATCACATAGTCCCCCGGTAGGCCCAACACGCGCTTGATGCCGTCGCTGTCCGGGAAGATGGGGATCTTGTAGACGACGAGGTCGCCGACGGCGACGTCGCGGCCGTGGCGGTGCCGCTTGGAGATGAGGAGCCACTCGTCGGTGATCTCAAAGGTCGGCAGCATCGACGGGCCCTGCGCCGGCCCGATGCTGTACCCGTACTCCCAGAACAGGTGCGCCGCGGCCAGGTATTTGGCCGTGCTCACGAGACTCTGGAAAGGGTGGCCCAGGTTCCGCCGGGTGAAGAAGGAAAAGGGCCGGAAGGCGGACATCGGGAGGGGAATCAAGTATCTGGTGGCCTAATGTCCCCTGGGCTGAGCTGCTCTATCAGCTTCGAGGCGTTGCCATCGTCACTTGGCTTGTCTAGGTATTCACATTGAGACGAGTGTATGAGGGCTGTTGGAGCTCCCATCATGATTTGGAGCTCGATGGCGGGCCCGGCGCTGATTGGCCAATAATCAAGCTCCGCAGCGAACTACTCTGCCAACCCTGGCGGTACCTACCTACATGGGTCTGATGGGACCTGCATCAAACAATCTTTCGGTGCCAACACCCGCCTCTTGGCCTTTTCTTTTTCCTTTTCCTTTTGCATTGGGAACAGAACAACACAAGAACACCCCGAGCTTCTGACATATGCTCTCGGGCCTTTCCAATCGCAGGCCGCTCGAACAAAATGAGGGCGACAAGATGCCTCTCCCGCCCCAGCTCCGCCCTCGCTAGGGTCTTCACGAGCAGAACCGCCGACCACCACCACCACCACGCCGCCGGACCGGCCACGTCGCAACTCCGACGCCTCCTCCTCCCGGCCGTGTACACGACCTCATCCTCCTCGTCGTCGTCGCCCCCGTCCCGCCTCTTCTCCGGCACCGCGCACGCCCTCCGGGGGGGCCCGAGCCGGCCCAGGGGCGGCGGCGGCGGCGGCGCGACGTCGGCAAAAAAGGGCCGCTTCCCGCGCGACCGCGAGATCTCGCACGAGCTTGTCCTGGTGCGCGGCGACGACGGCCGGTTGTCGGAGCCGAGGCGCACGGCGGACGTGCTGGCGGGGCTGGACCCGCTGGTCAGCAGCCTCGTCGTGATCGCGATGCCGCAGCAGAAGCAGGAGGGGGAGGAAGGGGCGGAGGCGGCGGCAGGCGAGGACGGGGACAGCGAGGCGGCGCGCTCGGGGCCGCAGTACCCCATCTGTCGGGTCGTCGACAAGAAGGCGCTGCAGACGGCGGCGGTCGAGAAGGCAAAGGCGGAGAGGAAGAAGACGGTCGGGACCAAGGAGGTGGAGATCAACTGGGCGATTGCGCCGCATGACCTGCAGACCAAGCTGAGGCAGCTGAAGGGATTCCTGGCGAAGGGGCTGAGGGTCCAGGTGCTGATGCTCAGCCGGGCGAAGCGCAAGAAGAGGCAGGCGAGCAAGGACGAGTCGGCGGAGGTGCTTAGGATGGTCAAGGAGGCGATCGATGAGGTGCCCGGGTCGAAGGAGTTCAAGGGCATGGAGGGGGTGGTAGGAGGGCAGGCGAGGCTGTTCTGGGAAGGCCCGCAGGGAGAGGGCTCATGATCGGCTGGTCCTGGACTAAGGCTACTGTACATATTGTACCTACGATACCGTATCTAGTATACGGAGAGGGGGAGAGCGCTGAATAGCGTCTAATTATAGAGCAGTCGCCATTCTACAAAGACGCGGCCGACGTATACGTTGGGCTGCCCTACCTACTTAGGTGACCCTCCTTATCTTGCGCAGGTTTGTTTGCATTAAGCTTCGTTAAAAATCCCCCCAAACCCAAAACCAAAAAAAATAAATAAAAAATAAAATAAAAATTGGGGGTAGGAAAAGTAAGAGAAAATGGACTATATAACCATGCCTCGGCTGGTTTACTGTCAAGCTTGCTCGCCTTTGTCTTGTAATTAAGTTTGCGGTTGGCTCCAATAAAGGAGTCGGTCCTTGGCAGGGATATATATGGTTTCTCATGCTAGTAATCGGGCGCGGGGCATTTTTATTTTACTTTGGATCGCGACCAAGCAGTGACTCAACTTTCAGTTTCTGACACTTCCAATTGAACCGGTCCTCTTGGAACACGGAAAGTAATCGCTATGCAAACTTCCATGTCTAAAAGTTCTAGCACGTTTCTCAATTGCCAACACAGTCGAACAGAACCCGCATTCTTTTTCTCCCTAAACGACTCGACAGAGGAGTGAAAAGCCACCAGCAGCACCGCAACCAACATCCTCCCCACGTCCACACACCAGATGGCGACAGAAGCCAACGGAGTCCCAGTACCCGCTCCGCCTCAGCAGGTCGAGAACCCTGGCCCAGTCCCAGCGGCTGACCCTCCCGCGAATGCGCCAGCGGACGCGCCAAGGCTGTCAAATGCCGAACTGAAGGCCAAGGCGAAGGCTGAAAAGGCCGCGCGCAGAGCACGAGAGAAAGACGCAAAAGCTGCCGCCATCGCCGCCGCCGGGGTATTTTCGGGCCCATCACCGGGCGCAGGAGCAGACGGCAAGGGAGGCAAGCCGGGGAAGGGGAAGCAGGATGCACAGCAGGGCTCCGGTGGGCTCGCCGTGGGACGAACGGGCAATCAGAGACGACCGTCCCATGGACAACAGCCCTTGACAGTGGTCGTGGAGACAGACGTTAGACGCGCTATCCCCGACTGCTTCAGCCACATCCCAATGGCAAAGCGCATCTCGACCTCACAGGCACATAAGGATGTCCACCCTGCAGTCCTCGCCCTCGGACAACAGATGGCTGCGTTCACGGTGTGCGATAGCATTGCCAGGCTCAAGTGTACCTTGCTTGCCTTCAAAAAAGTAAGGATTCTAGTGACCCCCATAAAGGATGAGCTTGTTTTGCTAATTGCGACCAGGTTATCGAGTCTTATGAGACGCCAAAGGGGAACTCGCTCTCCCGGCATTTTCTGCCGCACGTCTTGAACCCGCAGATCGAATACCTGACAGAATGTAGACCAATGTGCTTTTCTATGGGAAATGCCATTAGATTTCTGAAGGCAATCATCAACAAGTTCGACATCGATACCCCCGAAGAAGAAGCCAAGGAAGGGTTGCTCGAGTCGATCGATTCATTTATCAACGAGAGAATCACGCTGGCGGAGCTGGTCATAGCAAGAAACGCGGCAGACATGATCTGCGATAGCGATGTCGTGCTTACGTACGGTTCGCACCGTCTTGTCCAGAAGACCCTTCTCCAGGCATGGCAAGATGGAAAGAAATTCGACGTGGCCGTCGTTGATGACCCCTTTGACCAAACGGGTCAGGCCCTCGCAAAGGTCTTGCGACACGAAGGGATCAGGGTGTTTTACTCCCCAAACCTCAGTGGCTTGCGACTCCAGGTCCGCCGGGCAACAAAGGTCTTCCTTGGCGCTGAGGCAATGTTTGCCAACGGCTCTATGTACGGGCCTGCCGGAACATGCGATATCTCCATGGCCGCCGCTGATGCGAACATCCCGGTCATCGCCCTCTGCGAGACCATCAACTTCGACAGAGACAGGGTGCCGACCGATTCGCTGACCTACAACGAGATTGATCCCGAAAGAAACTCGGCCGAGGATTTCCGATTGCTGTTCGATACCACCCGGGGTAAGTATCTCGAAGTGGTTGTGACCGAATATGAAAGCGAGACGGGCAACGCCCCAGCGCAGGGGATTCTAGCAATCCTAACGATGCAAGAGGATCAACTGTGAGCAAGAAAGCCTTTGTATAGATAGATAGATATCTTTGGACTGTTGGAGGTGCACACTGGTGTGCAGCTGCGCTGCTCAGGGACAGAAACCTGACGACGAAATATAGTCACCTAATTAGCGTGGCCTTGTGTAATAGATGCCTGGCTTATTCCTCAATTATGGTTGTGTAGCACCCCAAGCAGTTGATAAGGGGGACAATATCTCTGCTGAAACTCCTAGAACTTCTCCGTTATTCGGAAGTCCATCGAGCGCGAAATGTACAGATTCTTCCACAACTACATTGCCGTTATGCCGTAACCTCGGTCCCCTCCCTCTGTGCCCTCCTCGCCCTCTTCTCCAGAATAGTCGCCTTCCGCTCGTTCAGGACGGCCGTCTGCCTCGCGTCCACACCCTGCAGCCAGTAGCCGAAACTCGCGCCGCATCCCGCAAAGACGGGGTAGGCCCATAGTGACTCCTTGTTGAAGAATGGTCGCATCTCGATTCCCAATTGCCAGAAGCGGGTGGCCACGCCTAGATAAAATTAGTATTTGTATTTCCGCCATTGTCTAAGAGCCCGTTGGGTGGGCGTAAAGGCAGCTATCGTAACCCTCGAATGGGCAGGGCAGAGACAGAGGGTGGGAATGGCGTACCGAAGCCCGTCCAGAAGAGGATTCTAGACACCATTTTGCTCTATCCGATTAGAGTCAAGATCTTGAGATGCTGGAGGGTACCCAGAGGGATGTTGTGTTGTTTATTCCCCCTCAATGGCTCGATTGTCCGGTCTTCTGAACGTTTTGTTGCAGCGAGTATGAGGGGATTCACCTGCTGACATTGAATTGAAGCTCTGGAGATTGGCGCGCCTAAATGGAGCCCAGGATTTTCCGGCGCTTGTTTAGTTAGCGCTTCGCGACAGGCACAACGAGGACGAGGTCCCCACCTAAATCACCTAAATCAGGGTAACTTGTATTGAGCCTCACGACCTGACTTTCTGACCCGTCACTACAAAGCCAGTCTGCCGTCCATTAGCTTCCTGTAATTGCCGACAATACCCTGGCAAGACAACGCAATATATGCTTTGGCAATGACCCCTTAAACACAGGTCCCTCTCACGCCGTGAGAATTTGTGCCTCTGCGCAGCCACAACCAACCCTCTCCGTGAACGACACGACACCGATGGCATCGACGACTCTCACCACCATGTCTCCTGCCACGGAGAAACTGGCCCCTCCAGTTGCTGCCCCGGCAGTTGTGCCTGTGGCTCGGAAGTTCAAGGCTTCTGAGCTACCTCTACCCTCCGCGACGCGCTCTGCAATCGAGGGCCTTGCGCACTCGTTCAAGAAGAAGGGAGGCTACGATGCCATCCGCAAGCAGGTGTGGGAGAAGTTTGGGGCAAGCGTATGTTTTTGATGCGTTTCTATCACTTTACCGTCTCCACCACTTGAATCATTGGTCTAACAACTCCCAGGACTATGAAGCTCAAGTCACCAAAGCCATCCTTGAAGTGGCTGAGCAAGAAGTCGAGAGAAACCCGAACCAGCTTCTCACTCTCGATCGCGGCAAGGCAGCCGCACTCATTGACGGCGCGTTGGATCGCAGCGGCGTCTACCAAAAGGCCGAGTCCGTTCTCGAGGGCCTAATCGACACGGATGCGATCGAGGCGCGCATCCGCGAATTACGACGCGCCGAAATCGGCGACGATAGTGCAAGGGAGGAACGCGAGCGCGGCGCGAAGACGGACGAAGAGTACGCGGCCGAGACGGCCGCCCGACGAGCCGAGAGAGAGCGCGTCAGACAGGAGCTGCGGGAGGTTGAGGAGAAGAAGCGGAAGCTGGAGCGGGAAATCCGGGAGCGGGAAGAAATCAAGAGACGAGAGGAGGAGCGGGCTGCCCGCGAGGCTCGGCGGAAGGAAGAACGCGAACGGGACGAGAAGAGGGAAATGGAACGACAAGAGCGCGATCGTGAGAGGGAGAAGGAGAGGGAACGCGACCGTGACCGCGACCGCGACCGCCATCGCAGCCGCGATCGCCGCGACCGAGTCCGGAGTCGCGAACGGGATCGCAGCCGTGAGCGTCATCGCAGTCGTCCCCGCGACCGAAGCCGTGACCGTCGTGACAGAGATCGGAGCCGGGATCGGGCCAGGGATAGGGATCGGCACCGCGAACGTGATAAGGACCGAGCCCCAGATGATCGCGATGCGCGCGCGAAGAGTTCCAAGGATTCCAAGGACGAGGTCGTCAAGAAGCAACTTTCTAAGGAGGACCACGAACGACTGGAACAGGAAGCATTGGCCGATCTCCTGAGAGAAAGCAAGCGTGCTGCGCCAAAACAGCCAGAGATTGAGATTGACGAGGCTCTCATTCCCCCACCCCGCCGCATCATGCCTGCCTCTGCCATTGACCCCATCCGCCGAGGTTCGCCAAAGGTGACCGAGTCTAAGAGACTCGTCGAGGCCGCCAGTGTCAGACCTGAACCGAAAGATACGAACCCGGTTAAGGAGATCAAGGATACCAAGGATACCAAGGACACCAAGGACACCAAGGAGAGCAAAGAGTCTAAGGATCTCAAGCCTAAAGAAGAGCGTCGAAAGACTAGAAGTCCATCTCGTGCTCGTCGGGATCGAGATCACGACGTCAACAAGGAGGCACCAAGGGAGAAGGACAAGGTCAGGGAGCGAGAACGGAGCCGTGTGGACGATCGCAGAAGAAAGGATTACCGTTCCTACTCGCCAAGGCGGCGGGATCGAAGCCGCTCAAGAACGAAGGATAAGAGAGACGACAGAAAGGACAGAAGTCGTTCTCGGGTTCGATCAGAGCGACCTGATCGACGAGGTGACCGCCGGGATGAGAGAAGAGATGACCGCGATGATGGCCGCAAAGAAGACCCTAGCGAGAAGCCACGAGTTCGAGCCGACAGGCGTGAGAGGAGTCGCTCACGAGTACGTACGGACAGGCGTGATGAGCGCAGAGAAGGAAGCGCCTCGCGAGCCAGAGTCTCGAAAGATACGAGGGACGAAAAGAAGGAGCGCAGTCGCTCGCCGCGCCCTCGAACCGACCGGCGCGATAGGTCTCGCTCCCGCTTGAGATCTGACAGGAGGGACCGTAGCCGCGATCGAACCGAAAGAAGGGAAACGGGCCGTCGCGAGCACAGCCGGGCTAGTCGCCGGGGCCGTAGCAAGGACCGCGACCAGGACCGGGAACGAGATAAGGAGCGGGATAGAGAGCGAGACAGACCCAAGAGGAGCCGCTCGAGGTCACCACCGCTTTCCGCGGCTAGACCTCCGCCTAGCCTGGATCATGACGGGAAAGAGGCATGGAAGCAAGCCGAGGTCAAGAAGCGGGAGCAAGAAGCCAAGGCATACCTTGCCGCTCAGCGGGAGGCCCGCGAGAAAGGCAAGCCCATCCCCGGCATCGATGATAGGCGCGCCGGTGATTCGTCTCCCGACATCAAGCGCCGGCGCGAAACCGACGACATTGATCGCTATATTCCCGCTGGCAGTGTCCGGGACCGGGATCGGGAACGCCGAGTCGAACGGCACCGAGACGACAACAGGGAGAGAGACAAGGATCGAGACCACGATCGCGACCGTGACCGTGACCGTGACCGTGAGCGGCGGCCGGATCACAATCGCGATTGGAATCGTGATCGCGATCGGGACAGGGATGACAGAAGGCGGCGCAGCCGGTCGAGGTCCCGAAGTAGGAATAGGGAGCGGGAACGGGAACGGGAGCGAACTCGTGACAAAGAGCGGGAGAGTGAACGAGACAGGGATCGGGACAAGGACAAGGACCGGACTACGGACAGGGATCGGGATCGGGATCGGGATAGGGATAGGGATAGGGATAGGGATAGAGATCGCCGACGGAGCAGGCCCGATAGGAGCGTGTCTGTTCCGCTCAGGCGAGAACGCGACCGCGACCGCGATCGTGACAGGGACAGGGACAGAGACAGAGATAGGGACAGAGATAGGGACCGGGACCGGGACCGGGATCGCGGCGGCCGAGACCATCGTGACTGTAGCCGGCGACCTAGCAGGAACCGAGGCTAAGGACGTACAGTAGTCCGAGGTTATCTCTGTTACAATGAGTTTATCATCGGAAAGGGTGGTTTCGGAGGCTTTGATACCCAACAGTGGCGGGCGTTGGTCTACATTTTACGGCATTGTCGCAAAGCCCCGTCTGACTTTCCATTTTACTGTATATTAGAACCCTAAGCCCCTTTCGCATAATCATGAGAGCCGACCGAAACGGTCGGCACTGCCCCGAGAGTATTCTCCTAGACAGACAGAGCAAGGCCAGCATCAAGCCGTAAGATATAAAATCCTAATATTACACCTGTACAACACCCCCTTCCATCTCCTCCCTCCACCCTTCACCCCCCCCCCCCCCCCCCCCCCCCCCCCCCCCCCCCCCCCCCCCCCACGCCCCCCCCCCCCCCCCCCCCACGGCAACACATCTCCATCTATCTAGCCCGCCCTCGCGCTCATCGCAACACTAGCACCCGCCCCACTAAACACGTACCCGACGGTAAGCAACCCGGCAGCCGTGGCCGCCAGCGCCACGACGAGGCTCTTCCGGGCCGCCAGGGACCGGCGCACCTCGTCGGGCTCGGCGGCCGCCACCTCCCTGGCGTAAGCCCACCCGGCGGCCGAGCGCGCGGCCATCTGCTCCCAGCCGAGCGAGTAGTGCACGACGGCGACGCAGGCGAGGGCGTAGCCGAGGAGTTGCGGGGGGGTCAGGTGGGTGCGCCACACGATGACGGAGGCGGCGATTAGGAGGAAGTCTCGGAGGAGGGAGGCTGTGGATATGGTGGGTTTGGAGGTCTTGGTTGTCTGGGAATTTTTTTTTTTGGTTTAGTTGATAGGATCGGGGGGAAGAGGGCGGCAGGGGGTGATACGGCTTGGTACGGAGAACCACAAAAAGAAGAAAAAAGGGGGATGTAGGGACGGGAAAGGGGATTACCAACCACAAACGCGCCAGCGACGGCCAGCACAAACGACGCGACGGCGCTCGCGAGCAGCGTCAAGAGCCCGGCCCTGGCCAGGTCGGCGGGGTCGAAGGCGCGCCACTCGACGGCCAGCGCCGCCAGGGAGGTCGCGGCGGCCGACACGGGCGCGGTGTAGTACAGCGCGACGAGCGGGTCGAGCCCCACGCCCGCGCCCGCGCCCGGGGCCCCATCCCCGGAGGAGAGCAGCAGCGCCGCCGCAACGGCCGCGTGCAGGGCGTCGAGGACGACGGCCCCGGCGCCGAAGAGGAGGCCGGCGGATTCCGAGTCCGAGTCCGAGCCGGCGGGGCGGGCGACGACGGCGAGGGCGACGCCGGGGAGGACGGCGAGGGCGTAGAGGGCGCGGCGGAGCGGCGGGTTGTCGAGGCCGAGGGCCCAGGCGGCGAGGAGGGACGCGACGGGCCAGGCGGCGCGGAGGACGGTCGCCAGGGCGAGGCTGAGGCGCGCCAGGGCCAGGTTGGTGCAGGCGAGGGCGGCGGCGTGGGCGAGGGCGGCGGGGACGACGGCGCGGAGGTAGAGGCGGCCTGTTATCTTGGCGGTGCGGCGGGCGTCCAGGAGGGGGGTTGTCCGGGAGAGGAGCTGAGTGACTAGGCTGGCGAAGAGGAGGTGCCAGGAGGTTAGGGTTATGGCTGGGTTTGGGGGAGGGGTGAGGTTAGTGCTGCTATGCGCGGTGGATGGGTGGGTGGTTTCCTGAAGGGGATGACATACGATATTCTTGTTATCTATCGTTAGCAAGTATATATATGTAACATACAAGTTGAGCTGGAATAGGATCAGGCGTGAGGGGGATGAGTTCCTTACTGAAGCCGACTGTGGACATTAGCCACTTGTTGAGGAGAACTGTCAGACTAGAGCAGAATATCCAACTCCTGTTTACCAGGTAAAATGAGTGACTTGTTCGAGATTCGGGTATCGAAGCTGGCTTGGGACATACGAGATAGAGAAGGCCGGGTGTGAGCCGAGCTGCCGGAAGCTCCGAGGCCTGTCATTACTCTGTGCTTCGGCATCGCCCGACATGACGTTGGCTTGGCCCGAGGCGGATGTGCGAATCGACGATGGTGGATGTAATGGAGAGACCGTCAACAATGAAAGCGTGATCAACCCTTCTGGCTGCCTGTCTTGAGCCCAACAGTTTAGAGTGAAGGCTACGTACGGGCTAACTATACGGGCTAGTAGAATGTTCTGGGATTCCACGGTAGGATCTCGCGAAGGAAGGTCAGCAGGAGCCGTTTTGGATGAGCAACTAAAGCAGTAGAAGTGATTGCGCAAAAGACCTGCATGGCGTACGGGCATCGCGTACCACTCAGCTCAGCTGAATCAGGGCGCCGATTTGTAGGTATGGAATCGGATGCCAGTGATGCAAGGGCGACAAATGCCACATTGACACTCGCAACATTGTAGTCTACACACAGAGAGGGAATGGTCAGTATTATAATACGTACATATGTCAAGGAGGCGCAACTAATGCTTTTTGCATAGCAACGCGGTCGTAGGCTGGCGTTCAGGGGGGCTGTTCCGATTTTCGACGTTGCATAATGGTTGACTTACACCTTCAGTTCTGCGACTTGGATGCTCACTCACAGCAAAAAAAGTGGTCACTACAGTAGAACCTGTAATATCGATGTATTCATAATCCGCTCAGTGGAATATATCCACCTGGCAATGAACCAAAACATTCCCAGAAGTCGGTTTCGTTAATTAGCATTCCCGTTGCAACCATACTAGGAAATATGCCCCGAATTTCGTGACTGTGACTTTGTGCAAACAGCCCGTAAGTGGTATCACCCCCCAACGCCATCGCTATGCAAAATAATACAGCACAACTGCACTCCCGTCCTGCGCCATAAGGTCCACGTTCGTCCCTGTCATACACGCTCACAGGCCATCGTCATCACTCTCCAGTGGTAGAGGTGCTCCCCTCGCCCTCTCTAAAACCTCGTCGTCGCCGCCCACGGTCGCTGTTTTTGACGCGGCAAACTTGGCACTCCGAGGAGCATGTGCGCTTTCCGAGCCGCCGCCCTTGGAAACACCGGTAGCCTCCTTGACTCCCACACCGGGCTTCACCAGCCCTCCATGCAACATCACTGTATCAGCCAAGGCATCCTCGTCTGACATCACCACGGAGCTGGGGTCGACGCAGTCGTAGAAGAGCATGAAAACGCCGCCCTGCCTGAGGACCGTCTCCTCATCGGCAACGGTCACGTCCTGGTCGCTCAGCCTCCACCACTGAGACGGGGGCTCCTCCTCCGTGTCCTGCGGCTCTGCTTGCCTCGGTGCGTCCGAATCGGGCCCGTCGTGCTCAAACGAAGTCTTCCCATCCAGGCTGTTGACACCATCCCAATCATCCTCCGATCTGAGCTGGGGGGGTTCCCCTCCGCACGGGTGTGAGGACCGGGGGTGCCTCCTGTAACAGACGTAATGCCCGTTCTCATGCTGGCCATAGTGCGTGATTACCGCTCGAAGCTCGTATATAGGCCCTGTGATCTTAGACGGGTGCTTGTCGCCAGCTACCATGGAAACCCTCGGGTCTAGCAACCACTGTTCCTCGTCTTTTGCGCCGAGGACGACCTTCTCATCCACAGGATCCACTGCCGTCTCACCGATGTGGCCTGTTAATCGGTCCGCGCTCCCGAGGCACCATGGACCGAGGTCCAGGGTCATGGGGAATCTGACGGCAGCGGGGTTCTTGAACATGAAGCCCGTGGACTCGTCAAAGACGGACCGATTCATGTGGATGGCCAGGCTCTGCGGGGCCCGAGCAATGACTGCTTGTTTCGTTTTCGTCGAGCTGACTCGCTGCTGCGGGGGTATCTTGCAGCCTTCCGACAAGGTCTTGTCATCGAAATCATCCTCCTCGAGTGCGTCGTCTATAGCACGCAACCTTGCAAACGGTTCCGGGAAGTCTTTTTCGCTCGTCCCGGCATTCTGGCTCCTTTCAATGATAATGTTGATCATCTTCCTAAACTTGAGCAGAGTGCACTTCGCACAGTCGACACCGGGAATAGACTCTACTTTCGTATAGCTATCCAATCTCTCGTAAAGATCGTGCTCGTTCTTATCCGTGCCGAGGCTCAGGGTAAGGCAGTTGAATGGGATCATCGACAGCCCTTCCGAGTAGCCGCACGCCGTGCAGGCGACCCTTTGAGCAGCAAGACCCTCGAGGGGATTCCGCAACGGCCTGAGCTCGGCGCCCGCTTTCGAATGGTTAGATAGACTCTGATAGCCGCTGTCGTCGCTATGCTGGCTGGCCGTAGTCTCGTCGCTCGTAAGGTCGAAGACAAGCCCGGCCGGTTTTTGCATGGCCCTGGCTGCTTTCGCCATCTCTTTGTCCATCTCGTCCAGCAGCTTTGAGAAGTACTCCTGAGCGTCCTGCTGCTGCCAAGTACTCATATTCTTGAGGATACTTGGCGTCCACAATGTCTTTCCATTGTTCGACTCGTCATTCAAATCCCCGAGCAGGTCGCGCAGTGCATCCACCATGGTCGTGTTTAGCCGGCCCTGTGCCCTGCCTGCCACGGAGCTCGCAAGATACGGCGGCAGCGGCTTCAGCGCCACGAGGCTCTGCAGGATGCTATTCTGGTAACACGAGTTATCCCAGTTTCCCAGACCGGGCGGCGTGTCCGAGTAGCCCTTGGTACCCGAAAGGCCGCCGGCGAGACTGCTCAAGCTCCTCCGCCCTGCCTGCGACATGGATGTCATGATCCCGCCCGGCCCGTCCATGCCCAGGACCCTCCGAAGAACCTCGCTCTTGGCGGCATGGGTGCGGGACCGTGTCTGAAGCATGGGTGTCGGGAACAACGGTGGGTTGAGCCAGTTGTCGATAGCATACAGCAATCTCGCGGGGATTATATGGACAAAGCGGTCCCACAAAAGCTCGAGCAGCGGGCGAAGCTCTCCGTTCTGTGAGGCCCTTTGGTAGTAGATGGCCAGGCCGATAACGACAACGGAAATGAGGACAGTTGGATGGAAGAGACGATCTATCAGCCGATCTGAGGAGTAGTAACCTGGGTAGATGCCGGGATCGTCGTAGGAATCGAACTGGCTCAGGATGCGCTTCGTGTCTGAATTCATCCTGAGGACGATCCGACCGCAGAACCGCCTGGGCCGGTCGGACACGTATAATCTGGCTTCAGCAAAGCGTATCCGAAATGAGAAGAGTTGAAGAGCCAGCCATAGCCAAAGAAGAGAAGAGGTCTACCTGCTAGTTGATGGAATCAGGGTGTAGAGTGAGTGAGTGCGGGCTAGGCAGGGTAGGGCGAGCGAGCAAAGATGACGGGGTGAACCTGTTTGAGAACTGTTCTCTGTGGATTGAATCTTGCATGTGCTCAGAGCACCTGCAGCATTTGGGATCGGCCAAAAACGTTGCCGTCCCCCGCTGTACCCCAGTTCCTGCATTAAAAGTCCAGTGAAGGGCTGAAGGCGCTGTTTGGTGGGGTCACACTCAGAAGTGGGGGGAGAAGAATAACGGAAAATAAAATAAAATAGAAAACATAAGAGAAAAAAGTTGTGGAACTGCGATTCAACTCCCTAGGTTCCTACCTTATTGCTCGCCTTATACACGATATTGACAGAATGGCAAAAGGCGGGATATCCAAGGGCAGTAAGGGCAAAAAAGGCAAGACTATCAGATCATCCTCTCCATGCTTGGTTCCAGTTCAACGAGTTTTTCTAACATCCGAGACAGCTCCCTCCCTTCATTCCCGAGCTGCAAGGCGGGCAACCTCTCCCGGTATCGACACCGACAAGTCGCTGAAGAATTTGAAGCCTCCGGCCGAGTCGATCAACCGCCGACCAGCAGTCTTGGCGGCGCACCATAGCGGAGGGATCACCAAGAAATCCAAGACGGGGAGGAAGGCGGTGATGAGCACCAAGGCAAGGCGGCGGCACGAGAAGGGGTTGGATCGCGCCGAGGTCGTCGTGGACAGGACAGAAAAGAAGCTCCAGAAGAGTAAAGGCCAGGCTAGGGTCATAAAGGCGAGGAGTAAGCCGTGGGACGAAGTCAACAAGGAGATTCCTCCGCCAGACGCCAGGGACCTCGCCGTCGGGCTTCAGGACGGGGAGGACGATGACGCTGGCTCCTACGCCGACACAGATGAAGAGATGGATGTCCCTGACGGAGAACCAGCACAGAAGGACACTTCGTTGGCCTCCCAGTCAACGCCACTGGCCCCGGTCCCGGCGCCGGTCCTGGATGATGAAGATGAGATTTTGTAACTCGTTGCGGACTCGGACTGGTTTATGCCCCTTAAAGGGGCCTTCTTGTCTGGCGTTTAGGTTTGGGAAGTTGGGCAAACTCGAGATACCATATCAGGCATACGAACGATACGAAGAGCATACTCACCGGGCACTTTACCACAGTACCTTGTCGAGTCAAACGGAGTAGAAGAGGGAAAATTGCTGGGCATGGGAATAGATTGGGAACTTGTGTCAGGGCAAATAAAATCGGTTGCCCAACCAATACGCAGTGCAGTTTAGCTATTTAGAAAAGCATGTGTTCTTCCGTTTCTTGTCTCCTCGCGTAGGTTAGCAGCGAGAAAACTTATCGGCACAAGGATACCAGCCAGCCGGCTAGGGGCTTTGAGAGATTGGGATTCTGTCAGTTGTTAGAGCTCTTCAGACTCTGCTCAGCAAGTCAGAGGATGAGGAAACCGCAATCGAATATCTGTCACACAAGGGATCAGTCAGTCATCCATCCTGCATTTGGCTACCGTGCTACAGATACCGATCCACAGCCTCTGGGGAGACTGTATTGTTTCGGTAGCCGGTTAGGGAGTTGTTCTGTGATACCAATGTGTTTATTTTATTTATAGGTGTTTTACCAGATCGAGCAACTAGGTAGCCTGTGTCTTCTAGCCCCCCCAGCTCCGAAAACAATACTCAAGAACTTGATTTAACCTTTGGTGTCAGGAGAAGGCAAGCTACCTGGGAGTGAGGAGACCCTGTGCCTCTTCGGCGTCATATTGCCTTGCATGATTTATATTGTGTCTCCTCCTATGCTTGCAGTCAACCGCGTCGTGAGATCTGTATGCAAGGACCCGCAATCACAAGGGGGGGAGGGGCCTTAACCTGGCTCGATTGCTATATCTCGCGGAAACAGCCTATCCCAGTTGTTTGTGGTACCGCCCCATATGTCACCTACTAGCAGCTAAGATAATGGGTATCAGAAGTCTAGATGCCAATGCAGCCCGTAGAACGCCTGTTCCCTCCCAACCAACAATGTCGGGTCCAACACCTTGATGGTAGATGCCTGAAGTGAAAGGCCAGCCAAGGTTCACTGCTGCCCGCCGTTGCCCACCTCGAGGCCTGGCCGGTCTCTGCCATCGTCCTCGTCTCCGCCGACAGCTTCATATCCTTCCACCTCCCATTCCTCTCCTCCATCTGTTTCTTGATCCTCGTCCAGGTCGCTTTCTTGAATACCTTCGACTTCGTCATCGAAACCCGAACGCAGCGAGCCACCCTCGTCGCTATATTCCTCTTCGATATCATCCTCTTCCTCACCCACCAACCTCGCCCCTTCATCTTTATCCTCTTCATCCTCTTCCTCTTCTTCTTCTTCCTCTTCTCCATCTTCATCTCCAAATTCCATTCCAACCTCCTCATCGACACCCTCCTCATCCTCCTCGATATCATCATCTACCTCGCTTTCTTCCTCACTGTCGATCGCACTATCGTCCTCATCACTCTCCAGCAGGTCCTGGAGACTGTCGCCCTCAGATTGGAGCTCTTCCCTCTCCTCTTCCTCGTCGCCCTCGTCACCCTCGTCACTCCCTGGGAGCATTTCACCTGGGACTCCCTGAGCATTGGCTCTATCTGGTCCCAAGCCCTCTGACGCATCGCCCGAGTCGCCAACCGGAGATTCGAGCTCAGTCACTTTCCCCATGCCTGGCATCTTGATCTTGTGCACGGAATACTCGGCCCTCACCTTATTGGATGAGCGGTATTTCCTCCTTCGGTTGCCCTTGAACCGCCTGCCGCTGACCTGCGACTTCTCCTCGAGCGTCAGGTTCAGGTCCGGCAAGGGCACGCTGATAGTATTGGCCGGCTCCTCGTTCCGGCACGCTTCCCTGCAGGCCCGGAGCGCCGCGCCGAAAGCGTCGTCCTCCAGCGTCCGCCCGAAGCGGATGGCCAGCATCTTGCGCTTCATGATGCCCTTGGCGATGGCCCACACGGGGCTCGGGTAGAACCCGCTGCCCTCGGGATCGCAGGCCGGGAGCACGTCTGACTCGGCGAACAGCTTCGCCAGCAGCGGGTCCGTGATGTCGCAGACCTGCCAGACCTTGCCGTCGGTGCTGAACTGCTCGCCGTCAAACTCGTGACTCCGGCTCGAGATCTCCCCGTTCCCCTTCCCGCGCCAGATGCGGCCGAAGTTGCTGGACATGGCAAACTCCTCCCGCCTCACCGACTGCCACGACCTGCCTATGGTCCCGACGTGCGTCTTATGCAGCTTGAATATGAGCGTCTGGTAGATGCGGTACTTCGGGTCCGAGCGCGGATCCACGCCGTAGCGCACCAGCGCGTCACGCCATGGCCCGCCCTTGAACTGGTAGCCGGCGTAGTTCATGCAGTACCGCACCAGGGCCCCGCGCTTCGGCAGGTGGCCAAAGGACACGCTGAGGCGGTTGAGCATGCTGCGGCGCGTCCAGACGGGCCGCTCCTCCATCGCCTGGCGCAGCTCCTCCATGATGGCCGTGATCTGCGGGTCGTCCAGGTTCGGCTCGGAGCGCGGCCGCGTGGGCACGGGGTACTCCCGGCACCCGAGGAAGTAGCCCGCGGCCGGCGCCCTGGAGGTGGTGTTGACGAGACTGTCGAACTCGTCGCCGGCGGAGAGCAGGCCCGTGTCGGAGGCGGCGGATCGGCCGCCGACTTCCCGCACGTGGGGGTTCTGGCTGTAATTGTAGGGGAAGGGCATGGAAATAGGGGTGAAGAAGGGAGGCGGGATGAGTTCAATGTTTGGCGGCCTGTCAACGCCGGGTGTGAGAGAAAATTGCCGGAGCTTGGGAACGGAGCCGGAGAGGATGGTGTCGACGAAATTGTTCATGAAACGGGAGTTGCCCATTGAGTACTGGAAGTCGGCAGATCCTGCATGGCGACGCTAGTTAGATCCTGAACTTGGGCAACATTATGATTAAGATTCTGACCTCTGTATCTATGAGTATTGGTGACTACCCCGACGGGCTCTATCGTGTATTTATCGACGTTATCGATGAGCTTGCGCCGGAGAACCTTTGGCTGATCAAGCCTCTCCCTGGACCGGACGTCTTCCGGGGCATGAGAGGCAACCTCGGCGCCGTCAGCCTCGTGGACGCGGCCTTCAAAGGGGCCATCACTGCCTCGCTTCCGTTTTCTGCCGGTCCGCTTGGGAACGGTAACCTTCAAGATAACATTGTGGGTGCGAGCATTGTGAGACGTAAGAGGCCGCACGGTTGGGTTGTCCGGACGGAAATATAGCGGAACAGAGACTTGAGGGCTGGCCGAATATAGCGCCTTGCGAGACTGTTAGCGTCGCCAGAACAATCATTGTTGCCGTACTTGGCCTGGGCGCTCCGGATGGGAGACTCACTGTTTTGAAGGAATGAGGCTGGCCGAGCGTCTTCATGCCCTTGTCGAGGTCTTTGATAATCATGGGATGCTCGACAGCGCCCAACCTCCTCGGAGGAACGGTGTATGTTGGAGCTTTTGATCCATCTCCCCCAACCGGCCCGGCAGCAGGGTTTCCGATGTCCGGGTTAGGGCGTGGCGGAGGTGCCATGAGGGCATCCATAGCAGCTCATATACAGATCTGTGGATGGAGAGTGTCTCCGAGCTGCAAGACAGGGCTCTGCTTTGGCTTGGGCTGAGGCAAGATATTTTCATATAATATTTTAAACCTCATTTATTAGCAATTATCAAACGAATTGTTTGAGGCGAGCAGAATATTTTATTCGAGATTGGCCGCCATACAGAGAATGCTCAAGTGAAGCTCACTTCAGAATCAGATAACATCAACCATCAAGACTGACCTGCCCATCGCGCACAGTGTGCCACAGTGTGCGATAGCTAAGTTTTACGTTGGACTTGCCCCTATTCAACAGCGTTTCCTGCTAGCCACAGCATACGCAGTAGAATAGTGAAAGCAACAGCAACAGTGACAGCTTCAGCAACAGTGGCCAGCAGCAACAGCGACAGCGACTGACAGCAATGACAACAGCAATAGCAAGAACCTTTGGCAGGCTTGGTAAGTTGTACTGTGTGTGTATCTGCAACTGGTATTGCCAGCTGCCTACAAACATAGGACCTAAAGTCACATGCTGTGGTCTATTTACTGTGTATTCAGGGGGTCATTGTACATACATAGTAGCCACCTAGTATTGTATCCAATTACCCACGCATTTGGCCAGAGGAGAATAGCATCTGGCAAGCTGGAGGGCATCATACAAGTTGGTACAGAGTCCATTATTTCAAAGGTGTGGCTCCTCTTGAGCCTGAGGTCCCGATTGGTTAGGTTCCATTTAACTTCGATCTGCTGTCTTGATACCTGGTACCTGTAACCCAGGTGCCCGTCCAGGCTTGCTCGTTGTACTCGGTACTCCATCCATCCACCCACACTCGAACTGTAACTGCCACCCGAACCTTATCCAACCGGGCGCCTTGTTAGAGTGTCATGGACGAAATTCAATTCCACCGGGCCTGAAGCGTTCACGAACTGCCATATACCTACCCAAAAAAAGAATTGGGTTATTATTCCTAAGGGGATTGCATCTTTCCCTTTTCTTTTCCTGTACCGGATTCATTGCCACTGTTCTGTCGTGGCAGACGGGCGCGCACGGCGCACAGGCTAATAAGTCATAACCTATAGGTACGCGTAGTTCCCTAGCTTCCTTCTTCACTAAATGGCAGTGGTGTCAAGGGGTTAGGGGTGTCGGGTGTGTAACTCGAGCGCTGTGCAGTCATAAGAAACAACCACAGGCTGGATTCCGGGCCCGCGTCTCACTTGGCCCCGCAAGGAAACAACGTCGGCTCCAGCAATTTTGGGCTCAGGGCTGACCTGTTCAAAAGAATTTGTGGAAACAGGAAACACTGCAACACCATTTTTCCAAGCCGAGAAGGACTGCCCGTGACGGCTCGAAAAAAATATCTTGCTCGGTGGTTGTTTGTTGAGGGTTACATAATTGGGTGTTTGCACGAGCTACCTACTGAGGCGGAACCGACTTGTCCATCCTTCCCCGGACATCACCCCTTGCAGAGCTCACTCTTTGGTGTCCCACATTCTTTACCAACTTGAAATCCGCTACCGCTACCGCCTCCAACCTCGCACCCATCGCGAACCCAGCCACAGAGGAGCTGCCACACCAGAATTCTGACATTCGGGGACTCTAAACTGGGTCACATATTTCCCCCATCGCTCGAGCTCGCGGTCTCCTCCAATCTACCACATCTTTCAGACTCATGACATGCGGAGTCAAGTCCGCTCTTGACTCTTCTGAACAGCGCCGGAATAGCTCAGCCCACACAACATTGAACCCCCAACCCGTCGAGCCCTCACCTTGACAGCGTCTCGCCCTCGGCGAACTCTGACCTCACCTTCCACCCCAAGTCATCCCGACTTTTATCCCATCTCGTACCATTCGTCCCTTCTACATCATCCATTGCACCGTCGTCGAAACTCGGCTGCTACCCCGCTGTGGCCACAGAGTCGGGCGCTCTAACCGCCCCGCCCCAAAGAGAAACTGTTGCCATCCAAGATGAAGCGTTTCAGCCAGAGAGTTGTAAGTACCGCCTCCATCCTGCTCTGCCCTCTCTTCCCAACCGGCATTGGCCCTCAGAGTCCATTGGTGCTGACCGCAATGCATGCCCAGCTCTCGCGCGGCAAGGACTCCAGCAAGTCCTCCAAGAAGAATAAAGATTCCAAGGATGGAGCCCAATCCCCGGTCTCCATGGGACCATCCAGGGAATCCAACCAATCCCCCGTCCTAACTCCGTCTTCGTCCACTTCCACCCTTAACGATATCCGCAACAAGCCTCTCCCGCCGAACAATGCTCTCCTCGGAGGCGACCACAGCAACGCCGGCATCCCGGGCCAGCCAAGCCAACCGGGCCAGCTCAATAATATGAACGCAGGCCAGAACCCTGGCGTCCCCGATCGATTCAGCAGCGTGTCTGCGTCCCAGCAAGCCACCAACGGTGCGAGCACGCCAGCGCGACATGGCACCCTGCCTCCGACCGTCATAATCAGCCCAAGCGCACCGGTGAGCCCATCCTCTCTGCAGACTAAGAGCTCTGGGCAATACTAATCGGATATCCGTGAAATAGCAAGTGCCTCCGCCTGGCGCAGCCGAGACGATGCCGCACGACCTGGCTCCCCCGAAAGCAGGTCAGAAGTCGCTCATCTTCGATCGGCTCCATCAGACCCCGAAAGACGTACCCGAGGGCATCAGAACCCCGAGGAAACAGAACTCATCGCGGTTTGACATCTCGGCGCATCGTGAGCTCGAGAAGCTGCCCGGTTTCCATGAAGTCTCCCCAAACCGACGGGTAAACCTGTTCATGGAGAAGATCGACCAGTGCAACGTCATATTCGACTTCAACGATGCCAGCACCGACATGAAGTCGAAGGAGATCAAGCGTCTTGCTCTTCATGAGCTGCTTGATTATGTTGCGAACAACCGCCAAGTCATAACCGAGCCCATGTACCCGCGCGTGGTGGAGATGTTTGCCAAAAACCTGTTCCGCCCGATTCCTCCCCCCATGAATCCACAGGGCGAGGCATTCGATCCGGAGGAGGACGAGCCGGTCTTGGAAGTTGCGTGGCCACACATCCAGGTGGTCTACGAGTTCTTCCTGCGTTTCATCGAGAGCCAGGATTTCAACACCAACATCGCGAAGGCATACATCGACCATAGTTTCGTCCTCCAGCTTCTGGAGCTGTTCGACTCGGAGGACCCCAGAGAACGGGACTTCCTCAAGACCACACTGCACCGCATCTACGGGAAATTCCTCAACCTGCGATCATTCATCCGCCGCTCCATCAACAATGTCTTTTTCCAGTTCACCTACGAGACGGAAAGATTCAACGGCATTGCTGAGCTGCTCGAGATACTGGGGTCCATTATCAATGGCTTCGCTCTGCCTCTCAAGGAGGAGCACAAACTCTTCCTCACTAGAGTCCTCCTTCCTCTTCACAAGGTCAAGAGTCTCAGCATGTATCATCCGCAGTTGGCCTACTGCATCGTCCAGTTCTTGGAAAAGGATGCGTCGTTAACCGAAGAGGTATGCTTGTTGCAGAATCCCGTTTCCGTAACCGATTGCTAACCCCCCTTTTGCAGGTGGTTCTTGGCCTCCTCCGATATTGGCCAAAGGTCAACAGCACCAAAGAGGTTATGTTCCTCAACGAAGTCGAAGACATCTTCGAGGTCATGGACCCAGCCGAGTTTGCCAAGGTCCAGGAGCCCCTCTTCCACCAGCTTGCCAAGTCTGTGGCAAGCCCTCACTTCCAGGTGGCCGAGAGAGCGTTGTACTTCTGGAACAACGAGTATTTCTGCAACCTGGTCAGCGACAACGTCGAGATCATTCTTCCGATCATGTTCGCGCCTCTTTACGAGAACTCGAAGAGCCATTGGAACAGGTGAGCAGCTTGAGGCGGAAAGACTTCTCGTTGTGCAAATCGTGAAATTAATTGCTTGGTGCCAGAACGATCCACGGCATGGTCTACAATGCTATGAAGCTGTTCATGGAGATCAACCCCCAGTTATTTGATGACTGCTCGCATGACTACACCGAACAGCAGAACAGCGCCGCATCGAGAGAGGCCGCCCGCCAGAGAAAGTGGGCTGCCATTGCAGAGCAAGCTGACCGGAGAATGGGTGCGAACGGGACTGTCAACCCTGCGCCTAGCGCTACTCACCGGCCCCATCCGAACACGATGCCTCGGGTTGACGAAGTGGACGGCACCGAAGATAACCAGAAGAGGCTCGACTCATTGAAGTTACAGGATGGCGACCGCCGAGAGCGTCGACCCACCATACATGAGAGACAAAATTCGGTAGGCTCCTCCAGAAGCCAGCGATGATTTTGTCTTTTTGGTGTTTTGCGTCGCCTTTCCTCGTTTCCTACTCCGTCCCCTCGTCCTTATTGTCCGGTTGCTGTTGGTTCAGAAACTCTGTCGTCTCGGCGGCCGTGATATGGATTACGCCCAACCTGCTTTAACCGCTTTGCTCTCACGACGTTACTCAAGAAGAACCGCTCCAACCCCCATTTGATAACGATTTGTCTCACGACGTCCATGCTTGCGACTATCCGTGATATCCCGGTGGACCTTGTTGACTCCTCGAAATCTAGGATTCAAATTCAAATTCGGATGAGATGGTGGGCAACAGGCTCGACCTGGAATCACCACAAAAGGGCTCACTATAAACCCTCGATGGGAGAAATCTGGCAACGAACAAGGGCGCGACCCGATTGAGGGCCCACGAGGCAAATCCTCCCTGCCCTTGTATCATTTTTTATTTTATTTTGTTGTTGGTGTTCGGGGATATCATGACTGGAGAACATACCCGCTACCTGACACGCCTTTCATGACTCTCTCGGCGACCTACTCTAATCATTTTGAGTTCAAAATGGGGGAAGGGGGAAGGGGGAGGGGGGAGGGAGGGAGGAGGGAAGGGGGCGGGGTGGGTACGAAGTTGCACCGTGTTTATAGGTGACCCGTAACCGGGCTCACAGTCAAAACGCGGCACGTCTCTCTAGCTTCTTTGCGTCGGACCAGCAACTCTGCTAAGGATGCGCTGTTGCCGGATGGGAGGTTCGAGATCAGGGGACTTTTTTCGACAACTGCGCTCGTGAGAAGCACTAGGATCTTGAAATTGCATGGCCGGGCCTTGTATGACGGACTTGTTGACATCTCAATAGAGGAGCGCTCTGCTTTTGGTTCTCGAGACAAACAGTGGAAATGAGGGAGAGAGGCTTCTCTGTGTATGGAGTTCTTTTTTTTATTCTTCCGGGTTTTTATTTTTTTTTGCTTTCTTCATAACTTCCCTTTCCTTAACCGGCGCATTCTCAACATCAACATGATCCGAGAAGGGATTGAGAGGTGGGGGATAGGCATCAAATGAGGTTCTCTGCAAGTTCTATCTAGGTAGGACAAGAACCGCAATTGATATGCGTCGCTGCTGCCGGGCTATCTCTCGTGATTTATAAACAGTTGGTATAAGTTTCCTTGCCGTCTAAGACCTATCTTCGTCAAAACCACCTTGGGTCTCCCGCACAAAGTCAGCTCCCTGCAGCATAGCTAACTTTTCCACCTCAACGCATCCAAATGCGTGGTAAGCCAAACACGGCATCAACCACCACGACCGTAGCCGCCCCGACCACCTCCTCGGAAGTTGCCATTCCCCGAGCCGCCATACTGGTACTGATTATGGGGATGCTGTTGGGGATGATGCTGTGGCGGTGGCGGCGGCGGCGGGGGTGGTGGTGCCCAGCCTCCGACGAACCGGGCTGTACTGGGGCCAGGAAAGAAGTTTTGCGGGACACCGCCCATCGGTGGCGGAGGGGGCGGCGGCGGCGGCCATTGGCCCTGATAGTTAGGAGGAGGGGGTGGTGGAACGAGGGGTTGGAAGCCACCGAAGCCGGGGTGGGGAGGAGGTATTGTAGGCACAGGACCCATCGGCGGCGGTATCGGGTATGGGTTCTGGTTGAACGGCGGTGGGCGCAGCTCGTTGAAAGGGGCAAACCGGGTGCCATTTCCGTTCTGGTGTGCCGGCGCGGCGGGGGGGGGCGAGTAGCGTGGAGACGGCGATCGTCCACGGCTGGCGTGCTGTTCGGCAGATGGCCGGGTGGGAGATCTCGAGCTCGAGCTGCTTCGCGACCTGGACCATGAGCGACGCTTATAGGAACCCTTACTGGAACCCCGGCTCCGACTCCGGTTGCAGCCTCTCCTTTCAGGCGATTTCGATATGCGCCTCCTCTTCATGGCAACACGGGATGAGCTTCTGCTCCGACCAGGACTTCGTGATCGACTTCTCGAGTGGTTTGATGACTGCGATGACCGTCCGCGATGTCGCTGGCTCTCAGAGTCTGGGCCATCTCGCTTCTTGCGGCGAGCCTTCATCTTCTCGCAGAAGGCTCTCGACCAGCCGTAATAGGTGTCTCCGCCGATAACATCACCTTTGACTTCATCTATTTCAATATGCTCACCCATTTGATCTATGTCAAAGGAGGCTTCATTCATCTGGCTGACATCCGTTGCATATAACTTGTCCACGTCGACCAGGAGGTTCTTTACAGCCTCGACGAGTGTCTTATTTGCAGGTCCAGCAGCCAGCTGGAGTGGTTTGATCATAGATGGGTTCATTGGTCGAGTCGAATTAGGTTCCAAGGCTGTCAGCCAGTTTCCCGCAGGCAAGTCGTACCAAGGTGTTGTTGGGTCTCCATGTATTGCCGGCATGATGAATGGAGGTTCCTTCACGACCTTGGTGGTCAAAGAATCCGGGCCCAACTCTCGAGATCCATTCCCAACTGAGCCGTTGGTCGACGGACCTTGCTCGACGGCCGCCCGAAGTGTTGGAATGACCTCCCCAGCGAAGTAGCCCTTCTCCTCCCATAGTCCGATAAGGTCGTGTATTTTCTTGATATGTTTCGGGCAATTCGAGAAATCCGACGCAGCCCCAACCATGGGAGCTAGAAATGGCTCCAGTATCTTGGGGAGTCCGTCGCCAGGGCCTCGAAACTTCACATGATAGAACACATCGTTCAAGATGTAGAGGATATGAAGGCGCTTCCGCTTCGCCGACGGCTCGCGGTGCTGCGGGGGTTTTGCCTTGTCAGATGTAAGGGACCTGGAAAGGGCGGCGAGGTATTTGCCGAAACCTGCAGTACGGCTGGACGACTGAACAAGGTTGCCGAGGATCCATTTCTTGCATTTCTGTTTGAGGAGGAAATATGACGAAGAATTTAGCCATCGGCATGCTTAACGGTGACGGACATGGTATTGTTCTCAAACCTGGACGTTGGCTGGGGAGCACTGGGTGACGGCTGAGCTCAGCAGGGAGAAGAAGTGGTCAATGTCATCGCGGGAGCATGATGTCGGGTCTGCGCGAAAGAGCGTCGCCGACAAGGAAGCTTTCGCGACTGCGAGATCCGCCGACGCCATGAGGATTGAGGGTGATGATGCACCGGTATCACATTGGAAATCGCGCCGATGAGTTTGTTCCGGGGTGCCAGGCCGTCGCGTCGGGTTGGTTCTGCCTGTAAGTGCTACAGTAGGTAGGTGGCCGTCCCGTCAGCTTGGCCTCCGGGCCGTATTCATCGGCAGCGGTGGAATCAGATTCCGACACGCTAGTACAAAATAAGTTAGACCCACCTGATTCTGCGGATAGGTATGCATGATTAGCATGGATGCATGTGAATACCGACGCTATCTATAGAGATGAACACAACTGCATTGCAAGGCTGATCTACATGTACCTACTACGTAGTGACCTCCTTAGGTAGATAATAAGGGGTGGGAGGAGGGGTGACGGGGACACCAAGCCAGCGATGCCGATGTATCTCGAGATCCATGCTGATCCGTTCTGTTAAAATGGCCAGGATCTGAATCGGCTCAATTTCAGCTTCAGGAGCACTTGAAGGTACTGCAGAATGCGAGGGTCGGGGAAATCAGGGTTGCTCCGTTTCTCCTGTAAGGAGCAACCTCAGCCTTGCTACTGTATGAGAAGGCAAAGAAGGAGCCCGGATTGTCTAGACTGAGGGGTTTGCCAACAACCTAGGATGATGGTCATGAATTGTATGCAAGCTCCAGAAGCCACCCCAACGACCCCCCCTGCCACAATTGTAGCTATGTCTTCAGCTGCAGGACGGAGTCCCACTGAGCAACCAATGCCACCCAGGTCAGATGTCATGCTCATCCACAGTTCCACCTCGGCAATCGGCATCGCCATATTGATCAATGTTAAGCCGCTCATGATACGGCAGGATCCCAGGCTGTTCATTCATCTTTGAATACATATCTATGGGGTAATTGTAAGATCACGACGTGGGTCCCGGCCACGTAGAGCAGAGAATGTGAAGGTAAATATACCTAGAAAAAGGATTTGTCCTTCCGCCTACAAAACATGAAGCCGTAGAAACGTGGAATGTCACATGATCCGGTTTGTAGGAAGCCGTTCCCGGCTCCGGATCACTCATGAAAACCGATCTCCTTTCCGACTCCTATACGGCGTGGCGCTTTCGTACTTGCTCTTCTCGAACACTCTTTCTCCCTCTGTTGTTGGCGCATGTCTCGTCGGTGCTGGATCGCTGCTCGCTTCTTGACTTGGTGAGCCGGCCGTATCAGTTCGCGCAGGCGCTCCGTTTGTGTCTCGCGTTTCTGAGCCGCCCATTGTTGCTGATGACAGCGGTCTGTTGGGAACATTGTCCGAGTATTCGAGAGAGTCGATCATGGACTTCTTCCGTCTTTGATCTTCAGCGCGCGCTTGGCGATCTGCGTTGATGCTCCTCTTGGCAAAGACGTAGGCCGCACCGCCCGCTGTGGAAGAATGTCAGCTCAGAAGTGATGAACACCGGAAAGAGGCAAGGCCTACGTACCAACACACAAAGAACCCCATCCGAGCCTGAGTAGGCATCGGTCAGCTACAATATCACTATTATGGGCTCGGGTAATCCTACCAGAATGATCGGACCTGCCAACAGAAGTTAGCTTTGAGCTTTGACGGGCCAGCATGAAGCGGCTTCCGAGAGAAAAAAAGAACTTACGGTATTCATCTCTGCGCGATGAATGTCACAACTTGGCGGCAGGAATAGAAGGGAAGCAATCGGGTTGTCTAGGTACCTATGTCCTGATGGCGAATTAGGGGTGATGATAGGTAGGAATGGAAGGAGAGACAGAGCTATCTTCAGCTTATGTCAATTATTTTTCACAAACGTCAGTCCACCCCCATCTGGCTGGCTCCACCATCCCGATTCCATCCGGGCCCGGGTACCTACCACCTAGGCTGCGGGCATGATAAGTGACGGATCAATAATATTCCTTCATTTTGACATCGGGCGGGCCAGGTCGCTCGGACCAAGCATAGTGTAGGTAAGGTAGCGGGCTAGGTCTTGCCGTGCCAGATCCATATGCGGCTTGTAACCTAGTGCCATTGCGGGTGATGGGTGGCGTCAAACAGCACACGGACAAGACAGGGATGGATCAATCCGGTGAAGTGCAGCAAATGGGATACAGCTAACATTTAATAAACACTTCCTCACTATACGCTAATTACCTGTCACTCGTTATGTTCATCTGCTTCGCATGCCCCTAATCTGATCCTTCTGATCGATCTGGTCGAGCTGATCTTGCAACTTGCACGGCGGCCCGCTTAACATTGTCATCTGGCTAGCTGCAAGCCCACTGTTTTCGAACACAGCCTTGCAGATCATTCCCGAACGCCGCCCCCATCGTCGCTATCCCTGAAATCTCCCCAGCAGCAACGGAGGGCAAGAGGCACACACAAGGCTTGCGCAAAAACCGATATCCATGCCCTCATGAACACTATTGCCAGCCGTTGGTGTGATGGGTACGATAACCCAGAAAGCGCCGCTCCTCAAGCTTGTCCCGAACCTCCCCCTCCCCCACCGCCATGGATCCCTCAGCTGGTAGTGATAGGCCCGATGGCTCGTCCATCGTAAGAATCAGCCCGCTGTCCCTTCTAACCGAAAACTCTGGGACTAACACATGCTCATCCAGAAACCTGTCTCCTCGCTACGCGCCCAGTTTGAGAATATGACGAAGCCGACCGAATCGCAAGGGCCACCTGCGTTGCGACCCATTTCACCTGCTCCGAAGCCTGAGAGACCACGCGATGTGGCCCCGGCGCCTTCCAGGGAGTTACCAACAGTTCCGAAACACAGGCCCAAGGACAGGCTGGATATCCCTGGTTCGCGGACTCTAGGCCTGGGACCCAGCAGTGCTTCTCGCTCGCCAAACCGCCCTGGCCCCCCTCCACCGATCAGCCCCAGGCCACTACGCCCCCCATCTCTGATGGTGGAACCTCCACAATCACCACCCAAAGGTGGCGTAGATATGGCTGTTGGCGAGCGGCCGAGCTTTTTAAATCCTGAATTCGGACACAAGCCCCCTTCCTCTCCTGCGAGCTTGGCTCCTTCTTCTCCTGCGACCGGCGCGAGGGGTTTCAAGATCCCCAGTCGGCCACATACACCCATACTTGAGTCACGGAGGTCACCCAGACTTATTGCGTCTCAACCGCCGTCTCCCCCACCGCGTAGTCGCTCCGCCGAACTCAAGAGAGAGCGCGAGGCTAGGCAGGTTGCCCCGCCGGTCAACCGCGCCGAGAAGCCGATGATACCGTCTCGGGCATCTTACATCGCCGACAGCAACAACGCATGGGACCTTAGGAGTCGTATAGCGGAAAAGCACTCTCCCTTCAACAGTCCGCCTAGAAGCCATGTGGAGGACGAGGAGGAGGAGATGCCGCCCATGCTCCCGAGACGTCGCTCACAGTTGCAGCCTCTGCCACCGCCGCAGTCGGAAGCGGTGCAAAGACCAATGTCCCTTCAATTTGGATTTGAGCCCCCACCGGTCCATCATTCAGTGGCAAGCAAATGGAAGGAGAGGGAGGAGATAAATGGAACAGCGAAGGGCGCCATCACACCTCAGTTAACAGGCGAGTTGCGGCCGGCGCTACCCGCAAGGCCGCAGCCGATAGTGGAGCAGCCGGCTGCGACACGGAATGGGACCGTTTCGATGCTACCGCCCCCTCGCCCACCAAGACCGGGTGTAAATACGTCGGTTACGGACAAGGATGCAACGAACATATCGCAGAAAAGGACTGTCTCGAACCCCACCAACACCAACAACACCCCCACGCCTCCGCCTCCGCCGCCGCCCTCAAGGGCCCATGGGAGGCCAAGTCCTGTAGACCAGACGTCCGTCAGAGTGCCAAGCGGAGTTCAGGCGCCACCGCCTGCTGCAGGCAGGACAGGGGTGGATGCATCGCTGTCGAGTTCTAGCACAGGTGGCCCTACCATGACCCAGACCAGCACTCGACTCGCAATATCCAATACATACCCAGACTCCACGAACACCAATCGTCGGCCACCTTACATTAAGCAGGGCGTTTACGAAATCCCCACAAAATATGACAGTCGAATATTAGACGTTTGCGGGGAGCTGGTTTGCACCGGCGGTCATTTGACGCGGGTTTGGAGCTTGTTGGATGGAGAGCTCCTCATGAGCCTTGCAATGGGTGAAGGAATCAAGGGGACGGCAGTTGCCTTCAAGCCGGGCGCGAATGTCAGCGAGGAAGGCTCAAGAGTGTGGATCGGCAATAATATGGGCGAGATTATGGAGGCCGACATTGCAACGCAGAGCATCGTGAGCAACAAGACAAACGCCCATGCTCGGCACGAAGTCGTCAAGATATACCGGCACTTCAATGAGTTGTGGACTCTGGACGACGGTGGTACACTACACGTCTGGGGACCAGACGCGAACGGCGTCCCAAATCTAGCCAACCCCCCCAGCCAGTCTTTCCGTCTGCCAAAAGGGCACACCTCTTCCATAGTAGTAGGCGACGAGCTGTGGCATGCCACGGGGAAGGAGATCCGGGTGTTCTTACCTACGACGGACGGGCGGGCCCAGTTCCAGGTCTTGATCCGCCCCCTCTGTCAGGAGAACATCGGAGAGGTTACTTCTGGAACTTGGTCGACATCTGATTCTGACAAGGTCCTTTTCGGGCACATCGATGGCAAAATCAGCATATATTCTCGCGCAGACTACTCATGCCTAGAGGTTGTGAGCATCAGCACTTACAAGATCAACACCCTTGCAACAGTGGGCAAGTATATGTGGGCTGGGTATAATACGGGCAAGATCTGTGTCTACGACATGAGCCAGACTCCGTGGGCAGTGAAGAAGGACTGGCAGGCACACGACAACCCTGTCATAAGAGTGATTGCAGATCAGTCGAGCTTTTACAGGCTCGACCGATATCAAGTAATATCTCTTGGTGCCGACAACGTCGTGCGGGCGTGGGATGGGCTTTTGCAGGACGACTGGCTGGAGACAGAGATGAAGGCCAAGGACGTCCAATATTGCGAGTTCGAGAAGATCAAGGCCCTGATATTGACGTGGAATGCCGGCGCCACCACGCCAAACAGCCTGAGATATTCGGACTCGGATGCAGGCTTTATTCAGAACCTTCTTCAGACCAGCGGCTCGCCCGACATACTGGTGTTCGGTTTCCAAGAGCTGGTAGACCTGGAGGACAAAACGGCGACTGCGAGTAAGTTTCATCCTCGTCAGTGATTGGACTTTTAAGTCCAAGACTAACTTGTTCAGAACGGTTCCTCAAGCCCAAGAAAAAGGAAGGATCCGACCAGGAGCGCATGAGTCACCAGTATCGCGATTGGAGAGACTTCCTCGCCAGGAGCCTCGACGACTACATGTCGGGCGACCTCTATCATCTTTTACATACAGCCCCTCTTGTTGGACTCTTCACTTGCATATTCGTGAAGGCTGATCTTCGCGACCGGATCAGCAACCTCGGCGGCGCTGAGGTCAAACGAGGCATGGGTGGTCTGCATGGGAATAAGGGCGCCATTATTGTGCGCTTCATGATTGACGACACTTCACTCTGCTTCATCAACTGCCATCTGGCAGCAGGGCAGTCTCAGGCTACCCACCGCCACAACGACGTTGCCGCCATCTTAGACTCCTCGATACTGCCTACAGAGCGTGACCCGTCGATTCGAACGGACAGTTATGTCGGAGGAGGGGACGGGACAATGATCCTCGACCACGAACTTTGCTTCCTGAACGGCGACCTGAATTACCGCATAGACACCATGAGCCGGGACACGGTAGTCACCGCCGTCAAATCTGGCAACCTGACCAAGCTCCTCGACCGGGACCAGCTCCTCGTGGCCCGCCGCAGAAACCCCGGCTTCAGATTACGCGCCTTCGACGAGCTGCCGATTACCTTCGCGCCGACATACAAATACGACGTTGGGACGGACAACTACGACTCGAGCGAGAAGAAGCGGAGCCCTGCGTGGTGTGACAGGCTGCTCTACAGGGGCAGGGGCAGGATCGAGCAGCTCGATTACATCAGGCACGAAGTCAGGGTATCGGATCACCGCCCCGTCAGCGGACGATTCAGGCTCACGGTCAAGAAGATCTCGCCCAAGAAGCGGGCACTGGCGTGGATGGAGTGCCAGCAACTATGGGAGGATACGAGAGAAAGGATGGCAAATGAGGAGAAGTAGGTCGACTCGGTAAACCCCTCACTATCATTTAACTTGGGGCTAACCTGTATAGGATGTTCTATCTGACGCAGGTCATTGGTTATGACAACCAAACCGCGCAGAGGTTAATACAGGACAGAGCCCCTCGCAGGCCGAGCAGGAGTCCCAGCAGGCATAGGGATTGAGAAGCGGTACCTCTATGTAGCAGTTGCGGAGCATATGTCTGTGGTTGCTTGATTAGAGCTAGAGTGCTGAGGGCTGAGCTGGCGACGTATTGCACCAAACAGCGGGCATCCTCCGATATGTTGGATACCACGGAGAATCTCCCGAGTCACCACGGGCCCTATAAATGCCATCTTAGAAAGGCGCAGCGATATGGTACAGTGGTATGGTACAGCGGTATGGCATTGCATTGCATTGGTGTTGGCGACGGAACCCCTGAGCATGGGTGTCACGTGTTGCGTTTGTTTCCATCATGACTACCGGAGTCGCACAGAAGTCAATCAACACCATTTCTGCCCAGAACCTGCAAGAACCTTTGGTGTTTGATCATACCGATTTCCATCGAGACAAATAAATGAGCCACCAGGCTCAACTGCTGCGTTTTGCCCAGACGGATCATCCACACGTCAAACAGATCACTGAAGTCGACTTAGAGTACGCCGGCACCCTTGAGCCAGATTTCGACGCTGGCAACGACATCCCCATTCGTGAGGACCACTGTCCAACGGAGTGGCGTGAACGGAAGCAAGCTCTTACTACCTCGTCACCAGACCAGGCAAGAAAATATGGACAGGTGAGGACTACCAAAGACACCCGCTGTTGGCCCGACTCGTCCTTTCCAAACTGGGGATTACTGAAGATCATGCTCACAGAGCGAGACCCTAAGTTCCTGGCCGCCCTGTGGAAGGCCATAGCAGGAACTACGAACAACTATGTTATTCACCACTGTATACTTATACTATCCTTCAGCTGACATTAAAGTGAACAAAACCAATGAGACTCTGGAATCAGCCTTCTGTCACGGTATCCAAGCCCTTGGCAACATGAAGAATTAGCTGCAAGTATTCCTTGCATCCAATTTGAGTGTAACATGCTAAGTCTATCGCCGGAAAAGCCCCAAGCAAGGTCATCAAATGGTTCACCCAGAACGGCGCAGACTTCGTCGTAGACCTCATCGCAGGACCTAACCAAATCGCCGAAAGAACTTTTCCAGATTACGAACTCCCTTGCAATGCAGCCGCCTGCAAGGCCATTTTACAATGAACACCGCACAGCCTTAGGCCAACAGGTTTGGCTTCGTTTACACTGCGGCTACACCACACCTGCAGCCAACTCTGCCAGCCCAAAGTACAGACAACAATTCGCCAGACCGTTCACAATCAAAGACTACCTAGGTAAATCAGCCGTTCAGTTTACCAGCCACGTCTTCGTCACGTTGAGGGATACAAGATATGACGCGTATTTGACCACTTTAAGCCAAACCACCAAACTACCAAACCCAATATCAACCCGTCTCTCACATCATCTCGCATCAACCAAACACTAACAAATACCTAGTGGCATGTCAGGATCTGACTAGGAACTCCATCAGTGGTTGTCCAGGGACAAGATACCACCCATCATCGTCCAGGCCCGGCAACGTCCCGCACAACGATCACCATCGCCTCACCATGAAGTCCGAGAATGTGACCACAGCCTCAGAGGGCGCTAGAAACTCTCTGTCAGACAAGCCCGTGCTCGACAAACACCAGCTCAACGGAGCGACGCCAGAAGCTCCGAGTGCCTCGAAGAAGCGCAAGACTTCCCAGGACACTTATCTCGTTCAGGACGCAGCAAGTGAAGACGATGAGGGGGATCCGTCGATCTACGACGACGACATCGTCCGTAGCGTAAAGCTCATGGCAGCACAATCCGCCGATATGAAGAAGTTCGTGGGAACAAACGCCAATGCCCAGAGGCTCATCGCAGCAGTAGCCGACGAAATCAAGAAGCTCATCGCAGCCCTAGCCGACGATATCCAGAAGCTCAGCGCAGCCCTAGCCGACGATATCGCGAAGCTCATCGCAGCCCTAGTCGATGAAATCGCGAAGCTCGTCGCAGCACAAACCGACAAGATCGCCAAGCACACCAACGCACCCAACCGCGAGGAGACCACCACCACCACCGTGTCCCTCCCGGGCCCAAGCGGCGGCGTCGAGGTGCGCGACGGCGTGGCGACGGCGGACTGCCTCGGCCAGCAGCTCGTGCTGGGGAAACCGCGGATCAGAGACAGTCGAGACAGAAACCAGGAAGCAACCAGATAGTGGAGTACCAGAATGCCTACCGGCACTTGTCGGATGCCGTAAGAAATGTCCTGTTCATGACGCCGGTCGCCACGGAGATGCGCCTCGGAGATATGGCGGACCCCGAGACGCGTCGGTTGGCGTAGGAGCTTAGTCTGGGCAGAGACAGTCTGTGAGGGCGCAACATGACGAGGCCGTTGTGGTATTTTTTCTATTTTTTCTAGGGTTGGGGGGGGGGGGGGCGCTCAGGAGATTGCCCTTAGTAGCGTAGGTTGGTTTCCATCAAGGATCCACCATCCAGCATGGTAAACTTGACAATGAGGAATGAGGATCTCCCCAGCTAGGCAGACACGATGAGTCAAGGTTAGAGGCGATGAGGACTTCCCCAGGTGGTCGCAGAGAGAAGAGTGACAAGTCTGGCCCCATTCTTGTCGCCAACATGCACCTTGGGTTCTTAGAGTGAGCATGACAGTAGGCGATATGGAGACCAGCAAGAACAATAATGTGATTTCGAACTTGGACGGTTTAATCCCGTGGACTAAAATCAGGGGCGCGGTCGGAAATATTTAGAAGTACATCTTAGTCTAATCCGAAGGATAGATACCCCTAAACCAGCACCAATCAAAAAGGGGTCCTAGGGCGTCGGCGCGACTTCTGTCCTTTTACACCAACTTCCACGTCCCGTCAACCTGCTCGATCCCGACCTCACGGTTCTCGTCGATGCTCCTCCGGCCGGCCTCCAGGATGGCCGTCGTGGCGATGGTGTTGCGCAGCGTCGGCAGGCCCTTTGCGTCGAGGTCCTCGGGCTTGAGGGTGCCCGAGTTGACGGCGCGGCAGCCGTCGACGAACTTCTCCATGGAGATGTAGCCGTAGCCGGTCTGGCCGTTGAAGTTGCCGTCCTCGTCGGGCGCGTAGCGCATGTAGAAGGGGTTGTACCACACCAGCTGGCCGACTGAGTCGTCGGCCACGTCGTAGCCGCGCTTCGCCTGGTCGATCCGGATCTCGCCGTTCTTGGCCAGGTAGTGGAAGTACTGGTTCGAGTGGACGCCGGCCCTCTGCGGCGCCGTCCAGGAAGCCGTGTAGACGCCCGTGGCACGCTTGCTCGCGTCGTCCTTGTGCCGCCACTGGACCAGGAGGGAGATTGTGTCTTCCGTGGCCTCGTTGCAGCCCAGGCTGGTGGCCACGCCTTTCGACGCCGACGCGGAGACCTTGAAGGGAACATATCCCAGCTGCGACACCATCGAGTCGCAGATGTCGATGTGGTGGCTGTTTAGGTAGTAGGAGATGTCGGAATCAACGCCCGCCCAAGCCTTGAACGTCTCAAGCTGGGATTTTGGCTGTGACATGTAGCTGTAGAAATAGTTGAAATCACCCAGCTTCTGTGCCTTGAAGCGGGCGTCTGAATACGCGGGGTCAAAGCGCTTGTGATGCTCGATATAAACATAGACGTTATTTTTCTTAGCCGCCTCGAGCAGTTTCACATGGTCCTCGAGGACCTTGACGGCAGGCTTGGTGATCATGACATGGATTCCACGTTCGATGGCATACAGTGCGATGGGGTAGTGTGTGGTGTCAGGGGTGAAGATGGTAATGGCATCGCCCGCTTTGAGGGAGTCGATGGCGGTCTTGTACGAATCCGGATCCTTCACATCGTCGGCAGGGTAGGAATCGAACGAAGTGTCCAGCTTGTTGTAAGCAAGCGAGATGTTCTGGTGGAGGTGTTCCCCTAAGACGCCGTGTCAGGAGCAAGAACGGCTGGCGAAGTGTGACGGCAGCGGATATGAGACTTACGGATTGCGGGGAACTTGGTGCCGTTCACACCGACCATGCCCAGTTGTCCGACCTTCCCTCGTCGTCTGAGGTCGAACATTGACAATCCGACTACACCAACTTTTTTGTCCGATCCAGAGGCACCACCTCCGACAAAGCCGGTGGTGTACTCGCCCGTACCGACCTTCGCAGAAACGTTAGCCGACATATACCGCAGTTCATGGGGCCTCTCGACGTACCATCAACACGTTAAGGGGATCCATTGCTGCAGAAGTTTATCAATTGGAAATTCCTCAAGTATCTACGTTTGAGGAGGTGCGGCAAGAGGTAGACGAGGGGGGAGACAGTCCAGGAACTGAAAGGCTAGACGACACAATATGTTTTCGGAAAAAAGAGGAGACAGGGCCGAGGATATCGATCCTCACATGTATGAGGGCCAAGCTAACAAGGACGTGGAAATAGTCCGGCCAGGCTGTAAATACTAAGAGATCCGGAAATACGTTGTTGGGGTTGGAGGAGGGGCAGCAATAGCAATTGGAGCGATTTGGGGAAGCTTGAATCCACATCAAAAAAAATCGCGGCTCCATGACCCTACATTAGGCCCCAGAGCATGCATGCCGTGAACGAAACCCGAGAATCGAGGAACCGCCTAGCTCTGCAGGCTCTTCTGGCCTCCTGAATAACTTCTGGCAGCTCTGAACAGGAGAAAGCACAGGAATTGGAGCAAGCTCACTTGAGATCCCGAACACCTGGGCAAGCAGGTAGGTACTTTCATGCTAGATATTGCATCGGCTTCGATAATCCAATGGAAGTTGTATTTCATACAGGGGGCTAAAGAGGAGCTGCATTGGGAATTGCCCCGCCCCCACGTTCAGTGGTGGCTGCCCCGCATCGGCCTCGTGACATGGTCCAGGGTTGCCATCGTGCATCATGCATGGAAGCACCAGCCATTGAATGTCCAACTTCTTGCACCCCGAAAACCTGTCGGAAAATTGACAACTTAGGCTAAATGGAAGGCAATGATATGATGAGGCTCGCTACGAAGAGAGACCTCGGTGTCTTCTATGGGACATCTGCTGAGGTTCACAAACAGGACGGGACTGTACGGCATACCTTGTAACTCCTGTGGGTCCCGACGTAGTGTATTTGCAGTTTGGACTAGCTCGCGGTTTTATTGGCGGGAAAACTCACCGTCCTATTTCTTCCGGAGACCCATCATGACCCACTAAGAACGACGAGCCTCGAAAGGCTAACCTCCACCCGACGGGAGTCAGGCAGAGTATTGCCTCACCGTCGACGAGAAGTACGTACTTACGTCTACTTTGCCATATGCACGAAGCAAAGAGGTATATCCCCAGATACCCTGGAAGACGCCCAACGTGCAATTCCCAAGGCTGGCATCTCAACCCGAGGCCATCCGCCTGTCCATCCGCCTGTCTCTCCCTCTGTCTCTCTCCATCCCGTCCCTGACAACCCCCTGTATGGCCCACCGCCTTCATCGAACATCCCCGCAATTCTGCCGGTCCTATCCAAGACACCGCATCTGCAAGGATGTGTGGGTGTACTAACGAGGACGACTGGGGCTTTTCTAATTCCAAGTTCTTGAATGGCTCTGCCACACGGCAATGGACGGGCGTTGACAAGACCGCACTTCTTTCCGGAGTCTCCAATGGGGCCAGGTAGGACCAAACCGCACAGTCGCCCTGGTCCCGATTCAAACTGGTGCAGATCATCGGTCTGTACTTAGTCGTTTGCCTCCACTGTACCGGCGCCGCGTCGAGGGAAATGCGCCAATCCAGGCGTTATGCCTGGGCTCCTAATCCGAGACCCCTGCCCTAGCAAATTCCTAGGATAGCCCTGGGTTCAGCTCCCGACATCCCACGCAGATCTGGCTATGGCCACGCCTTCTGGTGTCCCAGCCGACCGGGCCAGACACCGAGTCAAGTCCTGCTTGAACCGACTTTGACGTCCTCTTTTGTCGATCTAGCGAGTACGTGCGTGATTTCTCCGACCTGTTAAGCTATATATTACCCCGATATAGCTTTGAGGCGCTGCCAATGGTCAAGGCTGCTTACCGCCCTACCGCCGAGGCACTTTACCTACCCTCCATTCGGGGCTGCCACTTGGAACCTTCCCATCCTTCCCCAGACCGGGTCCTTAGCCTGGATTTTGGAGCGTATGGAGTGCGAGTCTCATCCCCTGCCTCACCAACGAAGAAACCCACCCAGCTCTGTGCCTCGGACCAATGTCTTCGCGAGAGTCCGTTGGACTAGAGACCTGTATCCTTGACCGATCCCCCCTCCCCCCACACTCCAAACTATTAGGTCATGAAATGTGTTGCCGTCCTCGCGTCAAGGGCCTCTGTTTCTTTTATAAATAATAAGCTCTCCGCTTCTGCCTCTGCCCCATGCGCAGCTGCTTCCCTTTTCCATCGTTGGCCTTCTGTCCTACTTTCCTTACCGACGCCGTCTCCCCGTCGCCAATTTTCTCATCTCCTTGCCTCTTCCAAGCTTAGTAGCTATCTTCCTTCGTCCCGCCGGCCCATCATGACTGTCTCCAACGGCACAAGCGCGACCAGCGCCCACACGACGTCTCGTAGGCCGCTTCCTTGCGGCATCTACGCGCCAACCATGACCTTCTTCGACCCTGAGACAGAGGAACTCGACATCCCCACCATCAAAAAGCATGCTGAGCGGCTGGTACGAGACGGCCTCGCCGGCCTCGTCACAATGGGCTCCAATGGGGAGGCAGCCCACTGCACCCGCGAGGAGAAGGCGGCAGTCACCCAGGCTACTCGAGAAGCCCTGGACGCCGCCGGATTCACTCAGACGCCGATCATTGTCGGTGCCACCGAGGGCAGCGTTAAGGGCACAATAGAGTTGTGCAAGCTCTCGCAACAGGCTGGCGGCGACTACGTGCTGTTGCTCCCTCCCTCCTACTTCCGAACGCTGATGGACGAGGAGGCCATCTACAATTACTTCGTTGCCGTTGCCGACGGGAGCCCGCTCCCCCTGGTCCTGTACAACTACCCTGGCGCCGTTGCCGGTATCGACATGGACTCTGACCTCCTGATCAAGCTCGCCGAGCACCCCAACATCGTCGGCACCAAATTCACCTGTGGTAACACGGGGAAGCTGACCCGGGTGGCTCTTGCCACCAATGCCAAGACCCCCTCGTCCGAAGGGTCGGGATACATGGCCTTCGGCGGCATGTGCGACTTCACCGTCCAGACCCTCGCCAGCGGCGGAAGCGGCATCATCGCAGGCGGCGCTAACGTCATGCCCAAGCTCTGCGTCAAGGTCTGGAACCTGTACGCGCAAGGCAAGACAGAAGAAGCCATCGCACTGCAGAAGATCCTGTCCAGGGGAGACTGGTTCCTCACCAAGGCTGCTATTGCCGGCACCAAGCAGGCCATCCAGAGCTATTACGGCTACGGCGCCTTCCCTCGACGGCCGCTGAAGAGGCTCGACAAGGCCCGAGTTTCGTCCATCGAGGAGGGAATAAGGGAGGCAATGGAGGTCGAGAAATCGTTGTAGGTGACACAACGCCATTAGCGACTTGGGAAACGGGGGGTTGGTCATTGGTCAGAGCCCCATGCCAACAAGGCGATTGATGCACAAAAAAAAAAAAAGAAAGAAACAATCGCCATTCTAAAGCAGCCGAGAGACTCTGATCCCGGGTGTAGCCTGAAGAACGACTTGGGCATTCGCATCCATGATAAAAGGGGGATCGGGCAGCTGAGTCGACACCGTGGGGAGCTTGTTGTCGCGTTCATTCCCTGCGACAATCCTCCAGGAAGTTCAGACCTTATCTAATCATGTCATATCTATCATAGAGGAGGGGGATGATGGGCAGGCAGGCTAGGCGGTATGCCAATAATTTAAGACAGCACATAGAGAATTCACGAGGAAATATGAAGATACCACCGAATGTTAAGAAATGCTGGTGGCACATTGCGCCCGTCCTCGTATAAGCGGGGAGGAGATGCATGTTCTCGCCATCACCTATGTACACGTACAGATTGGTCATGGCAACCCCGAGAATCCCACGCTTGGCTACCATACTGCATAGGAATCCCGATCATCCCGTGGTCAAGACCCACCAGCATCTCCCGTCGGGAACCAAGATGCCCGGCCCAGCCTGTCAGGGCGAGGAGGCATGCATTGTCCCTCCCGCCACTAACTCCCCGCCCCCGCACGAAGTGAAGTGCCGACCCCATGGGGACATGATCGTGTCACACCTCTTCAATGCACGAGGAGGCGGGATACAACACCCCGCAGAACCTGTGCGCGATAGGGATACATTCGGACGAAAATACCTGTCGGCCACCGCGGCCCAGCAGCACCCCTGGACCCCCCCACCCCCCCAACACCTCCGCTCTTCTGACACAAGCTCCGCTGCGAAAAAGAAAAGAAAAACGGGAAGGAGAAAAAAAAGCAAGAAACTCCGCCTCACACCCTAAACTTGCGCGGATCCAGCTTCTCGATATTGGCGCTCGTCGTCCGGCCGTCGAGCAGCATCTCGGCCATGAGGCAGCCCGTCCCGGGCCCGTTCTGGACGCCCCAGCAGGTGTGGCCACTGGCGACCCACAGCCCCGGCACGGTGGTGGGGCCAATGAGTGGGTTGTCCTCCTCGCGGGTCCGGACGTGCCGCGGGAGGTAGCAGGCCTGCTTCGTCTTGACCGGCGCGGCCGCGAGCTGCGGGGACACGGTGCCGATATAGGCTACCAGGTCGTCGCACTGCGCCTCGTCCGTCTGCACGAGGTCGGCTGTCTCCGGGAGGGGGATGGTCCTGTCGGGTTCGCCTGTTGGGGGGAGGAGATAGGGGTTAGAATACATAACTCGGCCCGTTTAAAAGTGTCCGTTACTGGACAGTTTCGGGCGGGAAAAGGGGCTACGGCGATTCTGGAGAATGATTAGGCAGCCAACTCACCGCAAGCGTAGACTTCACCCCCCGGCCGAGCGTAGATTTCCGGATCGACGTTCCCCCTGTGCTTTCTCCTCTGGCCTTTTCTCGCCCGATGCTCTGGCGCCCACTCTGTAGGGAGACTTATGTCGGTAAACACGGCGTAGGGACTAACGTTGGCGCTGAACACGACGCTATGCGCCCTCAGGCCCTCGATGCGGGTCCGCGGCAGCATCTTCCCCGTCCACGGACCCGCCGTGACGACGACATCCGTGACCCCGTCGATTATCCGGCTGCTCTGGGATTCCCGATCCTCGTACTCGACGCTCTGGACCTCGGTCTTTGTATGGTTGATCTGGGTGACCTTGGCCATTAACCGGATGTCGACACCTCTCTCCTTCGCCAGTTCCGCCATCGCCATAGTGAAGTAATACGGATGAACCTGGGACGTCTCCGTCGACCCGGGCATGCCCATCTCCTCGTACTGCCGCACCAAGCCCGCGTCTATCCAGTCCAGGTCCGCCGGCAAGGGCGAGTCCCTCATTAAGCTAGCCGCGTTCTCGTCCTGCTTTGGCAACTTCTCCCAGTCCTTCTCCCCCTCCTCGGCATGGACGCTGCTCTGTATCGGGAGGACCGCCTCATCGCCCTCCCCGGCAGCAACGCCGCCCGGCGCCGCCGTCCCGGGAAACCCGGCCCCGGCGCTGCCGTCCCCGTTTGGCACCGCGTCTGCGAACGCGTCCCGGCCGCCGCCGCCGCCCCCCTTCAGCCTCGCCGCCTCGAGCCTCCTGATGTCCCCCTCCCTCACCACGGCGCTCAGGCCCCCGCACCCCAGCCGGCGGTACCCCCAGCGGTCGGCGCCGCCGTGCTCCCGGGCCAGGTCCGCGTGGAGGCGGTAGGACAGCGGCACCAGGCACGAGGGGAAGGCCCAGAGGGCGAGCAGGCCGCCGGCCTTGCCCGACGCGCCGGCGGCGATGGCCGTCGCCTCCAGGAGGGTGATGCGGTGGAGGGATGGGTCGAATTTCGGGTGGCGGGTCAGGTAGTAGGCTGTCGTGCAGCCTATGATGCCGCCGCCTGTGCAAGTCCGGGGGGCGTCAGTGCATGGGTGCCCGGGGGTGCGGCGCAAGGATGGCATGCTGAGCTACTGCAGGTGGGCAGGGGATGGGGACGCGGTAGAAGGGAGGGCTGGACAGGGGAGACAGCTGCCCGGCAGGGGGGTGCCGGCGGCGTTCTTGACCTACCAATTATGACGATATTCCTCTTCTGCTGCGAGTCCATGGTTGCTGGCGGGCGGCGATATGGAAATGGGAACGAAGATCTCTAGGGAAGGAAATATGTCCAACCCCTTCTTCTTGGTGACAATTAAAGCAAACAATAACAAGTTTCATGCCATATTGATCCTTTAGGGTAGCTTAGGAGCCAGAGGGAATGGTTGTCGTCCCGAATGACAGATGAACCTCACTATACCGCATACGGTAATTACTTCCTTCGATTCCATACATCTTTCGTTGGCGGGGTAGGTGGGGTTCTTCTCGCACCTGTAGAACAGCACTGACCAGGCGAATCACGTCAGTAGCAACGCTATTCCCCGCCGCGGCTTCGCCCACACTGCGGTGCCAATTAGCATCAAGATAGTGAATCACGTGCTAATGAATGCGCGGCCAAGGCGATGGCCGGGTTGCGATTTCCAGGAAACATGAGACGGCCAATTGTATCACTGATTTGTCAGAACCGAAGAACTCGTCAATGCCGACGTTGCCTCATGTCATCCGATCGTATATGAAAAGCCGGGTTGTTTCCATCCTGCCTCTCTCTCGTGTGCCGAAATCAACCTCAAGATCCGTCTTAGTACTTGACCGAGTTCAACAAACCCAACGGTCACTGCGTGTCCCAGCTCCCAGATCCCAAGTAGCTTATCTCCAGACGATCGCAACGAGTCGATTTTCAACCATGGCTTCCGCGACGAGTTTCTACGATTTGAAGCCGCTAGACAGTATGCACAAACCCCATACCTCCCCATTCCCAACCCCTCCTTCCTCAATGCACCTCGACAAGACTTCCCGCCGAAGGTAGTCAGTCAGTCCCCAGACGTTAACCGTTACCCCTCCCCCGCAGAGCGCGGCACCGAGGTCCCCCTCTCCGACTACAAGGGCAAGGTGGTGCTGGTGGTCAACACGGCGTCCAAGTGCGGCTTCACGCCGCAGTACGCGGGCCTGGAGAAGCTGTACAAGGACGTGCGGGCCAAGCACGGCGACGACTTTGTCATCCTGGGCTTTCCGTGCAACCAGTTCGGCGGCCAGGAGCCCGGCACCGACGACGACATCCAGAGCTTCTGCCAGGTCAACTACGGCGTCACCTTCCCCATCCTGCAGAAGGTCGACGTCAACGGCGACTCGGCCAGCCCCGTCTTCCGCTGGCTCAAGGACGAGAAGCCCGGCCTCATGGGCCTCAAGCGCATCAAGTGGAACTTTGAAAAGTTCCTCGTCGGCAGGGACGGCAAGGTCAAGGAACGCTGGGCGTCCACAACTAAGCCTGAGTCGCTAGAGAAGGCAGTGCTGGAGGAATTGGAGAAGAAGGAGTAAGCGGGGGGTTAATCCATTTTCGCCAAGAGGGAAGCAAAGAAACAGAAATAGGCGGCGATGGCAGTTGATGCCCCGACCACTCATCAATTATATGCCTTCCTTGGCTGACAATACGGTAGGAGGGATGATTAGAGCTTGGGTTACCCCATTGTTGGCTGTGGTGCGTTCCTCTCCCGTGATTGGCAACGGATATCAGAAGTTCCGACGTCGTGGAGACCTGGTATCACAACACTCGATATGTACAACGGCATCCCAGGCTGTCCCTATAGACATCTAATGTTGGCACGTTCCATTTAGTCACAATATAGTTTATGGGCATCCGATGGAATAGGTGGGCTACTGTATCATACAGTCTCAGCTTGTGAACTTTATCCTCACTCCGTGTAAGAGGCAAGAGGATATATTCCAGATTTATGGGTGCATAGAGCCGCAGGCCTGCGCCAAAGGCCTTCATATGCACGGCGGCCTTCACCGAGGGACATTCGTCTCGTCGAGTGGGGCTGTCGTCACAGGGAGTCTCAATTTGCTTTTTCGTAGAACCCGGTGTTCTGGGACATACCGGCTTGTCGACTCCGTCGGGGCTCGTCTTGCGAGGCCACAGACTCCGCAGAATGGGAACTTGAGCGACCAACATACAGGATTTGACTTCCCCTTTCCTCAGCGAATGCCATGTCGTTGGCCAGTGATTTCTGACAGATCGAACGCGCCCAGGTCGAGGGGTGGTCGTTCTGGTGGGATTCGAAGAAGCAAGGTGTCGTGCGAGCCACGCTCCAAGTGTCTGGCATGCCGCCATGTCCTACGCCCAGACCCAATATATGCGGAGGCGGGTGTCTCCCAATATAATTTCGAGCACCAGACTGGTGGGAATGGTTTTGATATTGACACCTGCAAGAGTCTAAAGATAGCCCAGTCTCACAACCACCACTGCTATCCCACGTCTGCACCAACTGTTGGGGTTCCACGAGAACATATCAGATGCATCACAGAATACAAGATGATACATGTGCTAGGAAAGTAGCCAGGACTCTGCGTTCGTGCCCTGCCGATCCCGGGTTTTTCAAGTGCACCACCTTCAGACGTACACGGTCTTTTGACTCCTGCAAGTCTGCATTGCCAACGAACGGTGTGACAGGTGCAACTCGGTCATGCCGAAGCGAGTGCTTGAGATAACCTCGAATCCTTGATTGTAGACTTGAAGAACGTACCGTCTCGTAGACGCAGGCAGTCAGCATGTGGCTCGGCGACCTGCCAGCCAGACGGAGTTGCCGAGGTTCTCCAATAGAACAGATGCCGCATTGACGTCCGAGTTTGCTCGGTTTTGACTTGATTATACTGGGGCTCAGATGTTGTTGATCGATTTCGAGGTCAATGCGAGAGAGAAAGCAGCTGGAACGATCAAAGCTCTCGAAGGACACCAAAGTTCTCGAAGGGCACCAAAGTTCTCGAAGGACACCCGCATGTCTTCGACTCCAAGCTACCCAAACGTTCGGAAAAAAAATGTGAGTGGGCTTACGAAGTAGGGGAGTGTGCTAAAAATATAACTAAATGTCACAAGGTTCGCGAATGATTCGATTACCGGCGAGCGTAGGGGCAGAGGTGACTCGCCCAAGGTGGCCAAACCCCTGTAGCTGTACGGTACCCGAGAGGAGGGTATCAATGAGGGTGATAAAAACGCGTATAGGCTCGTTGCAGCAAAAAAAGAGTCCGTGGCCAGGGAGTGTGTTGCGAAATTTGGGGGATTTCTTATGTGATTTGGTCATAGAGGCCCGGACGACGGAGGATCATGGGCAAGTCCTCGATAGAATGCAGAGCTGATTATTGTTGGTGCCACGAGGGCATGGAGGATTTGAACCCCCCGCCCCCCAAGGCGGTATTAAACTGCATCTTTTGTGTGTGTCGCCGGAGAGTTGCGCCTTTCGTCTGCGTGGGCAGAATAGATTAAGCTCCCGCCCTCGACCGGCATTTGGCAATTTTGGTAAGGTAAGATATGCAGGATGGATGTCTGGCTATATAAGCAACTGGCATTGCAGACAGATGCTGTTGGTTGGGGTAGGATTGTGATGATATCACCAAACTTGGGGGCAGGGACCAGGGATGAGGCGGAACATGGCCCTATCATGGCCTCGGAGCAGAGTCACGCTGTGACCAGCTCAGCATGACAATGATCCTCTTGAGGCACAGCAGGTCGGAAGACTTCTTCCAGCCATCTCTTCGACGAGCCCAACCAGCCTAGGGCCGGCCAGGAGGAGGACGAGGGGGAGGAAGAAGAAGAGGATATGGTCTTGTAACGACAGGGGCTGCTGCGGGAGAGCTAAGCTCGACTCCTTTGTCATGCTCAATCGGCCTGGCCTAAGTCTAGCCTCATCCGAAAATGCCCCAGCAAGGAACATAGTCGCCAGTCGGATATCGCAGGCTTAAGTTTGACATTGCGGGGAAGCCAAGCGGAGTTGAGAGTCTGGGGTCTGGGGTTACGGGGTAAGAAATGCAGGCGAACTTAGTGGAGAATCCGACGAGTCTTCCAGCATCCATGGAATTGCGATCGATCGATGCTCCTTCAGACATCTGAGCAGGGGAGTACATCATCATCAACTGCCCAGCTCGACCGAAGCCTTGTGAATTCAAGAGCCCGAAAGAGAGCTCCACGGTCAGAGAGATACAAAGAAGTTGGGATGTCTTTAGGGACTTGGGCAACTGGTCACTTGACAAATCCCGAGGGATTGATAGGCTTGTGATGAATTGAGTTTTTGAGCTGGAGGAGCATCCCAGGCTCTGATCCCAGGCCCCGACGTCCTGGGAGGGTAAAGCGCAAGGATTGTAACGTTCCATCCACGAGTCGTGCAAGCGAATCAGAGAAAGAGGCGGCTTCCAAGGAGCAAAAACAAGCTCAGGGATTTGATGACCCACGTAAATCGAACTCAGAACGCCGCTGGGCTTCGAGATGAGTATAAGAAAGAGAGTTTCGTGCAGATTGGCCCAGCATCACTCCCTACTCCGTACGAAGAACCCCTGACATGATCCGCTTCTCGTGCCGCAAACATCAAAATCCCCGGTTTGCCATCTCCTTAAGCGTGTTTCCCCAGCCAGGAGTTGGTGGGGGAGGGTTCGGATCAACGAAGCGTCGTAGATCAGCGAGATGGTCCCTTGATCCCTTGATTAGGCTCACTCGGCTCACCGACAACCCCAAGTAGCGTAGTCTCGGAGTACATGCTGCGAAAAAACTTCCGAGTTCTGTTGCGCTGGGCGCACGACATGACTGCACCAAAACCTGAAAATTTCCCCGCTACGAAGTATGGCTAAATCCCTGTCAGCCTGTACTTCCCCCATCCGATATGTGCGGTTCTATGCACTAGCGCAGCTTAGCTGGACCATAATGAAATTAGCGGGGAGTCAGGGTAATCAGAGATAACCCGTAGGTTGACGGCGAGGGTTGATTTAGCTAGAGTGCCTGTCCAATGCGAACGCGAGGGCTGCGGCCAGCAAATCAGAGGCGGCGGGAGGGCGGGAGCTGACGGCAGTGATCTTGTTAGTGCAAAGAGTTTGGCCAACGAGATGGCACAATATGGCTTTCGACGCAGCTTCTTCGGTCCTTCTAGCGCGGGGGGAATGCAAGCCTCCAGCTAAACCTGAGTTGGTGGTGGTGCCAAAAATGTCGCACGCTTGGGTTGGCAGGGGATCAATGCGAGTGAAGGAGCTTGGTGATGGTGGTGCCGGAAGAGGTTCGACTGCATGCTGCGCAGGCGTTTCTTGGTCGGAATTAACGGTTTCCACATAGTTGAAATGCAAGGCGACGGCACGCGACGGTGTTCGCTACCAGGATTGAGGATCGCACAGTCTGCAGTCGTGTTTTTAGAAACCGTAGGGGAGGGCAATATATTCTTGCTGATAAACCTTTGGAGGGATAGAGTCATGGGACAGTCTGACCATGGTGAACGGCACAAAGTGAGTATCAAATCCCGACACACTTATCAAGCACGACAGTGAGGGGTTTTATAACCGGCAGAAAAATCATCAAACGGCGTGACCTTGGCACACGATAGCGTAGAAAACATTAGGGGCCTGCCAAGGAGTTAGGTAGGTGGTTATTAGCAACTTAGCCGTAAGGTACTGCTCATCAAACCGTATCCTAGATCTCGGTAGCCCTTTTTAGCGTAGCAGACTAGATGCAGGCAACAGCAGCCTTCAGCCGCCAACTGACTCGACCACCGCCCTGTTCGTTGTTGGTTGCGAAGAGTGCCAATGGTATGAGAGTTATTTGTTGAGCACCTACCAAACAGGCAGGCGGTGAGCACATGTCTCCTTTTCTCTCTTTTTTGGGAGAAGGCGGTCAAGCATTCATTTGGTGCCTCGCCAGTCGGTGGTGGCCTCAGTGCAGGAATTGACGAGTTTCCCGGCCCCAGTTGCGACCGACGATGCCATGGTCGAGACACAAGGTTTCAGGAACGAGGTTTCACTCCTGTCACCCCGCCAGTGCTGACGATGAAGAAGCCATGAGCGTTGCAAAACAAGGTGCATTTACTGTGGACAACTGCCGCGATTTAGGGTAGGTTTTGAACTGTGGACGAACAAACTGGCGTGACTGGGTGCTACCCAGCATGCCTGCCCTGCAGGGTTGGTCAGTGCACATGCACAGTCTGACGATTGATGCAACACAACCAGCCGAGGTAGGTAGGTAAGTTTTGAGTAGTGAACAGTCGAGGGATGCGCGAACTTTCCGTTTCTCGATTCTACCCTCAAAGCACAATCGCGCCAGCCGAGGACCTGCAAGAGCATGCATGATGTCAGTTGTGTGGCCAAAAGGCATGTGTGCGCCCGAGAGGGGAAGGGGGAAAAGAAGGGGGCAGCAAAAACCGGACCTAAGAATGGCCCTAAGAATGGCTTGCTTGTTTCTGCCTCTACGGATGTACACCACTGAGAGATGTTCGAGGTGATCGAAATCTTGATAGAAGGCTGCATAGAACATCTCAGGTGAGACTGGATCTTGGGTAGGGGAGCACAACAGATCAACACCAAGCCTACTTCGTAATGACTGTTGTATTGACGCGTCGTGCAGGGTGTGGAAGGTGTGGTGATCGTCCAACTTGCACCCTTCAGCTATTTTTGTTTCCATGTATGCGTAGAAGAGAAATACACTTTCCCAACGACACGGAGCAGTCGATGTCCGGCAAGACGGCCAGGGCTATTGTGTCATTGTGTGTCATCGCGTGCCAGACTGCCAGTGTGGCCATAATAATGAACTTCACTCCCAAGTGGCGCGTCATCCAATCCTCTCTCTACCTTACGTGTTGGACGGGCCCCAAGAACCAAGATAACCTATATTAACTCGCTGTGATACAATGCGTCAGCCTGCGCCTGGTTCCCAGCTGTCGCAGTCAGATATGCCAACAGAGAACCTCTCTCACAGTCATGAGGCCCGGTTCACATGCGCCTGCTTTGGGGGTCATGATCTTATAACATTCCAGTTGAAACTCGGACGGCCAATCTGCCTCCTCAAATCTAATGAACTGCACTACACCCGACCGTGTCGGAGACGGGGCACGATAAGGGCAACAGCACCGCGCGCGAGGTCGCTTGGACATAGCACTAGCAACGGACTGGCAGGGGGGACGGGGTTGGTGTTAACACCGAGGTGGATGGCGACATCGACGGCTACGATTCGGCTAGGCGCTAGGTATTTATTAGAAAGGAATACACCATTGCTTGCGATTAAATGGGCGTACTCCTCATGTCGCTGCCTACCTCCTCGCCCGAGGCTCTTGGGCGAGTTAGGTACCTAGGCATGGTATGAGTTAACTGGGTGTAGGTACCTACTGCGAAATGGGTCGCCTTTTTTTCCGTGCACGCCCCCTCTTGTCCAATCGCGGACCATGTCGTTGGAGTGCTGCAAGCCGAAAAGCACCTTCGAGCAAGGGGCCCTTGCAAGTTGTTTCCTTCCCCCCTCCGCCACCAGGAACCCCTGCCCACCAACGTCCTTCATGCCGCCGTCTATTCCCGCGCCACACCGTCACTTTCAGAGACTGGATCGGCCGGCCCCCTCTCTCATCTCTTTGGCCTCACACTTGTCAGGCTACACCAACCTCTTTCCGTTCGTTCCCCCGGTTTCCTGCTCCCCCCTCCCCTACTACCTTACTCCCCCGTACCGCTAGGTACTTCACACGCATGTGCCATTAGGATTGGATCACTTGGTCGTCCAGTTTTATTAAAAACACTGCCCTCTACCAGCTCACGCTCCCGCCTCCTTCCCCACGGTGCCACCCTCTGCCCTCTTTCCCAGCTCCCCGGTCTGCTCGTCTTTGCCTACTATGGTCGTCAACTTTGCCATATTAATCCCCATTTACCCAAACCAGTCAACAGTTGCCATTGGAACCCAGGCCGCGTCTTGAGATTCCTTCTTCCGCTTCTTGGTCCTCTCTATGCGCATCCCGAACCTCTGCCTTACATCGTACATAGCCGATCAGCGTTGCCAGCTTCACCACAACATCCATGACGGCCCCTCTCAACGGCCCATCGGGCACCACCAAGGATGCCGCCTCCGCAAGGAAGCGTAGGAGACGAGCCCCCGCCGGAGGAGCCGCCGATGACTGCTTCACCTGTAGCAAGAGGAACATCAAGTGCGACAGGAGGAGGCCGTATTGCTCGCAATGCCTCGAGATCGGGAACGAGTGCTCTGGCTATAAAACCCAGCTGACCTGGGGTGTTGGCGTGGCGAGCAGGGGGAAACTCCGCGGCCTTTCGCTCCCGATAGCAAAGGCTCCTCCCGTGAACCCCGTCAAGAAATCCCCGACAAGACCACGAGCTGGCTCCAACGCACCCCCCGTCCAGTGGAACGAGCAAGATGAGCGGGTCGGCCGCGAAGATATCGACACGCCGTCAGAGCATCCGCCTCCGGTTCCCCCTTCCCCCTACCCCGGCTATGACTTCTCGCATATCTCATCGCCAGAGCACACCCCGGCGTTATCATCACAAACAACCTGGGACCCAATCTCCTTTTCCAGCAGTTTGCCAGCCAGCAGCGAACACCATCGGTATCAAAGCCGCCCGGTGCACCTATCCGTACCCGGGACAGGAGAGATGCTCCCTCCTTCCATTGACTCCATGAGCGACGTGGACTACATGTCACCCCTCGCCCATTCGTTTTCTCGGGATGACATGCCTTATTTGCACAGCCCGGCACTCATGTACGACGGTTTCCAAGGGCACGGATCGCCAATTCCCCAGAGTCCAGTCGCCGCCATCATGATTGAGTCTTCAAGGGCGCCAACCTCGTGTCCGAGTCTCGTCTATACTCCCTCAGAGCCCAGTTCAAGCCTACATTCACACGTGGACAGCTATGATGCCCAACTCAGCCACAAGTTGATGCAAGACTGCGATTCTCTGGGTATGTACATCACGTCAGTTCCTTATGTAGTCGGCCTAATTAGCTCTCTGGCTGGGTAGACTGGCTAATACTCCAGACCACAGTTCCCGGCACCCCGGACCTTGATTTATACAGTAACCAGTCCCACGGTCCTTTCTGGGCACCCTCCATCCCCGAAGAGGAGTCGGCCGCACAAAGCATGGCGAAGCATAGCCCCTCGCAGTGGCCCTCGACCTTTCAGACGCAGACCCTGTCTGTGACGCCGGATCTCATAGCCAAGATGCCCTTCTTCATGGATTATTACGAACATACCATGTGCCCCTCGATGGTCCTAATTGACAGCTGTAACAACCCTTTCCGAGATCAAATTCTCCATCTCGCCGCCGGCAGCAGGAGTTTGCAACACGCCATCTGCGCGCTTGCGGCTTGCAACCTGCGGATGAAGAGGAGGCTGAGCCTCGGGCAGCATGGACGGGAAATCGGCGAGAAGCGGTTGGACGCTAGTATATCAGACTCGATGTCCGATGCGCCACCCGAGGACCAGTCGCTATCGGAAGAGTACCAGCACCGCAACCTTGCAGTTCACCTGCTGAATGAGCAGCTGAACGACGGGGAGAAGTCTAGGCATGATTCGGTGCTTGCCACCATTCTTCTATTATGTCATTATCGGATGGCCGAGTCCGGCATTGCAAAGTTTCACACTCAGTTCGCGGGTGTAAAGAAGATTCTGAGCCTCCGGAGGTCATCGCCCTTTCCGCCTTCGCGAGACTCGGCCTGGATGGAGGCAATCTTCACCTATTTCGATGCCATCACGGCAAGCATCAATGATCGGGAGGCCCAGCTTAGCCCGTCATCATACGCCGTTGTGCCGGACGCGCCGTTGCTCCCGCCAGGCGCCGAGAACCTGGTCGGATGTGATCAGGAGCTCTTTAAAACCATCTTCAAATTGGGTCGCCTGAACTTGCTCTCCCAGCACCGACCCGTGCAGAACCTCTTGAGCAGCACCCTTACTCGCGGCGCGCCTTCTCGCTCGCAATCACCGCTCGATTTACCCCTGGGCCACACTTACAAATCCAACCCCCAACAGCATACGGCTCACCTCCGCGCCCACCCTCACGGCTTCCCGCAGCACCCGAGCCGCTACGATGGCAATGGCTTTGGCACGACACTCGACGACGAGGAGATGTTCTCGGCGGTGTCCATGCACTCGCCCAACCCCTTCGACGACCACCGCAGCACCTTTTGGCGCGAGTGGAAAGACGCTCGGATAGCCCTGCAGAGCTGGGAGTTTGACTCACAGCGTGTGGTGGCAGGGCTGTCGCCGGGCAACTCAGCTTCGTCGGCAGTCTCTCCCACCAGCACGACAGGGCCATCTCCAACTCAGGCACCGCGACCTCCGACGCCCGGTCAGGTTCGCGACCTGGGTTCCCTATCCGAGGCTTTCCGGTATGCCGCTCTGCTGTACACGGAGCGACTGGCTAGCCCGAATGTCCCGAGTGGCCACAGCAATTTCCGGAACCTGGTTAGCCAGGTAGTCTACTACGCAACGAGCCTCGAGTGTGGATCTAATGCAGAGAAGTTCCTGCTGTGGCCGCTGTTCGTAGCGGGCTCCGAGTGCGTCAACGAACTGCAACAGAGCATTGTCCGCTCCAAGTGCCGCGAGATCATGGCTCGCAGCGGATACATGAATAACCTCGCCGCTCTCGAGATCCTCGAGCGTCTCTGGGCAGGCGACTCAAAGGAGGACGGTGCTGGATCCAAGATGACGGGGATGATGAGGCGTGGGCCGTTCAACTGGACCAAGTACATCGGCGGGCTAGGCGTGGAAGTGGAGTGGATTATGTTCTAAGGGGAGGAGGGGAGGGAGAGGGTGGAGGGAAAGGATTCAAGTGTGCTCTCCTTAGACACGCTTATGATGGGACGAGGTCCGCTTGACCACTACGCATTTCCTTCACTTTTTCTCTTGCTAGATTAGAGAGGTCCTCTTCTCTACTTTCAGTCTACAAGCTCTCATGACGGGAAACGGGACATGGCGTCATGTACACGATGTAAATTTCACATTGGTTTATTGGGGTTTGAAGAGCACGAAGGGAGTTCCGGGACTTGGCTCGGATTTTGGGTTATCAGTTGATGGAGTTATCAATCATCTATCTATCATCTATCAGCCTTTCATGAATGTACTTAGTCGTTAAAATATACTCCTCAACCTCATCCTCTATCTAATCTTGCCCAAACACGTCCACATCATACTGTATCTTCATGTAGCTGCCAGGTATCAGATAAGCTGGGGTATCCCCCTTTTCTTCCCGTACCTTGCCTCGTTGGCTTCGCTAGCCCGATTCTTGCCGCTTGGCTGTCGTCTCAGTTTCGGCTTCCCGGTTATGAGTTCCCGATTATGAATCCGGAGGGAATCACTCCACGAGTCCGCACATAGAATAGCAACAGGGGTTCGCGCCTCCCCAGAAAGCTAAAATGCAGAGGCCCTCACGAAACACCCTACGAAGTCGTGCTAATTCCTAGCGTATACGTAGAGGTTGACCTGCCTAAACGAGTATAGCTAATCGGACCCTAGACCAGAATCCCGGTCAGTGCCGCGGGTGCCAATCTGGTGGGACGGTGAGGCTGCCCAGCATCTCACGTGCTGATAAGGAACAAAAACGTTTATCTTTCGCAATCAATGCCTTCAAACTCGAAATTTTTGGGGCTTGTAGAATCCCGAAAAGGTATCCGCTATCATTAGAAGGCACATTCACTCCTTCGAAGTAGAAGTGCCACGAAGCACATAACTCCAGAGGAAATATCACAATGGGTCGTGAACTCCAGAAGCGGAAACGTCGCTCATCGCGGGCGACGGTGCGGCAACCCACCAGCACCAAGAAGCCTCTGAACCCCATGGGCAACAGCATCATCGCGAAGAACTGGTAATTAAGCACACGATCCAAAAACCCCCAAGCCTCCCCTCCGTAAGGAAATCCCCCCATCGGTCATCGCTGACGCCCCTGCCCCTCCCACCCCACAGGAACAAGAAACAGACCCTCTCCCAGAACTACCGCCGCCTAGGCCTCGTAGCCAAGCTCGGCGGCGCGACCGGCGGCGTCGAGCCGGACTTCCTAGGGACCGGGGACGGCAATGCCGGAGCCAAGGACGGGGCGTCAGCGGTGGGCCCCGCCAACAAGAAGGGCCCCCGCCGCGACCCCTTCGCCGTCACCTTCGCGGTCAAGCCGATGGCGCAGCAGATCGTGACCGAGGCGCGGGTGGAACGCGACGCCTCGGGCCGCATCGTGCGTGTGCTGGACGGCCGGCGCGAGAACCCACTCCGGGACCCGCTGGTGCAGTTCGACAGCGACAGCGAGGCCGGAGAAGAGGAGGCTGAAGATGCGGAGGAGTGGGGCGGGATCGACGAGGACGAGGAGGACGAGGACGAGAGCCGGCCGTCGGTGGTCATGGAGCTGGAGAGGCAGGCCGGAAGGCCCCTCGAGAAGAGGCTGCGGCACACGAGCAGGGGCGAGGGCGAGTGGCTGGAGCGGCTGGTGGCGCGGCACGGCGACGACGCGGCCGCCATGGCGAGGGACCGGAAGCTTAACCCCATGCAGCAGACCGAGGCGGATATCTCGCGCCGCCTGAGGAGGTGGAGGGCTGGCTCGGGAAAGGCGTGAACGGCGGCCTTGATTTGGCCCGCGGGTTAGATCCTTCCCGCTGGAGGCGGGAAGTGGGGAAAAGAGTCTGGCATTGGAAGCTCGATGACTGCCAAAAGTTCGGCTGCATTCATGACAGGAGACGCAGGCACCTGCAATCCTGTGAATTCGCCGCCAGCCGGCGCTAGGCCGGAGACTTTAGAAGCGTCCGAGTCAAATGTCTCAAGCGGCTGTGGCGTTCGTCGTTGGCCAAAGGCGGCTGCTCAAAATCTTTATAAGAGCCACAACAGAACACACGAATAGGGGAGAAGCCAATTGAAATGCCATTCATGATTGATATATATACATGGTATCTTTCTGATTACCCGTCATGACGCCTACAACACCAGGACCCCAGGTGTAGCGCCCGTTTATTCAAACACTGGTTCTGGTCTCTCAAACCGTTACATCCAACACGTAAATGCTTGTTTCTGCCGTCTTCTAAGTCCAGTCTTCTATAGCCTAAGCCTGTTCATGAGCTTCTATCGGGTAACGCGGTCGTAGTCGGCGGCCGGGAAGTGGGCTGGCCGATCATCGTCATAGTCATCGTGAACTGAAGGTGGAGCGTAGACATGTGCACCACCTTGTTGGTGGGAATGGTACTCGGTGTCACTCTCGAAAGGGTTGTCGTGCCCGAATGGATTCTCCTGAGCTCCGCGGCCGTCCCTGCGTCCGTAGCTCCCATGGTCACTGTAAGCCCCCACATGGCTTCCGCCAGCGACTGTAGAGTCGTAGTCGTGCTCATCCGGGTGCAAGGAGCCACGATGATCATTGTCCTGGTCGTTCATGCCGACAGGAGCGTAGGCCTCCTCGTCATGTGGTGCCATGGAGAAAGCTGCCTTGTCCGGGTCGATGTTATGGGCTCTGGGCTTGATGTTTTCGTAGCCCGGCAGTGTGCCGTTCCATTTGAAGTATTTGACCGTGTATATGCTAATGAATGTTGTGACCGCGAAGAACAGGCTGTTGCAGACGGTTAGCCCGGTTCCCGGCCAAGCCCCCATTTCATTTGGGGGCTGAGGGCTGACATGTCATTGAAACTTACAAAACGAAGAATCCCAAACCCACGATGGCCTTGCTCTGCCCGCAAGCGTTTCCGCACAAGTTGGCGGTATTATATGATGCCTGGGTTGAAAAAGCGGACAGCCACAAAATGGTGTAGAGACCATCGATGCAGGCCATAACATGGGGGTTGGCTAGCTTGCGCGTCCTGGGGAAGCGCGGGGCCATGGAGAGGTAAAGCCATGCTGGGATGGACAAGAAACACTGGCGAGAAGACCGGGTCAGCATTTTCATGTTTTCTGTTGGAACAGCGGAGAAGGGCGTGGTATCTCTACGTACCACACCAAAAGTCCAGCCATTTTTGCCGACGACGGCAGAATCTTTGTCTGTGAAGACGGAGATCTCGAGGCAGAAGATGATGAAGGCAAAGAGGATCTGGGCGAGGTGAAGGCCCAGCTTCAGTGGTGGAACCAGGTCAGGATTCCACTCTAAGTCCTCAAACATTGTCGCTGAGGCCGCGATACAAGGTTAGAGAGCCGCACTGCAGAGTTCGGACGGTTCTTGCTAGTGACGTAGCCCACAGTCAAAAGTCGAGACAACGCGTTCGGGCCGGGCCGCAGGTTACGAGAAACTTAAATTCGGGAGGTATTCAGACTTGATTGAGAGAAAAAGAGTGTCGTGTTGGAGAAGTAAAGTTAAAAAGCACAGTCGCGCAATTGGGCTCAGCTACAGTTAAGAGGGTCGAATGGGAGATGCCGCATTGTGTTTTGGTTCAGCCCCGATCCATTTATCACTGCGCCACTATCAATAGCGTAGCGCCTGATGGCTTCGTGGGTACAGGCGGTGCCGGATAGTGGCTTGTCGAGGTCCAGCCTCACATTCAGGGGACCAATCTAGTCACTATTACAATGCCGAGTTCCGTCAGAAGCTCATTGTCATCTGTCGTCTCGAGAAAGATATAGACGACTCACTCCTAGCTAGACACAGTCTCGGATGGATCACTGTGCCAGCTGCGGAGCATGACGTATCAACTCCTGCCACCAACTCCTAGGTCGCCCTTCGGGCTGGTCACCTAGCTAGGTAATTGTTTTGGGCATGCACTTCTATACTTCCCCACGTTACTGGTGGCCAAAAATAGCAATGGCGTTTTCAGGCAAGGCGGATCACGAGGCAAGGCCGGACGCCGGTTCTCAATGCTACCGATTCCGGGGCGTCTGCACTCCGGCCGGCAGACCTTGGGTGGAATTAGCCCGTAACCGGCCACAATCCCTATATGTAGGTAGGTATTTGTCCAAGTCCATTGTCAGAGGAATGACTGCAGCAAAGACAATGAGAGCCTAACCAGGTTTCTTGTGGCTGATGCGTCACCCCGCCATGTGGCGCAAACCAAACATCAACGCGACTGCCATCGCGTCTTTGCGGCAAGCGCAGAACCTGACCTAGCAACGAGCAACTACCGGAGCTCTCGATTTCGTAAATGCATTCCGCATACGAATAAAATAGTTGCACTTGTAATCCTGAGCAAAAGCAGCCCTTCTGTTCGCCAACAGTCCCATCGTCTCGACACTGCTATTGACCTACTGACATCATCCCATTCGGTCTTGCCCAATTGAGCTCCAAGCTCATTGACTAATTGGTGATAAACGAACCGGGACAATGCGATGAGATAGTTTGGCTCCCATGGCTACTAGTACTCAACCTAACATGGAGAAGTTCCTCCGGGACTGGCGCCAGGATGCCCTGAACAAGGCGCAATACGAGTCGGCTATCTTCATCGGGGACAAGTTATTAGCCCTGACAGGTGATCCATACCTCTGGTTTTCCTGGTCCCTATTTTGCTAATCGATCGTTCTCCAGGCGACGACAACGACGCTTTTTGGCTAGCTCAGGTCCATTTCGCTCACGGAAACTACACTAGAGCCCAGGTTCTGCTCTCCAAGCAGGATCTTATCACGCGCAATCCATCATGTCAATATCTTGCAGCCCACTGCTTGATAAAACAGTCCCGGTTCGAGGAGGCACTCGGTATCCTAGGCGAGCGCACCCCTCCCCATCTCATCTCCAGTGGCTCGAAGCGAAAGACACATACGAGACCCAACAACCGGCTTGCGGCAGGCAAGACCGCATCCAAAGAACGAACACGGGAGGACTCGGCCGCTGATGAAGAAACGGCCAACAGGCGCTATGAGGCCTCCATGTGCTACCTGCGAGGCATCTGTTATGCAAAACAGAATGCCTTTGATCGTGCCAAGGAATGTTACAAAGATGCTGTCCGTGTTGATGTTCAATGTTTCGAGGCGTTCAATCAGCTTATGAAGAACTCTCTGATGTCGCCGGACGAGGAGGATGAATTCCTCGAGTCCTTGAACTTCGAATCGATCAAGGCACCCGGCGACGACCCGGAAATGGCCGAAGAAGAACCTGCCGAGTATGTTCATATGCTCTACCAGACACGACTGTCCAAATACCGGAATCCCAGGGCTTTCAACACGGCCATGGAATCCCTTTCGTCTCATTACGGTCTGGCGGACAATCCAGACCTGCTCCTTGCACGTGCAGATCTTCTCTATACCCAGTGCCGATTCAAGGATGCTCTCTCCATCACCTCATCCATCCTTGACAACGACAAATACAACTTTAGTATCTACCCCCTACATCTTGCTTGCCTCCACGAGCTCAAGATGACGAATAGTCTATTCCTCGTTGCCCATGATCTCGCCGACAACCACCCCGAAGAGCCGTGTACATGGCTTGCTGTGGGCATCTACTACTTCGCCACAGGCAAAATTGCGGAGGCCCGGAGGTACTTCAGCAAGGCGAGCATGATGGATGCACATTTTGGGCCGGCTTGGATCGGGTTTGCACACACCTTTGCCGCCGAGGGAGAGCACGATCAAGCCGTGTCAGCATACTCGACGGCGGCGCGGCTCTTCATGGGCACACACTTGCCGCAGGTATTCCTCGGGATGCAGAGCCATGCAATGAACAACATGACGGCTGCGGAGGAATTTCTTAAAACAGCATACGGTCTGTGCAAGACTGATCCGCTCCTGCTCAATGAGATGGGTGTTGTGATGTATCATCAGAACAGGCTGAAGGAGGCAGCCTCTGTGTTTACGGAGGCACTCAAGATCGCAGACGAGATCGATAGCGACCCTCAGGCGTGGCTTGGTGCCAGGACTAATCTCGCTCATACGTTCCGGAGACTGAGGCTGTTCAAGCAAGCCCTGGAAGAGTTCGACAGGGTCCTACGCGATGGGGGCAAGGATGCGGCCATCTTCACCGCCAAGGGTCTGATCTATCTTGACCTGGGCAAACCCGAAGAGGCGGTCCGACTGCTCCATGAGGCGCTCGCCATACACCCCCAGGATCCCATTGCAACGGAACTGCTTAACAAGGCGCTGGAGGAGACGGCTGGTCGTGATACCTCGCCGCCCGAGTATGACGAAGGCATGGCCACCTTCGAAAGGGAATTGGCCCAGCGGAAGATCCAGGCCAGATCGAAGTTTGCGAGCAATACTCGGAGGTGTGCTGGTAAAGGCAAGGGCATCAGCAGGCGAGTCCCGGGCGGACATGGCTATGGCCTCGACGAAAAGGGTGAAGGTCGTATGGAGATTACCGATGAGTGATGACGGGACCAGTCTGGGTTATGGTCCGGCTTTGTATACAAGTTTATTGGCGCTGCGTCAGTCACGCTAGGGACACTTTAGTAACATGGGAGCATCACAATGGCGTCCTGAGGATCGGGGGGGGTTCGTAAACATCTGGGTTTGGCAACGGATTCGGCATGATACCTCGGTTAGTTGTTTTGCTGTATGAAGTTTTCAACTGCCTCCTATTCGGGCCCTGCTCGCTCAGTGTTTAGTTGTCCGCCCAACTCTCAAATGGGAATCACGGTAGTTGAGAGCGACAAAGTTGGCTGTTCCATGCTGTCCATAACATGATGCGTTGTGAATACAGGTCTGCCTTCTGTTTGCGGATTGCCATGGCCATGAGGCGAGGTTCGATAGACCTTCCCGGTTTCTGAGTATTGGGGTGGGCAGGTGCAAAGGAGAGTTATTCCCCCTCTACTGATGAATATTTTCAAGGGCAGCGATAGGCAACCCTCGGTTTGGAGCTTGCTACATAATATTCCATAGTGCCTGCCTGGTGAGGTTCTGAGTGATATCAGAGTGATATTCAATTCAGTTTTTCGTGACCCCTGAGCCATCCCTCCCCTAGCCATGACAACAGATAACTCCAAAATTATCCCAGAAACCTGGACTGAAATCCAGAATATCACAGGTGCCAGACAACCTAAGGTACTCGTTTTGAAAATAGGTACCTATTGAAAATCCTCCCTGACTTAGGTGTTTCCATTTGTTTACCCCAGTTCTCGTGGCCTCGCAGCAGAACATCAGCACAAGCATTAGAACGTCTCCTGCTCCCTAGCCCTCGATCGTATTCACCCTTCTACCACTCCCAATACTAGATCAAGTACGTCTCTCAACTAGTCCTTCGAATTTTTCAGGCACCTCCCTCAAACTGCCCTCCAACCTTCCCCAACTTATCTCAAACTGACGAGGACTTTCTACCTCTCGCCAGATATATCGATTTACGAAGACAGCCAAAGTATCGTACATTCTCCCGTATACATTACTTCAACTAGAACCCGTCATTATCTGGTAGTTTTTATGAGCGTCGCGCAAAGCTGACGGACTTGGAAATACCAAGCCGACTGACGGCACAGAAGTCACCGCAAGGCAAGATCCGAGCAATAACAACAAGGGCCCTGAATTAAGAGACACCAACCGGATGCCGGCCCAGCACCACGATGACAAGCTCGAAGATCCCTCGACCCAGGCGGGACAAGAGACTGACCAGATCTCGGATGCTGGTGAGTGCCCTGTGAGGGAGAAGGAGAGAACACCCCCACCAACTGATGAACCCTAGGCGACTGGCAAAGGGAAGCCGGCCCACGATGGGGCTGGAAATGAACGAATGTCCAGCAGCGACGAGAAGAAGAAGAACGAGCGAGCGAGCGATCGAGATACCCGCGCGGGTCCAGCAACTGAGGAGGTGAGCAACCACCTCTAGAATCCCAAACCCCCGTATGAAGCCTCTAACCCAGCACAAAAAGGCCCAAGACCAAATATCCATTGCACCGGCGTCCTCGCCGGCAACGGTCACGTCATCCACAGGATCCACGCCCCCCGGACCAAGACGCAGCCCCCGGAACCGAACCAGCGCCGCCACAAAAAGCCCCAGCTCCAGCTCCAGCCCCAGCTCTAGCTCCAGCTCCGACCCCAGTCCGAGACGCAGCCCTCCGAGCCGCAGTCCCACGAGCCCCAACTCCGACCACTCCGATCTCGAGGACAACGACGCCCAACCCGACGACGACATGGATCCTGACCCAGACCTCGACCCCGACGAATTCGGCTTCGACTCTGACGATGAGATGGACTTGGACTCAGACGACGACGACTCAGACGACGACGATAACGACGACGACGATAACGACGACGACGATAACGACGACGACCCAGCTCGCCCCCGCCCCCGCCGCCGGCCCAACCCGCTCGCCGACCTCCCGCCGACGATCCCCCGCGGCGTCTTCGAGCGCTCGGGCGCGTACGTCGACACGTGGGGCGAGTCGTCCATGGCGCGCTCGGGCGCCGTCGACCCGGCGATCCTGCTCGACCCCTCGTTCGGCTCCTTCACGGCCCCCTGGCGCGCGCTGAGCGCCGCCGAGTACGCCGCCGCGGCGGAGACGCGCCGGCGGTGGGCGGCCGAGGCGGACACGCGCGTGTGCGACTTGGACACGGGGCTCATGTTTGAGAGCGAGGAGGCTATGAGGGCCTGGAAGGAGGCGAGGAAGGGTTGAAGGGGAGGTGGGGTTTGGCTTGGGTGGTAGGCCTTGGCGGCGAGGACGGCTTGACGGGTCGGAAGAAGGTTGGGGGGTTGAGGTAGTTGATTGCGAGTGTTGGCACTGCATGTCAACCACTCTATAGAATACCCCGGTTAAACGTTAAACGTCGTCTTCTCCAATTTCTTTCCTTATGCTTGTGACGTATGTGATAACATGTGTGATTCGCAGTAGTTCTCTGACAAGACTGGGCATGTTGACCAGAGCACTGCCCGGAGGAATCCAGCCTCACGATCAAAGAACAAATTGGCCGCTCAGCCTACCAGTTCCCCTTCTACCCCATTGTTTAGGGGGTTAACTTGGTGGTAACGCCCCTTTCCTCGTTCGTCTATTGACATTGTCTCCAGGCTTCCGCGGTTGTCTGGAGCCCATCCCTGATAAGGGTGGGTTTGTTATATCGAAGCGTGCCTGGGCGTCCAGGCGCACTATCCCTGACCACGAAGAGCCTGAGGATATAAAGACGGACGGAGAAAACCAGCCACTGCAGGTTACATACCCACTCACTCGGAGAATCTCGTTGGCGTCGTAATGGGCTCCAGCCCGTACTATGGCGTCCGCGGTGATCTTCTGAATACGCGCGCCACAGGATTGAGGCTGTCGGGGGTGATACGCTTCAAGCCAGGGTCAAGGTTCCAGTCATGGTTCATGTCGGCCTACCGAGGAGAGATATCCCCGTACGGCAGCCCAACGATCACATTGGCAGAGATGGGGCCTCCCTACACTGTGCCTCCCTTTTCAGCAAGCTTACGGCGTCATATAAGTCGAGGGACTTATACGTGACTAAGCAATGAATGCCCGAGGGAGATTGAGACTATCATTATCTCGTCATGCCAACGGCGGGGACTGACAGAACGATTCTGATGTCAACATTAAGTCTGTCTGCTAAACTTATTTCTCGTGGCGAATGGGAAGCCGGTCGCAGCCTCACCACCTACGCCTGGCTTCAACAAGCTCAAATGAGTGATTGAAGGATGCAAGCACCCATCTCGCCTCCCTGTGGATGTACTATTGGTAAACGACACTGGATGCAATTTTGAAGCCAGATTCCAGTGCTGTGCCGACATAATAAAGACGGGACATTCATGGTGGGGCCGAGACATTTGGATGACTCGAGGTTGGAATGGCCCGTGCGCTCTGCTTACGGCATCAAAGGTGGGCGGCTACCGTGGAGATGCCTCTTCCCTTGAATGTTTGTTTTCTTCCAGCGACGGGTCCAGGATACCAACCACCCAACAACGACGACAGCAACCGGCTCCCACCCCTTGCGCATCCGCTGCACAACTTACCGGCGCATCTTTTGTATCTCATACTCGTTTATCAGTCTCTATCCTGCTCCTTGCCCTGATTTCGCAGCGTTGCGCCCGACGTTGCCAATCGGTAGCTCCGCTTTGTTGATGCCAATTTTCAACGCCGAAAAACATTGACCCTATTGTTTGTTTCTCCGCCCCAATTCATGGACTCGACAGGTCAGTGCAAACCATGGTGTCGCGCCCCAACTCGGGCTTCCCTGGGCCCCTTTAGCATGCATTCGAAAGGGCTTGATGCTCTCTGTTTTCAGAAGCCTTTTTTTTCAAGTAGCTAATCATTCCGCAGATCCGCAGGTCATGGCCAAGTCCAGAAAACGGCCAAGGTCCAGGGGCTCGACAGCATCGATACACAGCGCCACAACGCAGCAGAATGTTGACCAGACATTCCCCGACACTTCGGATGTCTATTCGGCACAATGGCTCCCTAACGAACAGGATCAGCCACGAGAAATCGCCCCGGCTACCCATCAGATGTCAGCCGAAGCTCTCATCCTACACGCCGCATCGCATTTGCATGGTAGTCGCGAGTATTCCATGGAAGCGCCAGTGAATGCCTCTCTCCAAAGCGCTCCGTTTCACCAGAATCCAAACCTAAGTCGACAGTCGGTGTCTGCCGAGTCCTTTGGTGGCAATGGTAGCTTTGTCGAGGATAGCCAGATGTTGGACCGAGAGGGGAATGACGAGGGCGATTCGTTCGCATCGATGCCCGGAGCGTCAAAACCTGGGTCGAGATCAAGTGCGAATAATGAACTCGAAATGCGACAGCTCTTCGTCTCGAATGAGCACCGCAACCTTCAGGAGGTCGCCGAGGAACTGCATGGAAATGAACGAGGACCCAACTCTGAAAGGACTCGCCAAGTCTTTGCCATGCTTTGGTATGCTCACCCCGTTGGTCCCTCCACCTACCACCCTTTTAATCTAACACCGTCAACTGCAGGATCAACCAAGTTTGCTCCAGGGGCAAAGGATCAGTTCCGCGAGGGAGAGTCTATGCCAATTACGCATCTCGCTGCGCAACTGAGCGGATAACTGTCCTGAATCCGGCGAGCTTCGGAAAATTAGTTCGCGTTCTCTTTCCTGGGCTGAAGACGCGTCGCCTCGGGGTTAGAGGTGAATCCAAGTACCACTACGTCAATTTCACATTGAAGGAGGACCAACCAGACGTCCGCGAATCATCCACCCACCCTCAGATGCCTCTTACGGAGAATACGAATTTCTCCCAAAACACCCAGTATGTATCACAACCTGCTCATCATTGCCCCCTGCAGCCCAACTCAAAGCTCACTACGAATAGAAACATGCCTTACCAAAACACGTCTATGCGGGCCGATCGAGCTGTCTTTCCGACCCCAGATATCGTGCAGCAAACTGAGCAACCCGCAGGCCGATCTCACGAGTTCAGTCACAGTTTCTACAACCAACCCCTGGTATCCAGCTTTGAGCAGCTCCAGTCCACGATGGCCAAGACCGCCCAGCCGTGGAGCCTCGCCCCGGAGAGTGCCGAGAACTTCAAGCAATCAGACACCTTGGTTCTTCCACGGATCGAACCTTTCCTGCCCGACGGAACGGACCCAGACGCAGCCAAGTCTCTGGCGGCTCTCTACCGGTCGCACTGCACGTCTGTCGTAGAATGCATTCGCTACTGCAAGGAGAAGACATTCTTCCACTTGTTCACCTCATTCCAAGGCACCCTTACCATGCCGGTCCAGAAGCTATTCGCGAACGCTGCCATTGCGCCTTGGATTGAAGAGTGTGACTTCGTACTCTATCAGCGAATGATGCGCATTGTCTCCAGCCTAGCACTGCAGGTCGTGCCAAAGCCAGTCCTGGACACACTTCGCAATATCTCTGAGCGGTTGGTTCCACACCTGCAAGAGTCGTTTCAAGGACAACCCGCACACGTTATCCGAGCCAAGGAGGCTCCCGCGACCATCTTCGCGGGCTTGCTTGATCGGGTCCTGCGTGTCAACCTGACAGCCCATGCTGCCGCGAACATGCTCTCGAACCCTGGGAACAGAGACCTCATGTACATGGAGTGGATCACCATGGTCTACGTCCGCAAGGTCGCCGAGTCTGTCCCGTCTAGGGGCATGGACGACGTGGTCAGCCTGCTCCTCACCGAGATACGGGATCTACTAGATCCAGTGGACATTCCATGGGAGATTGAGTGCTCAACTCTGAATGGAGACGTGGCGCTCAAAATGGGTCGCCGGCCACAACGACGAGGCGGCTCGGGAGAGACGAGCGCGTCCAACGTTCTCGATCGCTGGGTCAGTTTCTTGCGGTCTCTTCCAGGCCGGTTTCCCTACGCTTCGCACACGGATATCGTCTGGTGTGTACAGCGGGTAGGCACAGCCGTCATGAGAGACCTCACCATCTCCCAGGGCAAGAGTTTCGGCTCGTGGTGGGTGACCAAGTGCTGGATCGATGAGATGATACAATTTCTGGCGGAGCAGGGCGGGTTCATGAACCGGAAGACCACCCAAACTTCCATCGCGGTGCCAAAGCGGCAGACGATGAGCGAAGATGCCAGCCGCCAAGGGTCGAGGTATAGCAGCGGGAGCGACGACCTCAACATGCCGCACAGGCCGCAATCCCAGCCGCACCCGCAGCCGCAGTCGGAGAGACCGGATTTCCAACCGGCGCCCACGACGAACAATCACGATGCTCTAGGAGCCGGCCAGCAGTCAAGCCATGACGACAGCGGAATCGGCATACGCACTCCAGACGAAGACGTTCCAATGAAGAAGTTCCCCCTCGTCCCGAATGCCGGCCTAGATCTCTTTGCTGGAACGGAGCTGCAGCGCCATGTAGCAAACATTTAAGAGGGCCTTTGATTGGCAGTTTAATTCCTTCCTTCTGATCGCTGTTTTACTAGGTCTGGAGTTCGGGCGGTGTTATACCAGGAAGGAAAGACCCTCTGGGTCGCTCTTATCACGAAGGTGACGACGGGATGACGATATGAACGAAGGTGGTTCTGCCATTAGAGCAGGATAGGGTCATATATGACTGGGCTACGGGGGCGGTTTTGTGTAATCGGGTGGGCATGGATAGCTTCGAATGGGGGGACGAGCTTGCGAGTTGCGTTCTCATCTGGGTTGAGGATCGTCGGTTCGGTGTTATCGTGGCCTGCCCGCTCGGTAAATGACTGGGGTGCAACGGAATTCAGAGGGAGGGCACACCAAACCTGCAAAACATGAGTCAACTTGGGTGTGGGGTTTGCGAGGGTCTTGCCTGACTCGTTTTGGTCTTTTTTCTAGCTCGGGGATGGTTGTGTTGCAAGACGTAAATATTGACATTTCGTACATTTCGTACATACCTACCAACTATGCTATTCGACCAGAGTGCATCACGTTCCGTGGTAATAGCTCCAAAAAGTGCATAGATCGTTCCTTTATACGCAATGCCACTGCTCTGACGGTGTCGTTGTGACTGTCATTGACTCTTCTTTTTCTTGACTCCCTCCCTGGCCTGATCTCTCCTTGGTCTGGTCCCTTCTCAGAAGCCCAGTCACGGCCCTGTCACTTCGGTCGCCAGCAATTGATCCATCTGTAATCGATGACACGCGTTGCTATCGTGTGATTGCTCGCAGTTGGCTATCTTCTTCATCCTCCCCCGTTGCAAGTGTCGGTCTCTCTCTCTACAGAAACCTCAAAGTTGAGTTGGATTGCGCGGATTGATTGCCGAGACTCGATCAAAAGGTTGAGTTGACGGAGTGACTACCTTGTCCGGGTCGAAGTCAAAAGCATCCTCGCGACCATAGCCCCTCTGATTCGCGACAACCCGCTTTCCGGTGACGGCGTCCACGAAATCGCAGTTGTAATGAGTATGGCCAAACGCCCAGAGCCTGACGGATGGACTAGTCCAGCATACCTCTCTCGCCAGGTCGGTGACGAATGCGCTCTGGACTCCGCCCGAATCCTCGAGATGTTCTGGGTCGTTCGCCTCAGAGGCACTGGTCGGGCTGTAGTGCGTCAGGATGACGATGCTGCGATGTGGCTCATCCCGCGTGATGGTCGTCACCTGGGCGTTCAGCCACTCCAAGTCTACCTTGTGTGCTGCATTGTGCGAGTCCACCGTCCAGCCCAAGATGTTAGAGAAGTCAGAAACAAACAGCGACACAGTACTCCTCTGAGACTCCGTGACGTTGGAGAAGAGCGTGCAGCCGAGGATGGTAATGGTGTCAGAAATGTCGAACCGGTTCCTGTTCAGGAATACAAACTGCCCGATGGAGGGGGTGCCAACTTCTCTAATCTCAACCTTGCGCCGCTGAGCAATGGCCTCTTCGAAGTCTTCCATCTTCGCCACTGTATCCTGGTGTGTGTAGCTCTGCGAATCCACGGAATCCTGATCCTGATACGGCTCGTGATTTCCAATAATGTAGAAGACCACTCTGAACTGTTGCAGCTGCTTCTCCAGAAACCCGAAGAGCCGAGCGTCATGGGCGTTGCCAATATCACCGAGAAGGGCAAGATAGGCGCAGCCAGGTTTGAGGTGGAAGTCGGAATACATTGGGAAAAAGCGCGGTGTCTCTAGATGAAGATCAGACATGATTTGCAGAGAAATCACCACAGATTGTTGCTCTTGTTGTGTGCCGTTGCTGGCCCCGGGGCCGGGTTGATCTGTCATTGTGGTAGTCGAGTTGGCAACACTGAGTGTGAAATGAAGCTGACTCCAAATACCAACAGGAAAAAAAAGAGAGAAAAGGAGAACAGAAGATAAAGTACGACTGAGCTTGTGCGGTTATTCCGAGGAATCAGGTGGAAGAATTGTCAGATTGATGGCAGTTTGCAGGCGTCAGGCATAGGCTGCCCCTCGGCTTACCACTATATCACGGGGGTTATGGAGAGGGTGTGGGTTAGGGTAGTGTGAGCCAAGCAACTCGAAGCCGAGCTAGGCCCGGCCCCCCTGCGCCGGGATGTAACCTTTTCCGGTGCGGGGTGCACGGTCGCTGCAGAGGTAATAGTTTAAAGCTTACTTGCAGCCTAGCTCCCTTTCCTCCGTCTCCCACTCCTTCCTCTAGAGAGCTGTCCAAATCTGCCCCTATCAGCCAGCGCTTAACCCACCAACACCAACGAATCCCCCTAACACCCCACGGGTGAAGGGGAAGCCATATCGGCAACCAAGCCATGCCCAGCCATCCCCTGTACACCGTTGGAAAGCAGCTGTGCAGATAACCACTATGCCAAACAGGAGGTAGATCAGTTAAGACTGACAAACCCACTCAATCACCATCTCTAGCCACCCTACCTTCCGTTCCTGGATAGAAGTCGTCAGCTCCAGACCACTCACTGTTAACCACGTACCCTGTCAACCTTCCCTACAAAGGCAACATCCCGAAACTGCCGTTGGATCTACTACAATCACAACGCCGTATATCCGACATTCCTTGATTGCAGGATTAGTATTGAAGTTTGTCGCAATCATTAGCTCCATTTCTTACTCTATAGCTGGCTTCCTTTTCTTAAAAGCTTCAGCATAACGGCAAACGGGCTGAGTGTCTCTGATTCACCTCCTATTTGGGTTAACTTCGTGTGTTCCATTTACTATACCGGTGGCTATTCTAAGTATTTCTATAGTCTAGGACTGATCAACTACCGTCATAGATTCAAACGCATTGCGGCGGTGTGTATGGGCTTAGTGTCGGTTGCCTATGCTCCACAGCAGTTGTGTTCATTACCGGCATTATCGTACGGGTAGCGTTCTGAGATATTTGTAGGGACCTTATAATAGATAAATGCTCATTAGGCCACTATAGCTTATCTACTCTTCCCAAGTTTAGCTTCTCTGTGGAATTCCTAAACGAGGCTCTTCATTGCTGTAGATTGTGTGAACTCCTTTCTACAGATCTGGCAAGGCACTTTAGGCACCACCCCAGACTTCTCGCGTTGGTATCGTTTAAGGTTGCTAGATGTCGAAAAGAACCGCGTGTTGTGGCGGCGTGGGCGCTGCCACATTCCATTTTCGGCTACATGGTGCGGAATAGCAATACAACACTTGTTTAGGTTTAAATGAGTGGATTGTGGCACATTGTCACTAAGTAACCACGAGTCTGAGATACATGTGTTGTAATTACCCACAATATAATTTTGGTAAAGAGAGAAAAAGAGAAAAGATAGAAGGCAATCTTGCAGAGCAAACCTTTTCTTGTTGATTACAAGCCAAATCATTTGTATCTCCCTGAAATCTGATGCGCGCAGCTCAGAGCAAGAATCCGCCATAATGCTCTAAGTAAGTAGGTACTTAGCAACAGTAGCCATACGTGCCCAGATTGCCTTGGCCGTGGTTGATCATCAACCACATGGTAGCATGCCACGAACCCTTATTATTCATTGGGCGGCAGGCAAACCGCTCGGTCTCGGCGCTCTTGTGGATGTGGTATTCGAGCACCGACCCGATGCAGTTTCCACTGGCAATAGTGGTCACAGTGCTCCGTCTCACGACAGACATGTTGATCGTGTAATCCGTGGTGGGTTCGGCCCGACCCAGGAGGCGCCCCTTAGGGGATTGTGCAACGAGCCCGCCCGACGAGGAGGACTTGTTCCTTTGTAATCTGTGATGCCAGAGGACACTAGAGTTAGAAACAATCAAATGCGCCGATGATTAACTAATTAGCTAGCATGAGAACGAGGCTCACAGAAAGTTTCATCACGGCCGCTGTAGACGTAATCGTGCAACGTAGTGATATTGACGGACAGCCCGTCCTCCTCGAAGGACCTTTTCGAAAGCACAGAGGGGTCGGGTTCCCCCTTGGCTGTAAGGATATGCGGCAGGGTGAAATGATAGTCAATGGCATCTTCTCGCTTGGCTGTCTCTTGAACGAGCCCCTGTTGAGTGCCAACGGTGCCATCTCTCCAGATGTTCCGGAGATCCTTACCGGCCTTGATCGCGGCGCCAGCGTCCTGCAGGTTTTATAGGTTGTCAGCAGCTTCTCGCAAAGTCAGGTGTAATTACCTACTTGAGGTAAGTGAGGGAAGCAAGCTATGTTCAGCACTGACATTAACAAAGTTTGCGAGAAGTCTGGGCGAGTAGTAGAAGGCCAAGACTCCGCCCGCACCCCAGAACCAATGCCAGCTAGGCATGTTCTCGCAGAGCATCCTCTCACAACTAGTCATGTCGGTGCACTCATTTGCCTGAATCGAAAAGTTGCCGCCCGGCGCACTGGTGTCGGAAGTATCCCTCTTGGGGCTTCTGGGGAAGGCGTCCGAGTCGAACGGCTCATACACGGTTACATCTTCATACTCGAAGCTGGGATCCAGGTCTCGACGTAGGATTCCGTGGAATTCGTGGAGACCGCTGAGCTCGCCTAGCTCAACGTTGTTGCCAACTTATAAGGATCTGGCGGAGTGGAAGCCGGCAGCAGCGGTGTTGATGCTCGCGTAGAGACCGAGGAGTGTAAGGAGCAGCTTCATGATATGATGGGATGACAGGAGGCCTGCGGTTTCCAACGATGATGGGCTTGGTAATAGGGGAATAGGACGGTGCCCTGACTCTTCTCTACTAGCCTGATGGTCTCCTATTTGTAGCCAACATGAAGGCGAACTCCTCCGAGTGATTGCCCCTCACGGCCACAACCACACGAGTCCATCCTCAACAACCCCTGAATCAATCTAATGTGCGGTTCCAATAGTTGTCTCCTTGGCAGTCGTTGGGTCCGGGTAGTATTCAACTCTGAGGCTGGATGATGCCAGCTTGAGGCTAATTGCAGGCATGCAAGCCAACACCGCCCACACTCCTTGGTGAAAGTTATCTAATCGCCTCATGGTTTGTTTGTAGACGGGAGTTGGCTGTGACATCTTAATTTCGTCCGGCATACGCGTACGCCGTGACTGTTAGTGTTGAGGAAGGATCCAACTAGTAATATCAAAACCAGCCAAACACAACACAAAGCAACAGGTTAAAATGTGCCAGCAACTACCTAGGTAGTTGCAAACCTCTCCAGGATTGCCATTGGCCAAGTTACGGCATTCCTTCAGCAGGTCCATGAGGCGTATCGGGTTGATATTAGCATGGGCAGGTGCCAAGTCTATGATCCAGGGCGGATTGGCCTGGTAACAAGGCCATTCATTCAAGGACTAGCTTGGCCAAGCTTCCAACAACCATATGCATATGCAGCTTCGGTTGCTTACCTACCTTAGGTACCTATAGCTGTATAGCTGGCGATGCCTACCCCGCAGGCACCATTTTTTACTTATTTTATCCCACACCCTTGCCGCAGACGCGTTGAGCCGGAATATCTCAAACTCAAAGATCAAAAGCCGGCAGAGGTAAAGACACAGACTTACAGACTCCTCACCAGCTCCGCACCAAAACAACGCCGTATTTCCCTCTGCCTTGCCCTTAAATTTCTCGACTCCCATCGCTCTTTTTTCGCTGCAATGAAGAAGGATTCCTCGCCACAATCCGCCTCGGGAGCTGGGAAGCCTCAGACCAGGTCACTCGGTACAAATACATCACCTTGTCAGCCAAGGCCTCGGCCAGCAGGGAGGTACACATCTGGTACAACTTTGTCCCCTTTGCCTCGCTCTCATTACATGGAAATTGGGATTAAAACCTCTCCAGCTATTGTCACGGCCTCCAACATCATCATCGTCCTACTTGTTCTCTCTACGTTACTCCCTCATACCTCCTTAGACCGACTATGTGCGTCTCCCAGCCCCTTCTTTTCCCCTAAACCGCCAAAGTGCTGATACGCAGGTAATCACGGACAGATATCCTATCAGCTGCAGCTATTTTTGCGTCTAGCGTCCATAGTTGGCAGGTTTTCTATGATCCGTCTGCAGAGTTATATTCCCTTATCTTGCTCTTTTTCAGTGGGCCGCTATCTGTATTACTTCCTTTCACAATATGGGCCGAATGGGAGCGTTTAGCGAAGTGACAGGGGATGGCCTTGGCAGCATAGGCTGCAGCTACCTTACATTGTATCTCAGGCGCTCAGATTTCGCCGTCAGCTGCAGTGTCTCGTGTCCTGCAAGCTGAATATATTCATAGCTCTTAGGTTCCTTGCAACCGTGTTTCCCCAGGAACGCCATCTATCTCTGCCGCTTGCTACAGCATCTCGCTTACAAGACATCTCTGCAAAGGATTGACGAAACTCTTCCCTAACAATCATCGACTGAGGAGCCTGGGAAGATGAGAGCCCGCTCAACCTCATCTACCTCTGGAAAGGCCACTGCTGGGCAGCCGACCGCTACCAGGACAACACCCCCGACCAGCATTGCATCTGCATCGGAAAGAGGTCGCAGCCCCGGCCCCGCCAAGGTTGATGCCAAAAATTCGGCTGGTCCTGATTCATCATCGTCGTTTGCAACTTCGTCTCCATCTCCGTCGCGCTCTGGTAAAAAATACCGCAAGCTCCTCAAAATGAATCCCTACGACGGGATCCCTAACACCAGGCCGTCGGCCGCCGACTCAGCCGAGAAACTTTATAGCTCCATCAGCAAGGCATTTCCTGGCGTCGTAACCGATTTCGAGGCCAAATGGAAGGCTTGGCAGACCACATGGTTCCCCACCAACAGCCCTTCATTCAGGTATGTTCCCTTCACCTGAAGTCAAGGGACAAGAAATTAAATCTGACAAGGACGTATTTCGGTAATTAGCGCCTCGGACTGTTGCCAGGTGCCTGAGTTTGATAATCTTGTGGCGCTTGGGCCAAAGATCGTCCCACTCGTCGTATACAAGCTGGCGAGCACTTCCGAGAACTTTATAGCTGTCAATCTATGTATGAGCATGCCAGCTCGAGCTGTCAAAACAAAACTAACTTTGACGAATTATAGATAACGAACTCGAGAAGGATAAGGACTACCTAGTAGACCCCAACGACGTCCTCAACTATAACGTCCTACAGCGCCAGGCTAATCTGATCGTCGATATAAACTACGAGCGTAATAAGCTCGTCCAGGCCCGCATTGAGGCCTGGGAGGCACACTGCACGCAGAGCCACGTCCATAGCAACTCGGGTATGTATACCGAATGCGACGACTATGCCAGACTGCTCGAGCTCGGCGGCAGCATCATCGCCCACCTCATGCTCGCGTACGCCAAGGACCCCTCGGGCTTCTGGTTCGAGCTCCTGCACGAGACGGTGCACGGCCTTGGAAAGAAGACGGGCCTGCGGACCATCGATTTCAAGGAGCAGTATGCCGCGTGGAATGAGTGGTTCCAGAAAGGGGAACACGACGAGGCACCCTGGTGGAGCAACGGTATTCGGGCCGTCGCTGAGTAGCCAAGCGGCGGTCGCTAGCCGATGATAGATTTGTCGGTAGTAAGGAATTGTTTGTTACTTTTTTGCTTTTTCGCTGTATCGGATCTATAGGTTTAGGGATTCGTTCGGTATGTTGCTTTTGCTTTTGCGGCATGGGAGAGCAGTTTCATGAGGGATTCGGTCATTACCACTCTGCTTTCGCTAGCTGGGGCTGGTCAATCGCGGGATTTGTGATTTGTTGGATGTTTTCCTTTGAACCGAAGTAAAGAGAGAAAGAGGAAAAAACGAAAGAAATATCAAGGGCGAGGGTATTGAGTATATATCAAGAATAGTGGACGTCGAGGGTCAATGTGTAGCACACAAGGGCTGCCTAGCGAGGAACCACTGCCCTCTAGGAACAGGGAACCTGATTGGAGGGGCTTGGTTGGGTCGAGGAATGGCATGTGAATGCGGCGCAGCGCCACTGGTCTGGGACTCAATCGGGAGCCCCAAGCTGAGACGGCAAAATCATTAGTCTAATTACGCTGTAATGCGGCAGTCCCAGGGACTCATACTGAAGCTTATGCCTTATAATTTGGTTTTGCCTATATTATTCTAATGAAACCCAAACTGGTGTAATGGTAACACATTTGGGAGTCACCAGGGAAGCTCACAGAGCAGAACTGGCCCGAAAGGGGCGGAAGATCCAGGTTCAAGTCCTGGGTTTGGGATTTTCTTTTTGCTTTTTCTCTTTCCCCTCTTTTCTCAAATCCCAGGTGCAGTATAATACTTTCCTATTTCCTCCCCCGCCTTTTTTTTCTTTACTTTTTTTCTCTTTTTGATACTGTGCATCAGTGGGAAGCCCGAAAAGTGAAAGGAATCTTAGAATGAAGCTATTCCAGGTGGAGCAATAGCGCCAAGTACAGGCGCTAAGCCCTGTCAGGTCCACAATCTCTCCTTCGGCTCCTTCCCGGTGGCGGTGGGGGTGGGGCAATGATGACTTTGAAGCTGGGGTTGCCCAGACCCCAACGCCTGTCAACCATGCCAAGATGCAAGGAACCGATCGGCTAGCCACACTCTAGCGCGGGGGTCAAACGGCCAACGTACAAGAGAAAGCGCGACGGCAGCGAGTAGGCGGGCGGCCCCTTCATTGTCGACGAGGAAGAGAGTGTCATGGTCGTGGACGAGGGCAACTCAACCCGCAAGGCCACGCCCGACAAGCTGGAGGGGCGCGGTCCCAGAAAGTTTATTCGTTTCCCTTCTTATTCTTATCACATTCGTGTGGTTTTTCATGTTACACCAACATGCACAGAACAGGAAAGGGAAAGGGACGACATCAGATTGTCCATCTTAATTAGGTAGTGTACGATTTTCACTGCGCAAGTTACACCTGCTTCATATGACTTCCCCCAATTCAACTCAGTCTCAGCGGCAAGCTGCAAAGTTACGTGTTCCTCCAACCACTCGGCCGATGTCTGTAGCGAGCTATAACACCGCAGGTACACGGTCTCTCCATCACAAGTCAGCCCCAGGTCCCTTTATTTCATCATACATTGGTTCCAACACCTCCTGCCAGTACCGCTCGCGCTTCTGCACCAACTCGTCCCGGCGGAAGTTGGTCTGCTCACGGGCATTCACGTCCCAGCCGCACTCTAGATACAACTCCTTCATCTTTTGTACTGCCTTCAAGATCTTGTAGCGTTGGCGCTCGTTGTCTCTGTCGCGGTCGGTGTAGTGCGGTTCCTGCTTGAGCACGCCCCCAGACCTGTCCAGTTCCTCGTCGTAGTAGTCGATGCCGAGCGGTCCCAATATGTAGTTGAGGCTGCGGTATTTCTCGATTAAGGGGTCGAGAAACCCGCGTGGCTGCACCCCAGGCACGTGGAAATAGGCATGGGCGTCGTCTGGATTCTCAATTGGCTCCCATGGGATGAGTAGTTCTGGTTCAGAACCAGGTCAACATCGTTGTGAGGGTGTGACCCTACATTAACTGCACACCGCAGCAGCAGACCAGCTTACTCACTTGACTCTACGTCATAAATCAACTCGTATCCGTAGATATTATTTATCGTCAATCGCACTGCTGTAGGCGGCATGAGCTCGTAACCATCCGACACCATTTCGCGCTTGTCCTCGAAGAACCGGACATCTTCGTTCTCGCCATAGTAGCTCTCGAATTGTGTGCTGGGCATCAGGTCCAGATCATTTCTGCCAAGGTACGGCAATCCTGCAATCACCTCCACGGCTTCCTCGGAATAGCCTGCAGCAAGCGCAGCATCTGTGCTGATGGCGCCAGGCGGGTGCGGCGGGAGGTAAATATGGACGTCTTCTGGAAGGACCGCGGCGGTCCTGAGAAGTATGTAGAATTCGGTCATTGCCGAGATGAGCTCAGCATGCGCGGCGACTGCCATCTTCGCTGATGTAGCTTGCTTCGTGAGGACGGACTGTTTACTTCGATGGTGTGATGAACGGGAACAGGTGAGTATTAGCGGCGAGAGAGTATGTCTGGATGGAAGCGAGGGCTGAATAAGAATTGCTTGCCGGAAATGGACGTGACCACTCAGGATAATCCAATGCAGTGATATGATTCTCCAACCTTTTATCACGGTCGAATCGTCAGCTTACCTGCAACGCGCCTGTCACGAATCAAGATCAGGGAATCGCTTGAGAACAGCAACACGTCTTAAACGCCATAAAACCACCGAATCAATTAAGCCAAGAGATGCAACACGCTCTACTCTGTATACGTGCAATCGTGAGCCTTCACTTCACCCTCAGCGGGGGCCTGGGATAGCCAGATGGTTGGTATATGCACTAGTAACAGGTGCGACTATTGTAAGAAGCGCAAGATCAAGGTTCCCGCCCCTTTCCGTCACAAACACACTTCCCCCTTTTAAGAATGAACATGAACTTAGCATTGAGAGCAGTGCGACGAGAACTGGCTAGTATGCGGGGCGTGTGAACGCACAAACAGGCCATATCTAGGGCCACCAGCTGCCTTTTACAGAGTTATCAGCAATGGAAACAACACCTGCCCGTAGTCTGGGGTGACAAACTCCTCGCCGGATATCCCACTGGGTTATGAGCATGCCGAGCCGAATCCCCCAGCTATCCATCATCTGCCTCGCTCGTTCTCCTCCGGAAGCGCCCCGCCCCAGGGGCAGGGGTAAATATATGGTCTTGAAAGCGACCGCCCTGCCAGCTTCTCCCGCTCAGACACAGGAATACTCCTTGCCGCCCGTCCTGCACATGACATCGATCCCCAAGCTCAGCCAACAACCTCCACCAACGGATGCCCTGGCTACACGTCACGGTCCCCCGGCTCTCCCCCTCTCCCGTCCTCCGCGACGCAACAGCCCTCCTCCTAAGCTGCTGGACCGCCACCAACCTCGCCAGCCCAGCGCACCCGAGCTAGGCCGGCCTCCTATATCCGAGCTCTACACACCCCGAACAAGACCCTCAGCGACCCACTAGCTCATACACCCTCTCCACCCTAGCAACAACGACTATCCTCCACCGGATCGAGTTCGACTACGACATCATCACCCGCAACGCAAATGAGAACCACCACGCAGCAGGTCTATCTGTCCCTACTGATGTCCCGCCACGGGCCTCCCCGGCCAATAGACGAGCTGGGCCTCCTCCTAACCTTCGAGAACCAAGATGCTCTGCTCGCACACCTGCCTCTCAACAGCAAAAAGAATTTCTTCTCCCACCCGGAGTGGGCGACAGGCCATGTAGCACTACCTCTTATCAGGCGCTGTCCGGGAGGGGAGGGGGGGTTGCGGGGGACGATACGGGTTATCTCTCCAGATGGACGGCGTGGCCGGATCTCGTGGCCGGGTTGCGCCATGCCAGGGACTAGGTGGAAACGGTGGATCCAGTTACTAGGGTTTGTGAGGTGTCAGGCAGACGTTGGAAGAGTTGGATCGCGAGAATGTGGTGCCTGCATTGGAAGAGGAGGAGATACGGGTTGCATCTGATCAAGCTTTTCTCCCCGCGTAAAAGCTTGCTAGCTGGGATGCCTGCTATGCTTTCTACCAGCATGCCATAATCAGTATCGCTGTCAACAGAATCCTGCAGCGAGCGTCCGAGATGAACGGCAGACCGGAATCAGGGGTTGAGGTGAGGCCTCAGGGGTGGAGTGAGCGCATATGGAGGGCGTTGCCGTACGTCGAGAGGATGTCGAAGGGGGCACGGGGGGCGCGGGTCAGTTTTTTGGCCCCGTTGGTTTTGTCGATTGAGGAGGGTGCGGATCCCGAGATGAGGTGCTATCTCGGGCAAAAAGGAGTGGAGATCGGGCCCACGTGCTCGCTTCCTGGTCCTTTCGGTTTGTAAGATGTTGACCAGCCAGTCCGATCCTTCTGAGAGGGCTTTCTCGACGAGAGTCTGTTTTACCTTGTTTGTCGAGGTCTATTGTCTACAAGGTGGGCATTAGAAGAGAACTTGGTCGTCTTCGGAAACGACAGAGTTTACTCAAACTCCTGCAGGTCCCAAAGAGATTTGAATATCCCTCCCCTCTGGAGAAGTGTTCTTGGGCTGTCCAATTCCGAAATCACACCGTCCTCCAGAATAGCAACCCTGTCAAAGTCCACAATCGTGCGGAGACGGTGTGTCACCACGACCGTCGTCCACCCCCTGAACTCGGTCTTGACCAGCTTCACCGTTTCTTCGGAGGCTTGTTCCAGGCTGCCGTAACAAACATGACTCGTTAGTTCCTCTTTTACCTTCATGGAGAAATACCAAACGTTCTAAGTATGGAAGGAAAGAAAGGGGCAGATGAAAGCCTAGGAAGTAGAGGACTCACCTACTCGTTGCTACGTCCAAAAGCAGCACACGACCCTTCCTCGACAACGCACGCGCCGTGCAAAACAACTGCTTCTGACCGGCGTTTAGCCAGTCAACAACCAAGTCCGCATCCAACCCCCAAGTCGTCACATAATATACAGCATCCTTATAAGCCGCTGGGGTATCTATTCGTGACACGAGCTTTTCACCTCAGTAAGCTCAAGCCTTCGGGTAACCCTGCAGCCACAGGAATGTCTAGCCAGTAAAAGTCTCTGGCTCATAGATATTCCGATCCCAATCGTTCCCAACACCATTAGCTCTCCGAAGCTTTCTGCATGCCCTCCAAGGTTAAGGCCGCCCCGAGTCATCTGGAACACGCGCACATCGCGCACACTATTATCTGAATGCTTTAGGCACTAGCGTTTCGCACCGAACGATCAAAACGCTTTCTAACCTGTCTAATCGCCTCGACGCCGCGGCAATTGTTAGAGAAAGTCTGCAGGTTGCCCTCATGCAACAGTAAGTAATTATTCCGAATCCACGTTTGTTCGCGAATGTGAGCGGTCCTTTCAGTTTCGATCATTAATCCTTATGAAGCCTGGGCCTTTGAATCTGATTCATATTCCACCCTGCCACACACCGCCCAAGGAATGGCAACCATGGACGATGAGCGAGAGCCCAACCACCCGAGATACGAACTCGAATCATATGTCACCAGCACCCATGATGACAACACAAGGTTCACAATTCGCAGAAACGGCAAGGTCTTTCACATTCGCGTGTCGCCGTCGCAGTTCGTCAACTCGCCCGCCACGACGGAGAAGTACCTATCGTACCTAGAGGTGCTTCGGTCGGGCGAGGAGGTAATCGGTGACATCTTTGACACCGACGTCTTCGAGTGGGTCACTCGGCCGTTTGAACCGCTGTTCGCCGAACTCGCGCCGAGTCCCGCGCTGCCAGGTCACCATGCGGACATCAAAGTCACTCTGCAAAACTACCTCTTCCCGAAGTTTTTCATCTTCGCACTAGACGTTGTGGAAGAGAAGTTGCAACCGCGTCGGATCGAAATAGAGAGGTCGCCCTACGTTCCGCCAAGCGTCTGGCTCGACGATGAGTTCCTTGACGATCTGGAGAAGTGGACGGCCCTTTACGATCCGGCTAGGATCGTGTTAAGCTTTGAGAACCCTGAAGACGCGCTCTTCAAGCATCCCGGAAAGGTGCTTATCGATGACGGGCAAACGGCATGTTTCTTCAAGCCGTGCTACTCCACCGTTCAGACCACAAACGAGCTCCAGGCGTATAAAAGATTGTCGCAGCCAATATAGACCCTCAGTTATACATTTGCCGCCTCTATGGTGTCGTGATGGACGATGCCGGTTTTGTCGTGGGCCTGCTGCTGACTTATATCGACCAGGGCAGCCGCACTCTGTCTACAACTGTCGACCCCGATCATCCCCCGGCTTCTACGAGAAAACGATGGATAAGCCAGCTCGACGCCGCCCTCATAGAGCTACACAAGGCCGGCGTCGCCTGGGGGGATGTCAAGGCAGAGAACGTGCTGGTCGACCAAGAGGACAACGTGTGGATACCGATTTCGGAGGCAGCTACACCCGGGGTTGGGTCGAGAGCCAGGTGGCGGGGACTGTGGAGGGGGATCTGGCAGGCATGGCCAAGCTTAGAGAGTTTATCTCTTTAGGGATGGCGGGATCTTAAACGGGTCGTGTGGGTAAGTGACCGTGCCACTTATCAGGCTAAGGTAACCCAACTCAAACAGGCCCTTAAAGGTGTCCAAGACACACTCGCCAAGGTCAAGCAGGAATACACAATGGCGGTTACTCTAGAACCCTAACCTGCATAGACGGCAAGTAGAGAGAGGGACGCAATGCTGGTGGTTGCGTTAGAACTGTAAGCTCTCCGTCACCGTCCTCTTGGTCGCTCTCACGTGACTGCTTTATTTACTTCTACCCCTGATTACATAATTCACCGTAGAAAGGCACACGGAGAAGGACTGGCTACCATCTCAACTCAAGGTGGGAGTTAGGATCGTAATACGGTGGGCTTGTCCTGCGTCCTGAAACCCATTCTCCTCGTTAAAGTCTCGCCTCTTCCCACCTGACCCTCCAATCATCGTCGACCTCCCTACCTTGCAGTTGCTAGGCTCCCCGCAAGTGCCACGGAGAAGTCTTTGCTGGTCCCCACCAACCATTCTCACCCTAATCAATCGCCTGCCGTCTGTGGCGGCTCCTTGCGTCGAATACTTGGTTCTTTATTCCATGTGGCTGGCGCCTCCTGTCAGCAACATGCAGTTGAGCTTACCATCTACAGATTTTGGGGTGCCTTACCATGGGTCTCACGCCCCGAATTGGACAGCAGTGTCACGACGGAAGGCTGCACAAGGTATTTAGGTGTCGCCAACCCAACCGTCGCTACTCTCAATCTGGAAGAGTGATTAGCCTCGACTGCATTTAGAGCAATTAAGGTAGCAATACAAGCTTCTAACACATCAGCATATATTATCACTCATCATGCTACTGCACCTCGTTGCACTCCTCTCTCTCTCTCGCGGCGTTCGCGGCAGCCGAGTCCACCGCGCAGTGGAACGAATTCGCCGACAATTTTGCGACTGACCTTTCTCCGATCGTCGCTCTCTTCGGCGAACAGGTCACAAAGCAGTTCCTAAGCGAGTCCACGGGCTTTCTAGACAATATCATATTCGGAGTCGCCCCGCTCGGCATCCTTACCGCCGTGGTTTCGGCGATCCGAGTGTATGGAAATGCCTCGCTGAAGTCGTTCATTGGACGAGCGCAAGAGGCTCACGGCGTTGCGGAAGCTGAGCTATGTTCCTCTACAAGCCAAGATGTTTGCGAATTATGGTCGAACGGAGGCATCTGTCGTGTCTTTGGCCCTTTGGCCTGGGCACAGTTTGTTCGCTCGGGGTATAGCTTGGGGATAGCAGCCTTGCAAGCAAACGTAGTCGGATGGGGTTGCGACTGCCATGGCTGCAAGCAGTATGTCCAACTCGGCAGCAAGCTTTTCTCGTAGCTCGGTTGGGGTGTAGCTGATTGGCTCTACTGCAGTCACTTAGATCTGGTGGCTGGAGATGCTTGCGAAGGGGGATGTCGCTTTACCTCCCCAAGATTTCCCCGGTCCTAATGCTGACGCATTATGTGTCAGAACTGGCATGCAGCAATTTCATCATTGACTGGAATACGATGGAGCTAAACTCGAGGGAAATGAAAGGAAGGCGAAGAAGACAATCGAAGGCAGTGGTGTATTTATGAAGAACAGTTGCATCGTTGAGTGAGCAGTAGGTAGGTACATACGTTGATTCTCAGGCCAAGGAACAATTTCGGCCCCAGTACCAGGGTTCTGATTGGGCAAGGCGGGGCGGCTTCACAGGCCTTATCAACCACTCAGAAAACAGCAGCCCCAACTGCGAACACTACAGGAATGGCATGTGATGCGGCGCAGTGCCACTGGACTGGCTATAAAGCTCAAGTCAGATAAGCTGAGCTTCAACTTGACCTGTCAGAAACATTCCCTGTCCGATTAATTAGTGCTCCGTGCTGGTAATCTTTGGTATTTTCGAGGCAAGCTGGACATCTAGGTTGTCAAGATGGTAACCGAGACCGAGGGGACATTCAAGATCGGGGATAAAAGCCTCTACACGAAAACATGGCTTGTGAGCATCCCGCCCAACTCTCGGCATCAGATCCGGTCACTGACCCCCACCCTCCACACAGCCCGATGGCAAGCCTAAGGCAAAGCTCATCTTCATCCATGGCTTCAGCGACCATGTGGGGCGGTACTACGGCTTCTTCCCCTTCCTGGCGGAGCGCGGCATCGCCGTCTACGGCTTCGACCAGCGGGGCTGGGGCCGCAGCGTGTCGGCGCCGTCAGAGAAGGGGCTGACGGGGCCGACGTCGCGGGTGGTTGCGGACATGGCGGCCTTCATCGAGCCGCATCTGCCGTCGTCGCCGACGGACCCGCCCCTCTTCGTCATGGGCCACTCGATGGGGGGCGGGCAGGTGCTGACGCTGGCATGCGACCCGATGTACGCGGACCGCATCACGTCGCGGGTCCGCGGCTGGCTGCTCGAGGCGCCGTTCATCGCGTTCGCGCCCGAGGAGGTCCCCTCGGCGCTCAAGGTGTTCGCCGGCCGGCTGGCAGGCCGGTTCCTGCCGCGCCGGCACCTCGTGCACGCCATCCCGCCCGAGAACCTCAGCCGCGACCCCGAAGTGGTCAGGTCGCTTGCCGAGGACGCCCTCGTGCACAACACGGGAACCCTCGAGGGCCTGGCCGGCATGCTCGACCGGACGGCGGCGCTGGGGGGTGGGAGCGTCAGGGCGAGGGGTGGGATGCGCGCGCTGTGGATCGGGCACGGGACGGCTGACAAGGGGACCAGCTATGAGGGGAGCAAGAAGTGGTTCGACGAGTGCACCGGCGCCGTTGCGGATAAGACGTTTAGGACTTATGAGGGGTGGTATCACCAGCTGCACGCCGATCCCGGCAAGGAGCTATTCTACGCTGATGTCGCGGGCTGGATTCTGGAGAGGGCTGGGACGGAGGCGCCAGAGGCAAAGCTCTAGGTTCTGGCTGGATCACGTAAGGTGTATTTATTTATTCTATTTGCCTGTAGCTACCTAGGTTGTTCCTTCGTAGTTAATAATACCCCGAGAACAGTTGTTGATTGCGTTTAACCTTGGCTCTTTAGCTATTCTTTGAGGTAGGTACATGACGAACCACCCCTATAACCCATGCAGACGTGCCTTGGCTGTGTTGTTTTGGGATACACATGCTAGGACGGGCTCTAATTTGACAAGGGTGGGGATACTGAGGCGGGCGGCTAGCACGGCCTGGCTAGGTACCTACTTGCCATGGTAGGTTCCAGTCTGAGCGTCTGCAGAGTGGAAATGCCTGCCTGGAACAACCAACCTACCCATCCATCTTCCTCTTGCCTTCATGATATCTTTCCTCCTTTTCTTCTCAGCGAGGCCCCTCATGGCTCACTTTTTCCAGAAGCTCGTTTTTCTTGCGGGCTTACAAGAGAACCCGGAGGCCGCCCAGCGCCCACTCTAACCAATGACATCGCCGCTGGCGGGCACGCAACAGCTCCCTTGGCAGGCTTGGAGAGTCCGCTTATCGGAGAGCATGTGAGTTTGGAAAAAGCTAAAGGGAAAATCACCACTACGTATTTAGGTCAAATCTTCCCAACTAAAGGGACCCATCCTCAACATCATCGATTCCCTATCAACTCGCGGCGCGAAACCCATCGCCCGGCATGGACCCCGATCTCTCAAACGCGATGTCTATGCATCCCAGTCCGTTTAGGCGGTCCACGAGTATCCCCCCGCGGCCATCCACCCGCACTACTGCCTTTGAACCCGTCAATCCAGATGATGCAGCGATATCAGAAACCACTGCCCGGCACATCTCGACCTTAGGGCCCGATGGTGAGGTGGAAAGCCAAATGACCGGCCGTTTGCCCCGAGGCAGTTCCGAGAGCGATCCCTATGGCTTGAGCACGGGGTACAAGACTGCCTCGGAGCTCGAGGCGATCAAGGCAAACTCTTCAAAGAAGCGGGATTCCAGGCCCTCAGGTGCCGGGGCCGGAGCGAGGGCTGACAAGGAGAGAAGCCAGGGCCTCGGCGGAGGACTGGTCGGCGGCAAGTTCGGGTCGCTTCTCCCTCGAACGGGCCAGACGGCTCTCCAGGCACGCCGCGTGACGAGTTTCTACGAGGCGCAAAACGAGACCATCGAGCGGCTACTCAGGTCGGTCGAGGAGCACCGGGCGGCTGCGCGGCAGGAGCAGGGAGACAACCAGATGAAATTCCGGATTGCCGTCTGGGGTTCCTTCGTCGCCAACGTGATCCTGGCCATCCTGCAGCTGTATGGCGCCATCTCGTCCGGCTCGCTGTCCCTCTTCACCACCATGGCGGACGCGATCTTCGACCCTCTGAGCAACGTCACCCTAATTATGTCAGCCCGAGCGGTGCGGCGCGTGGATCCCAGGCGGTTCCCCAGCGGCAAGGCCCGGCTCGAGACGGTCGGAAATATCGTTTTCTGCTTCTTGATGACGGCCGTGTCTTTCATACTCATTGCCTTCGCCATCCGCGAGCTCGCTGAGCACGCCGGCGACAACACCCTCAACAGGTTCCATCTGCCCTCTGTGATCGCTGTCGTCGTCGCATTCGCGACGAAGCTGGTGCTGTTCCTGTACACTTGGTCTATCAAGGACAAGTACAGTCAGGTCCGCATCCTCTGGCTGGACCACCGCAACGACCTGCTCATCAACGGCTTTGGTATCCTGACCAGCGTCGGCGGTAGCAAGCTGGTCTGGTGGCTCGACCCGGCAGGCGCCATCCTGTTGTCCATCATCGTCTCGGCCAACTGGCTGCGTACCGCCTTCACCGAGTTCCTGCTGCTGGTTGGCGTCGTCGCCAACGTCGAGATTCAGCAGCTCATCACTTACGTCTGCCTCACGCACTCGCCCGATATCCGCCAGATCGACACGGTCCGCGTCTACCACTCGGGCCCCAGGCTAATCGCCGAGGTCGACATCGTCATGGACCCTCAGTCCACCCTTCAGGACACCCACGACGTCGCCGAGGAGCTGCAGTTCAAGCTCGAGAGCCTGCCCGACGTTGAGCGCGCCTACGTCCACGTCGATTACGAGACGACCCACAAGCCGGAGCACGCGTATAAGAAGGACATATAAGAGGGACCTGTAAGGTTGTGCGATCAGCCGCGGAAGCCGACTAGGCGTATCGCAAACTATTCGGGACAAAAGGAAGGGCGGGATGAACATGTCCCATTTCCTTTTGTCGAACATGATTTAATCTTCCTAATGGGCCGTTTCCTCGTCTGCTTTACATATAGGACGAGTGCCCCATTGTTTTACCTACTATGGACCTAGCATTCAGGGGGTCGGGAAAGGACACGAGTGATTGCATCTCTAGCGGCGGACAAATAGACAGGTAAGGGGTCATGGGGGGAGCATTGCTGTATTGATATTACCCCTTAATATTTCACATCCAGAGTAACAGGTCCCATGTTGCGGTGGGACTTACATCCAGCATTTGTTGAACAGAATGTTAAGAGCATAGGGAGTATTTGGGCTACTTCGATGCACAGTCTCTCGGCTCCCCCTCATTTGAGAAGGAGAAGATATTCGGAGACCACCAGCTAACCTCTACCATCTACATCGAACGTAGCTTCTAGCCTGTGCTTCTCAGATCAGCGACAGCAGGGGAAATAAATGCCTGCAGCAGCAACGGCAATAACTAGCTCCCTAGGTACCTAGGTATTAATCGCGATCGGCAAAGGCTATCACCAGAGCGATGGGCAACGTCATTGTACATACCTTACCTACCTAACCTACCTAGCGGAGTATGAGGTGGGTGTATCATGAAGGGTCCATATTTGTATGGTCCCCGAGAGAATAGGACCACGAGACCACGGTAGATGACGTTTAAAGTCGAAAGGAGGCTTGATAGCCTGGCTGTCTCACTCTTCTCTTCGCTTAGAGCCTCTTGGTCAAACTCCCCCGCAGTGTCAATACCCGAATCGGCATCACCTGATTTGCAGAATGCTCGCCCTGGTGGCCAATTTATCTGTCTCCTCATCAAGCAATTCAAGCTCTGAGGCAGATGAAGGTCAAGGTGGGGTAGCCCATGCGCGGGGCGGCACGTGGATAGGTAGCTTGAGGGTGGAAGACCCTTGGCGATTAGAGGCATTTATTTTGGCAGGAGTAGCGCGAATCCTTATGTACACTATAGCCTATAAATCGGCTGTACTACGGTGCACTCACAAAACAACGATTTATGTAGGCCTGGAAGACTCGCATATCAAGCCGCTCTTACTGTGTATGCAACACCCCTACGCACCGAGAATGTGTGCATGCATCCGTTTCCAACGTACGCATGAAGACACGACGAATGATATGGATAATTGCCCACTTCCGTAGCATCTGGATGGAACGGCGCACACCGGGTACAGTACAATCCCTGACGTTGATGCGCTAGTGACTTTTTTAGACCCATGTAAGCTAAGTGGGCTAGGATTCGTGCACCTAAAAATTGGCTGTCGTCACTTTGCTCAAAAAACGAGTCCGAAGAAGGGAAAGATAGTTCCGCAACGGCCCTGCAGGGCCTCAAGCCCGCCACTTCAAAGAAACTTCGGTTCGCAATTGACTGATCTTTCTGCTGCTTTTGTTTAGGGTTTCGTTCTCATTTACTGATTTAGGGCAAGCCGTGGGCATTGCACGACGATTTCGTTGCTCAACATCCTGTTGCGATTACACAGAGTTTTGCGTGCTTCTCGTTAGGTCGGCCCCCGAGCGATACGAAGCAATTACCTGCCTACAGATCGATCACGTTCTCGCCCCCCGCCTTCCCCTGTCGACCTGTTCGCGTGCGCGCCTCTGCTTCTCATCCGCTTCTTTTTATTGGCATTGGTCTCTGTGCTGCTGTGTCGCGATCACCCATTTTCTCTCGCTCTCGCGCCTGACGTCGCCTGGGTTTTGTTGTCGCTAACGAAGAGCCCTTGCACACCATGGCTGTGCGCGGTGGGGAGGATGTTTATGCTACAGTAAGCCCGCACCCTGATGGAGCTCTTGCGACCCGCCAGGCAGAGCCCCAACCTGCTGAAAAGCGATTCAGAGCTGAATTAACTTCTCCTTCAGCTTCTTTTAACAGATTCATATCTGCCCGGTGAGTCCTGTTCTGGAACCCCCGGTTTCCCCCTCGAGGGCTCATGCCCGCTGACGCTGCCCCCCAAGGCGCCCTGGTGCTCGCTCATTCTCTACGCGATGCTGGTACCACCAAGAAGCTGGCCGTCCTGGTCACGCTTGATACCGTATCGGCCGAGGTCGTAACACAGCTCAAGGCAAGCGCTAGCTCGGCCCCTGGGCTCCCCGTGCTCCTACTGACCCTCGATTAGGCCGTGTACGACTATATTATCCCAGTTGGCCGCATCCAGAACCAACAACCAGCCAATCTTTACCTTATGGACCGGCCAGACCTACATTCGGCATTTACCAAGATCACCCTCTGGAAACAGGCCCAATTCCGCAAGATTGTCTATATAGACTCTGATATTGTAGCTTATAGAGCCCCTGACGAGCTCTTCGATCTGCCCAATGCTTTCTCTGCAGCTCCGGATATCGGTTGGCCAGACCTCTTCAACACTGGCGTAATGGTCCTGACGCCAAACATGGGCGACTACTATGCGCTGATGGCAATGGCTGAGAGGGGCATATCGTTCGATGGGGCCGACCAAGGTCTCCTGAACTTGCATTTCGGCAACAGCTACAACCGCCTAAGCTTCTCCTATAACGTGACCCCATCGGCCCATTACCAGTACATTCCGGCATATCGACATTTCCAATCTACCATCAGCATGGTTCACTTCATTGGCCCGGACAAGCCATGGACACAAGGAAGGGATGCTCACACCGGAGGCAGTCCGTTTGACGGAATGGTTGGAAGGTGGTGGGCTGTTTACGACAGGCATTACCGGAGAGAGGTTCGTCATGACCCTCTTTATGTTGGACAAAACTATCTGACACATTTTGGAAAGCCTCCAACGTCAACGACGCAGACAACCACAACCCAGGCAACACAGCCGCCACCTGAGCTTGTCCAGTACTTCGTCAAGGGAGAGTACCAGCCGCAGGTTTCCTACGTTCTCCCCGTGGGTGAGCCCTCTCGTGAACAAACAGTGCCCTCCCACGGTTACCAGGAGCTTCGCCAGCACGAGGCGACACCTCAGCATCACGCACCTGGTCATCACCATCATGAGCAACCTCGGCTTGGAAGTTCCGGCCAACAATTTGAGGAGCAGCGTTCCCTTCCCAGCGAATTTTCTCAATCTTCAGCGGGGCTACAACCTGAGGCTCGGAAAGATCAGGTATCGGGACACCAGGAAGGGGCTCCTCATCCCCCTCAATCCCATGTTCCCCACCACCAGCCCCAGCCGGTACAGAGCTGGGACGCCCAAAGGTCGGTCAACCATTGTTGCATCCCCGTGCCACGCTCATAGTACTGACTCCTTGCACTAGACACCCTCCTCCGCAAGATTCAAAACCAGAAGCCTTTAACTTTCCGCAGACTCACTATGAGATGTCTTCCGATCCTGCTCCGTTCGTCCCTCCCGAACGCTACCCAAGCCCGCCGAGAGATATGTGGTACGATGTACCAAAAGAGCCGCCAGCACCGACAAGTCAGAAGCCTCGGGCCATCTTCCCTTGGGAAACTCACCAGCCTCGAGCATCAAGGGTGTTCCCTAAAGACCTTACCCCACCTGAGCCCATGACAACAGAGCAGCCGACTACCGAGCTGCCGGGTGAGCGCAAGGCTTCGACCGACCATCAAGCCCTAACTGAGCCATCTTTCACAGAATCATCATCGGCGGGACCGGCGAGCGCGTCGGAAGGCGCGCCGGAACACGCGACCACGACGACCTTAGCTGTCGCCCCTTCGAACCCGTGGTCCTCTTTCCCGCGGACCAACGCATGGGACGAGTTGCCAGAGATCGAACGGTACGTCGGTGCGCTAGAGAAGCACCGGCGAACACGGAGTCGGGGTCTGAGAGTCGGTGGCTTCACTCCACCCAATTTCGTCCAAGAGGAGGGGCAGAGGCGAGGCTCGAGAGTGACCGACTTCCCAAGCGAGGCTGACCGGCCCAGCCTCCCCGTCACGCCGGCGCCCATCCGACGGCCAAGGCTCTGGGGGGCCGGCGCGGACCCCAACACCGGTCAGCCGGGCGACGATGACGAGGAAGAGTTCCTGCCGGCGGCAGCAGGCGTGCCTGCGCAGACCGACTGGGTATGTGTGCACGGGAGGCTGTGGGGTCCTGCAGACTGCCTTTGCGACCTGGCTAACGCGCTACGCCATCACAAGGACCCCATGGCGCAGCTCCAGAAGCTGGCCCAGGAGCAGTCAGAGCTGCTTCAACGGAAGTTGGGTGTCGGATCTGGTAGTACCACTACGGATGACGGCGACTCCAGCGTGCCTGGGACGGAAAGCAGGGAGATACCCGCCCGCCCACTGCCCTTTGGGTCGGAGGGTGTGAGGTCTCCTACATATGCTGCCCAGTCCTCCACCGTCCTCAGCCCGCAGCCCGTGAAGCCCGGCTCGCAAACGAGCTCGGTGCGCAATATGCTGCCGGGCGAACCGGAGGCTATCCCGCGAGAGGTTTCCCAGGCCTCCATGAGTATGGTGGCCGAGCCGAGCTACCGTGGTCCCGGTGCGGCTTTCGAGAAGGGCGAAGATATGCCGACTTCCGAGACTCCGGCTGGACCCACCGAGGAGGAACGGGACGTGCTTGATACCTGACCGGCTGCGAGGGCAGAGAGTGTACTCTACTCGGAAGTGCTCTATCCATTCCCGTCCTAATGTATAATTGATGTTGAGGCCAAGGTAGCCTCTGGGAGACGCTGGATCAAGAGGTGGGATTGAATGATGGGAAACAAAGCACTGTCTCTATGCCCAACAGAGTTGTGTTGCAACGGGATGGATGACTGATGAGGGCCGCGGGAATTATACATAAAGAGTTGAAAGGGAAGAAGCGTGGTGGAGGGGAAGAAGATCCGTTTCTCAAATCGCAGTGTACGGTCAAGGTAAATTGCATTTCGTTTCCAGGAATACCGTGAGTGTGGTTTTATATAGCATCGACTGTATCATTTCTCGTTTCTCCTTTCAAGTTCAGCTGGCGATCCCTTTGGATTGCTGTTCCTGCACCTGGCGAGCATATGTTTCTTCTTCATGGCAAGCGTCTAGTATCGGCATTGGCATTTAATTTGTTTCCACTGGATATTACCTCCATAGCCAAATGGTGTTTCTAGCTATCAATATTTTTGCCTCGGTGGCATTGAAAGCAGCGAGATGTAAGGAAGTGGGAAAGAGAGGTGGGCTTCCAGGTAGATTTGTTATGATGAAAGGTCTTGCAAAATGTTGTGCCAGAGAATATCATCGCCTTTCCAGTCCCCAGTAGACGGAGGTCCGGAATGGTCAGATGGAGCGAACCCCTAGAAAGATGGCGGTATTGGTGGTCAGTGACACAGCTGATAGCGAAGGTGATATACACGGCACTGCCGAGGTGGAACATTTGAGTGGCATGACGCAAAAGCAGATGGGGATTTGGAGAAAAAGCACGGGCCTTGTGACTTAGGTACCTCGGTACCTTCCATGACGAATTCCAGTACAAGTACATTGTACCTGCAGTCCTGCACTATGCCAAATCCGGCTGCTTGTGGGTTGCCGGGACGGCGTCATAATGCCTGGAGCACCTCAGGGCTCTTTCTGCACACGTATCTGTCGCATTCATCATCCCCCTTCCCACACCTTCCACCCTCCACCTTCGACCTTTCCAAACTCACCTGATCCCCAATCCAACCACGAGACCCCCAACTTTGACCTTCAAACGATACCTGTCTAGGTAGACAAAAATCACACGGAGCAATAATTCACGCCCTTGCAAGCTCCTCGCTCTTCATTCCTGCCGAAACAACTCCCGCTAGATAAGTAGGTGGGTGCGCTCAATGATGGCACAAGTTTTGGCCACACCTCGAAACAGATAGCTCCATTTCCCACCCCCGCTGCACCCGAATCCCCTGCGCAACCACTACATTTGTTCCTACAAATTTCATAACGATCCCCTAACGCGAGCTTTACAGAAATCATCTTAAAAGTTTCACAACATCGCCAGAATGTCTTCCCCCCAGGACCGCGTTCAGCAATACGTCGGACAGCTTGACCGAGAGGTATCTTGACATTTGTCCTGACTCCCTGAGCACCCGACGGGACACTGACCCGTCTTCCATTAGCTCTCCAAGTACCCTCTCTTCGTCAATCTCGAGAAGACCACGGCTATCCCCAAGACTTATGCCGTCCTCGGTCTGGTCAGCCTCTACTTCTTCCTGATCATCTTCAACCTCGGTGGTCAGCTCTTGACCAACCTCGCCGGTTTCGTTATCCCGGGCTACTACTCTCTCGAGGCCCTCTTCACCGCGAGCAAGGCGGATGATACACAATGGTTGACTGTGAGTGGCTCCCTGGGCGCCATCTTCGTGGTAATATAGGCTGACTGTCAACTAGTACTGGGTTGTCTTCTCTTTCTTCACGTAAGGATCCCCCCCGTGCAGCCATTACTGGAAGATGGAGTTTTGAGGAGCTAACCTTTCCCCAGCGTCGCTGAGAGCCTTGTCAGCGTCGTCTACTGGTTCCCATTCTACTACACCTTCAAGTTTGTTTTCCTTCTGTGGCTCTCTCTGCCCACCTTCAGGTATGTATATCTTCCCAAGAGATCTGCCATCGACATCCAACTAACAGTCGTAGGGGTTCCGAGGTTATCTTCCGCTCGTTCTTGGCCCCGACTCTGGGACGGTACTTCCAGGGCCGCGGCTCGACTGCCAGCGGCCTCCGCGCGAAGGCCGATTCTGTGCACGCTGAGTAGAAGCATTTGCTTCGAGGTCTCCAAAGCGTAGTGCGTGGCTTCATTTGGAGATCAATTGCCTTGGTGTAATGGGAATCATGATATGAAGCCCTTGCCTCCGCCGGGTTTGGACAGGATAAACACCACGCAAATCAAATGTCCGGACTTGGGGGTGTTTTGACAAGTAATGGGGGGCATCGGCTACTTGGGACAATGGCAATGTTAATGATAGGCACGAATTCCTTCGCAGTGGTCTTTCGGTTGGCTCGGCTCGTATAGACTCGTGGTTTTTGATGACGGGTTGTATTTGTATGAGTGATGGATACGTCTAGGGATCAGGGTGATGCTGAATGTGGGTCGGTTGCTCTGTGTAGGATTCCTTTTCATGTGCCTTGCTTCAGCACTGGGAGCATCCATCGTTAGGAGAATTCTACCTAGAGCAAACCCATTGTTGTACCCTTGGATCCTCTACAAGCGTCCATTGTTGTAGGCGGACTGGCCCGAGTGATAGGCCTTATGGATTACTATCATATCGTCACTGAAATTTAGCAGGGCTCTGTTAGACCATTCGAACCTCGGCAGCCTGCATGGTGATCCATGCACAACGCAGCGTATCCTGCAGAGGCTAATCTTATTATTAGAAATGGGCTCTGACAACCAGAGTCGATATAAAAGTTTCCCAAATAAAGCGAAAGTTTTTGTGCCTTGAAGCGCTACCATCGCGAACGAAGCGCTTCCACAAGCCAGTCCGTGAGCAAACTGATGGAAGAGAACCTGAACGTAACCTGAAGGCACTCGACCTATTTTCGGAGTACCCGCGTCACGTGGACGAAATTGGAGGAATCAGAAACCAGCATCCCTTAAGCAACGCATTGTAGCTAACCTGTCTGGGATCGAGGCTGAAACTCCTCCCCTGTTCCCAAGGATCATATTCGCGTCTCCTTGGCAGCGAACCCTGCCGCTCCCGTCGGCAACCGCCGCATAATATGTCACGATAGCGATGTGCTCCTCTTGACGTTCATTCGTTTGCCCCTCAGTCGCCATCGAATTCCGGCTTCTGCATCGAGAACCTAGGTAGTCGATAACCAATACCAAATCGCCGGCGAGGGCATGACCGAGCTATGCAACTCAGTCCTCTACAATCGCGGCTGGCGGCATCCGTCGTCGCCTCCTGCCTGCTTCTCCTCCTCTACTTCACCCTGTTCTCGCCGAACTTCGCCCTCGCCGCCGAATTGGAGCTGACGCTGCCGGTGCCAATCGGTGACTTGGACCTTCCCTTGCGCCTGGATGGCAGAAGCCAGTTCGACCCAACATACGAGCCCGAGTTTGCAGCCTTTGATAGGAGCATTATTGGGAGGGCACCGGCTGGAGTGACCCCCCTCTTCAACAATGCGCCCCAGCCGATGAATGTGGTGGAAGGAACCACGCAATTGTTTGTCTTTGAAAAAGCGTCGATATTCGGACGAGCGCCGGGCAGCTCAGTCCGCTCAGAGTCGCTGGAGTTGAGAGGGGAACATGACGAGGGAGGGAGCATGTTGGAGTCGCGGTCTGGCGATGATACGACTACGAAGAGGGAGACTAAGATGGTATATATCTCAGCAAATACCTGCCAGCAGCCTCAGCCCATCGATCCGAGCAAGACTACGATGGATCCTCCTCAGCTCACCTTGTTCGTTTCTACATCCCCCAAGAACCAATCTCCTGGCCCGATGGGAGCCTCTGGCACGCAAACGGTTGTCGAGTTCACGGAAGGGGCAGTCATGTTCAATCTGAGTACATCTGGAGACGTCTTCCTCGGCATCCACGCGCCCAACGTCTCTCACGTCTTCTCTGGAACATACAACTTCCAGGTTGCTGTGTCTTCGGACGGGTGGTATCACAGCTTCGATCCCACCGCCGACGCGGATCTCATCTGGGTCGACAGCGACTCCCAGGGAGCCTTGCTCATCACCCACAACCTTACGGATAGCACCGACGAGGCGGTTGGTGCTTCTATCATGAAAACGCAGCCTTACGTTATGTTTGCACAAAACCAGGACGACCGATCCATCAGTGGCCTCAAGTACTCTTACTGTGGTCTACAAAACTTTGCGCAGATTGCGGCCACTAAGAATGGCAAATTCACAAGTATGGTGACGACCGGCATGACAAGAAGAGGACCTGGCAACTTGCCCAAGCAACAGTTCTACTTCAGCGGTCTCAACTCGAGCAGTAAATACCAAGGAATCCTCGCCCGGAGCGGCAGGTCTGGTGAGGCAGGGGCAGGACCGAACGACATTGGCGGTGGGGGTCTCGTTTTCAGGGCGACTAATTTCACCACCAAGTCTGGTAGGTTATTCCATCAAGATTATTCTTACTATACGGCCAACTGACCATCTCCCCCTTTTCAGACCATGGCAATTGCCAGATCATACTCAACCTGCCTTTCTGCGACCAAGTGGCATACTCAGTACCGGCCAATCCCGCGAAGTTCGCCAACGCTACATTCCTGGCCAACTTCTACGACAACTATGCTTCATCCATGTTTGACAACTTCAAGAAAGTCCTGCAGCAGATTCCCTGCGAGGCGCCGCCGTCTCAGCGTTATTCGTTGGCGCGGAACTGCACCGATTGCGAAGCAGCATACAAAGCGTGGTTGTGTTCTGTCACTATCCCGCGCTGTGAGGACTTCTCGACCCAGGGCGACTTCCTCCAGCCACGCAACATTAGGCAGGCCTTCCCGGACGGCGAAGTCTTGGACGGTGCGACCGTTGCATCGTTCCCCAACATCTCGGCCTACACGTCGAGCCGCAACCGCCGGATCGACGACATTGTCCAGCCAGGCCCGTACAAGGAGGTCCTGCCGTGCGATGATCTCTGCTATAACCTCGTCCAGAGCTGTCACCCCTCGATGCAGTTCTCCTGCCCGCGGCCGGGGATGACCGGATTCAACACAAGTTACGGACAGCGCACCACCGAGGATGGAGACGGCCTGGTGACATGTAATTATCCCGGGTCAGCCCACATTTTCTCGGGGTCTACCCAGCCGGCGATTCCGCGGGCTCTCTTATCGACTATTATTGGAGCCTTGCTGTTTGTGTTGACATAGCGTTGCGACTCTTCTGCCTGCAGCCTTTTGGACGCTGTTATATACCGGGGCGGATGTGTTTAGGCCGTGGCGTTTTATGATTTTGCGTCGGCGTTGGGGGAATGGCTCATACCATTTGAGACAATGATTTTGTGATATTATGACTCAATAGGGGGGAGTGCTTAATGCTGGAATCGGGCATCATATAGCTACAGCTTGTGTTACAGGGCAATGATACAGGATAGATCCGAATCAAGTGCCAGTTAAACGGGCAGTTTCCAACCATCCGCCCACCTATGTGCCTCGTGCTCGAGGTCGAAGTCGAGGTTCACAATTGGCGCAGTCCAACTGACTTTTACAGGGTACCTGCAAGTGCATCTGCAAGTGCATCACCTTCCATCGTAGACTCATAGTGAGCTGGCCTCTCAGCCGTGAGCAGGCAGTTAGGTCCCGGATACTTTTTTAAGGACCGGAAAATCCTCTCTGCCGATCACCTCTTCTTATCATCAGCTTGCAAGCTCTGTACCTGGGCCTCAAGCTGTGAGATCTCCTCTAGAGCCAGCTATCTGTCAGTTTGATGCTTCTCTGCGAGTTTGGGGTTGATGAGTACCTCGGCGTTCAGCTTTGATCTCATCCTGCTCAAGCTTAACCCATGCCCAGTACGCCAGCTGATACGTGAACACAGCCAGGAGAAGAGTCTTGGCGACGGGACGAGTAAATGTCTTGTAGAAGTCGGTCTGGATTGGATGGTCAGCGTCGCTCAGGACATCAATAGGAGGAGTGAATCGTACTACCGGGGAGGGTCTTGTCGACTCCCATCTCACATGCGCCCGCAATTGTCGGGTCGGATGGAGCGACCTCGCAGGTCTTAGTGCCGCACGAAAGAACATGAGTCACAGTATGACTGTACTCCGAGATATATGGCGTTCTAGAAGTCGCAGGAAAACACGAGGGCAAGTCTGGACTGGGATGGGACAAGGCTGATGATGTTCTGATGGCTCCTGCACGCTTGCAAGTGGATTATAATTGGTCGGCTCTTGGACCCAGTAAACTGGATTGGACGGACCCCTGTTCCCCACACCAGTTCATGGGCCACCAGCCTTAGCCTGCTGGGACAGATGGTCTGAAAGCTCATGGAGATCTGTCCCCATTTGATGAAGCTCTCCACATTCACGAACACATATACCAAGCAACCCCCGATGAGCAATTGATCATCACGACTTTCCACGGCCATCGTCCACATTGCCACATCACTGAACATTCCACGAAACCACTCTCGACTTCAGATTCCAGAATCCACCCAGCTCAATGGTGCGCCCCAATCCGGGGGGAGTGCGCGTAGTAGCACATCTCCCTCCAGCCTCCCCCCAAGACTGGGTCCAGATGATATCACGAGGCTAACCTGACGATCCGCGGACCAGGCCCAAACACCTCAGCAACGGCGAGCAAACGCGAAGTTCGCAAAGGAGCAGGATGCCCGGCGGGGCAAGTCGGAGGACCAGCTGAAGAAGCGGGCAAAGGACGCGCCCAAGTCGCCCATCTCGCCCATCTGGTTAGGTACGTTTTTTGGAACATGGCGTTCTCTTTTTGCCTCCTCCCTCCCTCTTTTTCGCTGTATACATTATCTAACACTTTTTTTGCGCGTCCTCTCAGCTGTTCTCGGCTTCATCGTCTTCGGCGGCCTTTTATTCGAGGTCCTGTCTCGCCTCTTCCTTCGCGACTGAGCCAGTCTTTTACGGTGCCTCCGGCGTGGACGCCGGATTCTTTGCGTCTCAGACACGTACAGCCGCAGAATGGAGAACGACGTGGCAATCACGTTCCCATTTATTCATTAAAAAAAAGGGGTCTACGATAGGGGGAGACTTGCAGCAGACCTGCTCTGTGGATACCCATGTCCCCAAGCCGCGGACGGAGTATCAATGTAAAGTAGTGGTCTTACAGGAGTTTTCTTGGGTATATTAGGCCGCAACGGAAGCATTTTGATGGTTCAATGGGCATACCAGTACCTTTTCTGATCCCTGGGGATTTTTGGTTTTCTTCTAAGTGATACCTCGCCGAGGCCAGCCGAGAAAGAATATACGAGCTAGCATTATGCACCCAGGCCCTTCCGCTGGCCGCTGGACTCGAATTTCATGCGAATGCCGGCCTCGAACTGTCGCTCGAGGTCGTTGACCACATGGCCAATGTCGAGATGTTCGCGACCGCCGTTCCCGCCGGCATTGGATGTAGTCGCGCCGTGCTTCTTGCCACCAAGAAGCCTCATGAACTTATCCTGCCGCGACGAGCCTCCTCCAAGGGCTTGGACGTTCCACCGCTCCGACAAGTCTGCCTTGCCCTCCTCGGTCTTCGACGGTCCCTCTTTGCCCGGCGCAGCCTCGGTTCCCGCGCCCGACCCCTTGTCTTTCTTGGCCTTCTTCTTCTTCGGGGGCTGTATCTCCTCGGCACCCTGGTGGATTGATGACGTTGTTGCCGCTGCGGCCGCCGCCTCGCGCTTCCGCTTCTTCTCGGCCTTGCGCTCCTTCTTGGCAGCCTTCTGCTCCTCCTCGGTCAACTCCCCAGCGACGCGCGGGGCGGTGCCAGATACGGCGGTTCCAGCGTCGTCCTCGATTTCGCTCTTCTTCGTCTTCTTCTTCTTTTTCTTCTCCTTGGTCTTCTCACCCGTCATGAAATCCGGTCGCTCCCCGTGATCCTCGCCATCGGCACTCGCAGCCGGCTTCTTCTTCTTCTTCTCCTTCTTCGTCTTCTTAGACTTCTTGGCCGGGGGTGCGACCGACCCGTCGTCGGTCTCCTCGGCCGCCGAGGTGTCGGGGGTCACTTTCTCGTGTTTCCGCTTCTTTGCCGGGGGCTGCTCCGTGGCCGCGGGAGCGGAAGCCTCGTGGTCGAGGTGTTGGGGTTCGGGTGACGATGTCTCCGCCTCCTCTTGTCTCCTCTTCTCCTTGTTCTTTTTCTTCTTCTTCTTCTCCTTCACCTTTTCCGTCCGGATTGGGTCTTCAATGGCTTGGGCGGAGCTCTTCACCTGAGGCTCGGAAGTGGGTTTCGACTCCTTTAGCTTGTCCTTTTTCTTGGACTTCTTGATCTTGACCTCTGCCTGAGCATCGTTGCCTTCTTTGGATGCTGCCGCATCCTTGTCTTTTTTCCCCATCCTGTCACCCGTCCCAAGTTTGGGTGTTAGTTGGAAGATTGGTTGGGCGAGGCTAAGTTATGCGGATTGGTTTTTCTCCACTGGGTGGAAGCTGCGAATTTTGGAGGGGCCTGAAGAAGCACGGACCCGCAGCAACTTTGATGGCGGGGCTTCTCACGGGGAGGTACCTAGGTAGGTTACCGTTATCCTACCTACCTAAGTCCGTACTGTGCTGAAGGACTGCCTACCTTAGGTAGGTAGGTAGGTAGGTAGGTGGAAAGTGAATGCATTTCCATCTATGCTGAGCGATTAATTTTAAGGGATTAAAAGCAGGGCAACATCACGAGGAGAATGAGTGGTCTATCAAAAGGGCAAGGTCCGAGCAGTGTCTGAGGAAGGAGGTAGGTAATTAATTGCGACCAAGCTCATATTCATTGTATCTGTGCCTAGGATATCGACAGACTACGAGTCCTGTAAAAGCTGTCGGGGTATCAAAACTGAACTTGAGAGACGCCAATTCGAGCCTTCGCAGCCCTTCGAGGACCAGTGGCTTACGGTGCTTGCCAAATCTAGTGACCGGGGCTGAGTGGGCGGTTGAACCCGCCCACCCGGTTCATGTACTGCCGATACTCGGTCTTCTTCTCTTTACGCACCGCCCCAATATTGTTGCCGGTAACTTTGGTGTTTTTAGTCGTACCAAAACTTCCAAAACCCATTATCGCCTTCATCGCTTCCATGTCATCGTCCATAACCACGACGTCGTCATCGTCCTGGTCGTCCTCATCCATTGCTGTGTCGTCTCGCTTGCCCCTGCTCACGGCTTCCTCTTGAGTATTGTGGCTAGCAGCTCCGCTGTCCTGCTCACGGTCTCTCCCTCTGCTCTGCTCTCCGTCTTGAGCACCCATCTTGAAAGACAACGGCGCCGACGGAGTGCTGGCCTTCTCCTTCTTCGGCCGGCGGGGGACATTCGGCTCTCGGTCATGTGCTTTCCCTCTTGAAGGGCTGGCAGAGCGGCGCGGTGATGCAGAGCGCTCTGGGTCGCGGGCCGGATCACGGTCTCTTGAATTGTGGCCTTTGTCTAGGAGATGGAGGGTTAGCCTTCTGGGAAAACAAACCCCCGATATTTCTGCAGGGACAGACTCACCTTTCTTTGGCCTGGGCTCCCCGTCCCTCGGCCTATCGTCCCTATCCCGCTGCCGCCCCTTTTCGCGATCCTTGTCGCGGCCCAGCTTTCTGCTCTGCTCCTCGTCTCTCCGGCGGTCGGCGTCCCGCTTCCGGTCCTGCCTCTCCGCCGAACGCGCACGATACTGGCGGTGCTCTCTGCCGTCGTCGTCGTCCCGGCGGTTGTCGCGTCGGTCGCGGTCCCGGCCGGCTTCCGCCTTGCGATTGCGGCGGTCGGGCCCGTCCTGGAGGGACTTCTCGCCTCCATGACGAGGCCGCTTGGGTGGTCTGTCCGACATGTTGGCTAACGCAAGGTCTGGTGTTGCGGGTTGGGTGCTTGATCCTGCTTCTGTTGACACCGTGGATGATGGGGTTGCAAAAACTAGAATGGGAGAGAGGTTGGTGGAAATCTCGATAATGTCTTGGCGACGATAACCACCTATCCAATGCGGCTGAAACAAGGCTTAGAGTCACGTGCGACTTGCACGCTAGGATCTACACAACCGTGGCCCGTGGGGCGCTAACGATTATGACGTATGACCCGGCCTGTCAAGGATCCATGCTTTTGTGAACGAATAAGAGTAGGTATCTGTGTAGAAGCAGCTGAGTCAAAAATATTCAAACTCAGCGTGGCCCTAAACCAATCCCTCGTAGCGACGGCAGGGCACTTATGTCTATTAACTGCGAATCCTAGGCACACGACTGTCAAACTTAGACTCAGAGATACTTGTTCAATGAAAATTTATGCTAGTCAAAATTAGCAAGACAAAAAAAGGAGAGGGGGATAAGCGTAAAATGAAACAGTCCAAAAGTGCAGATATCTGTGTAAAATATAACATTCCATTATGGGTATCTCTAGTTCATACTTCATCCTCTTCCTCGTCAAAGTCGTCTTCTCGACCCAAGTCATACAAGATTCGGCCTCCTTCTCCAGCCCCAATGTCGGTTTGAGCATCAAAGTATGGGAGCACGACACCCTCTCTATCCTTCCTCTGCTTCTCGGTCAGACCGAGGTTGAAAGTTGTATCCATCTCGGCTTCGCCTGCTCCCTCGGCTCCCGTGCTCTCGGTATCAACAGGTGGGGCGAAGAGCGGATGGTCGGAGAGCAATGAGATGCTCCCTGGCCTTACTGGTGTTCCCGGAGGCCGGGTAACAAGAATGAACTTATCGGTAACAGCTCGGCCGCTGCGTCTCCTCATCTCCATCTCGACCACCAGCCCGTTGGCGGTAGATCCTTGGTCGTCAACATTCATGCCGATCAGGACGCCCTCCCGGCCCTCGTCGAGCCCCCATTCGGGCTCCGGCAGGCTTCTGTTCTGGGCTCGTCGCCTCTCCATCTCTTGGTACAAGCTGGAGACACGAAAGACAGCTGTGGCAAGGTGGGTAAGTAGCGTTAATGGATGGGGGTCGTATTCATTAGCCGCCTTGGGAGGTACAAATGGGACATCGGCGTGGAAGATAGCAACCACCGAGACAGCAGGACTGATTATTCCAGAAAGGAATGCCGGGAGAAGGTGGGGCGTGGAGGAAGCGAGAGGGTTGATAGAGTCGATTACGAGTAGAGTCTCTGCAGGCTGTCAGACATTGCTGCCGTCTCTCCCATCCTCAGGTGGAGAGACTCACTCTGTTTGGCTGCCGGTTTTCCGGGCGCGGGAGCTGGAGAGGGGCAGTGGGACACGATCTCCGACCTCAGGGCCTTTAGCGACTTGCCTCTGGCCTTGATAAATACATCGGCCTCGCGAGGTTTCTTGACCGTGGCGAAGGATATGAAGACAACCTTGGTGCGAGCAATCTAAGACACATATGTATGTAAGCAGCTGTAAGGTATGGCAGAACACCATTGAATTCTTTCATCATATGGGTACAGCCCGCACAGCCCCGACAATCAACGGCCACTTGGCACGGGGGGCAACCTCGATGGGATCGACGGGTGTGGGTGGAGCGCAACCTCTTCCCAACACACTTACTTGAGCCCTTCCTGTAAACTCTCGTACAAGGGGTGCCGCGCTCTGCTCCAGGCTGTCGAGGATAAGAGTCAACGGACTCGAGTTATCTCGCAAGTTGAGCAACTTCTGCACCAGCAATAGGCTGTGCGACCGATTGTGAGACTGTGCAGACGGGGCCATGGCTATCAGTCGCCAAAATGGAACGTGTGCTCGGGAGAAACGCCGACCGGTGAAAATTGGTTGGCAGGCGAAATTCGAAGTTGCCAAGAAGCTTTCTCCAAGTCCCGATTGACTGCCGAAGCCGCACTATAATCCGTCACTATGCGGCGGCAGGCGACCACCAATAATGCAGGCCTCCACTGTTTCGCCGGCTGGGGACCGCCGATCTTGCGGCAGTTTCCACGCGGCTAATGACTGGCACGTTATCTGTGCATATGAAGCCTTCCATCCAGGTTGGTCGGAGATATTAAAACCACTATAGCTGAAGACTAGCAGACGACGCATCGAAGCTCGGCGCTAGAGCCACGAGACCTCCTTTGACTCTGTCTGGCAATATTCTCCAACCTTCCGGCCTTGTTGCGTCGTGATCAGCACCAATCACGCCATGCCGGAGGTGCTCACTGGGTGAGAACTGCAGCCAATCCTGGTTCTTAACCAGCCGTGATATCATCTGCTCTCATTGTCCTTCCAAGTCAAGAGCGCCCCAAGCGATGGAGCCTCTGTTCCGATACTGGGTTAATCTACGATTTATCTTCCGCCCAGCCTGGGCGCAGAAGCTATCGAGACCTTCTCCTCATTGTCTCTATTACGTCGGCCGGGGCAACAAGTGCTAGCTGTCGGGTATATAGCAATAGTAAAATCCGGCCATGGAGCTTCAAGAGGTTTGCTGGGGGGAGATTCCGACCCTGCGTGAGCTGCCATTCCGTCCCAGCGGCAGTTCTCTGAACATATACCCTTGAACCACCACACCCCTTCCCGAGACGGAAAACAAGATCGACATGGCAAGGTGGCTCGTGTTCGGGATCTTGGGCAACCTGCTCCTCGGTCTCTCCGGGGCAGCGCCGGTAGAGGAGAAGAGATCTGTCGCGGTTGCCTCGGCAAAGCACACCTTCTCCCTCAACCGGCAAACTGTAGCGAAGCCCGGTGGCACGCTGGGCTCCAGATTCCGGAACCTCCGGGCGACGCGCGGCACGGCAGAGCCGCAGCCGGCGGGGTTGGACACCGCAATGCCGGCCAATATGCAGGTCGAGTACCTGCTCAATGTGACGGTTGCCGCGCACAACTACTCCCTGATCATCGACACCGGGAGTAGCGATACCTGGTTTGTCAAGAGCGGCTTCGAGTGCGTGGATGCATATCAGCGGATCGTGCCATTGAAGATGTGTAGATTCGGGCCCGAGTTCCAGGGTGATTTCCCAGGCGGCCAGATCGAGAACCAAACCTTTAGCGTCAGCTACGGGAACATTGGCTCTGGGCCATACCTGGATGGAGAGTACGGTTATGCCGAGTATGTCACCCACACCCGCGCTCACCACCTTGGGTTGAACGGAAAGAGCACAATGCTGACCAAAGTTGCACACCCGAAGTATCACCGTTGCTGGAGTTACCATCCCCAAGCAACAGATTGCTCTCGCCACGTCCGGTTACTGGAGCGGCGATGGAATCTCCACTGGTATTCTGGGCTTGGGCATGCCCGGACTGACGGAAGCCTTCGTTGGCAATGGCTCCTTCACCAATGCTATCAGCTATAGCCCCGTGGTCACCACCATGTCCTCGGCCTCTAAAATGCCTGCCCTTTTCAGCTTGGGCCTGTCGAGAAACCCGTCTGAATCGTTCCTTGCCCTTGGCGGCGTGCCCGAGAATGTCAAAGTCGGCGAATGGACCTCCGCTCCTCTTTTGCAGGTAAGCCTCCCATCTATGGAACCGTGTGCGGGCCCTGTTGACATATTGCAAAGTGGGAGAAGAGGCTCGGCGGATACGAGTACTTCTGGTATACCATCAAGACCGACCAGATGGTGTGGAACAGCAGCACCATCTCCCAGCGAACAGCTCGCTCGCCAACCGTCATTGTAGACAGCGGAACCACGCTCAACTATCTCCCGTTCGGTACTGGAGACCCCATGAATCAACCTCCCCCACCGCCCCCTCAAGAAAAAAAAAGCCCCTCAAAGCCCCCTTTTGCATCCCTAAAGAACCTTCACCACTAACTGGGGCTGAACAGACATCGCCGACGCAATCAACAACGCATTTGAGCCGAAAGCGGTCTACGACCCAACCGAGGGCGCCTACTACACGGACTGTAACGCCAAGGCGCCCAGCTTCGGCATCGAGATCGGCGGCCAGATGCTCTGGACCGATCCCTCGAGCATGATCCTGCCCCAGCTCAAGAGCGCCAGCGGGAAGTGCGCCACCGGCATCCTGGACACCAACCAGGAGCCGTACATCCTGGGCGACGTCTTCATGCAGGGCTTGGTGGCCGTCTTTGACATTGGCGACAAGAAGGAGATGCGCTTCGCCAAGAGGCTGTAAGGCAAGCAAGGGTAGCGCGATCAACACGTATGGTCCACGAGAGAGACAGGCTAAGACGGGGGTCATGGTGCCCACTCGTCTGTACTTGTTGTTTTCCATGACCAAATCAGGGCCTGTTAGCTATGTACTTGAGCCTGAGAGTGCTCCTTATAAATCTTGGGATGTCCCTTGCCGCAATCAACGACTCAAATGAGCTTGACGTGATACCGGACCGCCCGACCTACTCAGGCCACTAGAATCCAGAAGGTTAGGGCTGCCGATAAGGAACTTGCGAGGGATTACACTTACAATGCACCGCGGTAACTCGCAAACTGTCTGGCATTCCGTCCAAGAGGCTCAGAGTGCCAGTTTCAGGTCATCCAAACCGTTTGGTGAAGCCCCATGAAGGGCCACCACAGCGAGATGATGTCCAGTCAACCCAGGTTAATCGCCCAGGAAGTGCTTAGAACCTAACCAATGGACCCAGACGGGGGGTCCAAAACGAGGCCAGGAAATTGAACGGAGGAAGGGTGATCCAGGAATGTAATCATCCAGATACTTCAAACCGGATTACTCATCTTCACCTCGATAGACTCAGCTACCTCTTCGTGTGTTTTCATGCCCGGGAGCGAGTGTGCGTGACAAGACTCATTCGGCTCCTCCCTGGTGATATCAACGTTGGCGATCTTTTTCTCCATGCTCGAATACGAACGGGTGGGTGATGTCGGTTCTGGGCCATCAGAAGAGGGGCATTGATCCCGGTTATCGGTTTTTTTTGCCTCTTCCGAAGCTTTTAAACCAATCTTCTCGGTAGTGGCCGGGTCAATGCTGTCACTACGGACGCTCTGGGGAGCTGTTTGACCTTCGTTTCGAAGAGCTTTGGGGTGGTGCTCGGGGCTGATCTTGACAGCCCAGGTCTTCTCGAACTGCTTGACCTGATACTCGTCGAAATCTCCACGGTTCCGTTTCTCATGAGCAACCCAGGCACTTTGCAACCAGTCTGGGTCATGCTTCCCCGCCTCGATATTCTCACAATACCGAGCAGAATCGAAACGGAACGTGTCACTATTCCGGAGAGAATTGACGTCGGGCCGAGGTTGCTCAGTTCCAGGGGCGAGAACATGGGTGTGGCCCGGAAGCAATCTTAGGACTTGTTGCTGCTCCTCATGGCTGAGAACATCCCATGCTCTTGAATTGAGGAGAATGGCCTGATTGCGAATGTCAGCTGAGAACAAAGAAAGAATAAAAAATGCCATCATCTAGTTTGAGCTGACTCACCCTGAGGTCGGAATTCGCGAGAGGAGTCTTGGGATCGGTGTAGACGAAAGGGCTTTCCCACTTCTTTGCCTCATTCCTTGCCTTCTTACTGATGACGATCCGCCGGATTGGCGCTGTTGATGCCTTACGTTTCCTGCCTCCTGTCACGGGTGGTATTGTAGGAGGAGAGGTGGTCGAGACGTCATCATCGGCCTTGGCCTTGGCCTTGACCATGTCATCGTCGGGAGATTTGACAGCTATCGTTTCCTCTTCCATGGCCTTCAGCTGGGTTAGGAGCGATGGACCGTCCTTGGCGGTCTGGGCAGCTTTGCCATGAGCCGCCATCTCATCCTCTTGGAGGTCAAAAATACTCTCAGGAGGCGACGAAAGCGGGGATGCTGTCGCCGCGTCTTCCCAGTCGGACATCTTTAGTGAGTTGCTGGGGTTGTGCACTTTTGGTTAAGATGAAGGGGGAAAAGAAGTGAAGGGGACCGCCGGCTGTAGACTTGGGGACCTACTCAAGGCCAGGATTCTCTGCACCTTGAGGGGAATCCATAAGAAATAGTGGCCTGATTCATGACGATAATTAATAAGTGAGGAGGAAGTGACAATTTAGGGAGCAGTGAAAGGGCGGTTTGCTTGATGTACAAGGCTGAGCAGTCAAACCAGCCACATTGTCGAGTGTGGCGTTGACCACACATGTGAAACTAGTGCCTTGATTGGCCAGCCTTGTCTAATGTTTCAACTACCACTCTCTGTACCTACCTACCTTGCTTGTCTGAAGGTTTCCAATCTGTAAACCTTCTGATCAATGCCGAAACAAGAAGGCTCTGAATCATTGCCAATGACCGTTCACATTTGTGGGGAGACTTACAGATCCTGAAGAAAGAGCTACCTAGCCACCCAAATCCACCCGGACAAGGCTAGAAACAAGGCGATTCCCCTGAAGCCACGTACATCAGAAGCTTCCAGCGCCCACCACTTGGGTCACCCACCACCTCTCCCAGAGGCAGGCTGCCATTTTCCAACTCCACATCCATAACACACCCAACACATTCTCTGCGATCAGGATGATTCGCTCAACACAAATAGCAAGGCTAGATGGTATGGAGGTGAAGAAGTCGAGCTTGAAAATGGAACTGGTGCTAAGACACATCTAGGGCTCATGCTCTGCGCCTCCGTCGACGATGAACAGGTAAAACTCTACCTCCTCTCCCCCCAATTGCAACCTTGCCTGCTCTACCTAATCGAGAGTGGACCATCTGACGGACTTTCTTTCCCAAACAGACCGAATCCACCCTCTCAGAAGTCAAGAGCCAAGTAAAGCTCATCCTCCGACGCCTCAACCGCAACGCGGAGCCGCAAGCGTCGATCGAGAGCGGCGCCTTCACGCTCCACTACGTGATCGTGTCCGACATTGTGTACGTGGCCATCACGGACCGGTCGTACCCGCGCAAGCTAGCCTTCACCTACCTGTCGGACATCTCGACCGAGTTCTCGGGCACCTACCCGTCGGGGCAGCTGCTGTCGCCGACGCTGCGGCCCTATGCCTTCATGGAGTTTGACACCTTCATCGCCCGCACCAAGGCCACCTACAGCGATACTCGCGCCACCCAGAACCTCGACAAGGTCAACGACGAGCTGCGCGACGTCACAAAGGTCATGACCAAGAACATCGAGGACCTGCTCTACCGCGGCGACAGCCTCGAGCGCATGGGCGAGCTCAGCAGCCGCTTAAGGGACGACAGCAAGAAGTACCGCAAGGCCGCCGTCAAGATCAATTGGGACCTCATGCTGAAGCAGTACGGGCCCTTTGCCGCCCTGGGACTGATCATCCTGGTCTTCGTTTGGTGGAGATTCTTCTAGGGGTACATAGAGCATGGGAATAAGCAGCTGTCGAGCGGTTCCCCAGTGAGGGCGAGCTTCAGATCGCTTGAGGTCAGGCACAGCTCAGTGATCAGCATGGAGTACGGATTATGGTAAACGGGACAGATATAGCCACGACTTTGTATTTTGGCGTCTTATTTGTACCTGATTGTAACATGAATTATGTGTCCGAGGGTGGGCAATTCATATCGATACCCAACACAACGCGACATATCATCTAAGAAGCGTCTATGCCTTGAGCCATTTTTTAGCTCTACTTTTTCGCTCTATGGAGTATCATGAACGTACATAATCAAGCCCCTTCGGGGCCCAAAAGGGAGTCTCCCCAGACCCAATTTTCAAGCCCACCCCCAAAACTCCCATGACCGCGAAGCAGGAAAGCATCCCTCCTCCCCGGAAAAAAGTTATCTCTTGGAACGCCATTTACATGATGGTGCATTTCGACGCGGTAGCAGCCAACGCCGGCACCGACAGGGGCACAGACAGCGAAGTGTGATGCCACTCCAGGTGCTCCTGGAAGGCCCGCAGGTCCGGGAACCCGGCCTCGTCCTGCGCATACCTCAGCTCCTCCTCGCCGTCGTACCCCTGGTCGACGTACGTGTACTGATCGCAGTACGGGCACGTCAGGCGCGCCAGCCAGTGGCCCCGCGGGGGCGCCATGTGGTTCGCAATCGCCACCGGCGCGAACACGATCGTCTTCTTCTCCTCCCCCTCCTCCTCCGACGCCCGTGAAGCCGCCGCCTGCCAGTTCGGCTGCGCGTCCCCCGGCAGGAGCGGTCGCCTCGTCGCCGGCATGGCCGCCACGTCCTCCCACACGATAAACCCGTCGCAGTAGTCGCACGCGAAGGCGATGTCCCTCTCGCCGAACCGCTGGAACGTGCCTACGGCGTTGCACGCTGGGACCAGGCTCTCCAGGCTGGCCCTCCGACGCGGGGCCGCGGGGCCGCGGTGCTGTTGCTGGTGTTGCTGCGACTGCTGGTGTTGCTGATGTGGTGCCGGCGGGTGGAGGCTGTCCATCTGTTGGTTATTTTGCTGTTGCTGCTGCTGCTGCTGCTGCTGCGACTGCTGTCGCCATCGCGGCAGCTCGCCGTGGGCCTCGCGTTCCCGCTCGCGCCCGCGCTCCCGCTCGACCCGGCGCTGCTGGCGGAAGACGAGGAAGGCGCCGAGGCAGCGGGCGGCGGTGTCCTGCTCGGTGTTGAAGACGCGCCTCGCGGCGCGGCACTGGGCGCGGTGCAGCTCCCTGCGGAGCGCCGACGTCTCGCGCACCCACAGCGGGTTGATGGGCCCGCCCGCCCGGGCCCAGTCCTTGAACGTCTGGGCGTGGAGATCGAACCTGGTGCGCAGGGCGCGGAGCTCGTCGAGGGAGTCGCCTGTTTTGAGGGGGTGGGGGGAGTGTCTTGTTAGATCAATTTGCCTGGGATGCGCTTTGGTCTCTACACGGGGATGCTTGTGTGTTTGTTTGTTTTGGGACTGAGAGGTAGGTGGGCACACGAGGGAGGATACGTATGTATCAGAGCGAGAGAAGAGGGAGCAGACCCGACTGGACTGGACTGGACTGGACTGGACCTGGGTGACAGAGACAACGGCCAGGGGCTTTTTCCAAAACAATACACACACGGTACCGTACTTACGCCTGCGGTCGTTCTCATAGTAGCACTGGCCATTCAGCAGCGGACCCATCTCCTGGAAGTCCTTCTTCGCATCGTCGAGGGCGGCCTCGAGGGCGCGGAACTGGTCGTCCTCGTCTGGGCCCCAATGGCGCTTGTCGGCGAGGGTGAAGACGCGCAGCGCGCCGCCGAGCGACGCGGCGATGCCGGCCAGGAGGGTGCCGACGGTGTCGTCATCACTCATGTCTGTGTTGCCCGCGCCGGGGCCCGGTGGTTGCGGTCGTCGTCGGCGGGTGTTGTCGTCATCCAAGGCGTTGGGGAAAACAGCCAAGTTTCTTTTTCGAGAGGTCCGGCGGCGGGTGGTCCCGGGGATTTGGGCGGCCTCCAAGAAATATAGAAGGTGGGTGGGCACCTACTACCTCCCTAGGTACCCAGATTGTGGAGCTCAGCTCGCCTAGGGCGCCTTGCGAGGCGGGGGAGGTGGGGGGAACCGTTGTTCAAAAGTAGGTATGTACTGCACAATGCAGAACCTGAAGGAACCCGGAACAGTCACATCACAGACTCAGAGGACTGGGCCGTTTTGACCGGTGGCCGGCCCTCCTTCATAGGGCAGAACCGATGCCCACAAAAGACAGGTGTGTCGCTGTTTGGGGTGCAGTTTTGTGGCAGCCCAGATCCTCCATTTCGGTAGCCTAGAACACCATCGAGTCCTGGACAAGTACATTTTAGGTGGGGCGTATGTACAAACTTCCCGAAGTTCAATCTACAGACATCGATGTGTGGCAGCAAACCCAAGGCGATACAAAACTCAGTGTAAGATAATTAATCGAGTTAAGTTACCCTTGGTCTTCCTAATGAGAAAATCTCCTGTTCAGATTGCGGCGTAAGTGATGCTGAGCACAGGCGTCATCATTAATTTCACCACTCTCCGTCCCACCGTTGGAAACTATTTAAGTGGATACAAACCAGCGCTCTTCAACAATTGGGTACATTTCGGGGCGCAGTGGCGGAGTGGTTATCGCGTATGACTAGAATCTAGTCTATCATATTCCTTCGGGAGCAGAAGTTCGAATCTTCTCTGCGTCGTCTCTTTTTTCTTTTTTTTCCCCCTCCGTTTCTGCATCTTTGTATTCAATTTTTCCAAGTTGGTTGTAACAAAGGTTGTTGGGTTTCTTTTCGCAAGGTTTGTGAGGTGCTGTACGGATATAATAAGTAGCCTTGCAGTTAAACGAAGCAGGACCAAAAACCAAGGAGTTGAGCAGTCCTAGTCAAGCACGCTGCATGTCAGATTCAGCCACCTGATTGCATTCCACTATATTGGGTCGTCCTTCAGTTCTGCTGCAGCACAGAGTCCTTGGCGACAGTGACCAATGATCTGGCATTGATGCTGCCGAAGGCTGACCTATCCCCGGAAGGGATGCCGCCCGGAGACGATGGACGATTGGCGGAGTTACGCCTCTGACAGCTAGGTACCTGGCTAGCGGCTAGATCGGTCTCAGCCCTACCGCTACAAATTCCCGCCCGTCGTGATTAGTATTCCGTGGAGACTATGGTGTAATGGGAGTTACAGGCAGACAGACTTCTTGACATGCCGTTTAGCCTGCATTTATCTTGCGCACTGCCGCAACAGCTTGTGGTTTGTCGCGTGATACTATACCCAAATTTGTAGGATGAGATATTTACATTAGATGTAGGTAGGTTGAGGTATGTACCTATATAAGAGTTTATGCATAGCCGCTGAAATGATGTCATTTCGAACCAATATCTAGACACGCAGCCAAACTATGGATAGATGTGCTTGTCCAGCTAGTGTACAGCAGCCACCGCTTCAGACATGGCCTACCTCCTCTTCGTGGCCTTCCCACCGTCCACACCCGTGGCCTTCTTGGCGGTGTTCCCCTTCTCCGCGGCGACGGCAGCCGGAGCAGGCAATGCCTTGCCCTCACTCTTCTTCTCCTCCTCGACTTCGTCATCGCCTCCCTGTCCGAACTCATTGACGCGAGTGTAGTCGATCTTGTACGCCCATCTCTGGTAGATGTACACAAAGAAGATGACATCGTCCCGGAGCGTGGCCAGGCGATGCAGGAGGGGCATCTTGATGGTGAAGGCGAACAGGTCGTCGATGAAGGTGTTCAGGAACTTGTACATCATGGCCTTCGCGGGCATGTGCGCCACGCTCTTGAGACGGTAGTTGATGTAGAGAGACGGAATCATCATCAGGAAGCCGTAGGCGTAGACGGATCCGACCAGGGTCGTGATGATGTACGAGTACCACGACTTATGAGTGTCGTAGAACAACGAGTAGATGGCATACGCGACCAGCAGCGGGACGCCGCCAACGTACATGTACTTGAAGGCGATCTCGTCGTATTCCTTGGTCTTCTCCTCGGTATCGCTCAGCTTGTGCTTGTCTTCAAAGGAGATGCGGTATGGGATCAAGGAACCGGCCGGGGCGGGCCGCACGCGGACGTTGACCACCGTCGTGACCTTCCACAATTCAATGAGGATACCGATGCCCTGCGAGCCCAGGATCATCCAGCTCGTGTTCTGGGACTGGTCAACCAAGTAGAGGAAGATGACGAGCTGCATGAACACGTTGGCGAGGATTGATCGCACCGAGATGCCGACATTGTCCTTCTTCTTGCGATAGTGTGCGATGTCCGAGCCGAACGCCAGCGTCTCCAGTATGATGTGAGCGATGCTCACTACGATCGTCACACTGAGAAGGATTGGGTTCGTGTCCAGTAGGATCTCCTTAACCATGTCGATTTCGGTGCCATCACCTCCGCCAGGCATGGCGTTTCCGTAGGCAGCCTGCCGGGCAGTCTCGCGGGAACTCAGTTCCATGGTCGCCATGATCTTAAACTTCCAATCGGCGAGGTTGCCGAGGTCGATATGCAGCGGCAGCGTCTCAACAGTGTCGTTAAGCAGCGTCATGTGGCTCTTCAGCTGCCAGAAGGTATTGACGAACACGATAGGATAGTACCAAGAGTTCTGTCCGGAGCCATCTCGAGCGCCCGTGGCCTCGAGCTGCACGAATTGGCGCACAGCAGGGTGGACCTGAGGGAAAGCCATGACACCGGAATTCGGGATCAAGGAGAGCGTCGTGTTTGGGTGGTAATAGTTGCCGACAACAGGCCCAGTCTGCCGTTCCTCTACTTCCTGCTCCTGCTCATGCTCCTCCGCGTCGGCTGCGTCCTTACTCCCAAGCAGGTTTCTCGTCTTTGTGACTTTCTTCTTCGCGATGTACTGTGTCAAGGGGTAGACGAAGTGGTACGCAGAAGCCGGGTCGTACGGCGACTCGGTAGGATCGAGCTGGGCTCCGGCAAGTCCGATGTAGAAGTGTCCCCAAAGTGTGCCATTGTTCTGAACAGAAACCGGAACCTTGATCGTGGTGTCGATCGATCGCTTGTCGCTGTAGTTACCAATCTGGAACCCTTGTTCTTCGAGAACGATCATGTCCTTCGACGTATCCCTAATGGTTCTGGGGACAAACGATGGCGAAAGGGTCACAACAATATCCACCTTGCTGTCCTCTGGCCATATGGGCGCAATTCTCTGAGGGATCTGGTTGTATATGGCCCCTTCATCTAGTGTCTGTGGTCGCAGCTGGTACGCAGGGATATCGCCGGTATTGCCGGGAATCTGTACGGCCTTGCCCTCTGCATCGGTCACGGTCTGAGTGGTCTTCCCGCTTCCGGTGAACTGTTTCATCAGAAATTGCATGGCGACATACATTGCGACAGCTTGAGCGATCTTCATAAAGAAGGATTGCTGGGTCTAGATCAGCATCCCTACATCTAATGGTTGAGCAAGCAGGAGGGTTTCTTACGCCTTGCGCCTCTGGCTCGGCCGGCCTGTTGCCGGCCGCGGCCACGGCATTGTCTTGAGGCATCTTAACAGAGCGCGTCTTGGGGTTTCCGATGGCCTCGACAAGGAGGTAGGGTGGATGCTGGGAAACACAGCTGACGGCTGTCGTTAAATCGGATGCGATGGATGGTCGGGTCCTTGACGGGAGAAGCGAGGGACCGAATTTCCGGAACCGTGGTTCTCCCCAGCAGAATCCAGAAGCAAATTGGGGCAAATCACAAGCTGATTTGCCCCCACGTTGGACCCACAACGACTTGGCTACTCACTAGTGTAGTAGGTGTTTTCCGACCCCGAACCAGGGGCATTTTCTGTCGCACAAGAACTTACGACGTCACTGGGGACCCGAGTGTCCCACAAGGCCGTTCCCGTGATCCGATGCATTACAGTGATTGCACCTCCCCAAGTCGACCTCCTAATAGTCGTCGTCTTTCCGCGCTCGGAGCCACTCGTGGATCTGCCCCAGTGGAGATGCTCCACCTGGCCCTGCGTCGGCGATGTGGTGGTCACAAGGTACGCGCCACTAGGTCCCTGATTCACCGACTTAGCCACCTCCATCTCCAAATATAACCACTCCTGTTTCCAGGTCTCATAGAATTCCGACTTATTACTTTCCCCTGTATAAGAGCGGTTGGTCAGGACCTTCATTTCGACATTCGTAAATTCATTTGTCACATTCCGTACTCCTTTTCATATTTGAGCCAAGTGAATATATACATTTAGAGGGTGAGCTGGCCACGAATTGACTTCCACCACCCGTTCCTACCTTCCCCTACCGCCTTCCCCTTCTCGAATCGCCTGCCGTAAAAGCACACGGATTGGGTAGACACCATGGACGCCGTTGGAACCTCGGGGACCTCCACTCCCTCCAGCATAAACCCCGGTCCGCCTCCACGGACCAAGATCTGCGTATACTGCGGTTCAGCGCCGGGCAATGACCCAGCCCACATCGAGGCGGCAAGGGAACTAGCCCGGGCCATGGCTGCGCACAACATCGCACTAGGTGAGCCCAAACATATTCCGTAACCATGACTACCACCAGCACTTACTCATCCCCTCCGTTCTTTCCCAAAACCAGTCTATGGCGGCGGCACAGTCGGTCTCATGGGCGAGCTCGCGAAGACTCTCGTCTCGCTCGCGGGCCCGGAATCGGTCCACGGCATCATCCCCGAGGCCCTGGTGAGGTACGAGCGGGACCCGAACTACACGTCGAAGAGCGTAAACGGGGAGGCCTTGCTGGCGGTGCCGGAGGAGAAGGTGTTCGGCAAGACGACGGTGGTGAAGGACATGCACACCCGGAAGCAGATGATGGTGCGGGAGGTGGTGGCCGGCGGCCCCGGCAGCGGCTTCATCGCCCTCAGCGGCGGCTTCGGCACCATCGAGGAGCTGTTCGAGACGGCCACGTGGAACCAGCTGGGGATCCACAACAGGGGCATCTGCGTCCTGAATGTCAACGGGCTCTACGACGGCGTCTTCGAGTGGATCAAGAGGACCGTCGAGGCGGGCTTCATAAGGGAAGGGAACTCTGATATCCTGGTCCAGGCGTCGAATGCCGTCGATGCGGTGGCAGCATTGAGGGACTACAAAGTCTCGCAGTCTGTGCTGAAGCTTGCTTGGGGGAATATGTAGACGGAATTCAAGAATCGGTTCATGCCTGGAATGAATTGGGGGGGGGGGCGTTCTGGGGTCGGCCGGCAGCATCCGGGCGTTCATGCACCATCATGGGGTTAGGTGATAGACTCAGGGGATAGGGAGAATCGATATCAATAGATCATATCATCCCAAGGTCCAAACGCAGGGCAAACAGGCTGCGCGCCGAGAACCTTGATTTGGAATTTCAAAGACCGTCTAATGGTACAGTGGCTGGCTGGCCGGCTCTCTTGACCTCTCCAACGCCACGCATGAGCTACGGGCTGGGCGTGCCCTTTAATCATCGACCTCCATGGTCTCCCCTGTGCCTTCTTCGTTTTCTTCCTTGTCGTCCGCGACACTCTCTATCCATGCGCTGACGTCCTGGCCGTCAAACACCTTGAACGGCTCGACCTTCCTCTTGCCGCCGTCCGTTGCGACAATGCCCACGACACCGACGCTGGTGTTCTCGATGGTAAGCTCCCTGTCCTGCACCAAGCTCTCCTTCAGCGCCTTGAGGCCATGCCGTATGAGCTCCTCCTTGTCACAGTCGGCAAACTTGTCGATATTCTTCTCCAGATATGTCCGCGCCATCTGGCTGCGCGCGCCAATGGCGAAGGCGACCATCTCCTCAGTCATACCGCTGGGCTGAAACTCGAACAGGTGGGGGCCGCGCTCGTCGACGCCCGCCACGAGTAGGCCTACGCCGTACGGCCGCTTGCCGTAGTGCTGCGTGTTGATCTGCGCCTTCTCGCCGATCATGTCGATGAGGTTCCGCAGGGGCATGTCGCGCCCGTATGTGAGCCGGTGGCCCAGGCATTGCTGCTTCATGAAGTTGGAGAGCACCCGCGCATCGGACGTCAGGCCGGCGATGGCGATTCCGACGTGTTCGTCGATCTGGAAGAGCTTCTTTTGGTACGACGACAGTTCTTCGGCATTACGCTAGAGGACGACGTTAGCTGCGCGGTCTCTTCTTAGTTTTGGTTGGGTGTAGACGGGGCAAGCCGTCGTCGACGTGGCGGGTCTGGCGCGTAAATACCTTGATGGCAACTATGACGGCATGGGACTTGCTGGCAATTCCAACCACCACCGATCCTTGCTTCACAGCTTCCGCCGCATACTCGACTTGGAATATCCGTCCTTGCGGCGAGCTGAGAGCTGTTAGATGATGGAGCCTGCGATGCACAACACGGGGTATGGGTTAGGAAAGCTTACAATGTGACGGAATCGTTATCGTAATTGTTCCTGAACATGATGGCAAGCCGGGGGGTTCACAAGGAGGATAACTGATTCAGGTTGAGAGCTGGGGACGAAGTGAAAGGACGGGGCTTGGAGTTTGACGTGCTGCTGCTCCCACAGCGGTTGGTAGGCAGCTCCAAGCTTCGTAACTAATAATAAGGTACCTCTGTCGCTGAAAAGAATCGCCGGTACCGTAAAATGGTAAGGTACGTACCTTGCTTGTTTGGCGCAGCTGCAAACAGACTAGACTGTATATAGACTAGCTCACTAATGACCCATGCAATCCAGGTATCCACCAGACCTTGACCATACCAGGACCCGCCGAGGGTGACGACTTCGGTTTGCGGCGCTGAACCTCACCACTTAGCAGCACATTGCGCCTCACAATCTCGAGGCACTCCGACCGACCAACGCCCTTTCTCCTTTGTTGTAATAACCCACGCTTGTATCGAAGCCCCGGTAAATCTCGATAGTTACAACAATCATCAGTTCGTCTGTTGCGTGGCGGAGCTCGTTACCTTCCCCGACACACCAGCAACCCAACCCCCCCCCCCCGAGTTCAAGATGCCGAACGCAGGGCTCAAGACCATCATCGCCCTCTCCTTCATTCTTGCCGTCGGCTTCCTCCTCGTCATCCTATCATGTGCGCTGTGGAAGTCGTACTACCCCCTCCTCGTCGTGGCCACCTACGTGCTGGCTCCTGTGCCGAATTGGCTATGTAGCCTCTGCGCGAACCCGGACGACTTTGTCGAGAGCTCGTCAGGCTCGGCCGTGCTGGACCTGGGGCGCTTCTGTACCGGATTCTTGGTCATCATGGGAATTGGTAGGTTGACGAGCTTCGGCCGCGGCTGTAGAACTGTATGGGGCTGTGCAAACTGACAAATGTCTCTCTAGCCCTCCCTATCGTTCTCGCACACTCGCAGATTATCCAGGTCGGCGCGATGGTGATGTCCGTAGTCGGAGGTCTGCTGATCTACGGCACCGTCATCAGCTTCACCATGTTCTTCCAGGAGGAGCAGGACTTCTGAAAGCATCGGCAGTTGGGGCGGAGAATGGTCATATGGAATCGAGAGAGTAACGGGCACTTGTACAGTGTATCAACTTCATTAGTGACATAAATCGGACGGAGCATGGGGCCGAGGCTTTGGTTATTGGGAAAGGGCATGCGATGAAATTTCAAGAGCGCGTTGATATCCCATCTATGGTCTAAAGGCCTGAGTGGCGTTTCTTTCTTTATCTTTCCAGATTGCTCCGTTGAGTCTTAGCAGCCAGACGCCGTATCCTAGACTCCGAGGTACGTTGAGTATCCGGAACCTCTACTACGCCAAATCCCGCAAATGCTGGGGAGAAAAGTAAAATCAAACCAAGTCCGTGAAAACGCCGAGCGGCCCAGCAAGTTTCGTGAACATTTCCTCCCTCTCGCCTTCAGGGGTGCTCAGAATCGTGACCGCGCCACCCGCCCCAATCCGCCAGACCTCGAGCGGCTCTCCGGCGGGCTCGGGTCCTCCCTTCTCGTCATCCCAGCGGAACATGCTCCTGATGGTGACGCTCCAATCTCCCCTGCCCGAGGCGCACATGTAACCCACGACGCCCGAATACAGGCTCCGTTCCTGGCGCTCTTCGATCTGCTGCAGTATCTCGCAGCTTCTCTTCTTCGGGGCCCCAGTCATGCTTCCCGGCGGCAGACTCGCCGCGAGCACGTCCAGGCCGGTGTGCGCCCCGGGCGCCTGGCCGCCGCCGCCATCCCTCCTCCCCGGCAGCCGGCCCTCGACGACGGTGATCATCTGAAAGACGCTCTGGTACTCCTCCACCTTCATAAGGTGCGGGACCGAGACGTTTCCGGAGCCGCAGATACCGTGGAGGTCGTGGCGCACCAGGTCGACGATCATGAGGTTCTCCGCCTCCTCCTTGGGCACGTGCAGGATCTCCTCCGCCTGCCGGAGCGTCCGGACGGCGTCCGACTTCCGCACCGTGCCCTTCATCGGCCGCATTGAGCAGAGGCCGTCGCCGTCGTACAGCAGGAACCTCTCCGGCGAAGCACTCACCAGCGTGGCGCCCCCGAGGCGCAGGTACGACGCAAACGGCGCGGGCTGCCGCGCCCGCAGCGTCTTGAATAGCTGCCACGAGCCCGCCGCCTTGATGGACGATCGACGCCGACGCTTGGGTCGCGGGTTGGCTCGTCTCCCGTTTGTGACGGAATCGCTCCTGGGTCGTGTGATTTTGGTCTGGCTGGTGAGGCATAGTTCGTATGAATCTCCCGCCGCGATGAATTCCTGGCAGGCCCTGACCTTGTCCTCGTATCCGACGACCGGCGGGGTCACTATGCAAGATCTAGCAGCGGAGAGAGACCGGGGTTTCTCCTGGTCGAGGCATGCGACGAGGACGCCCGGCGCCCCGCCCGCCTTTTTCTCAAGGGGGGGATTCGGAACGGGACACGTGCGACTCTGCCAGATGTATGAATCCTGCAGCTTTGCAGTCGTCTTCTCAAGCCAGGTATCCTCATTCTTAACCCGTGGTTTCAGCTGCTGTACGTGGAGCAGGCCGTTCCTGTGGTCGATGACGATGCTCCTTGTGATCCACGCGAGACAGATATCTGGGCGGTGATGTCCCCGAGGCTCATGCAGCTTGACCCCAATGCCTTCTAGGCCTTGTTCGTAGGTGATGTAGCCCATGAACCCACCCATGAATGGCGTGTCAAAGTCAGCCGTCATGTCTAGGCGTCGTTTGTCTTGGAAGTCTGCGAGCAGGTTCCAGATACCCCCATAGCCGTCCAGGGGAATCTTCTCCGCAATGCCAACCGGGATGTCCGCAATCGACCGCAGGCTCGCCGTGGCATGGTCATCTCCAGTGTGATACTCGATACGCAGCGAGTCCGCGACGTCCAGGGCAATGATGCTATACCTGCCACGCACATCGGCCACCGCATCAGTCGGCGCAGGCAAGTCGGCGTTCGCCGAGTCCAGGACGATCTGCTCCGACGCCTTCGCCCCGAGCGCCTCGACAATGTCCGGGACCAGTACGTGACCAGGCAGAGGCACCGTCGCCGACTGGAACTCGTGATCGAGACCAAAAGTCCTCCACCAACCCCCCTCCGCCGCACCGCCCAGCGCCGGCAGCCGCGACAGCAGGCTGGGCCTGGTCGCGCTCCGCGCAAGCGTCCCCTCCGCCGGCGCCGCCGTCAGCACCCTCCCGCGCGCCCGGTTCCACCTCATCGCCTCGGCGAACCAGTTCGCGACGACGCGGTCCCCCTCGGCCTCGGTGCAGACCGATTCCGGGTGATACTGCAGACCCCAGAACGGCCGGCGCGCGTGCCTAGCCGCCATGAGGATCCTCTCCCTCGCCGCTCCTCCGCCGCGCTCCTCCTCCACCCACGCAAGCGGCACGACGTCCGGACACCCTGGCAACGGCCGCCATCGCGCCGCCGTGGCGTCCCAGTCCGCGGCCGCAACGCCGTCCTGGCCGACGTCGGCGCCGAGGCTGTGGTACAGCGTGGCCCTGAACGGGCCGACGCCGCGGAATATGTCCCCTCCCTCCGCCGCCCCCGCCGCCCCGCCGCCCGCGTGCTCAATCGCCCTCACCATCCCGTGCAGGCCCCTCCGCAGCCTCCGGACGCCGCCGCCTCCGGAGCAGTAGTGCGCGACCATGCTCTGGAACCCGAGGCAGACGCCCAGGGCGGGGACGACGTCGGCGTCGGGGAGATCCCAGACGAGGCGCATGAGGCCCACGTCGGCGTCGTTGTCGGGCGAGCCCGGCCCCGGCCCGCACACGACGGCGGCGCAGCCGGCTAGCTCGGCGCGCAGGAGGCGGGCTAGGTCCGGGGAGCCGGCCGGGGGCAGGTGCGGGGAGCCGATAGGGAGGACGGAGACGTCGGCGCCCAGGAGGGAGGTCAGCAGGGCGACGATGTTGTTGGAGAAGGAGTCGTGGGCGTCGATGAACAGGATCCGCGGCCGGGCGGCGGAGGCGCCGGGCGTGGTGGCCATGTTAGCGGGTATGGATGGGTATGTTGTGTCTCGTCCGGGCGTGGGTCAGGCAGGTGTTTCCGGAATCGAATCGTTTGAAAAATCCCGTTAGCACCCCCCGACTAGGCCTGGATCCCGGCTCTGCCCTGAGGACTTGTTCCGAATGGAATAAACATCAGTGGCTTTCTGTGCTAAATGTATCAGAATCGGTATGACGTTTGATAGCAGATGGGAAATTTTTGTCGGTGAAGGGTGGCAAAATGGCATGTGGCTGGCGTGTGTAAGTCGAACCTTAAGGGCCACATAAAAAAAGAATGTCGCTTGGAATCGGCTATGGCGTCGACTAAGGCGTCGGGCGACCGAGGCTGAATATCAATGCTTTCTGTGCCTGTTATAAATGGGAGCCATTCGTGGGAGCACAGCATGGGGAAATAGCAGCAGTGCTAAAAGGGCAGTTGATTAACTCGGCATGTACATGGTATAGTATAGGTAGCCTACAAGCCTGCCTCGATTGGCCAGGGAACTTCTTCTGTCTGAGACGAAATCTGCAGCTGGCGAAATCCGCAGCCCACCTAGTCCCGATCTCTGACAACGAGGCGGAACGGCTGTCTCGAATGCCATATCCGGCGTTCCTTCGCCCCGAGCGCCGCATCCATCATGGTCTGGGTATCCGATCTCGGCCTCGCCGACGACCTCTTCTTCTCCTCCTCGGTGACGGGCTTCCACAGCTGCGTCTCCTCCACCGATGCCGTGACCTCGAACTCGCCGCGGCACAGCGCCGTCACGCCGATGGACGCGTCCACGCTCGACTTGCCCGGCAGGAGCTGGAGGGGCTGCTGCAGGGTGCCGTTGAAGCCAAACTTGCGCGTGAAGTCCAGGGCGACGTTCAGGGGACGGTGGCACAGGGCCGGCATGATCCGGAGTAGCGGGTAGATGGGCTGCTCCGTTCGGTTGGTGACACGGACGTTGAGCTGGACGAACTCGTCCACGAACACGACGTTCTTCCTCTGCTCGTCCGAATGTTCGTCTTCGTCTGGGTCGTGCACCGAAATCTCGATGCCGATCTCATCCACCTTGATGGCGTCGATCATGCGAGTTGTCAGACGCATACCGCGGAGCTCCACGGTCCCGCTCCTGGTGGCTCCCGAGTTGGACTTCCAGGTACCCTTCAGGGAGTCCAGGATCCTTTCCCTGTACCAGAATGCCTCTCGGTTCGCCCGCTCAACATCGGGTGAGATTTTGGTGCTGACAACAAATTGGCGCTGTCTCGAGGGATTGAGCGCGGGTATGAAGGCGTGGGGATCTTCCAAGTAGATCCTCCGTAGAGGGAGAATCACACGACTTGTGTTCCCAGGGAGGATATGCTCTTCAACCATCGCGCCGTCCTCAACCTCGAGTCGAACGCTCATGTCGCTCGGCCACGCATTCCGCAGGTCGAGCATCAGCAGGAAGTACTGGTCAGCGGTCATCTCAGGGCCGTACTCGTCATGGCCCATCCGCCTCCAGAGTGGTTCGGGGATGCTCCCATGGAGCGGCAGAACATCGATCCTGGAAACCTCGATGCTAGCATTGACGGTGACGGTCAACTCCAGTGAGACCTGCCGGGTATAGAACTTGTCTCCAACTTCATCGTGCGGGACACCTAGATGTGCGTAGTCGATTTGTATGAGGCCATTCGTCAAGCCGGGCTTCCCAAGGATTTCGAATTCAAAAGTCGCAGTCTGGCCAGGCGCGATGAACCGCTTCTTATCCGCCCCGTTCCGCAGGCGTAAAGCCTGTTTCCTGGCTAGGATGAGTTCGTATTCGTACAGCTCCGCTGACGTCGCTTCACGGCTATTCAATGCTGCTTGGAGCGGCTCAAGGGTCGAGTCCTTGAAAGAGAAGAGGAGGAAATCGACAGGCGTCGTAGTGGACAGATTCTGCAGTGTGACAGAGAAGGTCTGGCGCTCTCCTTCTAGGATCATGACCGACGATTGTGGAAGGGTAGAAGACTTCACAACCACAACAGGCTGCTCGGAAATGACGCTGAGCTCAAGACGCTCCGGCTCGAGTGGGTGTGCCGAGGCCGACAAGCTGAGATGCCTATCAAAGGCCGCAAGGCCAATTGCCTTGATCTTCGCTTCAGTCTGGGGAACCCATGGTTGAGGAAATATGGGGAACCTCCTCTCCCGACAGCCCCGGATCTGGACTATCGCGCCGGTGATGCTCAGAGGACCAGCACTCGTTGCCGTGCCAGCTATTTTGAGTATTTGTGTCCGGTACGGCCCGATAATAGTGCTCTCCGTCGATGATACGAAGTCGACGCCTTCCGTGTCAAGCCGTATCTTCTCAATCTCCACCTCAATCTCGTAAGTGTTCTGAAGTGTGAGTCTGAAGATTGCAGGCTCCCCGGCTACGACGATCCTGTCGACGGCAGCCTTGTCCGGCTGCTTAAGGAAGGGGTTGTAGATGAAAGGGTTGACATCTTGAGAAGCTCTCGCCGTAGTGGCCTCTGGGAGGATGCCCTTGGCATGGGGGATCGGTGTTCGGGTTGCTGCCAGCGGCTCGAGCTTCACTCCTCTCAAGAGGAATTCGTCCCAATACTCGGCGGCGAGGTGATCCAACCCCAGGCGTTTTGCCAGACTCGATGTCTTCGATATGTTGGTCATCAGACGAACCTGCTCGTCCTTCGTGATGGCAGGGGACGCGTCTTCACGCCTCGGACCGGGCGCAATGCCACGCCCCGCGGTTCGCAAGAGATCGCTTGAGAACCTGAGCACGCCCGCAAAATCGGGCAGTGCTTCGGAAAAATTGATGCAGGCTCGGAGGACGCTGAGTTTCACGCTTTGCATGCCAAAGTATCTTGCTGCTGACTGCTTTTGGATCCTCGCGATGGTCGCAGAGTCAGCGTCCCTGGGAGAACCTGTTCCTGCAGGGAGGGCTTCGTCTTCGGTGACCGGCCCGAGGTCGAAGCCGACAACGCCGTAGGTCTTGAGCAGAATGCCCAGAAACGCGTCTACTCCCTGCTCAACGTCGTCTTCGGCGAGCTGGAGTGCGCCCGACCCATTGCCATGGCCATTTAGCCCGTTCAAGGCGACGAGCCCGGCAGCAGGATGAATGCCTACTTCGGCGGCACCCCGTGTCCGGGCTTCGACTAGACCGCCGATCAAGACTGAAACCAGCTCTCGCACAACCATGGCCTTCTTCCTGTGGAAACCTAAAACGCCCAGCACCGACACTATCCCTCCAAGAATTACTATCCTGTCAATCGTTGTTAACAGCTCCGAGGCAGAGGCCGAGGCCGGGAAGGCACGGAAGAGGGTTGAAGTTATCTGGCTTCGACTGGGAGTGATGGTAAATCTCGGGGACGTGGTCAACATCTTCCCTGGCGCCCTCCCGCGTACCATAATCTCCAAGGACTCTTGGCAGAGCTGGCCCTCGGCAACATGCAGGGCGGAGAGCATCTTGCAGAAACGAATTGTAGCCTCGGAGAGAGGTAGGGGGGGGAGGTGCTCCGCAGAGATTCTCGAGTAGAGAGCCATAATTCTGTCGACCAGGTCGGGCATGGTGACCTGCAGGTTTCGCAACCACCGGGGTTGTTCAGAGTCCTTGCTCTCAGTGTCCCGAGTTGAGGCGCTCGTGCTGGATGCCTTTTCCTGAGGCGGTAGGAGAACGGCAGGGACTTGGAACTCAATGCCGGCCCAGCCCAACAATAGGAGGCAGATGAGGGTGAGTTCCAGGGCCTTCCCGTGCCATAAATGGTCGTTGATGGACTTTGCAAGGCTCGCGCCTTCAACAAGCTCCTTGATGGCATCGCTCCAGCGGCCTGCTTGGAGATAGAGCGAGCCGGTCACGATCTGCACCCTGCATCTCCCCTTATTTCTCCACCTATCGTTCAGTCCGCCTGATCCGAACCCTTGCACCGACACTTTTTCGTGGCTTTGGGCTCGAAACCCCTCAGCAGTACCGGGACGTGCCGGCGCTGCCTGATCTGGGCTCCTGGTCCCTGCCGCGTCGCTTTCGTTCCACATGTCGTCGAAAGTCGTCGGGGGGTTGGACAGGCCGCTCTTGACCGGCGTCGAAGGTCGTGCAGGAGCGGAGGTGCTCGATCCAAGCGGCAAAGCCTTGAATGAGCCAGGAGGCATTGACATTCGAACATGACTTCGGTCAGCCACTCCGGATGCGGAGCTCGACCTTGCATTGGTAGGCATCGCATATTGGGAGTTCCTCCTTGCCAGTGTGGCCGAACCGTCGTCTTTCCAGGCAGACCCATTGAGGTGACTTATCGCCGACGATTGTCCTGGAGAGTCTATGAAGGTCATGGCCTCGAAAGACTTGGCAAGACCCGTCATCTCTGCTAGGAGAAGCGAGGAAATACCACACATGACGGCCTTCATCGTCGTCCGTATATGTTGCTCGGCGGGTGGGATCGTGATAAGCCCATCGGGTATCGTTATCGGATTCTCGGTCGAGGCATTATAGTCGAATATCAAGACCTGATGCACCAGGATCTTGGGGTACGTGTCTCTCAGATCCTCAAGGTCCTGGTCCAGGTTCCGAATGTTTCGTTCTGCCACAGTTCTGCCACCTCCAGACTGCCTCTTGCTGAAGATGGTATTCTCAATCTCTGCTCCATCAGCAATAGCTATAAGCGCCAGAGGCTCCCTGTATAAGTCGAACGGCGAGAGCGCAAGATGGGACGGTGGAGGCACGTGTGTCGTAAGGTCGTAGAACATTGCGCCGCTGGGGAATGCCAGAGGAGAGAACATATCTAGACCAGGCGTGTTAGTTAAACAAGGTCAAATTCTTGCGGGGGAGGCGCGACGTGCTCCTGTTTGGCCGCTTATCAGGCGTGATGTCGCGAAGATAGACAACATGCTCGCTATTCAACCTCTCTACGAAGGTGGAAAACCGGTCCTTCTTAATCTGTCCAATGGGTACAACCAATGCCCTGATCCTCGCCGGGGCGATGGGCAAGAGAGGATCAAAACTCATTCTAGCGCTCGAGTCATTCCTCCAAGGCTCCCGTCACTCAGATCTGGTCACAATGCCGGACATGTCGATGCCTACAGCGGCGGGAGTTTAAGGGGCCGGAGATGTTGCGAAGGAATTCAAGCAAAGAAATTAGGATCATGTGCTGATGCAGTAAAATCCAGACGGTATTATCGCTGGCAGACAACTGGGACAACGACTGGAATAGCAGCCGGAGCTCATTAATCGCATATGAAGTGTTATTGACGGATTATTGGAGGGTTGGACTCAAGATCGCCATGATGGGCCTTGTGCCCTGTGGTCCGAGCGTCAACATGTGGTGATTGGCGCAACATAGAGGGCGAGCAGTTGGCATTTCAGCCTTGCAAATCCGTTAACGTTGAGGGCATAACTCGGGATTCTGTTACAGGGCCCGGGCTTTAGACTTGTTTCTCATGAACATACCTATAATACAATTTTTACAGGTTAGCTTACAAAGTCTTGGAAGTGTCAAGGTTGCTAATTGACGACCACAGTATTTAGTGATCAACTTAAAAGCGCCTCTGATGTCAGCACATAGCATATATCTGCAGATAAGCAGATAGACAGGTAGAAATAGGCACGAATAGGCGCTCTTGTGGAACATTATGCAAAAGGATATAGCTCTGAGATGCTCTTCCTTATTCACACGCTGGTATAGATTAGGTAGTATGAAGGCTCCAAGGTACCTTGGTAGGATCCAGTTGGCATTAAGTGGTTTCGGTTCTGTTAGTCACCTATTCCCCGCGGGTGCCGAGCCACAGCAAGACTTCCTTGGTACCCGATACCTGCTACGGTAAACCGTACAGACGCACTGCAACCTCGAAACGAAGGATCACAACAACAACCATCGTGTCAGTTCCTAAAAAGTCATCTTAAGCCGCTCGACCATTCCTGGCTTTCGGATAGCTATTCGAGTGTATGCAAGTAGGAATTCGCCCGCGATTAAAGGGCAGACCTTCGTTGGTTGATCTGCTCGTGCGTTCAAGCCATGGCCAGTTGAGTCAGTCAACTGTACCTGCAGCCTCGCCGACGCCAGCTCCACAATCCGGGTCTCGGACTGTCCCAATAGCGAACCAACAGGAGGTAGTAGCTTCATCCTATCCACTTCCAACCTCGCCAGCTACACCAGAGCTCCCTTCAACATCGCTATCGCTGAATTCCATTCTACCATCTTCTCCTCCTCCTCCTCCTCCGCCTTCTTCTTCCGGATCTTCGCCCGAATCTGAAGACCCCGCCCCCGGACCGATAGCTTCCCAAAACATGGCTCCCGTAAGCTTCCCTGCCTCTAACCTCTTAGCCCCTACTGCCCCGCCCGCTTTAAGATCAAGGAGCTGATCGGATCGCGCTCTCAACATGTACAGAAGAAGTCTTCAGCAGATGGCGATAAAGATGGAGTCCATACTGGTATGTACCTGCCGAGCTATCATGACGTCCGTGAAGATGCTGACTGACAACGTCACAGGCAAGATCTACTCCATCTCCGGGTCAGTCCCAAGCTGTCCAGCTCGCCATCCTTCCTTCAACACCCAGCTAACCGGATTGCCAGCCCCGTCGTCGTTGCCGAGGATATGATTGGCGTGGCTATGTACGAGTTGGTATGGGACCGAAGCAGTTGATCTTGGGGATCTCCGGACATTCTGTGTGACTGACTCTTTCGAAAGGTGAGAGTCGGCCATGACAACCTTGTAGGCGAGGTTATTCGAATCAACGCCGATCAAGCAACCATCCAGGTGTACGAAGAGACCGGTATGTCTTGGCCCCCCTTCGTCGAAGCCCCGCCAGCTGCTAAAAAACTCTCACATAGCTGGTGTAAAGGTCGGCGACCCGGTCGTGCGAACGGGCAAGCCCCTCTCCGTCGAGCTCGGCCCCGGCCTTCTCAACAACATCTACGATGGTATCCAACGGCCGCTTCAGTCGATTGCGGAAATATCCAAGAGCATCTACATCCCTCGAGGTATTGCCGCGCCGGCGCTGGACAGAGAGAAGAAATGGGATTTCACGCCGACCCTGAAAGTCGGCGACCACATCGCCGGCGGCGACGTCTGGGGCACTGTCTACGAGAACTCATTCATCAACGTGCACAAGATCCTGCTTCCGCCCCGGGCCCGGGGCACGATCACCAAGATTGCATCCAAGGGGAGCTATACTGTCGACGAGAAGATCCTCGAGGTCGAGTTCGACGGCAAGAAGACGGAATACGGCATGATGCAGACCTGGCCCGTCCGAGTTCCCCGTCCGACGACCGAGAAGCTGTCTTCGAATATGCCTTTCCTGGTCGGACAGCGAGTCCTCGACGCTCTCTACCCCTGCGTCCAAGGCGGCACCGTTGCCATCCCGGGCGCTTTCGGCTGTGGCAAGACCGTCATCAGCCAGTCCGTCTCCAAGTTCTCAAACAGCGATGTCATCGTCTACGTCGGATGCGGCGAGCGAGGCAACGAGATGGCTGAGGTCCTGAAAGATTTCCCCGAGCTGTCGATCGAGGTCGAGGGCCGTAAGGAGCCCATCATGAAGCGCACCACTCTTATCGCCAACACATCCAACATGCCTGTCGCTGCCCGAGAAGCCTCCATCTACACCGGCATTACTGTCGCCGAGTACTTCCGCGACCAGGGCATGAACGTTGCCATGATGGCTGACTCGACATCGCGATGGGCCGAAGCACTGAGAGAAATCTCGGGCCGCCTGGGAGAAATGCCTGCGGACCAGGGTTTCCCCGCCTACCTGGGCGCAAAGCTGGCATCCTTCTACGAACGCGCTGGCAAGGTCGAGACTCTCGGCTCGCCCGCGCGAGAGGGCAGTGTCAGCATTGTCGGCGCCGTGTCTCCCCCTGGTGGTGATTTCTCCGATCCCGTCACGTCCTCGACCCTCGGTATTGTACAAGTTTTCTGGGGTCTGGACAAGAAGCTCGCGCAGCGCAAGCATTTTCCTTCCATCAACACTTCGGTCAGCTACAGCAAGTACACGACCATCCTCGACAAGTGGTACGAGAAAGAGTACCCGGACTTCCCCCGGCTGCGCGACCGCATCCGGCAGCTCCTGTCCGACAGCGAAGAGCTCGACCAGGTCGTGCAGCTGGTCGGCAAGTCGGCTTTGTCTGACCCTGACAAGATCACCCTCGACCTGGCCACCCTGCTCAAGGAGGACTTCTTGCAGCAGAACGGCTACTCCGACTACGACCAGTTCTGCCCCATCTGGAAGACGGAGTGGATGATGAAGCTCATGATGGGTTTCCACGATGAGGCGCAGAAGGCCGTTGCCCAGGGTCAGAGCTGGGCCAAGGTCCGCGACGCCACGCAGGAGTTGCAGGCCCAACTCCGCAGCCTGAAGTTTGAGGTTCCGAGCGATGGGGAGGACCAGATTTGCAAGAAGGTGAGTCGATGCGCCCCGCGCGGCAATATTAGGTACTCCTTACTGATAAACTTGGGCATCCAGTACGAATCGATACAACAGTCTATGCTCGACAAGTTCGCGTCCGTCATGGACGAGTAGACGACCCCACGAGACTGCTGCGGGGGAGGGGAAGTCGTGCAGGAAGGAGAGCGGGCGCCAACGGTAAGATAAGTCGAAACCGAGTATCCCCCCCGGTGCTTGATTTTCCGCCCCATGTATATAGCTACAAGTCAGAAACCTGGAAACGCCGTCACATAGAAAGTTGCATGGTATCTCGGAATGGGCGACCCGAGCGTCGCGTTTCTTCGTTCATAATCCCCGTTGTCCTGTTTTGGAGGGGGACGTATTCCTACAGTTCTACCATCGGTCGCTGTTACAGTTCATCTACGTGCCAGTTTTATCCATCCTTTAGATCAGGCAATCTTGACTACTTATCACGAACCGTAAACATCGCAGCGGTGAGATTTGTTTTGCAGGAGTAGCTATACTCTTATTCATTCGTCGTTATGATTGTTCGTTATCATTATTCTGTGAGGGGAAAAGAGGGAGGACAGTCAGAACCAGCAACACCATTCGGCCCTTCCTCATCGCCAGATACCTATACACACATGACTCCCCACAGTTGCCCGGTTCGGTCGCACATCGTAAACCTCTCGTCCCGTGATACACATTCCTAACCGCTCTCCTTTACTCTGGCATCGAAAAGGAGAGAGGGAAGGACGCCCCGGCCGGGTCTTGTAGAGTGCCTTTCATTCCCTCCTATAAGCAGAACCTGTTTGGCCGTGCTGAATCATGCTCCTGTGGCCGTTCCCTCGTCTGGTTGAGTTGCCTGCACGAGTCCAAGTTCCCGGATGAGATGATCCGACTGGAGGGAAAACGACGTAACCGGTGCGGGCGAATCGCAGCTTGTAGGATTTGGCCGTTCCCTGTCGGCCGGCGGCCCGTCCGTGTCAGTCGCCGCGTGAGCACCTTACGCCGTTGGGAGGGCAGGTTCCGGGGGCGATGAGAGGCTCTTCTCCCACTCCTTCATGAAGTCGGACGCCGTCTTTTTCAGGTTGCTCGGTGTCAGGCGGTTCAGCACGGGTGGGAGGAGCTCTTCCAGCTTGTTGCCAGACGGCGAGGACGGGGAATGTAGGCTGGAACGGCGGTTCGTGGATGGCTTCTGGTCCCTGTAGCGCGTGTCAGTGACTTGGGCCTCGTGAAGCGTTCTTGGAGCTGATTCCTCATAAGACGTGCACATACAATGATGCCTGGCTCTCGTCCTCCTTCTCTGGGATGGCTGGGATGATGTCCCCGTTGACAGTGGTGCCGCTCCACCGCGGCGACTTGACGGTCGGGCTGTCCCAGTTGGACCAATCGTTATCGTCAAGCGAATTGATCGTTAACGGCGTCCACGAGAAGTGCTTGCCACTCTTGGTCGTTTCCTTCCTAGAGCTAGCCCGACCGCGCCGTGGTGCAACATCGGAACCCTCCTGCTCTGAACTCTGGAGATCTACGAAACGCGACGCGGGAGTTGGTGTTTCATCGAATATTGAAGACGCCAGGGGACGAGGCGTCGTGCACGGCGCCCGGATTGTGTCCTGATCTCCACCGCATCCGTCCCAACTGTCGGCCTTGTGGGCCGAAGATCTGCTGTTTGCATCAATGCCTCGGAGATATGAGCCCTGGCCGGTGATGGGTTCTTCGCCAACGGTGGCCTGCCTAAGGTCCTCCATGAACGTCCACAGCCCGGCCTTGAAGTCTTCGGCAATCTGCTTGACACCGGTAGCTTGATGGGCAGAGCGAGGAGCCCATGATGCCCGCTTGGGTAGCTGCGCAGGGACAATCGGAGCATAGCGGTTGATGTAGGGAGAATCGAAGTCTTTCAGTGGAGACTTCAAGATGTCCGGCGGGTCTTCGTGGACGGCAAACCCGTCAGTCGTCTTGGCCGGCGATAGAAGAGACAGGGCGCGAGTGTGCCCTCCTTTGAAGACCCGCCTCCGATTTTGAGTTGGCGTGCCCGGCTGGCTTTGCTGGTTCAGCAGTAGAGCCTTCCTCCTGTCTAAATCTGTACTCCGACGGGCCATGCCGTCATCCTGACCCTCGACGTGGGCAACAACATGACGGAGAGGTTCGGCGTTCCGGATTTCTGCTCTCTTTTTGTGCGCCTCGTGTGTAGTCCATTGCTTCTTCAGCTTGGTCAGCTCCGATTCTGCGCGAGTGAGTTCCTCCCGCAGCTCAAGAACACGTCGTTCTTGGGTGGCAATGGCCGTGATGAAGTCGCTAGGGTCAACTGGCGACATCAATGACGGGGTGTCAAGAGGCGTAGGTGGGTACGACGGCATCGTCGACGAGGTGGGTGTTGGTCGCGACGGGAAGGCCGTCGGCAGTGCGATGGGCAAGGTAATTGACAGCCTGTTGGTACTCCGCGACGCCGTCGAAGCAGAACGCGCCGAACGCGTCTCGCAGAGGTCGTCAGCCGACGAAGGTGGTCTGGATGGCATCTCTTCCAGCACTCGAGACGGACCCGGCTCATGAACCCCTCCGGCGCCAGATGCGGGTGGCGGCGGAGGAGCGAAGGGTGCTGGCCTAAGCATGGCTTCTTCTAGGCTGTTGTGGATTGCAAGCATTTGATCCAGGGCCGGGTTGTGTCCTGGCGGACGACGGGTATTGCTGGTCTTGCGCCGGAGGGTCAGCTTTGCCTGTGCGAAGGTACGTGAAGTCTTCTGTAGGATGGTCGGGCAGTAGATGAAAGATGAAGATCTTCGTCGGTAGGGACTGCTGGGAGCACTGTGATTCCGGCGATGGTGGCGTGGCCTTCGGGAGTTGTTGATGCTGGAGGTGGAGGACGTCTTTGTCGTTTTTCTGGCAACGACAGCAGCCTTGTTTATGTTTAACGGATGCCCGTTTTGGATTAAAAGAGCGTTGGAGCAAGCCGATAGAAAGCAAATCTGCAGGAGGGAAACGGATGTCATGAAGAATCAATTGTTGTAGCAGGGGGCAACGGTGAGTGGGCACCTCATCTCGTCCCTATCAATTGGCCTGGGCAGCTGATTGGCGGCGCGATGGTGGTGGATAGTTGCCCCGGACTAAGCTGAGGGACGCCCGAAATAAGATGTGACTGGAGGGGCAATGCGGCGAGTGAACTGGACCTGGACTCTAGGATATTTCATAGAAAACAAAATCTTTTAGCCGTCGTGTGGCCTGCCGTGTGCTGTTGATGACTCCGGAACGAGCGTGCTAGGCTGGGGCGCCAAAATACAACAAAATGTGACTAGCAAAGTCAACAATGATGATGGCGATAAACAGCTTTTGGTCGGAAAAAGGAGTGTCTACTGTGGTAACGGAGAGTTGATCCTTGAGGAAAGTCGAGAAGCTTCCTAGGGGGCCTGACTTTGGTTTAAGTAAGGTCTCACCGCTCTCATTTCGCATACAATCTTATTATGGTACTTCCCCCAAGTCCCCAGTCGTTCTAGCCTCGACACTGCTATGGAAACCGGCAAGGACCATGGATTTGTGGACTTCACCAGGGGTTGGCTCCACAATCGCAATCAGACGTTTGTGTTTCTCCTCGTTGCCCTGTGAGCAGTGGAGCCATTGGGGATCTTAAACTAGCGTGCGGACTGCGGCTTTGGCGGTTTACGCAGTACAGGCTGTGGAGATGAGGCCAGAGTAAAAAGGGGCACTGCAGCAGCACAATGACGCGGTCTTGGAATTTTGAGAGTGAGACTGGAAGCAGGGATCCGCGCGGGAGCGGGTACCCCTGTCCCGCCCAGCCCGAGAGATCCAATCAGATATGAGCCCGAGATTCTTGGGGAAACATTCAGACGATCGCGCGTTGGCCTCCGAGATCAGATGACCTTCAAGCAAGTATGTATAGTCACGTGACACCGTGTCTTCCACGTGTTTTTTGCCCGTTTCCTTTGGTCTGTCTCTTTTCTGGGACTTCCTTGGCAAGTTTGACAATTCAATTGGCACGAAGGCGTGGGTGGCATATCAGGCATAATAAACTCTCCAGTATTGTCCTCACTGATCCTAACAACCTGGGAGACTCATGATCATGACAAGGGGCAGCCCCTCCATGTCGCCATGCCTGGCTCAGAAAACACCCTGAAGGCCGAGCACAAGGCCCTTGCTGGGGACAACGAATCACAGGACAGCCAACAAATTCTCGAAGCTTACATGAGGCAGTATGGGATCGGCAATGTAGGTTGTGTGGGTGGCGATGTCAATTGTCAAATGGTTGCTATGCAAACCATATTCTGTGTCTAACTTCATTGGCAGACAAACTGTTCTCAGGAACCTGCTGATCAGGTACTAAAACCCGGAACAAAAGAATTTACAACACCTGGAGGTGCGAAGCCTGCATTGCCATTGCATAGCTATTTCTCTCGAATGTTAACTTGCTTGTTCTAACCGTTCTCAGATCTTGGGCTGAACGGCGAAAAGTTGCCAATACTTTGCCTCGAGGTTTGTCCCCTCAACCCTGTCTCAGCTCCTCCATGGATGGCACTGACCAGCTCCAAGCCGCGAGACGCGATTGTTCAAGATCGCGAATCCCCAAGAAGCTCATCTGTCAACACTTTCGAGCCAGTAAATGGTACAGTAATTGACAAGGAATTTGAGGGCCAGCGCTCAAGTGAACAACAGCTGGCAAACTCCTCGCTGGATTGGCCAGTCGATGGGGAACCTGTCGGCGCCGCAACGACAGAACAACCCAGATCATGCGTCACCAACAACAGCATCAACTCTCCCCGCAAGGCTGAATTCTCCAGTCCTGCGTGCCCGGTCAGGATGGACTACCCAGATTCTCCCACCCAGTCAAACGGTTCGAGGAATTATGACCAGTACTTGGAATGCTCAAATCCGGAACAGCCAAACCCCAGCGTACCCGCTGGCTTGGAACAGCACCAGCAAACTCTCACCCAGACAAGCTTCCATGAGCCTAGGTCGCTGAAGGACGACGATACAGGCGCAGTCAACTTCAGTCTGGATAACATACCAGGAACTCATACCGCCGAAAGCCCGAGTTTGGATAGCCCGGGACTTGATCATTTTGACACTCTCCCCTCACAAGAGCCAACCCGTCCGCAGTTTTGGCCACCGCCAGAGACGCCTGCTCCTCAGCAAAATCCCTTCTCTAAAAACAGGTCGCAATTACTTGCCACCTCGCAGCTCTTCAAAGGTACGCAGTACTCTTCGGCTGTGCGACCTCAGATCAGCCCAACATCATCCAGGCCGTCACCACACTTCCTGAATAATTCAATATCACCCAACCCTATCTCATCTCCCGTCAAATCACGGGGTTTGCCAGGTTCGATCTTTCCGGCAACTTCAAGTCCGCCTGTCCCGTCGGGAATCATCTCTTCCCAACCTCGGGGGGAACAGAACCCTCTTGTTGATGATATTGGGTATGCAAAGCTTAGGCCGGCTCTGGAGCCCATGGGCACTTATGTGCCTATGCAGAAGTCGCAGGAACGGCGCTCTACGTCCGAGGCACGCTCCGAGCCCCCCAGTCCGGACAGCAGTATCGATGGCGATGATGAGATTGACCGTCGAAGGAGAGCAAGACACAAAAAGGAGGCCGCATTGAAGCAACTTACGTCGATCAGCTTCAGTCGCCATCCCAGATCAGAGAATGTGGAAGTCCCATCCACGAATACCAAGAAGAGAGCCTTCCGGATGCGGACACGGGAGTATCTGCCGCAGGGTGGTGGTGAAGCCGAGACGAGTGATGACTTGGAAGCCCCTGAGGATACGGTCAAAAATTCCCAGACGCAGCCCGAGATACCTGGGAATTATAGCTCTTCACAAGCGCCGCGGTCGATGCGGTCGACTCGGCGCAATAAAATGGTCCAAGGCATCGAGAAAGCCATATCGATGTCTAGTATCCCTAGCAACCCCCCAGCCAGCTTTCCTGGAAGGAATGTTTGCAACCTCCCTCCTATCAGCACGGAGATTGACTTCTCAAGTCGAGATGCTATTCCAGAGACAAGTCCAATTGACAAACGCACCGGAAGGTTCTCTAGTATGCCTGAGAAGACTTCCAGTGGCCTGCCCGAATCATCATATCCTGCTGTCAGTAGCGCCATACCAGGAGAGCAAGGTCCCCATGAGATTCAGCCGGGGCCGTCGTTGTCAGCCCGATCGTCCCCCGCTAGGCCATCAGTTACTCAAGTAACGAAGGACAGCTGCCTTAGCCCTCCGCAATTGGCATCTCTGATTCCTTGTGAGGAGGCTATTGGAGATTGTGGAGACTCGTCGCCCAGCCTCCCTGCTCTTAACGCAAGCCAGGTCTCGGACTTGCCATCATCCCCGCCGGCGCTCAGTACTAGAGCCAAGGAAAGACAGCCAGGGGCTTCCGCTGAGGAGACGCCGGCTGCGCCACCTAGCCCTCCATGTCCTGCTCCTCTGCCATCTACATCCTCATTAAGCAGCCTCAGTTCTACGCCGCCTCTATCAACAAGCACAACGCCAGCAACACCAGCCTCGGCGTCTGCCGAGAAAGCTCCTTGCCCCATGAGAGACGCGAACAATTCTTCGCCTGCTGTAGCCAAGAACAGACGTCGCCTGAAACTGGGCGCTTTGCCCAAACTGAAAACGGCAGCAGATGATCACCTCGGAGCTTCGAGCCGGCGCAAGAGACAGCGGCTGTCGTGTTCAACAGATGAGCTTACTCGCTCGCCGTCTCTAACTCCCACGTTTGAACAGAGCCTTCGAAACCCCAGGATCCCGGCATCAAGACTAGTGCGCACGTTCGCCAAGCCGCAGCCGGTGTCACGGGAGCAGAGTTGTCGGGGAACAAAGATTTTTGAAGGCACCGCGTTTGCCATATCATTCCAATCCAAGAAGCCTAGCGAGACAGCAGATCAGTACAGCGAGAGGATGAAACTCGCCAAGACGATCGAGTCGAAGATCAGCCAGGCGGGAGGAAGGATCGTGGATGGCGGTTTCGACGAGCTCTTCGAGAACTTGCACGTCAAGAGTGCGACGACGAGTCCCATCTCGCCGTCACAGCTGGACTCGGAAATCAAACTGGTACCCGGCGCCAGGTCCCTGGGGTTCACGGCGCTGATCGCCGATGGGCACTCTCGCAAGGTCAAATACATGCAGGCGCTCGCCCTCGGCCTACCCTGCATCGCCAGCCGGTGGGTCACGACGTGCCTGGACAGGAACGAGCTGGTCGACTGGGCGCCCTACCTGCTCTGCGCGGGCCAGTCGGCCTTCCTGGGTGACGCGATCCGGTCGCGCAACCTCGCGCCGTACGACCCCGCCGGGGCGACGCTCGCCGGCACCGTCGAGCGGAGGCCGCGGCTCCTCGCGGGCAGCGGGATTCTCCTCGTGATGAAGAGGTCGGAGGAGGGCAAGAAGATGGCCTACATCTTCCTCGCCCGCGCCCTGGGCGCCTCGCTGTCGCGCGTGTACAGCCTCGAGGAGGCCAGGGCGATGCTCAAGGCCGCCGAGGACCTCGGGCGACCCTTTGACTGGGTCTACGTCGACGAGAAGGTGGGCAAGGGCGCCCTCTTCATGCCCGCCGGCGCCGAGGGCGGGGGCCGGGGCGAGAGCAGGAGCAAGAAGCGCAAAAGGGGGGCTGCCGCAGCGTCGGCTGCACCCCCGCCTGGCCCGCCGCCGAAGAAGATACGCACCCTGAGCGACGAGCTCGTCATCCAGAGCCTCATACTAGGGAGGCTCATCGAGGAGGGGGAGATGGAGGAGTAAGTTAAGATACACGGACTAAGCTGCATTTTGCCTGTGTACGGAGATGTATCAAGAGCACGATAAAGACGGGAGTGCTTGGTGGCAACCTCCTAACTCACCTTGTAGAGTTTTCAGAGACCAAGGTCGCTTGGGCCGTGTAATATAGAGAACCAAGAGTGATGCTAGAAATGTCTCGGGCACCTCACGCATAGGGGGGCATATAGTGTCCAAGGGGATAGAGATGCACCAAAGTGTGTATTATCGACGTTATTGGTACATAATAATGTGACACTTTAAGTTGTGGGGTATCATCCATGCCTATGAACGTTGTGATGCCAATGGGAATAAAAACCCACGTCCTTGTCCACCACCAACCAGTAATTAAGATGCTATCCATCATTCCCTGGTACTTGTTTGATGGGGTACCTATCTCGATATTCGAGATCCATGCATGATCCTCCCGATCCTGCTTCTCCCATGCCCGTTTCCACCCCCTACCAGGTGACTTTCTTTCGCTGGGTTCTCTCTAACTGAATCAAAACCAGCCGAGAACCAATATGCACGATTGCGGAGGAAAAGGCAACGCGGAACCCACCATCATATGCCTATACAGGCGGAACGTATTACGCGCCAGCATACGGGAAACGAAAGCGAAAACGCCTGAGATTGCTCAAAAAGCTCGTTTATGGTAGAGGGGACGAGGTCTCGCCAAAAGGCAAGTGGGTACTGAGTGAGGCGGAGCCCCTTATCGATCATCATGGTGATCATCCAGCTCCATAAACATGGAAGCCGCCTTGCTGCTGTTGGAGGGTGGGACGAAGAAAGAAGCGCCCTTGCGCTCCTGCATCTCGGGGCTCCTGGGCTGCTGCTGCTGCTGTTCTGGTTGTTGTTGCTGTTCTTGGTGTTGTTCGGCCGCCTCGGCGGGAATGTTCGTGCGCGGTGGCAGCTCGGGCGGGGGTCGTTCCGCGCCGGCGCCGACGCTGACCTCGTCCAGCGACGCGTCAGCGGGACCAGCTGAATCGGAATGGGAAGTCGGCGACTCGAGCTCCCGGCCATCCGACTGGGAAGGGTTCGGGTATTCGGCCTGGGGTTTGGTGGTGGGCGTCTCGGCTGGCACCGAGGTGTCGACGAGCTCCCGCAGCTCCGTCCCCTCGGATCCGCCGCCGCCCGGGAATGGATCGTCGAACTCGAAAGGCGCATCTCGCATGTCGTCGTCAAGGTCCCCCCCAGTGGACCCGAGGTTGGTGGCCATCGAGTCGACGCTGCTGGATCGGTTCCGCCGCTTTGACGGCGAAGACGGCGAGCCGAAGGCGCCCCTTTTCCTCTCCTGCGGGCTCTCTTCCTTCAACTCCTGTCTGAAGAGGCGGTTGTCGAACCGCACAAAGGTCTATCTCGATTAGAGCCGGGTTATATTTAGTGGGGGGTGATAATGCCATACCTGGAGGGCATCTGATAGAGGGTCACGATCCTCTTCCAGTGCCTTGTTGGATGCGTAGATTAGAATAGGCTTACTGCCAACTCCGCACGCTTCCTCCATGGCCTTTTCATAGGTGGTCATCTGCAGACTTGAATCAGCCTGGGTGAGTGGGGGGAGACAGGAAAGTGTGGCTTCTCACCTCGGCCTTGGCCGGTTGCTCATCGTCCGCAACATAGCCGAGTTTCCACCACTGTTCCGCGGTTGCGGAAGCACCCTCGGGCCCATCGAGCTCCATAAGGTCGGGCTCTGCTCGTAGACACACAAAGAATGTGTCGGGTGAGCTCGCAACTCCGCGAAGGGTGTACGCATGGGTGGGGTTATATTTCGGGTCCTCGGAAGGAGCCGTAAGGACAGCCCCAAGCTCACGGAAGACTTCTTCACATGCTTTCTTCCGGTCGTTGATTCCTAAGCGGGGCCGTTAGTGGTCGGTTCCACCGACTCCAGAGGCATGGCCCAGGAAAACTTACTCTGCAACTTGCGCTCTATATCCAACAGTTTGCGCTGGTAGAACTTGATTTCGGCCTCGAAGGCACGCTTCATCTTGGACTCCTCCGGAGTGAACTCGACGTCGTACTCAATATCCTCATCCCGGTTCATTGGGAAGTACGGGGAGTCGTCCCCGGCTTTCCGGGCTTCCTCGTGTTTTCTCCAGCGCGCTGAAGCCTTGAGTTTCCATATGTAGTCCTTGTACTTGGCAATGGCCCGCTTGCACAGGGTTACACGATCCGCTTTAGCTCCGCTCGTAGGAACGACAAATGTTGTGAGCGAATCCTCGGCCTTTTGAGCCTGCACGACTCCCTGGGCCAGAATGGACATATCCCGCTGTAGCCGAGACATCTCCTCCCTGTTGCTGGCCAGGTAGCGATCGATGTAAAAAGTCTGGGGGATCGTGATTGGCCTTGGGAAGGTATCGTCGCCGCCGAACCGAATCGTCATTACTTCGGCCGGATGGGTGATCATGGCCATCCTGGCTGAGTCAAGATCGGCGGAGAGACCTACGTCCATGAAGAATATCATGTCCCAAATATTGTAGAGATTCTCCGCCGTCATCAACTGCTCCTTCGGAAAGGAGGGCTCCAGCAGACCCCATTCATTAACTGGCCCTGGCTCATCGCCGACGACCTTGACAACCTCGGCCGTTGCCATCAACGGTGACATCTTTTCCAGGTTCCCCGGCTCGTTACGGATGTGTTCGAAAAAGTCCTTCTCGCAATCGCCCGATGACATACTGCCGTCGGGACTTGTCTCGGACAGCAGATCGGCGGTTCCGTAGCTTCGTTCCGTCGCATCGAGAAAGGCCATGAGTCGATGCAATTCTTCAGACCACCCAACACTCGCCTCATCTTCCCAGGTCCACGCTGCGACATTTTGCGCGCCCTGCGCAGCGGGCCGGAGGATTCGCCCTCCTTTCCACCACTCAGAATTATGGCCATAGCTTTGTGCCGGTTCCCCGGAGCGCAGGAGGACATTCCTAGCTGCGGGTATTGAGTGAAAGATGGTTAGGATGGCCCCCAAGCGGTGCCTCTCCCACGAATTATCTCTGCGGCATCTCAGAAAGGCCGGCACGCCAGGACCTCGTTTCCTACGCGACGGTCCCGGCTCGGGCGTCTCTCGGTTCAGAGTTACCATGGCCCACTGATCCTGCTCGTAGCCCGGACGGGTCGCCGGGCCGAAGTATGGGAGACTCGTGTCGGCCTGGCCCATGGCTTGAGTTATGCCGGACTCTTGTGGTAGAGGTTGTGGGGACTGCATTCCGGAAGTGGCAACGGACTCGGCAATGGCTCGTTGGAGGTCGGCGTCTTCCTGTTCGGAACTGGTTGGCAAAGTGGCACCTAGCTTGGGGTTAGTGGCTCCTCGGCAAAGGAAAGCAGTGTACCTAGGTATTCACCGGTGGAATGGTCGGCCGTGTACGCGACGAGCTTACTGAGGGGGGATCGGTTGTTCGTTCTCGAGGGCGGGCGGGAAGGCGCGCCTGCGCCGTAGTAGCTTGGTTCCACGCCTTGAATCACTTGGCTGCTGTCTGGTGGGTGAATGGAGAACGCTAGGTAGGTATTCACCATCAGTATCGCCCACTCCTCGGAGGGAAAGCATTCGAGTAGGATATACGCACATGGAACCTGGTGGTCCGTGGATCCATCTCGTTCTGCCGAGAACATATCCTCGTTCCAGGCATACTGCTGATTGAACTAGAGCCTGGTGAGCAGGGTCCAAGAGGATCAAGTGTGGGCAGAGCAGACTTTCGAAGGATTATCGAAATACTCGTTGACAACTTGCTCGATATTGTTGTTCTTGGCCTTTACGCGGTTAATATGACTACCTGTTCTCTTGACCAGCCATGCGCCAGCTTCCGGCCCAGCACTACTAACCTGTAGGGCGGAGGAGACCACATTCCGATCCCGCGTATCCAACCCCAGGATGCTGATAACACTGTCGATGTCCTCATCAGTCGGTACGATCATCTTGGCTCTCTGATCCCGGGCTGGGATCCCGGGATGGGCTAGATGGTCAACCGCGATCGGGAAGTCGATGTTCAAAGTTCGGAGCTACCGCATAGTAGTACAGCCAGGATCTGGAACCTCGAAAAACGCTGGCAACGATCCCGGTTTGGGGTCTCCACCAGACGATTGTTGGGCAATTTCGGTGCGGGAAGAGGACAAGAAATCCGGGGATTGGAGGCGCATCGACTGGGGGGTCGGAGAATCGAGGGGCTATGGGAGGATAAGATAATGGACGATGCTTGAAGCTATGTATGAACAGGATCGCTGAACTCGGCGCATAGTAGCTGGGCGTAATGAACGGCTACGTAAGGTCTTGTGTGGCTTGTGCGCCACCGGGAGGTACGTACTTCTTATCTCTCCGCTTTTTACTGCCGGCAGAATTGGCTACGGAACGATAGCAGACGTGAATGGAGTTACCGCTGTGTCAGCGGCCACAGGTCGCTACCTAGGTACTGCGTAAACTGGGCACAGAACTCTCATCCAAGGCGGTGAGAGGATGATGATCACAAACCCCCCCCCCTCAAAAATATGAAAGATAACTGTGGGGCAACAGGGTTAATTGCTCTATGGCCTGTCTAGAAACCAGATGTCCTTCTTTATGAATCCTAGCTACCTATGCATCCACGGCCAAACTTAATAATCTCGATGTATAAATGCGGCAAGCCAAAGATTCTCTACCAAGACCACCCCCATGCCGTAAAACGCCTGGCCTAGAAACCGCCGCTATGCAGGGTATGTATGATAAGTCATTGAGGGGGAAAACGCCGTAAAAGCAAGAAGAGCAAGCGGCACGGCGGGAGAAGGAGATTTCCAGCGTAGAAACGCCGGCTTAGGAGAAAGCCGGTGCCCGGCTGGCTGGCTGGCTCAGCGCTTCTCGGTATGATCCTCGTCATCGCTGCAGTCCTGCTCCTCTTCCTCTTCGTCTTCCTCGCCATCCCCGTCTTCCTCGAAGTCAGCCATCTCCTGCTCGCCGTCGTCGTCCCCGGTGTCGCTTCCTCCAAAGTCGAACTCCTCGTCGCTCCCGGCCCAGAAGTCATCGTCCTCGCTCTCGGGCTTCGGCGGCGGGGACGGCTCGAAATCCCGCGGCACCACGAAACCGTCGGGAATATCCTTCTTAGACCTCTCAACCAGCTCCCGAGCCTTTTTATTATATTCCGGCCTGTGATCCCGGTAGAGCAGGCTGGCATCCACATTGGCAGGTGAGTTGATCTCGGGATCGTCGAGGAGGAGGAGGACCGATCGAAGAACCGACTCGGCACCCTGGAGGGGCGACCAGCGCTCGCTGGCTTGCTCTCCCGACATGATATCCTCCCCCGGCTTGTGGAGGATGGAGATGCACAGTTGGCCATCCGGGTAGACGTTGGGGTGGTAGATGGGGATTAGGAAGCGGAACTTGGGCGGTTGGTATGGGTATTCCTCGGTGAATATCATCTCGGCCTGCACTTTTGTTAGATAGATGTCTCTGATAATATCCAGATCAGGCCCTCGCCCTACCTTGAAGTAGCCGCCGTTGAAGTCACTGTCCGGGTTGACGACCATGAGGGCGAAACGCCACCTGAATAGGTTGGCCTGGTCGGACTGGAACACATCTGAAGTTAGGCGCCGGGGATGATTTGGTTTTGGGGATGAGAGTGACGAATCTTACATCGAAATTAACCCATTTCTCCTTGTGCAGTGCCTCAAGCTCAGCCATGAGCCTCTGTTTGGCGCCGGCGCTGGTGCCGCCTCGTCCTAGGCGCGTTGACATGGTTGCTGTGTCGATGTGATCTACCAGTGTCTGTGGCCAAAGTTGTTGTTTAGGGGTAGTGTAGGTGAGACGGCGAAGGCGAACGGCTGATAGTATAGATATTTTAAAGGTCAGAGATAGGTTAATAGCGCCGATCACAGCTGCTAACTATGTTCCGGCAAGGGCGGCGAACCCAGTCGGAGATCCCGAGAGGTAGGTGAGAAAGTGGCAATTAGGTGGAGATGACAAAAGGAAATCCCAATCTGGTGAGTTTTAGAGAAAGGAGGCCATGCAGCCCAGAAAATGAGGAAATCGTGATGAGAAATGACTGAGCCTGAAAGGATCAGGTCGATCTGTACGTGTAGATGCTGAGGGGCATGGGCCTCGATTTTAACATCCCTATTCTGTCACCACCTACCGACCACTCAGGATAACCTTGTCTCAACCCCCTGCCTGTTTGGAGTCACCCCGCCAGGGCCCCAATGTTTAGGTACCTACTTGCCAGGGAGGTGGCTATTTAGGTACCTAACCTCTACCCCCATGCTGCATAGACCATGTAGGTACCCACAGTGGGCATGCAGGTGCTTACACAGTAAATTGTAAATGACCCCTTACAGAAAAGGTCATGCGACCTGCCTCTCCCAACCTGCCTTAAATTCAAGTCACAACCTTGATTGACACACACCTAGGAAGGTAGGTAGATATCTGTGACCGCCATAAGGGATCATGAAGATTGAGGGAGATTGATGGATTTTCCCTCTTGTTATCTACCCTGAGAACTTTAGCAAGGGAATAGGTATCGAATCATCTAGAGTTCTAGACATCAGTCTAGTGTCTATCTAGGTACCTCTCTGCCATTCAATGCTGTCCAACCACCTGAGAGAGAACCAAAGATAATAAGCAAAACAGAACTCGGCCCTCAATTCATGACAGCTCTTCGTCCAGAAACACACTGAGCCCACCATTAGGCCCCAAGATCATAATAGAGGCAATTCCCCGTCCTGAAGTTGTAGACAAAGGCGTGTCGTGCACCCTTCTTAGCCTCCCATTCCCACCGCCACGCATTCAACATGCTGTGGATTTCCTTGACATACTTCTTCTCCGCCGTCGTGACCCCCTGCTCCACCCTCTTCCAGCTCTCCGGGTCCGACAGGCTCGTTCCCCTCACCATGTCCATGACGCCGTCCGTCGTCTCGATGGCCGCGATGGGGCCCTCGAGGAAGCTCTGGACCAGGCGCTGAGCCGAGGCCTGGGCCTGCTCCACCACGGCTTGCCGGTTGAACTTCTTGCTCTTCGTCTGGGAGACGAGCACACTGACGTCCTGCTCGGTCTCGACTTCGGCCGCGTTGGGCGTCGTTTCGCTCTGCGTAACGGTGCCACGGTGTCTGCCTAGCGTCCGGGGGTCGCGTTCCCGGATCTCGGACTTGAGCCAGGAGAGGAGCTGGCTTGCAGGGATGTCGGCATCCGCCACTTCCTTGCGTCCCACCGTCTTGATTTTGAGTGTGTTGTCTTGCTTCATGATGACGATCCAGGAATAGTTCTCGTCACGGTGCTGGGTAAGGAGGTCTTCCGGCGAACGGGCATCCCTGGCTAGCTCGGCACTGATTCCGTGGCTCCAGAGAGCCTGCAAGAGCCCCATGCACGAAGACCTGAGAATGGTAGGATCAAAGCTCGCTACGAGGACATCACACTAGCCGGACGTCAGCTCTCTTCCCGGGGCCTCGGGTTATCCGGGAATACTCACTCGTCTGGCACTGAAAAGGTTCTGCGGTTCTTCCTCCGCCCTTTTCAGGAATGCTTTCCCTGCCCCTTTAGGGATGGGTTGAGCCAGCTGCTTTTCCCAGTTCAGGCTGAAGCCAACGGCGTGGCGCTCCTCGAAATGACTTCCAATCTTGGGGCGGTACTCCTTGATCAGACTATCGTAACGACCGCCCGCAGCAAACACGTCCTTAACCTTTTTGTCGTAGAGGCAGGCGAAGAGGATCCCGCCGGAGAAAAAGGCCTCGTTGATGCTGCTAAGCGGACTGATGTAGATCTTTCTCGTTACTCCCAACCACTTCGAGTACTCGTAAACCTCTTTGAGGTGCGCCAACGTTGAGGATGCCTTTTGCTGGCAGTCTGTACCTTCGAAGAGGCTCTTCAACTTCGAAAACGCCTTGCTCGGGCTGTCTGGGCGGATATCAGCAGACTGGCTACTTGGATATAAAAAGATAAATTCGCTTACCCCTGAAATCGAACCTCCGCAGTTCATCAATTGTCGTTGTCGAAACACCCACCGATGGAGACCTGAGTTCTCCGCGTACTTTTTGCCAGGTGAAGTTCCGCACATTGAGTTTGCTGAGAACTTCTGCGACCGCACGCCGAGAGCGAACATCAACTCCACAGTGTTCGAAAATCAGATGCAGGAGATCCGAATGCCCAACATGGAAGCACATCGGGGTCGACGAAGTGGTCGGAAAGGCTGTGGTTATCTCGTCCAAGACCTTGATCGCCTCGGCTTCCTTCAGGGCCAGATCCAAAGCATCCGTGGTGACGATATCAAAGTCCACCTCTCCAAACATGACAGGCTGGCCCCCACCGTGTCGGTCTCGAAACACGTTCCCAAAGGAGTACGATCGCTGTACGATTGGGCCGGTCGTCATTCTCGCCAGACTCCGCGCGTGTCCCATCATCAGATCGAACGGCAACTGGAGCAAGTTACCGTTTTGGTCTAGCAACTGGACAGCATTTTGGCCATAGTGAGAGGATCGCGGATAGATGCAAGCCCTCGATACCTCGACAGCACCGTGCCGGCGAAAGATGGAGACCAGAGTGTCTTTGACGACGTACTGACGCATCAACTCATTAGAGCTGGAGGCGGAACCCGACATGTCCCAGGCGTAGTCCTTTGCTTGCTCGACTCGCCTTGCAAAAAGAGTGGAAAGCATCTTCTGGTAGTACGGAGAGCTTGGATCAGCCAACCCTGCAAGCGCACGCCTGACTGTCTCGCTCTCCATTTGGATTGGTAGCTTCCCGCTCTTCAGGAGTTCGGAACTTGAGGGCCGCTCCTTGGGGCTATGGGTTAGCAGCGAGAGAACGATCTCGGTCCGAGTCTTCTCGGCCGGTCTGAAATCAGAAGGGAGAGTTGGTGGAGAGCGTCGGATATCCTCGAGGACCAAGGCGCGCTGCATGCCCAACATCGGGGGATAGGACATCTCGAAGAAGATGACGCCGAGGGAGTACATCTTGGCTACGTCAGTCTCATGCGCCAAGGATAGTCTTCAATACAGAAGGACTTGGGCCAGTCGACTTACATCCACTTTGGCGGTGTACGATCCGCTCCCGCCAGACTTCACCTCGGGGGCTACATAGACGGACGTGCCGATGCTTCTTGTCATATCACTGGAGTCCATGTTAGGAGCTCCAGCCCTATCTGAAGCTAGCTGGCCGCTGGTTGCCAGACCGAAGTCGCCAATCTTGACATTATTGACCCCGTCCGGACCGACTCCGATGAAGATATTTTCCGGCTTGAGATCTCTGTGGACAATATTCAAGCTGTGGATATGCACCAATCCTTCAAGCATCTGGCGGAAGAGTCGCCAGATCTCGTCAGTCTCTTTAGACAGATTCCTAGAAATCAAATCCCGCAAGGTCTGCGCACGTCAGCTGCGAGTCTATTCCACCCGTAGAACAGAGGGGAGGCGGGGGAGACAGGGGCACAAGATTCAGGAGAATAAAAGACCAAGGGATTCTTCGACCTACCCGCTTCTCGCAATATTCCATGGATATATACAGCACAGTCCTGAACGGCCGGGTGCTTCCTCGCCGATTGCGGCCAAATGCGGTGAGCTGGCTTTTTGGCCGAGGGTTGTCGCCGGTGTCCGACGCGTCTTCCGAGCCGGACGTCTCGTCGTCGTCGCCATTGGCGTGGTCGTCTTCCTCTTCGGTGCCCGACTCGTCATAGCCAAATTCGATGTGCGGATAGCCACTGGAAGACACGAAATCCAGCCCGCCAGTGCTCGGGCCAAACTCGATGTGAATATCTTGGGATACTGTTCCTCTCGAATCCTCCGTTGCGATGCCCTCTGTCGAAGTCTCGCCTTCGGTGTCCGAGAAGTCGGGAATCTCCTCGAGCCAGGTATTATAGTACCTGACCACTGCAGGATGACTTAACTGGGAAAGGAGGCGCACTTCCTTCAGTATTTCTGATAAAGTTGCCTGAGACTTCTGCGTGATCTTCTTGATGGCATAGATCTGTCCGTCGAGCTTCTTGCGGGCCCGGACGACCTCTCCAAAGCCTCCTTTTCCAAGGCGGGCTTCCTCCACAAAGTCCTCCCTGTACCTGGACGACATCAGGCCGCGGCTGGTAGAATCGTGCCTCAATCTCTGCGGGAGGGTCTGGGGCAATGACATTAACGACCCCGACGCGACCGCCGAGTCGTCCTCAACCAGAACAGGGGCATCTGTCGCCAAGAATTCGCTCGAGGTCAACTCGAAGGCTCGAGGTCGTCGCTTGGGATCGGCCTTGAAAAATCTGGAGACGAGTTCAAGCAGCGGATCGGAGAGCGAAAGCGAGTCTATCAGCGATGCGGGCGAGTGGTACTTCTCCAGGACGTCCAGGCCGAATATCATCTGAAGGAACACTATTCCAAAATCCCAGACATCTGTCTTCTGTGTATATTGAGGCCTTGATACGCCAGCAATCTCTGGCGGAAACCAGTATGCTGATTTGGCTGCACGAGTAGAGGTCAAGGTCTGGACCTTGGTGCAGATGTTATGCAACTCCCTCTGATACCCTGCATCCGCGAATTTGGGCACAATATCACCCGTCACCTCTCGGCACAAGAGGATATTCCCGGGATGGATATCTTGATGGATAATGCCGTGGCTGTGCAGGAAGCCCAATGCCTCAAGCAGGTCCGCCGTCCATGATCTCACCTTCCCAACGTCAACGTGTCCTGCCAAGTCGAGGAGTTCATCGAGGGGGCCTTTCTCGGCGATGGGAGTGAGCACGCTGACGGTCCAGAAGGTTGGCGAGGACGAGGATGAGGACGATGCTGCTTCACCTGTCTCTCGGTCAATTCTGAAGTCAAGAACCTCGAGGATATTCCTCTGGCGAATTTTCTTTAGAGATTCAAGCTGGCTCTCAACAGACTGGAGCTGCTTCTTGAATTGTACCGACTCCTTCCCGTCTGAACTGAGTTCGGCCTGTTTCAATGCGAGACTTGGTCGCAGCTCGCCGGTCGACAAAACTGGCTTAACTTTGTAGACTGTCGTGATGGGTCCCTTGCGGAAGATTGTCTTTCCTATGACGGTCTGGAAAAGGACGGTTCTGCCGGACACATCGACCATTTTGCAGGGCTGGTCGAAGACAATGGCCTCACTCGAATCCCTGGGGTCCTCGGCCGAGCGGTCGGGGGAAAGATGGTGGCTTCTGTTCCTCCTTCTCGACTCTTTAGCCTTGTATTTCTGGCGCTTAAGCTCCTCCTGCAGCATGTCACCAAGAACGCGCTCTTCCTCCTTGGTCTCCTCCAGCTTCTTCTTCGCCTCTTTTTCCTTGTCGACCTGCGCCTGCTTGGCCAATTTCGCCTCATGGGCTGCCCTCTCCTCCTCAAGAGATGGGAGTTCTAGCCCCTGAGCCTTGATCTGAGCAGCATCTTCCAATATCTCTCGGATGCCCTCGACAACGCGGTCCATCATCTCCTGTTCCTCGGAAGAAAATAGCTTGGGCTGGGTTTCCACAAACTTCTGTATCTTGAACTTTGTAGACTCACGCAAGCCCTCGTCATGTGTGATAGTTAATAAGGGAGGTGACTTGGGGTATGTTGCCACTAGGACAACCCCTAGAGTCACAGCAAGCTCTTCATCAGATGAAGCCTTGATCCTGATGTCGAAGCAGGGCTCAGATTTCTTGGGAGAGTTAGTATCTCCTTATTTATGCCCTCTCAATATCACTTCTTTCGGCCTACCTTCCAGGCACTATGCGTAGCCTTGTGTTCTATAAAGTCGTCCCCATAAATGGCTTTGAGGACCATAACCTCGTTCTGCTGAAGCTCCTCATATTGAGTCTTAGCGTGAGGTTCCGGGCCTGTTGGTCCAAGGCCGGGAAAGCTGGTGTCTCCATTCTTCTTTGTTTGCTGTGGGGGCTTCTTCTGGCCCATGTTGAATTCATGAATGAGTCTCAAGTGCGGGTTACTGAATACCTCAATGACAATCCTAGAAGCCGAGGATGACCAAATGATTCACACAGCCGAGCTCGGCCGTGAGACTTCAGTGAGAAGAGCCCATGATTAAGAGATACTATGCAAAGAGTTGGGACAGATATTGTGGTAAAGAGCTTCGTCAATGAAAACAAAGCGGTCAAGATGGGACGATGTGGAAGGAGACAAGTATGACTCTGTTGGAGTCCTTCAGCAGCTGAGTGAGTGGGTCTTGACTCTTGGTTGCTTGAGCTTCGAATGGCGGGGTAGCTGGATGCAGGTTATGCATGGTGGGGGTTAGGTAACCCGGTAACTTGCAGGGGACAGACCCTTACAAATTTGAATTGGGACCAATCAGTGAGCCACCTGATCAATTAAGAGTGCTATTGGCCTCCAACTGTTTCCCTCTTACAGCGACCAAACGCGGAAGTAAACAAACCTCTCGATCCTTTCGGTGCCAACCCAGCTCTCCGCATCGCCGAGCAATTCTCATCCTCCCTGAATTGCAACCATTATCCCATATCTGGCATGAGAAAGCCCCTCCATGGTTCTTTAACTGATACCTGTCTGCTATTGCAATCTCAACCTGACAAGCACGATGCTTGGATGGGCACTGAAACGAAATGCTGCCAACGCGAAAGACGCGTCTGGGCCAGGTGCGACCGACACTCTAGTGTATCCCAGCTTCTACTCTCAGTGGAATCAACTGACAAGAGCCTTTTATTTGCAGATGATACCCAAATCGATCAGCCCGACACTCCTGCTCCAGTGTTTGCTGTGCGTGCATTGAAGTCGGCCCTCTTCGGAACCCCAGCTCCTCAAGGGCACCATGCGGAACATGAGACTGGCGACATGGCCGCCGAGAAAGAACTAGGCACAGTCGATTCTGGCACATATGATGCAAAATCCCCTGCAAAGCCACCCGGGATCCTCCTGACACCTGGCACGGGCACGACGCGTCGGAAACGCGTCTCCTTTGGCCATGACGTCAAAGCTGGTGTAGCAGGGCAACAGGGACTGCTAGAGGAAGGTGCAGGGAAATCTCCCAGCCTCTTTGTTGGGAAGGATGGAGATGGCAAAAAGACCAGGCCCAAGAGCAGGTTGACACAAGCCTTGGAGAATGCGAGGAAACACAAGAATCCTCCAGTGACTGGCTTGGAGGCGAGAGACTCTGCACCCGGAGCCACACAGGGCAAGGATATCCGAGAAGATGTTGGTGATCTGGAGCGTGATCCCGACGTAACTATCGACCTCAATGAACCCCATTCTCGATCTGGGAAATACTGGAAAACCTGCTTCGAAACCTACCATGCCGATGCCAAGGCTGAGATGGAGAAACTTGTCAAGTACAAGCAGCTCGCCAAGTCCTACGCCAAAATGAAGGATTCCGAGGCTCTGGATCTGCAGCAAAGGTTGAAGGAGGAGCAAGAACGGGTAAAACGGATGGAAGCCCGGATCTCGGAGACGACCCGACTCGTCGCCTCGGGCGCTAAAGACAACGGCGGTGCCTACGATGACACCATGGTCGCTGACCTTGCTAAGCAGACTGCCCTGGCCGTCGAGTATCGAGAGCAGGTGCGAGAGCTGGAGGAGCTTCTTAAAGACGGCAGTGATCACGAATCCGAGGACAAGCCTAAGCGGCGGAGACAAGGCGCATCCCCACGCACTCAGAGGACACTTCTCGAGACCCAACGCGAGCTGAGAAAGGCACGCATTCAAGTCAGGGAGATTGGGAGACTCAAGGACGAAGTAAATCGACTGAGATCCGATCTGCTATTTGCTGAGCAGAGGACGGCGAAACTGGCCGACGAAAACAAAAAACTTGCTGGCGACCTCTCCCAGAAGAGCTCCAGATCCCTGGATTTGGAGAGGAAGCTGGAGGAATCCAGGACTGAAGCTCGACAGAAGGACCGGGAGTTAAGGAGACTGAAGAGCGAGCACGATCAGTTGAAGGAGAATGCGAAGACCCGCTTCGTTGAGGCCGAACACGTCGTTCAGAAGAAGAACGAGAAAATATCCAGTCTCAAGGATGAGCTTAGGACTCTCAAGACGGAGACGGAGCCGAGACGTCCAGCTCAGACCAAAGACTTGGAGACAGGATGGAAGACCGACCGCGGAAATATCAAGCCGAAGGACCGGGCGACGGCCGATGACGAGCCAAAGAAGTTGCGTGACACGCTGGATAGCGTCCGGCAGGCCAGTCTCTCGAAAGGGCTTAAGATCCAACATACGTCCAGTGACGGCAGGTCTGGGTCCGGCTCTAATTCTAAGGCTTGCGAAGACGAGACCCTTATTTCATCCCGCGCACTCCGTGAGAGAATCCAGGCCGATTTTAGGAAGAGCAGCTCGTCGTCTGTTCTGAGCGACCGTGGGAATCTTCAGGACATTAGGCGAACTAACTCCGGATCCAGTAGCCGGCACTCGTTCCCTTCCAAGGAAAATACCCCGGCCACCACGCTGGAACCTTCTCTGCCAACACATCCACGAATCTCCAAGGTCGGCCCCGGTGTGGGAGACAACACGAACGGGCTCCGAAGGAAGCCGTCGAAGGGGTATTCCGAGCAACGGAAAGTCCCCGCAGCCAGGCCGTCGTCCGCCGGTAGCGACACCGGGCACATTGATCTGGTCCACGGCAACTTTGCCCGTCTCGGCGGTCCCGATGCCAATGCCAGCACTGCGTGGAGCATCAACACTAGCAGGGTGGCTTCATTGCCTGCGGACAGACGGGCTGCTGCTATTGCTCGACTCGAGCGCAAGAAAGCCGAGCGGTCGAGGTCTCACAGTCATTCGGAGCGCAATAAAGAGAATATGCTCTTGTCTTGAGAGGGAACCTCCCTTGGAGGGGGGTTATCACTGTCGTAGCATTTTATTGTAAAGGGGTATTTGCAGGGGCTGTTTGCTTTGACTCGGCGTGAAGATTCAGGGTAGCATAGCCTGGGTGTTTGGGTACCTAATTCAAATTGTATGAGTACATTGTAAGGGTTGTTTTTTACTGTACACTATCAATAGCTAGGAGCTCCGTATGCAATGATGCCGGAGAACATCAAAACTGTCCTCGAGCCTGGTGGTTGGCCAGGGAACTTAAATACCTATGGAGTAGGGGAAAGCAGAGTAGAGCTAGAGGCAGAGGCACCTTGACTGCCCCACCAACACCTTCGTCATTCATTTTCCACAATAGAAGAACTCTTCCTCCTCTTTCCTACCAGCCATGTGACAAGCCCCAACGGAGCCGCGATGCACGACAATGCCGCCAGCATAGAGGAGGAGATCCTGGAGCTCGAAGCCCGATTAGCCAAGGCCAAGGAGCAGCTCAAATCTCACCATCAACGGGCCACCACCCCCTCGTCCCCCAACGGCGTCACCCCACCACCCCCACCGCCGACCCAATCCGCCCACTTCCTCCTCCTCCTCTCCGACTCCGCCCTCCCCCTCGGCTCCTTCGCCTTCAGCTCGGGCCTCGAGTCCTTCCTCGCCCACGGCTCCGCCGCCGCCCGCCGCTCCCCGGCCACCTTCGCCGCCTTCCTCCCGGCGTCCGTGTCCTCCCTCGCCTCGGCCGCCCTGCCCTTCGTCCTGGCCGCGCACCGCGACCCCGCCGCCGTCCCGCACCTCGACGACGCCCTCGACGCCGCCATCGTGTGCACCGTCGGCCGGAGGGCGTCGGTCGCCCAGGGGAGGGCCCTGCTCGCCGTGTGGGAGCGGTCGTTCGCCGACGGCTTGGTGGTCGTCGGCGGCGGCGGCGGGGCGCGCGGGGTGGAGGCGTTGCGCGGGTTCGGGAGGCTCCTGAAGGGCGCGTCGGGGGGAGGGGAGTACGCCGTCCCGCCCGTGTCTGCGCACCTGGCGCCGCTGTTCGGGGCCATCGCGAACTTGGTCGGCTTGGGGCTGCGGCAGACGGCGTACGTGTTCATGCTGAGCCACGTCAAGGCGCTCGTGTCGGCGGCCGTGAGGGCGGGCTTGCTGGGGCCGTACCAGGCGCAGAAGATGCTGGCCAGCGCGGCGGTGCAGAGCCTTATCGCCGCGGTCATCGAGAGGGAGTGGCATACCCGCGTCGAGGAGGCGGGCCAGAGCGTGCCGATTATGGACTTGTGGATTGGGAGGCATGAGATGCTGTACTCGAGGATCTTTAATAGCTGAATTGCGAACTGCGCACCCATCTTAGGTGCTTTTGTAATATCATCATGTCACGACTTAACAGTCAATTGGCAGTGTTTCTCCGGTCCACCAATGCCCGTCTCTATTATACACAACCGGGACCCTATGCATATCCCCCTCGCCATCAATCACTATCGCTATCATACGATACAAGCGGCCCCGAAGGCGCGGCAGCTTTAGGCTTCGACGCAACCGAGACTCTCGCGGCATTCAAAGCCGCCAGCGTATTGCTGGAGAAAATCCCGTTTTCCTCAGCTGCCGTCTGCTGCTCCGACCAAGCCTCACCTCCGGCCTGGCCCTCTCCCGCTTCGAGCATCAACCGCTGCTCGTACTCCAGGTCGTAGCCCTCCCTCCCCCTCGGGTTGACGGCGTTCGCGCCCCTCGCAAAGTGGACTTCATCCGGGGCCTCGTAGCCCTCGAGGCCGTAGCTGCTTTCGATCTTCCTCCTCTTGCGCGCCTCGGGATCCTTCCCTTCTATCTCGGCGACGAACTCGGCGGGGAGAGCTCGCCTGATGGCATCGGCCGCCTGCTCCTCGATTAGGCGCGCTTCGCGCTTCTGGGCCAGCGGGTTCGGGTCGGCGGTTGCCCAGCGGACATTCAGGGTTTCGTTGTTGTCAAGAGCTTGGTGGGCCATTGCTTCTTTTGCAAATTCCGCGTTGGTCTCCGTGGTGTATGTGATAAATGCGACGCCTCGGGTGTTGAGAACTCGAACTATGGGGGGGGCGCGTCTTGTCAGCCAACGTCCGTCCTGAAAGACCAAAGGCACGATATGCGGGGGATACTCACTCCTCTCGACCTGGCCCCATTCTGCAAAGTGTCGCGAAACGATTTCCTCAATGTCATCCGTGACGTGTATCCTGCCGACATAGATCGTCCTATTGCGCCTCATGAAACTTCCAACGCCACCCATGTCATCTCTGTAGTCGCTGAACTTGTCCCGCCCAAAGCAGTCGACGTTGGGACTGAAGACATCGTAGACCCCAGGCAGGCGATGCAAATATTCGCAATCCTGCCCACGCGGGCACAGCCCCCGGGCGAACCAGATGCAGAAGAAGCTCCCGGGGACCCTGTCTGCGCGCGTGTACCCGCTGTCCTTGGCAATGTTGCACCGCCCTTTGGCCTGGGTTTTGGACATATAGGCGTCCTGCCGGTCGCCCCCGGACCACTTGGCGTACCAGATGTTGAATATGGTGCCAGTCTGCGGCGGCGGCTCAGACGCGAATACTGCAGGGTCGACCTGCGGCCGCGCCGGCCGCCTTTTCCTGCGGATGATCTTCTTCACTTTCTTCTCCGCCGGTGCGGCTACTTCTGTGCTGGTGGTGGCTAGGGCGAGGTCCTGCGACTCCTCGTCGTTGCTAGGGAGGATATGGGCCTGGACATCAGCCTGGACATCAGCCTGGATATCGGCTTCGACGTCGACTTGGACGTCGGGCTGGACGTCGACTTCGGCCATGATGGCAGAGCAACGGCGCGAGTCAGGTTAGTGGTGTATTGACCCTCAAATGTGTTTGGATTCGGTACGGAATGCGTGCGTTGAGAGAATTGCGGAGAGAGAAATGGTAAAATAACAGGTCAGGAATCACTTTTCTTGCCAATTGCGAAGATGCTCTAGGATAGCGCGCACGGACCAAACTAGTTAGAGAAGGCGAAGGCGGTGAGGCTGTGAGTGCCACATGTGGCGTTAAATCCATACCCCCCACCCCACCGAAAACCCCACTGCTCGCTCCCCTCTATCGAGGTCTTCAGCGCATTTCGAGGGGCCGTTTGATAGGCTATCAACACTTTGTATGATAGTTACTTAGATATTCGCAAGTTTGTCGCTTCACTTGCCAGCTTTTGCAGCTTCACAAAACTCAGCTCGAACCATACTTCAAGCTGCTCACTCGTCACTCATTTTCACCCATTTCGGCTCGTTCTCGCCGTCAAGATGGTGAACATCACAGAGAAGATCAAGGAGTATGCCAAAATTGAGACTCTTCTTGGGCAGATCAGGCATGATGTTGACAGTCACTTAGGATTGAGGAGGAGATGAAGAGGACACAGAGTAAGTACTCGACCTGGGAATAATCGAGTTTGGGCGAGAGACACTGACTAAAGCCACTCATAGAAAATAAGGCAACTGGTAAGTGTTTAATGGACGAGAGATCAGGGTCAATCCCATGACTTACAGTGACTTGCGCAGAATATCACCTGGGTCTTTTGAAAGGGTGCGTGAAGCTAGCGAGCCAAGGGCGGCCTTCCCATCCACTGACACCGTCTCTCCTAGAAAACTTGCGCGACTGAGAGCGCAGCTTCTGGAGCCGGGTCCCGGAGCGGGGGGTGGCGGCGGCGCAGGTTTTGACGTGAGCAAGAGCGGAGACGCCCGGATAGCCTTGGTCGGCTTCCCGTCGGTGGGGAAGTCGACCTTCCTGTCCAAGGTCACCAAGACGAGGTCAGAGGTGGCCGCCTATTCCTTCACAACACTCACGGCCATTCCGGGCGTGCTCGAATATGGCGGCGCAGAGATCCAGCTACTCGATCTGCCGGGTATCATCGAGGGCGCTTCCGAAGGCAAAGGCAGAGGCCGCCAGGTTATCTCGGCAGCCAAGACGAGCGATCTCATCTTGATGGTTCTCGATGCCACCAAGAAGGCAGAGCAAAGGGCACTGTTAGAGGCTGAGCTGGAAGCTGTGGGTATCCGGCTTAACAGGGAGCCGCCGTGAGTGCCCCGAGAAGACCCCCATTTTTTTTGCTATCACCACTCACCTGCTGCAGGAATATCTATCTTAAACCGAAGAAGGCAGGGGGCATGAAGATCACGTTTCAAGCACCGCCGAAGAGTCTGGACGAGAAGATGGTTTACAACATCCTGCGAGATTATAAGCTCCTCAACGTTGAAGTGCTTATTCGGGATGAGAACGCCACGGTAGATGACCTGATTGATGTGATCATGAAAGACCACCGGAAGTACATCAAGTGTCTTTATGTCTACAACAAGATCGACAGCGTGTCCCTGGACTTCCTGGACAAGTTAGCACGAGAGCCCCAAACCGTGGTTATGAGTTGTGAGCTTGACCTGGGCATCCAGGATGTTGTTGATCGGTGCTGGAAAGAGCTGAAACTCATCCGGATCTACACCAAGAGGAAGGGCGTGGACCCGGACTTTAGCGAGGCTTTGATTGTCCGGAGCAACAGCACCATTGAGGATGTCTGTGACCGGATCCATCGGACACTGAAGGAGACTTTCAAATATGCCCTGGTATGGGGTGCCAGTGCAAGGCACATACCTCAGAGGGTGGGGCTAGGGCATCCTGTGTCAGATGAGGATGTCGTCTACATTGTGAGTGGTTGGAAAGCATGAGGAGTGGGCGGCCAATTCAGCAGTGGGAGTGGCAGGCTGGAAGAGAGAAAGGATGGTAGTGGTCTTAACGAATTAGGCCAATTCACAATCTCGGGCATCTGAACTTGGAAGCACTGCGTGTATGAGGAATCAATTCTCTCTGGTCATCATTTCATGTCGTAAAAGCCCCTGTATCCATCCATCAATCCCTGCCATTGAGAAACCAAAGAACGCCGATGCCAAGGTCAATAGACCAAATGTTCCCAAACAAAAGCTTTATCGAATGCCGGGTACAGCCAAGGTGCCGAATGAATGATACAATACAGCTCGGGAGAAGACAATGAGTTCGGCTGGTCGAGGACCAAAGGAGCCCCTTCAGTCGGCTTTCGGAGGATCCGCGGGCCTGCTGCCAAAGAGACTCTCGCCCTCCAACTTCTTAACGGAGGCCTGGGCGAAGAGCGACTTTGGCTTGACCCTAGATTTGCAGCGATACTTGTTAGCTCTAGAACGGGGCTGCATTTTTGGGGGTTTAAGGCAGATGCTGCCGTCGGAAGCGGGGTGGTAGAACGTACTTCCCAACCTGCTTGTTGCGGAAAGCGTTCAGCTTGGCCGTGCAAGGGCTCATGATGTTGTCCGACGGGGAGACATATTTGGTCCTGGGGATCGCAAAAGGTCAGCAATCTGGCCAGCTGGGCTGAATTCCAGTTCGGAGTGGTCTGCACATACTCGCCCTGCTGCATCTTGTTCTGCAGCACCTGTCGGTGGTATTCCATACTCTTAACGTCAGGCTTGCCGATGGGCTCCTGAGCACTAGCCATGGCGGCGTTGGCGTCCTTTGCTGAGAGAGCTTGGGACATTGTGTGGTGATGTTGCAATGGACGGCAGCAAAGAGTACAGTTTGGAGGTATCGTTTGGGATCTGTGTCGAGGAAACTTCGGCGAGGCTGGTATGGTTGATTTATATGTCCAAGTCTAAAGAAGTCAGACAATGTCGCTGAAGAAAACTGCGTTGAGGGCCGAGGTTATGAAGCGGGGGGTGCGTTTGATTTTATGTATGACAGCTGCAATGTGCAAGGTGCATCCAAGGAAGGGATGGATTTTTTGCTGATGCATGTAAACAGACTGCAGCTCTGGCAGGGCAACCACGTACTGCAGCCCCGGCATGTGGCCCGTGCACCGACATTCATCCAATGATTCAGCTGAATTCCTCCATAAATGCCAGTATTTAATACTGCATTAATTTGTTGCTACATACCGCACCTCCTGCGTAATTTCAGATTCTGACTCACTCAACACCCATGCTGGTCTCTCTCTACCTATCTAGGTTGACCTGACAATATTGGACCCTGGTTCCGCCTTGTTGACTTTGTACTGGACCAGCAACTGTGCTGTCTTCTCCTTCTGTGCCTGGATCTTGGCTGCAACCTCCTTGCCACGCTTGTTCTCATTGCGCCCCATCTGTTGCAGGTGAACCTCGTCAGGACCGTCTGCGAGCCTGAGGGTCCTGATCTGTGCCCACATGTTCGCCAGAGGGGTGTCCTGGCTAACGCCAGCGCCTCCGAAGGCCTGAACTGCCCTGTCGATGACGACCAGCGACATCTGGGGCACCAGCACCTTGGCCTCGGCGATCTCGGTCAAGGCTGCCTTGGGCCCATACTCGTCCATCTTGATGGCTGCGTTGAGGACAACCAGACGTGCAGCATCAATCTCGATACGGGACTTGGCAACCCATTCGAGAATGACTCCGTGCTCTTTCAACTGCTTCCCGAACGGTGTTTTGGTTGGGTCATTGATGCGCATGAGCATCCATTCCAGCGCCCGTTCCGACGCCCCAATTGTTCGCATGGCATGGTGAATGCGGCCCGGTCCGAGTCTGCCCTGGATGATCTCGAAACCTCGACCTTCTCCGAGGACAAGGTTGCTTGCCGGTACCCGAACATTGTCGAAGCTAATGTGCCCGTGACCATGAGGAGCGTCGTCGTATCCGTACACCGTGAGCATGCGGTGGATGGTGATTCCCTTGGTGCCTGCTGGGACCAAAATGACAGACTGCTGCTGGTACGGATTCTTGTTTCCAGGGTCGCTCTTGCCCATAACCAGATAGATCTTGCAACGAGGATCACCGGCTCCGCTTGACCACCATTTCTGCAGGCTGCAAGTTAGCCACGGGCAGGGGAGGTCTGGATTCCCAGGAACAAGTTCCATACCTGTCCGTTAAGCACGTAATCATTGCCATCCTTCTTGATGCTCATCTCAATGTTCTTTGCGTCCGAGGATGCAACTTGGGGCTCCGTCATCAGGAATGCCGACCGGATCTTACCGTCCATCAGCGGCTTCAGCCATTGGGCCTTCTGCGCGTCATTGGCGTACTTGGCCAAGACCTCCATGTTACCCGTGTCAGGGGCTGCACAGTTGACTGCTTCCGAGGCTACCCTTGACTTGCCCAGCCACTCCGCCATGAGTCCGTACTCGAGGTTGGTAAACCCGGGCGACTCTTTGTAATGGCCCTTGGGCAGGAACATGTTCCAGAGCCCAAGAGCCTGTGCCTTCTTCTTCAGGTCCTCGACAATTGGAGGATAAGTTTCCCATCTCGCCTCCCCAACTCCGACCTGGGCTTCGAGAACGGGATCAGCTCTGGGTTCGGGCTCCGCGTTAGTTTAGGCGCAGGGACAATAGTGTAATTGATATTTTTAGGTGGATGGTGGATACTCACGGAATGCATTCCTCCTCCACGAACTTGGCGACAATATCGATTGTCTTCTTTGCCCTGTCGCTGACGCGATCGCGGACCTGTACAGAAAGGGTTGAGCAGAGGAACAAGACGGCAAGGGAGCTCAAAGCTTACTGCAATGGGGATGTTGGAGGACATGGCGAAGGTAAGACGGATATCAGTTCAAATGGGGATGATTTCTTAGGATAGCACAGCTACATAGAATTGGAGTGGGAGGATGCCATGCCAGCATCATGGAGACTGCAAGTTATTAGCTACGCAGTAGGGAGCTGACTACGATGTTGCTGCCGAGGTACAACCACGGCCACCGGAGCTCCAATGTGCGGGGCGCGGAGATCCAACTCCTAAAGTGGCGTGGTTTGTGGCTCAGGGCCTCGGGCTGTCGGTTACCCTGTGTAAAACTGCGTGTACTCAATACACATACCTTCACCTCGCCGAGGAACCCAATGAAACTCCCGTCTCGTCCCATCTAATCGTACCATTAACCCGTACTCTGCACGGGCAGTCTAATGAGCGCTTCGTCTCTCCGATGTGTTTCTTAGGCAGGAAACTTCCATGGGTTCATCAGACAGCCTGGCTTCATAGGGGTAGGCAGGCACCTGCTTAGTTCCCTTGGATTATGAAATCCACGTCACCTTTTATTTACCACTCATACCACACACGTGTACGTGAACATGTAGTGCGAAGTACTCCGTACTAAACCGCATTCCCCATCGTCCCATTGCGGCCGCGTCGCCTCACTTCAGCCCTTCCCGATCAGGACTTAGCATTCTTCATGACAGGTGGGGCTACTGCGAGGACTGATCAATCACACCTTTGTCGCATCATGAGCGATCCTTTTTTGGGGGGTATGGCTTGAGCCTGGAGCGTGGGCAGACTCCCTTTTTGCTCAACATGGACCTACTGTGCATTTTTTCTAGAATTCCCGCCTATACAATGTGCGTATATGCGCTAGGCACTCCCCTACGAGTTTACCGGCATGTATATTCCTGTAGGTACGTGTATAGGGGGCGGGAAGCGAGGATGATGACGTACTTGAGGCAAGGCTGCCTTGTCTATCCGTACGCAGCATCGATCTGAATCCAGAATATTATGGCGCTATAATTAGGACTTACGTACTCGGTGGGTTTAGCGTGGGTTCCTGGTGGGCATTGGTGTGGGTTGCAGCCTCAGCTGGGGACGGACCGCGAACCCCTCCATTTGGAGGGGGAGCCTTGTTACCCACCCTTGTCCCCTGTTTAGGTAGGTAGGTAGTGAGAAGCACGATAACTTGACAGGCAGGTAGGGTCATTTAGAGCGAAAGCCCTCGACGACCTGACGCCGTCGTCATCACCGTTCGTTCCGCGCATCTCCCCCTCCCCCTCCCCCTCCCCCGGTTTACAAGCAGCCTGTCACCTCTCGCTTGGTTATGTGCGAAGCCATATAAGGAACACCTTCAGAAATTTCCCCGCCTTGTTGCGCATCTTGGCGGCTGTTCTAGCTGCTGCGATTGAAACGTTCCTCGACCGCCCACGGGCTCCCTTCCAAACGAACTGCCGAATCTCGTAATCTGTCTCTCGCCTTGAATCCATCAAAAAAGATCATGTTCGATTCGTCCACTCGCTAGCCCCCCATCCGAACGTCGCCAGAGACTGGGTCGATCTACCATCGATAACACCCAACTTGTGCTGCGCCGACCAGCCCGCCATTAACATGAACATAATGCCAAAGAAGTTTCGCTCCGTCCGCGTCAAAAATGGCAGTCATCGCCGGAATAAGTCGTCAGAGCCGGGCCAAAAGGTGCGTTCGCCGACTCGATCGGTTCGACTCCAAACAATGCACTTGTTCGATGCTGAGACCACCTTTAGTCCCGAACCATGACAGCCGAGACGTTCTTCTCGATGTTCAAACCGGACTCCGCAAGACAAGCCCAGAAGGAGAAAGAAGAGGAGGGGAGAGAGACAGCCAAGGCATGAGAGACCCATTTTCGACTGCGCCTCTCGTGTGCAGTAGTCCGTAAGGTGCTAACTGATGCATGACAGATCAAGGAGGTTTCCCAGCTCCTCAAGGAACAAGATTTGGATGACATATCTCGCGAACATATCCGCTGCGCTCTGAGCTCCAGGTTCGCCGCATGGGACCCAGACAAGGCCATTGAGCTCTTACGCCTCCAACAGGAAGCGTCTGCAGGCATCGTGCGGCCTTTCAACCCCCACGTCCGCATGCTCGGCGCCGAAAATAGGGAGAATGTCACCTGCTATCTCGATTCGCTCCTCTTCGCCATGTTCTCTCGGCTGGATGCCTTCGAGTGCATGCTAAAGAACGATGCTGGAGACGAGAACCAGAGGAAGTTGGCAACCCTTATCAGGCTGTGGGTTAACCTCCTGAGGACCGGAAACCTCATAGATACAGATATGGTAGGCGATATCCATCTAGACGCTTTATTGCCACTGTTAAATTAATATGCACCAGACCCAAAATATCCAGGAGGCACTCGCCAGTTGTGGTTGGAAGGACGCCCAGTATCTCGAGCAGCAGGACACGTCCGAGGCATTTGCTTTTATCACTGAAACCCTCCAACTTCCGCTTCTGACCCTCCAGGTCGATCTATTCCATCAGGGAAAGGGGGACAAGGACGACCACAAGGTGGTCTATGAGCGCCTCCTGAACCTGGCTGTTCCGCCAGATCCTGACGGGAAAGGCATCAAGCTTGAGGACTGTCTAGAGGAGTACTTCAACAACCAAGTCGACGTTCTCCGGGACAGCCTGGAGGAGAAGCACGGGGCAGATGCGCCATCGCTACTGAAACACCGCAGCACCATCCGAATCGTTGCTGTCGAAGACGACCCAGAGGTACCGGATGGTGCCGCAACCCCGCCCTCGCAGCTCGAGGATCCGACATTATTGAGGCGGTGGACAGTGCAAACGTCCGAATCTCTTGCTTCTGGCAGCTCCCTACCTCCACCAGCACTCCGACATCGCTCGACAAGCGTCATTCGACGGATCGTGGTGGACGAGGAGGGACGCGCGGAAGAAGCAGATTCAACCAGCCTTCTTCAAAAGGCAAAGCAAACAGGATCAACCGTGGTGAAGGCCGTCACGATTCCCGCCTGGCAGTTCTTCCGCCTGATACGTAAGCCCCGGGACTATCTACCTACACCCCAGCGATTTGGCACTAATTCCTAGATAGCATGGCATGCAACCTCTAATTCCGAGCCTCTGAGCGATGTCGAGGTTGCAAGCCAATTTAACAAACGACCTGTTGTTGGAATATGTCTCAAAAGATATACCATGACTGACCAGGGGATCCCAATACGACAGAACACCTTTATAGACATCCCCGAAAGCATGCGCCTCCCATACTTCATGAAGGTGGACGACTTGAAACTCGGCCAGGAAGCATATGGGCTAAGTGCCGAATACAAGCTCGTTTTGCAGTCAGTTGTTTGCCATCGAGGCGACTCGCTCCACAGCGGCCACTACGTGGCGTTTGCCCGTGCGGCGCCAAAACTACTGACGGACAACCGGCGACACGATCGCGATCCTCCGCCAGACTACGAGGAGGAACAGTGGGTCCAGTTCGACGATCTTCACGAGGACAACCGGGTTTCCTACGTGGACGACCTCAAGCAGTCTCTCCGAGAGGAAATGCCCTACCTCCTCTTCTACCAGATCGTCCCAATGGTCGAGATGGCAACCAGCTCTGCCGAAGGCTCGGTCATCGAGCCGCCGTCGTACAACGAGTCCGCAGTTAACCCCCAGACACCCGTCCCAGAGGCCGACCGTCCCGGCTCTATGTCCAGGTCGACCAGCGGATATTTCAGCTCCAGCACGACCCTCGGCCGGGGCCATGGCCCGGGCATCCGCTTCAGCTCTGAGCTAGAGCGGCCCTCGAGGCTCAGCCTGGACGGCGGCCCGTACCTCACGGTGAACGGCTCCCGGCGCGGCAGCGTCGCCGTCTCGGAACCGACCCTCGCCACCACCCCTGGCGCCGTCACTCCCGAAGGCCCCGGCACCCCGGGGGAGGAGTCGACGGCCACCCGGCTGTCGCGCGCGGCGGCGCGGTTCGCAAAGTCCGGGAGCAGCAAGAGCCGGCCCGGGTCGCAGGCCGGTGAGGGCCGGATCAGCATCACCATGTCGCGGCTCGGGGGCCTGATGCGGGCGAGCAGGGAGCCGCTCGTCGACGGGGTGGAGGCGGCGGCGGCGCCGCCGGAACAGCCCGAGTCGGAGGGCGGACGGGCGCAGGCCGACGGCACGACGCACAGCAGGGAGGGTGGCCGGCATTTCCACGTCCACCCCCACCCCCACCCCCACCCAAGGAAGGACCGCGGCAAGTCGAGGAGCGGGGATGAGAAGGATAGGGAGAGGAGTGGCGCGAGGGGGAGGGAGAAGGAGAGTGATAAGGAGAGTAAGACGGGCGTTCCCGAACGGGAGTGCCTTGTCATGTGAGGAAGGTTGTCGGGTCGCATCTAGTCTCCAGCCACCCGGCTTGGTGACCGTTCTAGACGGGTGAAAAGGTACGGTGTTGATGTCTTTTCTTTTCCTTCTAATGGATACAGCATAGCATGTCGGGCATATGAGGCGCCATAATAAGAGGGCAACAGGGGCCCGATAAGGCTAAAGAGGGTGGGGGGTTGCATGCAGCGGTTGCATAACGTCATGATACCAAAGATACACGACTGACTACCTGGAGTGTCGGTTGAGTTTATTTCAGCTTCTGTTGAACGACTGTATAATAAATCAAGCATATAACTTCACAGCACAGCGAAAATAGGGTGGCTGCTGGAAATAGCAGAGGAGTCCCGGGATGGACAGGGGGGCATGGCTGGCTGGCAAACAAGACACGCGAGGACGGCAACCTGGATTAGTGGCTGTTTCCTCAGGTCTGAATAATCATTCATCGCATTTGGCATCGTGTGTCTCGTAACTACTACTAAGAAAATCCTTTAGTGGGAAAGAATGCGCGTGTCCACTAATCCGTAGGGGGCACCCATCCAGCAAAAGCCTCTCCGAAACCTCCTAACTACCTATTGTAAGGTTTATCTGGATATTCATATTCGGAGGCACGGGCCCCCTGGAAATAGGGGACTCGTCAAAGACTCCTTCCGTCTGTACCCGAGCCCCCACCCAGCCCCTAATCCTCATCCGCGAGCTTGTCCGCCACCATCTGGGCCGCCTTGTTGACGACCTTCTCGGGGGGCCGGGTCTCGACGGGCTCGGCGGGGCTGCTCAGGCCGGTGATGGGTGACAGGGCGCCGCTCGGGGGCCCGGGGACGGGGATGCGGATGTCCTCGGGCGAGCTGGGGATGTACTTTGGGTCGAGCCCCGGGATGTGGATGCGCTTGGCCTCGTTCTGGTAGGCGGCAGGGATGATCTCGATGATCTCGTCGCGCGGGAACTTGAGCTTGGGGATCTCCATGGTCGAGCAGTGCATCAGGTAGGCGTACAGGACGCGCAGAACAGACTCGTGGGCGATGATTAGGAGGTCGTTTTGCTCGCGCTCTAGCTCGAGGATGATGGGCTCTAGGCGGACTGCCAGGTCGTGGTAGGACTGGGGGATGGTTAGTCAGAATGAATTGAGAAGGACAAGGAGAAGGAAGAACCAGCTAGGTTTTTGTAGGTTTAGTTGCCACTCACCTCGGCGCGGGGGTATCGATGGTGATAGGGATCCAGCTCATGCTTCTCTATCTCATCGGGATAGAGACGGCGAATGACGCGCTCGGACAGCTTCTCGCATACTCCCGGGTTGATTTGGCTCATCTGCGAACGCTGGCGGACCTTATATCCCTTCTCCTTGAGGTAATCCGCGGTCTGGATCGTCCTCAGTCTTGTCGATGTCCACACGGTCAAGGGCCGAAGCGGAAGGTCGGGCCCGCCCTGGGCAATAAGCGCTTGGCGTTCCTGCTCCCTGTGCTTGAGTAGCATTTCCGACATCTTGGCGGCATATGTGCGGCCATCCTCGGAGAGGGGCGCATCGGCTCTGTAAGAGTCTTCCTCAGTCGTTATGCCGGCGCGCACGAAGAAGGTGGTGCGCGACTTGATGTGCAAATTGGTCAAGTAGAAGACGATGCGGTGGGAGAGGTAGTTGAAGCTGACGTTGTTGTAGAAGAAGGTCTGGCCGGCGTTGATCATCTTGACGTAGTTCAGCTCATTCTCGTTCATCGTCTCGAAGGCTGGTATCTTCATCTCAATGCGCCGGAGATAGAGTTTCGCGGCCTCATCAGGCTCCATTCCATGGAACTAAGGCCGTTAGCACTTGAGCTTGGACGCCGACCATAATTATTTTTTTCTTCGACTCACGTCGGGCGACGAGATCTTGACATTGCGGGCATTCTCTGTGAGGATGCGATTGTCATCAACATACGACTCTATGAAGAGCGTCTGCAACGACCAACAGTCAGTCACATATCCATATCCATCGACGGAGGCAGCCATGAACACACCTGGACATCGTGCTTTCCAAACTCCTTGGCAAGAGACCGGCGCCCACTTGCTGTGTGGTTGACGGCGTCGTAGATGGCAACTTGACCATTCTCGTGGTTCAGCCACGAGTAGATGTCCTCACGACACTTCTTCAGGATCTTCTGTCGTAGCATTATCGACGCAGGAGATGCATTCGGAAAGAAGTAATCCTCCGGGATTGAACCCCCCTGACCGACAGTGGCCCGGCGATAATCTCCAAGATGGAAGATGCGCGTCTTGACCCCCAACCTGCCCGTGTTGTTAGGAGAATTCAGAGCGTCGGAAGAAAAATGCAGCCAGGACTCACCATTGAAGGTACCGAGCCATAGACACACATATGTGGCTGTATAGTTGTCAGCGGTGCGGCTGGTCGTCTGGGTTAGGCAGGCTTACGTCTTGCCCCGAGCAGGAAGCCCAACCATCACAATCGCAATGCGGCCGGAGTGGAAGAGCCTCCCAGACATGGTGCTGTACAGCTGGGCGGGAGCCAGATCTCCCTGATCCTCTGCGATGTCATGGATGGCATCGATAAAGGTCGAACTCCTCCTTCGGTAGCGCGGCGCGTTGGCCGCAATCTCTGCGGTACTGGTGTCGTCAGCGCAAGGGTTATCAAGATCATCGGTCAGCTCTGGACGAGGGAACGTAATCAAGGCATCGGACAATTCGCTCTGAGCTGGAGGGGCTCTGGCGGACTTGGCTTTGGTCACCTCGACCTCGGCATTCTCTTTATCAACCATCTTGAGTAAGATGTGCTTTGGTTCGCAAAAATGTGGGTTGTTTGGGGGGGAAACAGGTGAAACGAGGAGAAAAGCAGTTGCTAAAAGTGAAGAACAAAGTTGGAAAGGAACCAGAAGAGCGAGACTAGGTACAGAGGAAAGAGAGATGTTGGAAAAGTCGCATGGTTTCGGAGTAAATACGAACTCAGAAGCAAGATCGAGAAGACTCACAGGAGGGTATCCATCGCTGCGCCGTGCTGCCCTCAGGTGTGACGAGCCGCAATATAAGCCGTAATAAAATCCACACAAACAAGCCGCAGCTATGTTGAGCAAACAATGGCTCACAGAGAGTGACCTGTACAAGTCGTGATGTTGCCACAGAGTTGACAAACTAGGAGAATTCGAGATAACTGGCCGATAACCTCCTTTACAAGTCGAGCTGTGTCCCCCTCCAAAGTCCTTTCACTGAAACAACCTGACTAGGGGCCAACTCTACCGGCAAACGGCAACTGTTGCTGTGTCCAAGTTTGGTGTTCTGAGTCGAGAGCAATGCTGGCAAGCTCCACGACAACCTTCTGATTCAAAGCCGGGCTTCTGTCCGTTAGGCCTAGGCACAAGACCAAGTCAAAACTTGAGTAGCAAGAGTGGTAAGATAAGGGCGTTTCTAGGTGTTTAATTGAGCACAATGGGGTCTGCTTGGCTAATGTGTGATCCACATCATAGCCTTACAAGAAGGCAACTCGAAATTGGGTGTCTGGGCCTGGCAAATATGCAGAATCACAGTCCGGGCTCAGATCGGGTTGTTCCGGCCATTAAGCTCCGCCATCTCGGGACTGGTGACTTGCAACCCGGAAATTGAGAGGCGAATTATATTCACACCCTAGGGTAAAGCTCCGATTGCTGACAAGCTCCATCCATTGGCTTGCGCTGTCTTTCATCCCTTAACCACATTTTAAACTCACCCCATCTGTGGTTTAGCTTATCTTCTCCATATCATTGGCTGCTGCCCTGGTTTTTCCACTCCGACCGCCCGTGGCCGAGAGACAGAGCTCGAAATTTTTGGTTCCAGCTTCACCTCGTCAAAAGCTGCCTCTTGGATTCAGGAATAAATCTCTTGTCAGACAGCAACCCGGCGACCACTGCAAGTCAACAGGCTACTTCTGCTGGACGTCTGGAAGTGACCAAGCTTGGAATCAATCGAGACATCTTTTGTCCTTTTTATCTGTCCCATCCAGATTTCCGTCACCTGTTTTGGGCCACTTGCGAGCATGGCGTCCAGCTCAGAATCGCCTCTGGCCTTCTTGGGGAACAACCCCATTGTTTCCAGCGCATCAGATGTCCTGAGGTCATTCTCCGAGCGTCGCGATAAGTTGGGCTTGTCCAATCCCGGCACTGTTGAGAATATCTCGAGGGAGGTTCAGCGCGATGTCTTCCTCAACAACCTGATGTTTACGGGCATCCGGGCCGACCTCACCAAAGCCTTCAGCCTCTCTCCCCTGTTCCAGGTCTCCCATCAGTTTGCGATGGGCGAGCGTCTGAACCCTTACACTTTTGCCGCCCTTTACGGAACCAGCAAGGTTTGTCGCCTCGTCGCGTGCCTGCCATATGCTGCCTAGCTAAAACCATGTCTTCTCCAGGTATTTTTGCAGGGCAATGTGGACAATGAGGGCCAGCTATCCACAAGATTCAACTACCGATGGGGCCCCTCAACAGTCACACGAACACAATTCCAGATCGCCCCCGGTGGCTCAGGTCAGGACATGGCCCAGATTGAACACGAATATACTGGAAAGGACTTCACTGCCTCCCTCAAGGCCCTGAATCCCTCTTACCTGGAGGGTGGCCTCACTGGTATCTTCATCGGCAGCTATCTTCAATCCGTCACCCCGAAGCTGGCGCTGGGACTGGAGGGTGTCTGGCAGCGCGCAGGTCTCACCCAAGGCCCCGAGACTGCCGTCTCCTACGTTGCTCGATACAAGTCGGACGACTGGGTTGCCACTGCCCAGCTGCAGGCGCAGGGCGCCCTCAACACGTCGTACTGGAGACGGCTTTCCGAGAAGGTACAGGCCGGCGTTGACATGACCTTGTCGCTCATCCCTGGTGCGCAAGGGATGCTCGGTGGGGGATTCCAAAAGGAGGGTATTACGACGTTTGGCGCGAAATATGACTTCCGGATGTCGACTTTCCGAGCGCAGATCGACTCCAAGGGCAAGCTCAGCTGCCTCCTCGAGAAGCGAGTCGCTGCACCTGTCACCCTGACCTTCGGTGCTGACGTGGACCATTTTACCGTAAGATCTGAATGCCGACGTGTCGACACTTAGAATAATATGCTGACAGCCCTCTACAGCAAACATCCAAGATCGGAGTTGGTATTTCCATCGAGGCTGGCGGGGAAGAGCTCCATGAGCAACAGGAGGCATTTGGCGCGCAGCCATCTCCCAACATCCCGTTCTAAAGGCCCCGTCTTTGTCGAACCCACGTGCCTTTCTGGCATAGCAACCGCTCCGCTCCGCTCCGCTCTGCCCATGTACCAACGCCCAAAATAACGACGACCGATGGTGCTGATCTGCAGGCGGATTGCTTTTCGCAACTTCGGCTCTCCTTCCGTCTTCTCTCTGTGTTTTACTACCATCAGCTCCAGCAGCTCCCGTCAACGTCCACAATATCCTGCGTCGGCACCGATCCTTGCATGTCACACCGTGGACAACAATAGACATGGCGCATTTCTGGGTTCTCATGCAAGATCTGGTGACGCGGCGCCTCCTCTTTCTTCGACACCCTTGGCTGCTCGGACTGTCCTGCTTATACTTGCGATAGACGGGGAAGGGGGTTGTCTGTGTACTATAGAAGGTTCTGCTATGGGGAGAGGCCTCTAGCAGCATCCGGCTGGTGGAAAGGCCATGATCCCTAGGCAAGGCGATCACCCTAGGCTATGGCTAGCCTTCTCATTGGGTGAGGCTGATTGGCAATTAATGTAGATATAATGTCATGCATGTATAAATTGGATGTGAGCGAACACGAAATCGAGGCGCAATTCCGAGTCATTGGCTATGGTATCAAGTCGTGCTCCGGAACCTTGTGGACGACAGGGGACTCCTCCATGCCAAGCTTCACGAAGATTCCACCAGCGATGTTTACCTTGTGGTGTCTCATCTGTCCGGGCCGTTAGTCCTACTTGCAGCTCGTCAACTTGCGACCTGATCAGTTGCAAGACTCTGGACGACCCGGATATTGAGACACCGGGCTGGCCTACGTAAGCGTCGCCCATATTGAGTTACCAACAGCGGCGGCGACATTCCCCAATCTGGTCGAGAATAGATTGCGGTTTTGAGTCGGCCACCTGCTGGAACAAATAATCCCATGCGGCATGCCTGGCGCCGCGCTCATTCAGTCGGCGAGATGTCACTTCATTTTGAGGAGAAACCGCACACGGGGTAACAAATAGTATGAGAACGGACAGCCATGGCACAGGTGACGAGGGGGAAGGCCAGGCCAGGATACCTCCGATCCCGCGATCACCACCAGGTCTCGAATATACGTTTCACAGCCTGTGCATTATTCCAGTTTCTCTTACCGCCTCTAATATCGCCAGGCTAGTTCCTGGTAGCTGGATATGGGTCTCCCCAGCGAGGAAAGCATGGAGGGGGCTAAGGGGGGCTTGGCATCTGCACACCAACCGCTCAATCTTGGCTGGTGTTCGGTTTTCTCCTGAAATCCCGGTGAACTTGCAACATAAGCCTCATCGTGAGTGTAACGTAGTGCATCTAGACCGATGGGTCTAGAATCTAGCGTTGTCTGACTCGAAATACCGGGCCTAAATACGTTCCCGCCCCATTCAGCCGCTCGACTCTTGTTGCGAACAAGCTTTTTTAATATCGCCTATACTGGGTAATGAGTGGCCATAAGTACATAAATTATATTACGCAACCCTACCATACCCATCTCCGTCACTGAACCCCGCGGTTTGCTGTCAATATTCTCTCTGACCGCTTCAGACAAGGGTTCGGCCGACTCTCTGGTGATGCATGCACAACATGCCACAGGATTATCGCGTCATACGTCGTTGAGCTGTGCCGTGCAAGGTCAGGTGCGTGCCGAACACACAAATCGAGGCTAGGATCTGAGTCTCCAAGAACCTACGTCTTGAAATCCAGCCCCTGGTGTCACCATATATACACCTCTTCTGGAGCTATAAGCCTCCAATATTGTCCCTTGGCGCCTTACTTGAAGTAGGCTATGGGGCCAGGAAACCATCCAAGTCCGCGGTCCTGAGCCGCGTGATTTCCCCTCATCTCAGACGGATGCTCATGAATGAGAGAGACGTGCTTGGCCCGGATTTGGACCGCTTCGGGCCCCAGACCAGGTGCGGGTGGTGCTGTATACTTCCCATTCTATACCTGGTGCTTCCGCAAGAGACGCGTGTCGTGGTTTATATCTCACGCCGTGCCGGGCCTATGAACTTATTAGATCGCGAGATGACATCCCGCTTGGCCATCGACCTCATCGTCCGGGAGCCACATCAAGCTGTCTAGCGGCCACGATCGTTTCCGATGAATTGCTCTTGTTGCTCATGACGCCATCCAACGCTGTCAACAACTTCGAATGCCCTCCGCGGAGAACGGCCCAATAACCGGGGAGAGTGTATGATTGGTGTAAACCGCCGAGGTGAGTGTGCGTCGTTCAGTTGTGGGGGGGGGGGGGGGGGGGCGGGGGGGGGGGGGGGGGGGGGGGGGGGGGGGGGGGGGGGGGGGGGGGGGGGGGGGGGGGGGGGGGGGGGGGGGGG